GCCAGAAAAAGTGGTCAAATTTCCTATAGTGGGCTGGCACTAAATGGCATTTGAAATGTTTTGTAGTTCCACATTCTGATGCTGGCCCACTCAGTTCTGGACTGGCGCATGGTTTTCGCCTTTTGCCATTTCGAGCAGGCGCTTCGTCCTTTTTCTGACAGTCTGGCAAATAGAGGACCTCTATACACACACCCATACACCGAGAAGCAAAAGGACGCACGGGCACACACAAAAAAAGGTCAAACGAGAATTATAATTTAAATGGCAAATAAAACAAAAAACACACAGCGAAGTTAAATGGGATAAGGGGGCATAATTCCTTTTGGTGCGAAATTGAAATTGCTATATAGGTCCTTGACACAGGACAGGCCAGTCGGGCCAGCCAGGCCAGGCCAGCCAGCCCAGCCTATCCAGCCGACACAGTCCTTTGTGAGTCCTTGTAACTTGGCTGCTAATTATATCGCATTTTCATGATTGCAGCAAATGGGTTCATCAAACGATTTGCCAACGAGGGTCAAGTACATTATGCTTGGAAATTCCCAAAAAAAAACCCATCTAAGATTTAAGAGAAAATGGCTCGGGAATCTGGGACTAGAGATTAATTTGCTAAATGCAAAGAAAATAAAAGCTTGTAAAATTCCGACCCCATTTCGTTGAAAACATGAAAGAACATAAATATTCCTAACTTCTCTGAAGTACTACAGTAGAGTAAAGTAAATATTAAATATACAGTAACCACTAAAATAAATAAATAATATTGAACAAAACTTGTCTAACAGATACTTAACAAACCATATTATTCTATTTATTAAACAAGACGCCTTGTATTTTAGAAAAACCAATACAAAAGCTTTTCCATTTTCCCATTTAATTGGAAAATTTAAAACTTTCCAGCTGCGTAGCTCCTTAAAGTTGGAATACATGCATATATTCGCCTAACAGTCTGCAGATTGTTATCAAATTTTCTTTTGTGAGCCACAACCAAGAACAAATAAAATAATATTGCTATGGGAAAAAATTCAGCTCCATAAAAACTTAACCGACATAGCTGGGACCCAATGGATGTGGCAGTAGATGGTAGATGGTAGCTGGTAGCAAGTAGAGATGGGAAGAGATGGTAGAACAATCTGTATTTATTTTCATAAATATTTTTTTTGCCTTTTCCCGTCTATCAGCCGCCTGTCTATTGTTTTTCCGCAGTATTCATCTTGCTCACAGAGACTCAGACTCTGCTGGCTTAAAGCTTATTTCCTCCTTTATCAAGGATTCAATTGAATGCTTGACTAAACGAAAGTTATTGGTTTGGTTTTTTCGGTTTTTGGCTTTTCTTGTGCAATTTCCTTGCAATTTTTAGTTGCCCTTATATAGCTTATCCGAGATACATTTGTGATACTTATTAAAAAGTGCTTCAGCTTCAAGCCATTCGATTCGATCCGTCCATGGGCGTCAGCATCAGCATCAGCGTCATCATCTCCATCCTCATCATCATCTGAATGCGGCACATCTCAGCAATTTCGAATTCTGTGCAATTGCCATAGCCCGTGCCAGTGCCGTTGCCGTTGCACAATTGCAATTCCTGCGCAATTGTAAAATGCAACAATTTTTAATGCGTCTTGCAACTTTTATTTCCACTTTTAATGTAAAAACTTCAACCAGCGAATGGCAATGACAAGGCGAGGACGGCAGCCGCCACTCAGCGTCCGTGCCCCAGTGGGCGCGGCAGTGTGTGTGCGATTTTGCGGGTGGCTTGCCTTCTCTCCAGGCTCCTTTCCCCATTACCTAGGAAAAAAAAACGTCCTGCCATTGGGGCAGGCACTCTAGACCATGGGCGAAGCCTCTCGAAAATCCCACATTTTGTGCCAATTTTTTTTTTGTTATTGCAAAATATTACTTATAGTCCTACTTTATCTTCCCAGCCACACCCAGGAAATTAAAAGAAGAAAAAAAGAGGAGACCCTTAAATCGAAGGCATGGCAAATCCTTAGCATATCTTACAGAGCTCATCCGAGTGATTTTTGAGAAAGTGGGGAAACCGATAGTCGACTCTGTCAGATCCAAAAAACCTGGCAGACATCGACGCCCGAAGGAACCATCATCTTATATCGTTTCATCTGCTTATTTTGCCAGAGACTTTTCTTGGCATCAGAGAACCGGGCAAAAGACCTGAGTAAGTCGGGAGCGTAACATTTCCTGTTTGCGTTGCCATGATTTCCATGCCAGCTCCTCGCATTTCCGCTTCACCATCCGCCGTCACACACATCCATCTGCATGTGTGAGTTCTTCCATCTTTTGCATTTCCATCGCCCAGATGCTCTGTGCTCTGTGTGAATGAACGCTCGTGGATACACGTTCTTAGCATGGCTTTTTTTTTCTTCATTTTATTTATTTTTTGCCCCTCTGGGCCGACGCCTTTCATGGGAAAATATGCAATTTTATCGGTCTTTACAGATTTCCCATACAATCGTTTTGGGGTGGCGGCCAAAGAATGAAAGAACCTAGAAACGGCATAAAGAGCTAAAGAAAACGCATGCCATGAAAGACATTTGCCAAGCAATGTGAAATAAAAAGAAAATGTAAATATTTATCATGCCGGAGACAAGCGTTACTCTTCCGCAAAAAAAGCGTTACTTTTCTTTCCAGACCACTCCTACAAACATTAAAGATTTTTTTCTATGTATAAACATAAAGTACTGCTGGGACTGCAGCAGAGATGCCATTTTCAGCTTTTAGTTAATTGAAACGATGAAATTTATTCGAAAATCCCTGGCATCCGTATCAGCAGCATCAGGCAATGACTCAGACCAAAACCCGTACACAGAAACCAAAGACAAGTAAAGACACCAGCAATTTTTTTCGTTAAAAACGTGCCGACATTTTGGTTGTCAACATATACAGACAAACACACACATGCCAGGCAGGATGGCAGGATGGCAGGATGGCAGGACGAGGGAGAAAATGTTAAGCTGCCCATGGGCAATACTATCCCGGTCCGCAGCATAGTTAAACTTTAGTTTTATGGCTGCAATTTAGTGAAATGTGTGCTTGTTTAGCTTAGCTCAACTAAACTCGACTCGTCTCGTTTTCAGACCGTTTCTGCATTGTGTTTTGGCATTGTTTTATTTTTGCCAATTGTTTAGCTTTATAAAATATACGGATTTAAACAGCTCTGCTCTGGAAAGCTCGGAAAGCAGAAGATATATGGGTATATGTTGTGCCGGCTGTGCGCTGGCTGGCAGGCACTCTTATTTCGACCCGGACCGCTCTGGACCGCTCTAAGCCCGCATAACAGAAGCCCGGCAACATTTGTTAATGAGGCCCACAAGAGCTTAGGAGTCCATAACACTCGTGGTCCACAATATTCCGGGTGTGTTTTGTGCGGTTAAGTACATTAAATTAACACCTAAAAGGTTGACAGATTTACACATTTTTATCTTAACCCAAATAAAGCCCATCCTCCACCACCACCTCTACACCCATACCCATTTGAAAGAGCCCCCGGAGAGTGCGTAGCCTACATTAGGGATTAACGTTGTAATGTGTTGAGAGGGTTATGCGTATTTCTATGCAAATGGAGGAGTATTGTTCACAAATATTTTTAGCATAAAAAAATATCTTTTAAAAGCAAGGATTTATTTTTAGAAAAAGCATGCTTTTTTGAATTGATTTTTAAAAGATCCCTCTTCAATGAAGTAGAGATAGTTCGAAAAGCAGTCATGAGTGTTGTAATTCCCATAACTGCTTATTTCTATGCAAATGGAGAAGAATTGTTAGCAAATATATTGGCAAAGAGGATATTTTTAAGACCCTGGATGTATTTTTAAGAAAAACATACTTTTTTTAAATCGATTGTTTGGAATCATCAATAAATGCTTAATTTCTATGCAAATGGAAAAAGCTTGCTTGTTGTGAATCGATTTTTTTAAAGTAGAAGTAGAGCTTGTACGAAATTCAACCATGAATTGTTTTCATTCCCATTATGGCATATTTCTATGCAAATGGCAGAGTATTGTTCTCTAGTCTCTGGTTGCAAAAAGCATGTCTTTAAGTCTTTAAGCATGTCTTTAAGACCTGCTTTTTGCAACCAGGATGGATGTATTTTTGGCTAAAGCATTCTTGTGTTAAATCGACTGTCCCAAAGATCGTCTTTCAATGAAGTTGAGCCAGTTCAAACATCAATCACCTGTGTTTTATTTCCCATAAAGCCCATTCGCTAAACTAGTTCGCTGCGATCCAACACGTTTGCAATCATCCTTTACTTACGCTTATACAAAAGCCACACCAGCGGCAACAGGATGTGCCGGGGGTATAGGAAAAATGGCTAAAAACAAGCTGGAAGGGGGTGGGGGCAATCCTTGCTAAGAGCAGACGGCGAGGTCAAACGGTGCCATCGCAAAGCGCTTTGCACCTGCAGCTGCACCAGTAGAAGCAGTTCAACCCGATGCCACAAACGTGCCCCGCCATGAGGTGGGCAGCCATAAAGTGGGCGCCAAAGCAGTCCCCATTACCGTACACTTGCAGAAAAAAAAGGATATTTTAGGATATAATAAAAAAATTCATAAAAAAAATAGGCTTTTTCAGGTGTTTATTTCTAATACAATTTAAAATATATACTTATCAATATATATTTTAAAATTAATCAAAAAAATTGTATAAACTTCCTTCCATCAGAATTCCAAGTGTAACAAGTAGACACAGTCTCCTTTGCTTTTCCATTGCTGCTTGGCCGGATGCATTGACCAAGGCTATTTAAGGATGCCATGCTCTGATGCGTGGCGCAGTTAAGACCCGAGCCTGACAGCGTAAAGGTCCTCGCCGAGGTGCACCAAGGTACGACATGGGACTGCATCTTTGCTCCGCCAAGCAATCTGCAATCTCATAAAAGGAAAATACAATCCCAGCACCACCCACCTGGCACCGACTTACACACTCCTTTTTTTCCAAATTGGTTAGCGTGTTGAAACTAATTCTCATGCATTTTTTCGCTTTTCTCGCATTTGCAGATATTTCCACACACGAGCAGACAGCCAGAGCCAAAGGATTGGATATTGGAGACGGGGACACGGACGCTGAAATCGCAGCTCTAATAGAGCAGAGGCCAACACGTTCGGTGTATAATATTTGAAATCAAAGCGTTAGGGTCCAACCATGACGACGCTGCACGTGAATCAGAAGCTCAACATGCGCACAACGGCTGTCAAAATGAAAAGGACACGGCATTCAGCATCCTGTCCTTCCCGGAGTGCTCGTCTTCGACTCCGTCTAAGCTACAGCCACTGCTGCCACAACATTCACAGTCACAGTCACAATTTCAATCGAAATCCAAGTCCAAATCCAAAACCAAGTCACAGTTCGATTCCCATGGCCGGAAAGTGTCACAAACAACCGGAAACTGGCCGGGCCAATTGATGCTGAGGACATCAAGAGCAAGGCCAAGGAGTCAGCTGACACAAACTAAGATAATTCAATCGCGTTTTCTACATATTTACGGTTTACTTTGCCTCGGTTCCTTGATGGGTTGCATTAGAACTATTTGCGCTTCAATTGTGCAGCAAACGGTTGCGGAAGCGGATGGAGCAGATAAAGAGCGGGAAGCGGAACCGGAAACGGGCGCAGGAGCAGGATCAAGAGGAGCAGAAGCTAAAAGGAGAGCGGAAACAAAAGCGGATGCGGAAGCGGATGCCCGCATCATGGCAACGGGAATTTGCATTATAAGACTGATAACATTAAAGAGATTTCTAGAGATTTCCACAACCGACGAACACAATCAAAGGCGCCAGCAATCAGCAACGTCAGCTGGAGTCACCAGCCCACGGAGTAGGAGGAGACATCCCCATCCACACCCGGGACATCCCGGACATACAGCCAACCATCATGCAGCAGGACACCCAGGACACCCGGAGGCGTGCTGGCGCCACCAGCTGACGCCGAGCACACTGCTAATGCTCCTGCTGCTCACCAGCCTGTGGCCAGATTGCTGCGACTGCCTCCATGGTGGCAGTAACACCGTCAAGACCAAGTACGGTCTGCTGCGGGGGATTGTGGTGCGCTCGTCGCCGTTGGTGGAGGCATTCCTGGGCATTCCCTACGCCTCGCCGCCGGTGGGCAGTCTCAGGTGAGTAAAGTCGTGCGGTGTTGCACAAGATTATGCTATCCGGGGGGTCGTGGGTTGATGAAAGAAATAGTCAAGTGGAGATGACAGCGTGAAACCACTAACCATACAGCATATAGACAACCCATTTCATACAACGAAAATGGACGCGAAAATTTCTTGCGACAGGCCCCAGCAGGCCCCAGAGCGGATTTCTTACGCTCTCTTACGCTCATCGTTCGTTCATCTTACGCTCATTCTCGCAATAAATGTTTTCTGTTTCTCAGTCTCTAAACGGAGCGCGATGAAGAAGGTTGGCCTGCGCTTCGGTTGATCTTTGTATGTATGCGTGTCACACATTCACATACATGGGTGTATGTGTGCGTGCGATTTCGTTTCGAAGCCAGCGCACAAAATTTTGATTTTTCTTACTTTTAAGGCTTGCTACCCTAACAAAATTCGGGTATTCGTTATTTGATGAAATGACGAAAGAAATTATATTATTTTTATTTTATTTTTTTTATTATTTCAGCATACATTTTTAATTTATTTAGGAATAAGATTAAGTGTTAGTAGTAAAATGTTTTCTGTATATATATTTTTACGAATCATTAAAAATCAATATACTGAGAAAGTGTCAGAGTATATTTCGGTCGGAGTCACTTAAAGCGCCGATTGCTTTTAAGTTTTTGTTGTTCTGCAAGAGGCTTGTGCATGCCTACTCTAACGATGGAATGATTTTTAGGGGAGGGTGAAGACGGGTGAAGAATTAAATTACTTTTTAAAGTTATTATATATAAGGAAATATATATAAGGAAATTATTAAATTAACGACAATAATTTAATTAAATCTCACAATAACCCAAAATATAATAACAAGTGCCTGAAAAATTGTAAACAAAAAAGGTAAACAAGTCCATCAGCTGTTTTCGTGTCTTCACCCTCCCCTAAAAATCATTCCATCGTTAGAGTAGGCATGCACAAGCCTCTTGCAGAACAACAAAAACTTAAAAGCAAACGGCGCTTTAAGTGACTCCGACCGAAATATACTCTGACACTTTCTCAGTATATTGATTTTTAATGATTCGTAAAAATATATATACAGAAAACATTTTACTACTAACACTTAATCTTATTCCTAAATAAATTAAAAATGTATGCTGAAATAATAAAAAAATATAATATACAAAATAATATAATTTCTTTCGTCATTTCATCAAATAACGAATACCCGAATTTTGTTAGGGTAGCAAGCCTTAAAAGTAAGAAAAATCAAAATTTTGTGCGCTGGCTTCGAAACGAAATCGCACGCACACATACACCCATGTATGTGAATGTGTGACACGCATACATACAAAGATCAACCGAAGCGCAGGCCAACCTTCTTCATCGCGCTCCGTTTAGAGACTGAGAAACAGAAAACATTTAATGCGAGAATGAGCGTAAGATGAACGAACGATGAGCGTAAGAGAGCGTAAGAAATCCGCTCTGGGGCCTGCTGGGGCCTGTAGCAAGAAATTTTCGCGTCCATTTTCGTTGTATGAAATGGGTTGTCTATATGCTGTATGGTTAGTGGTGAAACGCACCGTGAGAGAGTCTGTAACATACATACATGATTTTTTAAAGAAAATTTAAAGAATAAGTATCGTAAAGGAAGTAAAAAACTGGTAGTATTCAAGGTTGAGTTATCCCCTAAACCAAACAGCTTCTTTGAAATGGAGATTCTTATTTTTATTTTAGATATTTTAAATTTAAAGCCTTTTCCTTATTTTCCGCCTTTGCATATATAATTCTTTTCAATATAAAGAAAGACCTCGTGACACGCTCTCATCTCCACCAAAGAGATATCACAATCAGGACGCCACATGGGGGTCGTCTCAGGCTGAAAGGCTGGGCTCTTTTGGCCAACTTTTTTTCGCACTGCGCCCCTGCGCAACTTTATCCAAAGCAATTTTAATAATTATTCTCATGAAATATGTGTGTGGATGGTGTTGGGCACGGCAGTACGGCAGTAGGGCCGTAGTATGTTCCTAAAGTCCGGAATCCGGAACCCGGAGCCCTTAGTCCGTAGTCTGTTGTCGAGACCACCCACATTCGCGTTTGCCTGAAAGTGAGAAGTTTACGGACCTCTCGGCCCCGGAAATCCCAAAGCATTGTTTGAGGATTTAAAGTTCCGCAGGGACGAGAAGAGAGTCGCTCGTAATGAAGCCAAAGTGCTACTTCGAATTAATCCGCAACTTTGCTCTGTATACCTAACAATTAAAAAACTTTCTTCCGGGAGTTAGTTTTTTTTTGTGGCAAAGGGAGGGTAAAGTGGAGGTTGCGATTTTAAAAACAGTAAACTTCCGCGAGTGTTTCTCTCGAGGAATCAACGAAGCCATTCCACACCCAATTAATAACAAAACAGTTGACGTTAGAGTCCGGATGGTGGAGAGTTAAGAGTGTAAGGACTGTCAGGCGCCAGGAACCTGGCAAATCAAGGACCTCTGAGCCACAAAAGTTCGATAAGCCATTTCAGGAGCTGGTGGTATTGAACGACAAGCGAGCGAGCGAACGAGCGACCGAGAATGGAAAACTGAGCCCTCGAGCGAAGTTTTGTGGGATATTACAAAAGTTTTCCGTTACTCGGGAAAGGACTTTCACACACTTTCTCTCTCTCACTCTATCTGACTAACAGAACAATACACATACACAAGCAGACAGCTTGAAGGCTCGAAGGAGTAAAAGCTTTGTGTGACATGCATGAACAACAAGTGTGTTTGATGAAGCGATTGGATGAAGTACTTAAAGGGTCCTTCAACAGCCATCCAACCACCTCCATTTGGCAGGAGCGTACTGAGCACCGACAACCGAGCGTTCAACACAATGTTGTTTGCTTAGCCACAATTCATGAAAATTGTTCTTTAATTACTTCCTGTGGTAAAAGTGTGACGCCTGCCAAAACAGCCTAACAGCCGAACACAGGCGAGTGAATGAAGTCGTTTATGATTGTGGTTCATTATCATGCAGCAACAGATGTCGAAAATCGGCACAAAGAAGTTAATCAAATGCCGGGCGAGAGACCTTATGAAAATTTTCCTCCTTATGCCTGCAAAGCCTGCAGCCGTGTAGATAAGACTTGTAGGGATTTGTGATACGGTCTCGGGCATGGCATGCCAAAGGTAATTAATCAATCGCATCTGTCGCCTTTATTTCTAATCAAAAATTCACCAAATATACGTTATTTCGTGGGAATTCCACAAAACTGCGAGAAAATTCCATAGAAAATCGAATTCTATTGAAAGCTTTTAATAATTTATAGTGTTATTTATATGTTATATGTGGATCTAAGCTTGTTACTGCATATATTCATGTTTTCAGATGCAAAAACATACTATTTCGGGGCAATGCCTGGGAAAAATTCAAAATTCCGTGTACGCGAAACAAAAATAAAATAGCGAATAAAACGCTAGCTGTTAACACTCGAAAAAGTTTGAAACAAAAATTGTTATATTCGTTTATAAATAGTTTATAGCCTAACTTTTTCCCAGGGCTTTATGTCGAAAAAGAATTAATTTTCGCAAGCGAACATGTCGAACGGGTTTTTAGGCAAGATGGGTGGGTATGGTATGGTACCGAATGAGGCACATGGGGCATAAGGGGATGTGGGAATGTGGTAAGTTGCCAAAAACTGTACCAAAACCCATGAACGTGAAATGCACACGAACCAAGTCACGTATAACTGAAAAATTATGCCCGCCGCAAAGCGCGAGCTTTTTGTTTATGCGGTCCATTGTTTGCCTTTAGCCCGGATGGCTAAATGGAAAGGAGAAACTTGGCAGGGGTCGGAAGGTGGCGGCAAGCCACAAAGGAGCAAAAAACAATCAAAACGTTTCGCGTCAATTATCGTGTCATAAAATCAACATAGCCAAAGCGGCAGTGGCAGTCAAGCAGCCATATTTATCGCTGATGCCTGTCTCTTCTGGCTCATCCAATCCACCGACATGATCGATGGATTTCAACGCAAAACAATAAAATGCACAATTAATCAAAAGCAGTTTTGCAATTTTGATTGATGGGCGGTACTTAGTTTCTGTGTTTTACGAGCCCAGAGAATCCTTTTCCTCTTAAATCGCTACCAACTTGCACGCCACCCACGGCCCAATAACCCGATATCCCTCAATGGCCCAACAGTCCAACAGCCCACTAGGTCAACAGGCCCACTATACGTATACGTGATGCGATAGTTTGGTGGTGCCCATGTGGCCGAAATGGTTTATTTACTTATCGGAAACGTATATCGCTCACCATTTTTTTTTTTCATCCCCAGATTTATGCCCCCCATAACGCCCTCTACGTGGAAAACGGTTCGCAGCGCGGATCGATTCTCGCCCGTCTGTCCGCAGAACATCCCAATACCGCCCAACGGGCCGGAGGCGTTGCTCGAGGTGCCGCGCGCCCGCCTCGCCCAGCTGCGGCGCCTGTTGCCGCTGCTCAAGAACCAATCGGAAGACTGCTTATACCTAAATATCTATGTGCCCTACGAGACGCGCCGCCAAAGACGTAAGTATTTATGTTATTAGGAGATACCACTATGTTTCTTCAAAATATCATATATTTGGTTTCGAGACTTTCAATTCCGTAGTGCATTGCAGTGTTTTTAAAGTTCTACTGCAAGCTCTGCGGACTTGGCAGATTTGAAAACTATCAGCAACTGTTAATAAAAGGATTTTTAAAATATCTGATTAATCTTCAGACTAATCGTTTTGCCTAATAATTTTATAATTAATCTTAATCTGCTAGGCAACATCGATGATACTAACGGCGAACCGAAAACCAAACTGTCCACTGTGGTATTCATACACGGCGAATCCTACGACTGGAACTCAGGGAACCCCTACGACGGCTCCGAGCTGGCCGCCCACGGCAATGTCATCGTCGTGACAATCAATTTCCGTCTTGGAATCTTCGGATTCCTCAAGACCGGCGGCAAGGAGAGTGCCCAAGGTAACTTTGGGCTAATGGATCTGGTGGCGGGCCTGCACTGGCTCAAGGAGAACCTTCCGGCCTTTGGCGGAGATCCGCAGAGCATCACACTTCTGGGCTATGGCACTGGCGCTGTTTTGGCCAATATACTGGTGGTGTCACCCGTGGCGAGTGGTAAGATCCTACCTTCCCTCCTTTGAGGAATTTTTTATTATGAAATCTTGTTTCTTTCATTCAGATTTAATTCAACGCACGGTTCTGGTGAGTGGATCGGCCCTGTCGCCGTGGGCGATTCAAAAGAATCCACTTTTTGTGAAGCGGCGCGTGGCGGAGCAGACGGGCTGCCATGGCGATATGTTGTATGATGACTTGGCCCCCTGCCTGAGGACGAAGAGTGTGGCCGAGTTGCTGGCGGTTAAGGTTGACCACCCAAGGTAAGTGTGTTTTATTTATAAATTAGAAACAATAGGGCACAAATATTTTATTCTTGAGAGTATGTTAAAGAGGAGGATTGTTGTCTGTCGGACTGCCATGTTTGCCCAAAAAAGTAGGCAACACAAATTTCTTTCTTAGCTTGACTAAGCGATGATGCTACTTTTAAAAATCTTTCCCTTTATTATTTTTGAAATTTTATGCAGAACCTTTTAATATTATTTATCAGGCAACTAATTATTTAAATCTCGTTTAAAAAGGGTGTTATTCAGGTTGTATTTCATTTTAAAATTTAATCAATTAAAAGCGTGAAGAAATATGAATAATAAAATCGGGTAACATAATAGATTTTGATATCATACTGTCAGCTTGCAAACTAAACTAATTACCGCAATTTAAATGGCTATTTTTAAACAACAAACACCCCATTTTAAGCAGTGTCGGTGTTCTGCATTGTTTGCTAATGGCCTGATTAATATTAGAACCATAAACATCAAACAATTATGGAATATAGAGAAGTGATTTAATGAGTTGAGAGATAACAAATTGTTATTTAATCTCTTTATATTTTCAACCGCAGATTCCTGGTGGGTTTCGCTCCATTTGTGGACGGAACTGTCATATCGCCCGGCGCCAATCCCCTGGGCAGCACCACGCTGCCCCTGGGTTCAGCTATTGTTAGGTAAGTTAGACAAAATAACCGAAAGTCTGATTGCCATCATTGGATGTCCTTTGAATTGTAGTACTTCAGGAATTGAATATGCAAACTTTCCGAAACGAGACCTCATTTTCTGCCTTACATCTGTGGAGTCCTATTTGGATTTGAGTGCCCAGGACTTGGAGTTTGGCTTCAACGAAACGCGACGGGATCGCATCCTGCGTACTTTTGTGCGCAACAATTTCCACTATCATCTCAATGAAATATTTGCCGTCTTAAAGGTAAGGATAGTTATTCAAAATAATGTTATTTAAAATAGTTTCCAATCCAAAGGCCAATACTGGACCTTATTGCATATTTTATTCCGTTTCTTCAATATTTAAACATCAATGTTTCAGAATGAGTACACCGACTGGGAAAAAGCCATACGTAATCCCTTGAGCTCCCGCGATGCCACATTGCAGTTTCTGAGCGACGGACACACGGCTTCCCCTCTGATTAAATTGGGCTACATGCACAGCTTGCGCGGAGGACGAACCTACTTCCTGCACTTTAAACACAAAACCATTGAGGAGGAATACCCACAGGTGGGTGTGCATTACAAATTCCAAAGGACTTAATTGAAACCATTCTTTGGTAAACTTTAGAGAACCGGCTCTGTGCGAGGTGAGGATGTGCCTTTCTGGTTGGGTCTGCCCATGTCCCCGCTGTTCCCCCATAACTACACCACCCAGGAGCGACAAATTGGACGACTTATGCTACGATATCTATCCAACTTTGCCAAGACTGGGTGAGCTCTGTTGAACCATTTTGATTATTCCATTTTATGACTATGATTTCCATCCGTTTAGTAATCCCAACCAATCCACTGTAAGGCCGACTTTGGCCATTCCAAGCGAGGAATTAGATAACTCCCTGCACCAGCAGAAGAAACGCTCTACCGGTCTAACCCATCCCAACCTCAGTGAAGCCCTGAACCTGGCAGTCCTCTACAACCAGCGTCGGAGCAATGCCATGCATGAAAGGAGATCCTATATCCGGCGAAGACTGCGGAGCAACGATGCTTCCTTCACCCAGCTGGGCATCTCAAGCGAAAGGGATGTGGGCAGCTACGATGGCGATGAGCTTCCCTTTTGGGATGCCTACGATGTTGTTAACCAATTATACGTGGAACTGGGTAATAAATAAAGTTAGTAATATTAAGAAAATAATGGTTCATTAATGGATTGTTTTTAGGAAACAAGGCCAATATTCAGAGTCATTACCGGGGTCATAAGCTGTCCATGTGGCTGAACCTCATCCCTCAGTTACATCGCCACTTCAACATCAATGACCAGTCCATGAGGCATCATCAGTTCCAGGACGACATGAACAACAGGGATCTCTACGAAGGTATTTGTTAGAGACTTATTTTATTTATAAAAGTTTAGTAAAATCGAATCATTTTCAGGTGTTGTCCGTCCGCAACTTCAAACAAAACCGGCTGAAGATGAGCACATCATCATCACGCAAAGGAGTAGGACATCAACAACAGCTCCACCACCTCCTAAGGACACCGCTTCTAACGCCACTCAGACCCTAAATCCTTCGGCCACCGGAGCCACCACTACCACAACTGGTAAGCTCAAGTTTTGAGAGACTAATTCTGATACCTAACACCTTCCTAATCTTCTCCAGATTGCAACATCGATGGGGCCATGTCCGTGTCCGAATTAACAACCACCCAATCGCCGAAGGACAATCAGACTGGGCATGTTCGGGTGGAAACTCAAAAAGATCTGGCCACTGCATCCACGGGGATAATTGGCAACCTGGAGCTGCTGAGACGCCTGGGGGGCAAACAGTTCCAGAGCTATACGACCGCACTAATAGCCACCGTAGCCGTGGGCTGTTTCCTGCTCATCCTCAACGTTCTGATATTTGCCGGCATATACCATCAGCGCGAGAAGCGGGCCAGAGATGCCAAGACCAAGGAGGAACTGCAGGAGAGCGACACCAGCAAAAACTCCAGCATGTTGAAGCTGAATGCTTTGATCAGTGGTGGCGGCGGAGGAGGCCATGGAGCCGGGGACATGGCAGATGCCTACACGCTCAGTGGCTCGATAGTGGACAGTAAGGGTGGCGTGGGAGTGGTTTTCGGGGAGTACAGCTGCTACGATGAGAAAACTAAGCAGCTAAAGGAAGAGAAGCTGTTGGTGGAGCTTCCTCCAGCTTCCTCTTCGGGCCAGACATCCCTCATGATGGACTCTTGGGGACCTTGCTCCTCGAGCACATTAGATCTGTTGAAGAACAAGCCAGGGGATCCCATCGAGCTGGTCACCTACAACACTCTGCCCACGGTGATGGAGTCCACATCAGCACTAAGCAGCAAGCGGGGATCTTTTGTGGATGCCACACTGCAGTTCAACTGTCCCCAGCAATTTGATTATGCGGTTCAGTCCTCGGATCAGATGTCCTTCAAGGCGATAGAAGAGGCCGTCAAAGCGGCAGCTGTAAATGATTCGGAGATCACCCGAGATGATGATATTCCCGAACCGCCGCCACCGCCAAGGTCCTTTATTGCCGCCCAGCAACAGCAGCAGACGGGCATCCTGCGGCAAACAGGAGCGGCGGGCAGCTCGAATACGGGATCGGGGAATAGCAGCGGCAAAAAACGTGTACATATTCAGGAAATCTCAGTCTAGCAAGCATAGCCCATCTAGTAGCCTTATTTAATGTCTCCTTCTGCTCAGTTACTCTGCCGATCTTTGCCAACTAGGATTGGCCACACACGCCATTCTGAGAGGAATCTCCCATGGAAACTACTCGGTTTCACACAAAATAGTTTATGTTTTTAAGATAAAACTAAAATGTCTTTTGGATTCGAAACAAACTACAACGTGTGGTGACCTATTCGAGTTTGCGAAACTCGGCTTCTTTTATTTTTCTCAATTGATTCGTATTTTCATTCCCACTGCCTTCAACTTCTATTCTATTCAAAAAATTCTTTCAAAAATAAGTTACTAATTTTTCAGACCTAAATGCCCAAAATAGTACGTATTATGTATGTTTGTACATTATGTAAATGTTCCTTGTAGACGTGAATGCGATGATATTATGTAGGAATCATTTTTCAAATGTTATTATTGTGTGTATAGTTTATGTTCCTTTTTGATGTACGATTAGGATCTCATAATATTGTATTTGCTTGTTATTTAATAATTAGCGAAATCAAAAGAATATGTAACAAGCTTTTAAAAATTTATAAAAGAAAAAAGAAAAAGGAAATACTATAACTATGATACACTTATTGTATTTAATGTATTGTAAAATATTGACTCTATTTGTATGAAATACATATGTATTAAAAAGTATTTCAGAGGGGAATCAGTGTTCTAATGGCGGGTCTGGGTCTGGATATTATTTGTTAATTTGTACTACATACAGAAATTTAAAAAACAAATATTTTTTTTACACTGGCTCGTCTTTTATTTCTTTCTTTACTTTTTTCGTTTTTTTCTTCTCCTTCTCGCCATTTTCAGTTTTTTTACGTTTCCCCGAGGATTTCTTTTTGGTCTTTTCCTTCTCCTCCTCCTTTGGCAATAGATCTGGCTCCTGCTTTAATACTTCCAGCAGGCCGTCCAACATCTCCTCGTCGTTCTCCTCCTTCACATCTATTACCTCCGGCGGGGGACTGCCAAACTTGGTCGATCGGTTCTGTTTCTGAAACAATACATATATGTACATATATTAAGATATTCTTTGGATTCTTTGAAGGAAAACACACCTGAGCTCCTTCACCCTCCTCCGTTATAAGTTCTCCCTCGATATAGGGCATCACATTGCTTATGTCAAAGTTCTTAATGCGAAACTTAATCTCCTGGTCCATGGTAATGCCTTCCCGACACTCCCTTTTGTTTGTGAAGCGGATGGTGGTGTTGAAGACGCGATAGATAACGACACTGATCTGGTGCTTCGAAATGAGTCGCACTACTCCGTCCAGGATGGCTCCCGTAACGGGTCGGAAGACGTAGAAGTCGGCATTAATGAGCAGGTGCATGGTAGGGTCGTCTGCCCGCAGGGACGCTGTGTGACCTAGCATCTTAATGTTCTTGATACCCAGACAAATGCCGTCAAGCCTGGTATCGTAGATTCCCACCTTGGTGCGGATGAGGAGTTCGTAGAGCGCTTGCTTGAAACTGTCCATCCCATACGGGCCCATTGCTAGGTGCATGTCTGTGTTGATGCATCGTACGCAAGATCCTGGGTTGGCGGCATAGTTCTCCAGCTCCTTCGTCGAAAATTTTATATATTTCTGTAATATTTTGGCCATTCCGTTCAGGTAAAATAGTTCTTCAAATGTAACACATGGGTTTGTAGATAGCGATCTGGCAGCCCTCAAGCGATGCCACACTTTTTCGTGATTTTTAAATACTTCAAAAATTGTTTTGAAATGAATGAAGTGCAAAACGTTGGTACATTTTAACATTTTATTTTTATTTTATATGAGTTGTATCAGTATTTTAAATGTTTGAACAAGTAACATTATTAAACTAATACTAATAATAACACAAAGTTAAATAAACTCTAGTTGTTTTAGATTGAACTTAATGCAATAAAATAATCTTCTGCTGAGGTTATTGTTAAAAGAACAAACAAACAATATTATAAAATATTATGAATTATATATTTTCAAGCTATTTTTTATAAAATCAGCCTTTTAAAAGCTAATTTTAATTTCGGCGGACTGGCAACGCCGTTAATGTAAGCATGCTGGTATAGAATCGAAGAAAAAGTAAAAACTAGCAATTGACTCCCGACTCCAAAGACAAGATACTTTTTTGTAATCAAAATGGGAGTACCAGCATTCTTTCGGTGGCTTAGCCGAAAGTATCCGAGCGTGATTATCGAGTGCCACGAAAACAAGCAGGTGGACCCGGACACCGGCCGCAATATTTACGAGGACGCCACCCTTCCGAATCCAAATGGGATAGAATTTGACAACTTATACCTGGATATGAACGGTATTATACATCCGTGTACGCATCCGGAGGACAAGCCGGCACCCAAGAACGAGGACGAGATGATGGTAGCTATCTTCGATTGCATCGATCGCCTTTTTGGCATTGTCCGTCCCAGGAAGCTCCTCTACATGGCCATCGACGGTGTGGCGCCTCGGGCCAAGATGAACCAGCAGCGTTCACGTCGCTTCCGTGCTGCCAAGGAAACTACTGAAAAGAGGTTGGAGATTGCCCGATTGCGGGAGGAGCTACTGAGCCGTGGCTGCAAGTTGCCGCCCGAGAAGGAAAAGGGTGAGCACTTTGACTCCAACTGCATTACGCCCGGCACACCATTCATGGACCGGCTTAGCAAGTGCCTTCACTACTATGTGCACGACCGGTTGAACAACAACCCGGCCTGGAAGGGGGTCAAGGTGATTCTTTCGGATGCGAACGTGCCCGGCGAGGGTGAGCACAAGATCATGGACTACATAAGGAAGCAGCGTGCCCAGCCGGACCACGATCCCAACACTCAACATGTGCTGTGCGGAGCTGATGCTGATCTCATCATGCTGGGGCTGGCTACCCACGAGCCCAACTTCACCATTATCCGGGAGGAGTTCCTTCCGAATAAGCCCCGTCCCTGTGACATCTGCAACCAGTTCGGGCACGAAATGGAGAAATGCAACGGACTAGGAGCCACTACTGGAACGAATTTCAAGCCGGATGTCCCTATTGGCGCCGAGGTCAGGTTCATCTTTGTGCGACTGAGCGTGCTGAGGGAGTACCTGAAGCAGACGCTTGTGATGCCGAACTTGCCGTTCGATTACAGTTTCGAGCGTGCTCTGGACGATTGGGTATTCATGTGCTTCTTTGTGGGTAACGACTTTTTGCCCCATCTGCCCAGTCTGGAAATCCGGGAAGGGGCCGTCGACCGCTTAGTTGAGCTTTACAAGAAGTGCGTCTACAAGACAAGGGGCTACCTAACCGACTCTGGCGATGTCAATCTGGACCGCGTACAGCTGATTATGACGGATTTGGGCAACGCCGAAGATCAGATTTTCAAGAACCGACAGCGGCGCGAGCAGCAGTTTAAGGCCAGGGACAAGGCACGTCGTCGTCAGGAGAGGAACCAGGACCACCGGTCCTTGGATCAATCGGTTTTCGGGGCCAATGCCGTTGGACCAAACAACCAGCCGGGAAACATTGGAAACTATAAAGAAGCAGCTGCTGAGCTCCGTCTCGGAAAGCGAACGGGAGAGGTGGCGGGAATGGACGACGAAGAGGAGGAAGACAATGATGAAGTCAGACTATGGGAGGACGGGTTCAAGGACCGCTACTATGAGTCGAAGTTTGATGTGGCACCGGGAAATCTGCATTTCCGCTACGCCGTAGCCCTGCAGTATGTCAGAGGTCTGTGCTGGGTGCTGAAGTACTACTACCAGGGATGCGCTTCCTGGAACTGGTACTTCCCGTATCACTATGCTCCTTTTGCATCTGATTTCGTCAATATCCAGGGACTGTCTACCCTTTTTGAAAAGGGCACCAAGCCGTTTAATCCATTGGAGCAGCTGATGGGCGTCTTTCCGGCTGCCAGCAGCTCTCATGTGCCCGAGCCGTGGGCAGACCTGATGTCCAACCCGGACTCTCCAATTATCGATTTTTATCCAGAGGACTTCAAGATCGACTTGAACGGAAAGAAGTTCGCCTGGCAGGGAGTGGCCTTGTTGCCGTTTGTGGACGAGAAGCGGCTCTTCAAGGCCCTGGTGCCGTACTACGATCAACTGACGAGCGAGGAGGTGAAGCGCAACAAGCGGGGCGACAACTTCTTGTACATTTCAAAATCCAGTCCGCATTTTAAGAAGGTGAAGCGTATAGCTAATCTAGAGAAGACTGACGACGAAGATGAGTGCAAAGCCATCTCTTTCAATGGGATGCGGGGAACGCTGTCAAAGTCAGACCTTAACACTGCCATCAGTGGGTGCCTTCGGTCACCGATTGCCGGTCTTCCGGACATCTCAGATAACCAAATTGTAACCACTCTGTTCAAGGATCCAGAGTACGATGAAGATTATATATTTGAGGCGAAGCGTCTGCCAAAAGCTGTGGATCCACCACAAGTACTCGCAGGAGAAGAGGGCCAGAAGCATGGTCCGGTCATCGGTTTTAATAGTCACTCAAATAGAGCTTATATTCCAGACAGTGGACACCGCATGGTGAACGCCGGAATGCGTAATCAAGGCGGCGGCGGCGGCGGGGTGGATACCAGGGTGGCGGTGGCGGCTACAACCAAGGACAAGGCTATCAGAATAATAGCCGCAATTATAATTATAATTACAACAATAACTACAATCCCCAGCAAGGTGGCAGCCAGCAGAATTATCAGGGTAACTATCAGAACCGCAACCAGCAGTACGGCCAGAACCAGAGATACCAGCAGGACAACAACATGAATCCACAGCGCAACTACAACAACTACAATAATAATGGCAGGACAAACAACTATCAGCAGCAACAGGGCGGTAACCGGCAGCAATACCAGAACTACCGACGATTTTAAGAAAACTAATATACACTGAGAATTATTTTGATCTTATTTTGATCGATTATGCACACATATACAATAATTTTAATAAAATAGAGAGAGGAGCAGTGCAAGAGACTCTATGGGAAACAGATTTTTAATTCTAGATATAAACTAGATCAAGAGACTAACTAGACTCTCTTGATGTTGTCTCAAGACATTAAGATCTTGTCTGAAAGGGCTTTTATTTAGAGAAGAGCCTCTTTACCTCTTTTTAACTCTACCTATTTTTTTTTAATAATGCTTATTTCTTTTTTTTATAGAGTCCCAATTAAACAAAAACAAAAGCTACAACATTTGGATAATCATTCGCTGTATTTAACGAATGGAATGTTACATATTTCCACTTTCAAGTAACACAATAAATAGTTTAATTTCGAAAACAATACTTCTTTATATCTACGATAACCTTAAATGCTATTAGTGGTTTTTATCTTAAAATAAGAGAGTACTTTCTCTACGAAGAATGGGGGTGGGTGAGGTTTCACTGAGCTGGAAAAAATATATAAATTATATTAAAGAGCTTCTAAATATTCGGGCTTGGACACAGTGGATATTAAAGGTTGCGATAGTGAGATATAGAGAACTTGAAACTATACACCCAATTTAATGATAGGCTTAATTTTAACACAATGTTGTTGTGAGCTTAGTTCACTTTCGAATCGGAAGAGGTTGCCTATTGTTTGCGCATAAGCGAGCGTATCAGATATTGGTGATAACATTCTTGTTGCGATCGGCCAGGTTGTCGAAGTTTCCATGTGAGAAGGGCGTTCGCATGCGTCTGGTGAAGGAGCGGAGACATCGCTGGCCATCCAGGCTGTCTGGATTATTGTTAACCGCAAGGATATTAACTGAAATAGGGAGATTCAACACTATAGATTTATTTTATTTAATTTGTAGAGTAACTTACCCCTTTGTTCAAGTAATTTGATTTGTTTTTTGGCCTCCCTGAGCTTATTCATCAGAATCTCGTTCTTCCGCTTCTCTACGGTCAGCTCCAGGCCGAGCTGCAGCTTGCTCTTGGAGTCAACGGCGCTCAAAATTCTACAAAAATATCAAATTGCCGATTATGGAACCAAACTATAGTTGGGAAACTTACGGATGACTGAATATGGACTGCGATGTTGGCCTTTTCTCTGGATCCGGATGCATCATCTGGGCTATTAGTTCATTGAAATCCCGGCTTAAGCTGGGCAGAATGGGCACCTCGCCATTCCGCAGCTTGTGCCATTCCGGACCATTCTTCGGCAGCGGACCACCGCCGGCCACCTCAAAGAGCGTGATGCCAAGCGAAAAGATATCCGCCTTGAAGAGATTCGAGTAGTCCTCCTGCAGTATCTCCTTGGGCAAGTATCGACAGTCGCCCTCCTCGACGTACGGCTCCTTAACTGATGTCACATGGCCGAGGTCACCGATCTTGTACGTGACCAAGTTCTCTGAATGTCGCAGCTCCTCGTAAACGCTATCCATGCCATCGTCATCTTTGTTCTGCTGCGAATGCTCTTCGACATGCTTGTAGGCGTTGGGATTCTTTGTCGAGAAGATGTTCTCCGGCTTGAGGTCCATGTGCACCAGGTCATTGGAGTGGATGTAGCGCAGGCCTTCGATAACATGCATCAGCACAATCTTTAGTTCGGCTTCCCCCAAGCAGTGGTCTTGAATGCGTGCATGCAAGCTGCCACCATCGCAGAACTCATTCTGTATCAGCATATGGTCATCCTCCGCCCAGGCTGAGTAGTATCTAACTACGTTATCGTGTTTCCCCAATACGGCATGGGCCCAAACCTCGTTAAGGGCTCTTTTCCTGAAAGATGAACCACAATATTGTAGTCTTTGAAAAGAGAACAGTCTACAAAACTTACTCGAAGGAGCTGCCTGCCACCGGCTTCTTGCTTTTCTTGATCGCATAGATGCAGCCGTCCAGCCGGTTAACACATTGGAACACCACACCGAATTCCCCCACTCCGATCACGCTGACCTGCATGAACTCACGCTTGAACCGACTGATATTGGTGTCGTGCAGCGCCAGTCGCTTCGGCGCCTGCTGATGGATCTCCCGGGAGTCGCCGGCCTCCTCTGCGGCCTCGTCGTCCCAGGTGTCGCTGAGCAAGTACTTCTGCATGGCACTCACGTTCAGGTTGACGTTCTCTCGTCCGAACTGAGTGCGGCACCGCTTCTTGTTGTGAGCCAAGAGACCTGAAAATAAGAAATTCCGTGAGGATCATCCTGACCATCTGGTGATAATGCAACTTACTGTCTGGGGTGAAGGGATTAACATTGGCCGTGTCCTGGGCGGGAATGTTGCGGTTGTGCAGCGGCAAGGATCGTGGGCGCTCCGCCAGGCGGTAGGGCTCCTCACTGCGTCGGGATGCATTCATGGCAGCTGCGACTGCCGATAGATGGTTGCTGCACTGGGTGGTGGACTTTTGGAGGATCGTTTTCGGAGTGGCGGGGGTGCTGAAGAGGCGTAGAGCCCGCACCTTTTGGCACGGTGGCGACATGGAAACATCTCCATTCCCACTAGTGGTACTACTGGCTCCCTGCTCTATGGACATCTTTTTCTTTGGTTGGTTCGGCAGCGGACTGGCCCCCTCTGGCGTGTCCTTGTCAAAATCATCGTCGGCGAAGCGAAGCTTTCGCGGATTGAAGGGCTGCGGCGATGGAGACCGCGATCGCAGCTCGACGCTAGAATCCAGCGAAGTGACGCTCATCTCGTGTTCCGACTGGCGGAATGCCATGGTAGCTACTTAGCCAGGATACCCCGTAATTGACTTTTTCGGTTTTCAAGGCAATGTCTCACAAAAAAATAACTAACAAATTTGCAGCCAATGGTTAAAAAATGTAAAAAAACAAAACACAAAACAATATTGAACTAGAAGAATGTTGCAATTAGTGTGACCGTAGCTGGAGCGCCAAAAAAATGCCAAGATCACTTCCAAATGAGTACTAAAACGTAAGATATATAAATTCGCTTTTGTCAAAAAAAAACAGAAGCGTAAACTGAGACGTCTATTATAAAAATATAAACATAACAATATCATTGACTAACTCCAGTTGGTTCTCGAAAAATCTGTCAATTTATTAACGACGCAATTACGTAAGCCGGTGAACACATGAAAACTGTACTAAAAACGTAACATCATAGACGGCGTTACCAGATCAACTACTTATCGATCTTCAACGTGGTACTAAAATCAACCCCCGCCAGTATAATTCAAAATTCGTCTTTTTTTTGGCATTTAATTTATTGATTGAATAATTGTGTAGTGTTCAGCGCATTTGCTATATAATTGAAACACACATCCAAGAATCCATACATAGGTATTGTTTAATCCTTAACTAACACATCAATGTTTGAATAATTAATTATGCACTGTTCCAAGACTTAATTAATTAATGAAAATTTAAACACATCGTACAGAGTTGGAGTCGAATTATCAACTGTATTGAGATTTAATATGGGCGTTAAAGTTAAAAAAATGTTTTGAATTGACATTAAAATGGTCTTCGTCTCCTCCTTAGCATTCGAGTATAATTCCAGGGTTAGCGAATAATTTCAAAAGCAAATAAGTTTTTTTTTTAAAAAGCAAACATGACTAGATCGATACACTTTGCGTCTGCCGATCCGTTCTTTAAATCTCTTCCTCTGTCAGATGACGTTCGAAAGCTCTTCCTCAGAATGTGCTTCTTCTTGTTTTTTTTCTTTTGGAACAGAATAATACCCAAGTGCGTCTACTCGAGAGTTCCACTATAAATAAAATCCTTAACTAATATGGATCTGGACAACTAAACTTTAAACGGGATACTGAATGAAAAGTAGTTTTTTTTTGGGAAATCTATCTGTCTGTTGCTACATGTGTAAAGGATTGGGAATGCGGGAAGTCCAGTTGCCAGTCGCCCCATTTCTCTCCGGCATCAGAGGGGTTGCAGCTCAGGGCCGTTTATTTCGCCGTTCTGGCCTCGTCTGCATCCATCCGGTGTCGCTAGTCCCTGAACGGGGATCGTGAGGCGGACGAATCGGCACGGCGCCTGGGCGGCGAGCCACGACGCGCTGCCGGTGACGCCGAACGGGATCTGGATCTGGAGCGTGAGGGCCTCACGCGATCATCATCATCGTCGTCGTAGCGCCTCTTCGGCGGTGGCGGTGATTCCACAGCTCCGCTGCCTCCGTTGCGTTCATGGTCACTGTATCGGGTCGCCGAACCGTTCTCCTCGCGTCCATTTGATCGTCCCGAGCGACGGCCGACGGAGCCAGCAGAGCGACTGCGTGACCGGGTGCCGGACTTGGAGCGAGTGCGTCGACGACGGGATGTACTGCGAGATCTGCTCAGCGAGTTGCTTCTGAAAAGGACATGGAACAGGATGAGAATTTTGTATGTCTTTCATGCTTAGAGTACTTCCAACCCAATCCTTATTCCTACATTATAAAACATCTACGATTCATACAATTATATAGTTTTTATTCACAAGCCACATCACATACATATATCTAAACCTCTTAAGTGGTATCCCAGAACCCAGAAGATCCTCTCAATGCTTGCCTCCTTTCTTCTTGTAATGCTTATGACCGTGCTTCTTGGAGCCCTTCTCGCCGTGCTCCTTTTTGTCCTCGAAGCTGTCGCCATATTTCTCCTCCTTCTTATACTTCTTATGGTCCTCGTCGTGGTGGCCCTTCTTGTAGTGTCCGTGGTGCTTCTTGTGACCCTTCTTCTTGCCAGCCTCGTGCTTCTCGCCCTTCTTGGCTTCACCGTGCTCCTCGGCGTGATGATGGTGCTCCTTTCCGTACTTCTTGTGGTGGCCGCCCTTGTGCTCGTCATCGTAGAACTTCTTCTCCTTGAAGTACTCGTCCTTGTTGAACTTCTTGTGGTACTCTAGGTTCTTGTGCCCCTTCTTGTGTTTCTTTTTGTGATGATGCTTTCCCCCCTTCTTGTGTGATCCGTGCTCGTGCTTCTCTCCATGCTCGTGTTTCTCGCCATAGTTCTTCTTCTTCTTGGATCCCTTGTCGCCGTGATGGTGTTCATGATCCTCCAGTTCGTGATGTTTCTTTTCGTCCTCCTCCCATTCCTTGTGCTTCTTGTGTCCTTCCTCACCCTTGTGCTCCTCGTCGCCAAACTTCTTCTTCTCGAACTTGCTGCCGCCTTCTTCCTCTTCCTCGGAAGAGGACTCCTCCTTCTTTTTGGCTGCCGCGTAAGTTAGCAACAGTCCCAGGACCAGCAGCAGCTTCAGGTAACTGCCCATTTCGCATTGTCTTCTCTATCAACTGGCCACAGTTGGAGTGGCTACAGCTTTTATATTCCTCCGTGGACCACAAAATGCCTCGGGGGCATGATGCAAGCAAACCTCTGGGCCTGACGTAAAACCGATATGCTTCATTGGTCCACCTCACCGCAATAAATCGAACTCGTTGCAAGTGAGAAATTGGCCTCCAAATTGTGGCCAGCTTCTAAGTGAAGTAATAATTCTAGAAATAATATTTGTTTTACCTTCTACTTCCTGTTGTTTCGAAATTTTACATTTTATTTCTAATGTACAACAAAAACGTGACTTTTTTTTTAGATATATAATTATAAAAACCTATGTGTTACCGTAAGGTATTCTAATAACTAAGTTTAGACTTTACAACTAATGCCAGTCGGCAGCCAGAAATAATACTACTCCTGGTGCTTGGACTTCTTCTTTTTCTTGGCTGGTGTGGGCTCGTCAGCGGGCTCTGGCGCTGCTGCCTCTTCTGGAGCCTCCTCATCCTTCTGCTTCTTCTTTTTCTTCTTCTTCTTCTCCGACTTGATCTCAGCCTCCTCCTGCTCCTCCTCGGCAGGCTCCTCCTTGATCAGCTCCTTCTTGATGGGAGTCTGTTCGGACTCCGAGTGCTTACGCTTCTTAATGTTCAAGGTGTTATCCGCCTCGGGTTGGTACGTGAACACCTCACTAAAAGAAATATGAATGGATATGTTAGTAAGAGTATGTTATCGACTGGAAATTGGATACCAATGGATGGTCAACAATATTTCAGTCAGACAGCCAAGGTTTATCTTCATCGTAATCAGAGAATTGCGAAACCTTTTTGGTATCATCATTTGAAATATGTTTGAAAACCAAATGCATTGACTTTCGACACCCACCTCTTGGCCTGGTACTTCTCGAACTTCGCCTTGGCCTTGCCGGTGCCGGAAATCTTGCGCAGGTTTCCTTCCTCCAACAGCCGGAGGCGCGACTCCAGCTTCACCTTGTGCGCAGCTCCCAGCTCGAACGTGGCTTCCTCACCGAAGGCGTCCACTCTGGTGGCCAGCGATGCTTTGGCGGCAAGTGAACGCGACATTTTTCCCTTGTTTTTCTGGCTGGCCTGACCCACCAGCTGGGCGTGGTAGATAAGACCGTATTTCGGTGTGTCCTTCTTGGTCTTCAGGGCACGGAAGAGGGCCTTTTCGGCGCCCAGAATTTGTACCGTTGACGACGGATGCTTGGCCAGGTTAATAAGGGAACCCGCGTGGGCAATCAATCGTGCTCCCACTGTGTCGCCCACGAGGACGGTCAGATTGGGAGCCATGGCCATCATCCTGGCCTTGAGGTAGTCGTACAGATGGGTGCGGTAGTCGTTGATGGAAATGATTTCATCGCACAGGCACTGGATGTTCAGCACATCCTCCTCTGAGATTTCAGTACCCATCGATATCTCGGCCGCCTCCTTCACCTTCTCCTCCACGTCTTCGGGCAGAATGTCCGACAGATCGGCCGTGGACATCTGGTCCCTGGTTCCCACCAGTTTAATGGTCTTCACGAAGGCAATGTTGTCTGTGATGATCTTACCCAGCTCGGGAAAATGCCAGCCGTACCACTCGCGAGCCCTCATCATGTAGTTGTTGAGCTCCTTGTCCAGATCATCCAGCAGACACTGGGCCTGCACGATCATCGTGTCGATTTTGTCCGGTGAAAATTTCAACTTGTAGCGTGACAGCGAGTGGGCCAGACCCAGAGCCATGGCAGTCATTTCCCGCTTGGGCAGGCCACCCAGCAGACTGTCGGCCTGCTGACGAATGCAGCGCATCAGCTCCTGCACACCCGTGTTGTAGACGCACTGCACAGACAACTTGTCCTTGATGGCGGTGCCCAACTTGGCGTCAGCGACCAGCAACTGGGACTGCACCTCATCGACGAGCAACTTCTTGAGAGTTTTCTTTAGCGGCTTGGCCACCTTACCCTCCACCGCCGCCGTGGCAGCGGCCAGCGCCTCTGTGGTGTCGTTGAATTTCTCAAAGTGTTTCAGTTTCAACAGTTTGTTGGCCCGCTCCGGAGTCTCAAATTCCAGGTACAGATTGTCTACCTGTTCGAGTTTCTTTTCGTCCAGCAACTTGAAAATGGCGTAGCCCGCCGGCGTTTCGTATAGAACAAACATCGTAGCACCGTTTGTTCATACACTATTTAATTTTAATTTAAAATTAAAAACTCTCAACAGCCAGCACGCAGCAACTTAACCTTCTTTTCCGTAAGCCGCGTGTAAAAGAAAATCCAAAGTGAAGCGTGAGCACGTGTACCGTCGTCGGACAAGGTTGCCACTCGATTCGCGTTTAACAGCACACTTTACAGCACACAATTCACTATCGTTAATTAACCACGAAAATAATCTTACGATAATAAACCTATTACTACCAAATTATAAGTAAAAATTAATAAATCTTTAAGAAAATTTAAAGGTTTTTTAAAAATCGATTTAAAAGCTAAATACATTTTTTTATATAGATAATGTTTGAAAATCTTTTCGCGCTAACAGCCCGCTTGTGATTTAACATTGGTAGGGAGGAAGAACATCGCTTCGTTTGAATTTCTCACCACGAAACCGTGCCATCTCACCACACCCTAGAAAATTCAAAATTTTTGCTTGGCACATACACACATACTAAAACACATACATATGCATGTATGCGAATCTCGCCATGTTTCAAAAAGGAACAATATTTTGCTAATACCCTGAATGGAAAAGGCACGAGACTTACCTGCGACGTCTGGGCTTCCGATCCCGGCAATGGCGTGCAAAGTGTCCTCGTCCGCCACACTCGTAGCACTTATCATCGCCTCTTCCTCCGCCACCGCCTCCACGGTCGCGTCCTCCTCCTCCACCGCCGCCTCCTCCACCACCACCGCCAGATCTGGCGTATTTGCCCGTGGACAGTTCCACACGGGCCCTGCGTCCACACACAGTCCGGCCGTCCAATCCGCGTACAGCGTCCGCCGCGTCCCGGGCGCTCTCGAACTCAACAAAGGCGAAGCCCGGTGGGTTGCGGGCGATCCAAACACTGCGAAGACTTCCATAGGCCCCAAACACATACTCCAGGTCGTTCTTGCGGGCGTTGTTGCCCAGGTCTCCGACATAGACCTTTCTATCGCTGGGATGCCGCGACATTTTTCCAAACTGTTTCTCCGAATAAGCAATTGCTACTTTGTCAGCTGAAGCGGGGTAGAAAAAAAATCAATGGGCCACGAAAACTGTTCACTTGCAACTCCTTGCTGGGAAGCTTCTTAGTTGTCCGCGCACTGGGATCGTTTTTGGTCTCAGGATGCGATCGGCAACGGAGAATGGGTTTTATTTCCTGTTTATTGCAGCACAAAACTCATTTTACCGGGTAGCAAAGCAGAAAAAACGGCGGCTTTCGACAGCCCAATGTGACCGTATTAAGAAAATTATTTTTGCAAATTGGCAGTATGACCGTAGGCTGCCTTTTTGATAATGGAGTTCTTTATATTATTTTAATTTTTTTATATTAAAAGTCCAAAGTTCTCAAAAATTTCCTAGTCCTCGCCTATCATAACAGCAGCTCCTGCATAAAATATCTTTGAATTTTGCTGAACTTCTGCTGAATTTATAAATTTTGAACTCCCATAAATCTTTTTCTGGAACTCCTCCTGTCTAAAATATGTTTTATAACAGGCTTATACGCCGAAAATTCAATGGAGATTAAACTTTGTATTTCGTTGTGGTAGCATTGAATTTTTTTAATACAATCTATATTTAAAAAAATAAATTATGTTGCTTAATTTACAAATGTAAACAATCCATTTATATATAATGTGTCAGATCTGGTAGCACTTGTCTGTTAAAGTAGCCATATAGATTTATAGGTAAAAAAAATAGAGCTGGTTTTCAATTTTCTAAAATACTAAAACTTTTATAATTATTCAAAACAGCTTAATAATTATGTCAACATTTAGTTTTCATTGATATAAAATATTCTTTTAAAAAATTTGGATTAGCATAATCAGATCTGGTAGCACCCCTCCATAAAAAGTAGCCAGATAGTTTCTTAGGTAAAACTGCACGCAGCCCTGGTTTTAAATTTGCTTGGTTACATTAAACGTGGCGGTGGCGAGTCTATCATAAGTTAGGTTATATCGTATGCATCAAAATCATACAATTATTTATAAGCTAGTTTTTTAAGGAAAAAACACTTAAATTTAGTGAATTTGCAGTGCGAAATCTTTAAAAAACCACAGACGAACACTTGGCACAAACGGTAAGAATGGAGAACTATTGAAAATCACATTTTACATAACAATTACGGTGCTTTAACAAAATGCCTGCCTTTCCAAAACGCCTGGGTACCTGACGCAGCTGCCATTGCTGGTGTGTTGGTGTGTAGTTTTTTTTCGGCCCGTTCAACTGTGGCTCTTTGTTTTCTTGGCCAACGCTCGAGGCCCTTGATCCGTGCAAGTCTGCATTTTGGCATGGGGCATTGGTTTTCGTGCCACTTTCGGCATTCTTTTTCCATCAAAGTGGAAAATTTCATATTTTTATACATACACAGAAAAAATGCTATGTATAACACCACACCAACACTGGCAGAGCCACGCACACACCACCGCAATTCGTTCGGTTTGCTCTGTCGGCGCACACACACACCAACGCGCGCACCGTACGGCCAGCTCATGCACTCACACATTGCCAATAGATTGCGGTGCAAAATACAAAATCATGCGAAATTTTTAAAATTGCGTAGTAGAAATCTTGTTTAATTTTGTTACATTTCCCCCGGCACGTAAGTGCAGACCCAAGAAGGGTCAATCGAATTGTGATTCGGTGATATGTGTGTGTTTTGCCGGTTTTCCTCCATAATTATAACAATGCTATTTTATGAGACAAAAAAAAAAAAAAAGAAATTTTGGTTTATGTGAAATGTGTTCCCGATTTAAAGAATTTAGGCCCAACAGCATTTCTTCGGATTTCTTTGTTGTAGCATTTTTTCATCTGGCACGTCTTCCATTTTGTTTTTTTTTTTCTTCGCTGCCGTCGCCGCCGCTGTTGCCTGCTTCTGCCGTGGTGAATTTTCCACACACTATCGGTGCTATTCATTCATTTGTTAGAGCAGACAGTGAACTCTACTAGAGCCAAGGAATCCGACTTGTGGAAAAGAAATTCAAACTGAAGTGTTTGTTTTATTTTGTACGAAATTAACATTTCATCTGGTTTCTTGGCGGAGGGCATTGCTTTTTGGTGCGTTTCTTTGAGCTGTCCATTCGCTTTCACGTCGCTCTTGGCGTTGCCACATGTTTTCACTTGCCAATAAAAAATTTGGGAAAAACGAGACCCCTAAATTAAAATCTGCTCCAGAATTAGAGAGAATTAATTCCTAAAAACTCAAATATTGGTGGTGCAATTAGTGTTTACGTAGCCGACATATGTATATCTGGCAATCTCCTGGCAAATGGCGCGCAAATGTGGTGAACCGGCGGCGGCTCTCTTTTCACCTTGGAAATAAGTTCGTTGTTCTCATTGATAGGCGGCGTGTGTATGTGTGTGTGTGGGTGTGAGGCTGGGGACATGGCTGCAGCAACAACAACGCCGCTAGTGACACAGCGAAAAGAAAACAATACTTTCACGTAGCAGTGTAAAAGCGAGTGAAAGAAGAAGACCCCGTGCTCTTACCCCCTACTCCTCTACCCTACCCCCTGACCAGGGCGAGCTGAGCGTTGCAAACAAGCCAACAAACTTGTGAACGTGTACAAAAAGCAGTTAGACGGCAAAATCACACTCACAGATACTGTGGAATGTCTGGCAGTGTGGGTACCGGCCGGTTGCCTACCTGTGCCTTTCATAATTATCTTCGTCTATTTCGGTTGGATAAATGTGTGTTTGTGTGTGTGTGTGTCTTTTTTTTGTCATCTGCACACTTCCACTTATTCGCACCCATCGAGATCAGTCAGTCCAGTCTTTAAAAGCCAGCCAATAACCGACTTAATAAAGCCATGATTTCTTAAATTCTATCTTTGTATCTTTCCATGTGCCTGCTACCAACCAACAAACAACAACTACAACACCACTACCACTACAAAAACAACGATGTGTAGAAAGTTACGTGTAAACGTCGTGGCTTTTGTTTAATTGTTTTGAAGAACAAGAACTTTGGCAACGTTGAAACCAAGCTTAAATATATAACCAACCACTAAAATAATAGCAACATCAAAAAAGTGTAAAAAATTTTTAGAGTGCTCCCCCAAAAAAAAAACCATTGAAGACACATAATTTCTTTGCACCCCGTGTTACCAAAAAAGCGGCAAGATTACGTCAATTATTGAAAACCTACCCGGCGCTATAGCTCACAACCATAACCAAAATAACATCATGGAGGAAGACGAAAGGGGCAAACTGTTTGTGGGCGGCCTATCCTGGGAGACGACGCAGGAGAATCTGTCGCGCTATTTCTGCCGCTTCGGAGACATCATCGACTGTGTGGTGATGAAGAACAATGAGAGCGGAAGGTCACGCGGCTTCGGCTTTGTAACCTTTGCCGATCCCACCAACGTCAACCACGTGCTGCAGAATGGTCCGCACACGCTGGACGGACGCACGATCGATCCGAAGCCGTGCAATCCGCGCACTCTGCAGAAGCCGAAGAAGGGCGGCGGCTACAAGGTCTTCCTGGGTGGCCTGCCATCGAACGTCACCGAGACGGATCTGCGTACTTTCTTTGGTCGATATGGCAAGGTCACCGAGGTGGTGATCATGTACGACCAGGAGAAAAAGAAGTCCCGCGGATTTGGCTTCCTCTCTTTCGAGGAAGAGTCGTCGGTGGAGCACGTTACTAACGAGCGCTACATCAATCTGAATGGCAAGCAGGTATGTAATGGCAATCGATACTCCTTTCATGTATTATATTGTAATAAAATATTTATTTTTGTTTAATTATTTTGTAGTATTAAGTGAATATCATCATTTGAATAAAAACAATTTGTTATTTCCCAGGTCGAGATCAAGAAGGCCGAGCCTCGTGATGGATCTGGTGGCCAGAACTCCAACAATAGCACCGTTGGCGGCGCCTATGGCAAGCTTGGCAACGAGTGCAGCCACTGGGGACCTCATCATGCTCCGATCAACATGATGCAGGGCCAAAATGGTCAGATGGGTGGACCTCCACTAAACATGCCCATCGGAGCGCCGAACATGATGCCTGGTTACCAGGGCTGGGGTACATCTCCGCAGCAGCAGCAGTATGGATATGGAAATAGCGGCCCGGGATCGTACCAAGGATGGGGAGCACCCCCAGGCCCCCAGGGACCTCCGCCGCAATGGTCTAACTACGCTGGACCACAGCAGACGCAGGGTTATGGCGGTTACGACATGTACAACTCTACTTCAACTGGAGCTCCTTCGGGACCATCAGGCGGCGGTAGCTGGAATACGTGGAACATGCCGCCCAACTCGGCCGGCCCGACTGGAGCCCCTGGAGCTGGAGCAGGCACTGCCACGGACATGTATTCGCGAGCTCAGACCTGGGCAGCGGGCGGTCCATCAACCACCGGGCCAGTAGGTGGCATGCCTCGCACCGGACCGGGAAACTCGGCTTCGAAGTCGGGATCTGAATACGATTACGGCGGCTATGGGTCCGGTTACGACTACGACTACAGCAACTACGTGAAGCAGGAAGGAGCCTCTAACTACGCAGCTGGACCGAGGTCGGCGTATGGCAACGACAGCTCCACGCAGCCACCCTATGCAGCCTCGCAGGCTGTCTAAAGCGGAAGCTTTTAGATCATTCTGTGGAGTATAAGGATAAGGAGGAGTAGGAGTAGGAGTTGTAGGAGTAGCAGAGCCGTCGGTATTGTCCTCGTCGGTGAATGATGAAGAAAAAAAAGATGGTGGTAATTGTAAGCTAAAGCGTCGTCTGTTCGTTTTTATTTCAGATCAGATCAGTTGTTGAAATTAATATTTAAAACTCTTGTACAACTATAATTTAAAGCGAAACAAATTTAACACAAGAATACCTAGAGACAAGTCAGATTCATAGATATACATGTATGTTCTATAGAAATGAGTATGTAATTTATAGGAAAAACATCAGAACACCCATTCAGACGAGAACATTATTTCTTTCATGCGCCTCACTTAAAAAACTCACGATCATTTTCCTGTATCCCATATATATATATATATAAACAAAAATTGAAACAAACAAACACCTACAAACCAATCAGCCAGAATCAACTAACAAGAACTACCCAACCAACTAAAACCCGTAGATACATACGATACATGGCATTAACAAAAAAAAAACAAATAGAAATGTGAAGAATTAAAAGTAATGATTTACAAGTATAAAGTTTAGCTAATTAGACACAAGATCAAGATGAAAGAGTGCGAAATACCAACACAAAGAAAATAAGAACTTATAATTTTATTTAAAAAGTAAAAAGTAAACGAGTAAAGGTCCCCTTAATTACTAAAATTAGTAAATACAAATTCGAAATTGTACATTTTAAAGCAAAAACACGTCGGCCATCGCTTCGCCTCTCTGGCCTCCTATTCTAGATCGTGTGTTGCATTATCTATCGGCGGTAACCTGGCGACAAGGTTAAGCGGAAATTCGAAAAGGAATCAATAATACCATAGATAATGATACCGAGAACTCTATGCTTGCCTTAGCCTCAGTGACTCATTGGCCGTGCTATGGTTAATTATGACGGCAATTTCTTCCTCAGGAATATATTGCGATTTTATGGCACTCTGTTGATTTAAGCCATTACTAATTGACTCATTGGCCAGTAAGTCATGCATTTCACGGTCGGATAAATGAGGGGGAGAATGAGCAGGATTGGGGCGGGACCGACATGGGAAAGATACGTTACAAAATTAAAAATTTACCATTAAAGTAAACAAAACAAAACTAGCTAAAAGTTAAACTACATATATAAAGAAACCTAATTAATAAGCGTATGTCGTCGTTTACATCTAAGCGAAAGTTGAACTTGAACTAGAATTATATAGTGCGTTGGATTTATTATTTAGTTAAAGCGAGGTGAAGAGTAACATGAAGAAGCCAAGCAGCAGCAGCATGATAAAGATTGATTATAATGGATATGGAAATCAACAAACAAAAAAAACCACAAAAAATACGAAACACACTCTTAACAAATATACATAAAACTATATACATACATACTTATATACAATATATATACACATATATATTTAACAAGTATAAACAAGGAAACTAAAACGAAAAAAAAATGATTAAAAAAAAGAGCAAAAGGAAACGTAAATTTAAAGCTACAGTTAATGAGAGTATAAAAAAAGAGGGAAGCAGCAGCAGGCGTAGTACGGAGAAAATAGGACAAGTTTAAAATACGATGCTTAGAGTTGCGTTGCACATTTTTTTTTTGGAAATTTTCATCGTTTGCCAAGCAGACAAGAACAGCAGGATGATCTAACGACAACCAGCTAAGAGAGTGTGCACTACAAACATCAGTTAATAACATAACAAACAACACCATAACGCACACGCACTTACACTTAACCCCATTTTTGGTAACAACAACCACAGAACAGAAGCAAGACAGCAGAGGGAGGTAAATGGATAATAAAGCAAGAGAGCAAGAGGAAGTTAATTGCATAAAAAAGCAAGCAGAAAAGTTTAATTGATTATGAACATAACATATATATATATATATATCTTTAATTACTTATACATATTTACTCTTAACTACTCTGCACGCTCACTAACCGAGCGTGCACTGTCTGTAAAACATGATGAAAGTAAACTATTTTAATGATGATTATATGATTGCGATTTTACAATTTATTATTACAAAAACGAAAAGGAGAAAAAAAAACAACAAAACAAAATGAGAAACATATTATATGCTAATACCTTTACAATACACATATATTATAAAATATGAAGTAATTTTTTCTATTAAATACCATACACTAATTTTTAATTTGTTTATTTACAACAAATCGATTTACAATACATACATTTAATTACAATATACAATACCATACTTTACTTTATTTTCGGTGATTTATTGCTTAGTGTTCTTCGTATAATTTTTACTCTACAACAAACAACAAAACCAATCCTACAGATATAAATTCCTAATATAATTTCGTTTAAATTACAAATACATATGCTTACATTTTATAACTAATTATAAAGTTAAAAAAAAAAAAAAAAACAACCACAAAACGAAAGCAAACAATGCAAAGTAAAGTAAAACGTGTGAAAAACGTTTCGATTTTTGAAAAAAAAAACCCACATCTTTCAAATTTTATTGAAATATTCTACCTATTTTTGTTAACTTGGCCCGTTCGCTGGCTGCTCTGTATCTGTGTGTGTGCAAGTATGACTGTATGTGTCCGTTTATTTTTTTGTTTTTTATTTTAGTTTTCCTTAGTGGTGTCGTTGGAAAGGTGAAGAGGTCATCTGGCGGGCGACGAGGGGAAGGCCGGACGAGGCGTGGAGAAGAGATTGACGGAAAAGCGCAGGATATGGACTTTCTATGTCACTTTTATGTTTCTATAAGCATTTTCAATAGAGGCAGCTGCACACCACCCAGCAACATCGACATTGAACTGTTCCAGTTGCAAAAAGATCAATTTGCCCCAATGCGTGGCACTAGCACAGCACGAAAGAAAACAGTTTTTTGCAATAATTTTGGAGAATTGCAGAATATCAACCTGATGTAATCTTATAAGATGTCCATTATTATTTGCCTAGTGTGCACTGGGAATAATATATATTGCTTATTATTTTCAATTTTCATCATTTTCAAGTACTTGCAACTAAAGTTGCAAAATTTATTAACATGTACTAGTGGAGGTTAAAGTAAAATTATTAACTAATTCGAGCGTGTATTCGTAAAGGTACGATGAGAAAATTATTTAGAAGACACTGACTGTTAATTGTAAAACAAATTGATTTTTTAAAAACCGATTATTTTAAAGTTGTATGCAGAAAGTAAAAAGATTTTTTATTAAACTAAACGTAAAAACTATTCGAAATGAACTAAATACAATATATGTGCATCGTAAACGTAATAAACAAACAATATATATATATATGAATACACCTACTATATACAACTATATATATACTATATACATATAATTATAAAATATAACAATTTAACGGTAAAATAAATTTAAATATTGTAATAAACAAAGTGTTGCACTTTCAAGCTAAAACAGACAAAACGAAAATAAGATTTAAAATTAAGTGTAAATGTTTGTCAGCACACGTACACACAGAATAACACATAACATGAAACATAAATAGAAATTGTTGTAACAAAAGTCCAATTATGCAGCATGGATCCAAAAAAAATGAATTCAATATGTCCAGAGGATCCAGACATCCAGAGACATCCACACATTGGAGGAGCACCATAGCAGAACCAGCAGAAGCTGAATATCAAAATCAGATTGTTTTGTTTGTTTTTTGTTTCCATTTGATGTCATTGGTGTATATGGCTTTTGTTCTTTGATTATTCGTTGGTTTATTAATCGGCCAATTGATGGTGGGATGACAACAAATTCACGACGATTGAGTTTGCGTATCGGTATCTGTTTCATTTTCACAGCGAATTGAAATTTTAAAATTGACTTGTGTTGCCTTTTCTCTTATTGTGTTTATTGTTTTTGAAACGAATTTGGGTTTTGCCTTTTCGACCTTTCCAGTCAGTCAGATATCATCAAGCCAGCAAAGGTGGTGGTGAAGTGAACCATAACTCAGAAAATAATGTAAGGGTTATATAATTTAATGTACTGATAAGCTAAAATACGAATGATGCGCCAAAATGCAAGCCCAAAATCAATAAGGAGAAAGCGTTTTTTTTGTATACTGATACTGAATTGTATAGCTCTATGTATGTAGCTCTAGGAGGGTATAAACATGAACTTATCATTGCTTTCGGTCTATAGTTCTTACATTTAAGTTCTCTCGAATTTGTTAACGAATCGGAAATGTCGACTGGTATCCATAGTTAAGCTAAGAGAACAACTAAACGAACAAACACACAAACTCGGTACACTCAGATCTTTTTCTACCTATTGCTAGGAAGGCTAGAATTTTAAATGTTTTTTCCTCCCAGACCCAGACCCCGACCCAGACCAACTACCCATGATCCATCCTTCCTAAACTATCCTGTATCCAAAATACCGTTCAAATTGTTTTTATGTAAGGAAGTACTCTTAGCCATTAAAGACTAGAATGATTTGAAATAAGAAATGAGATTTAACAGATATCTAAGCTAAATTCCTAAGACAAAACGATTCCACCTAAGACACCTTTTTGTAATGACTAAATTTATATAGGACGGAGTTAGGAGAACATCCAAACAAATAAATGATAATGAATTCAATAAGATTAAAGTTCAGCAGGCATATATACGTACATATATATGTGGGTGGCATGTTTTGTATCTGTAATTCTATAAATAATGATAATTTCACATTACTTCATATGTTAGTGACCGTTTTCCCCATTTGTCAATCTATCTGTGGGGAGAGAGAGGAGGAGTCTATTCGGTTAAGTGAAGAGTCTAAAGTCAAGTCAAGTTGAACGATAATTGTTAAAGCCTGCATGTTATGCAACAAATTGTGTATTACTTAGTTAAAACGACACACCACACATCATCATCACATCTAATTCCTAGCCCGACTTTGGTTCGTTCTTAAGCAAAATTCGATGCGAGGTATGTATGTATATGGTAATTTTAAAATAAACCAAATGCAGAGGATAGCGAACCAGAACTAATTTGTACGTAGTTAATAATACTAAAGGTAAATAAAAATAGACAAAAATATGGAAAAAATGCAGAAAAAAAGAGCAAAACTAAGCAAAATAACCAAAATGAAACAAAACACAAAAAAAAAAAAAACAAAACAAAAATTGAGACTGTTAACGAAAGGCAACATTAAGGGGCAGGTTAAGGCGAGACTACGTTGAAAATAAGAAGGCTTAACTACAAACTATGCAACTCGTAGCTCCAATAACAAAAACCCTAATGAATAAATAGGCTACCAGCATAAGTTCGTACTAAAAAAATTGTTTTCTACTTTCTATTATTTATTGATTAAAAGCTCTCCTGAAAACACTTGAATAATCAGCAACGATTTTGTTATAAAGATTAAAAATTAATTTTAAAATATAATTTATGATAAAATAGTAAAGAATTTAATATCAATTACCGTTACCGAACGTAAGCCAAAAGAAAGAACTTTTGATGAATTTGATGAATTTTATTACCAAACTAAGGAAACTGGAATCTAAATAACTGATATTGAAAAGGGTTGGTCGTATTCATAATATGACTAGCCCTGAGAGACATAGAAACCTCCTACACCTACCATTTATAGGACTAACTTGTAAACCAGATTGTAACGATTTTAGGCTAATAAGTGTTGCGACTTGGGGGCTGAAATGATAAAAACAAACAAACAAACAAAAAAAAACTGAACAGGAAGCTACGTTTTGTCACTTTCCAGGCATTCATTTCGAAATGATTTCTTAGACTTTTCTACGCGTATTTTTAGATCGAGATAATGTGGGGTAAATGGTAAATAGGCGTTAAACGATAGCATTTGATGGCAGCTGAGAGATCACGGTACAGCTTATAAGAATATACAATGAGGACAGGATTTAACTTAACTTACATAACATAGATACAAGGACATACATGCAACAGAAACAACAACAAAGCAAAATATTGAGAGCAACAAAATGAGAAAAACTTGAAAAAGAAATACATACATATAGAGTTGCAAGATTTTAGTTTACGGTAAACTTAAAGAAATTTTTTACAATGTATTTATACATACCTAAATTTAAATTTTAAATTAATTCTTTAATGTAATACGAACACAGTGCCTAAGTAATATCAAAACAAAAACAAAAAAAAAACGAAAAACTAAAAAAACGTGAAATAAGGACATTAAAGCATACAAAATGAGAATAAGCGATGCAGTTAAGGACATTGTTACTGAAAATGGTAGTCACTTAAAAGAAAATAATCGAACAACTTTTTAAAACAACAAACGACAACAACAACTGCAACCAAATCGAGCGACAAAAAATTCAGCAAATTAAAATAATCTCATTAAATAATAAAAATTAGAAATATACTCGTTCAAGCAAACAAATAAGGAAACACACACTCACACATATAAGTATGTATGTACTAACGAAATGAAGAAGAACAAGAGCAGGAAACGGAAGCTGAAGCTGAAAACTTACAACTTAAAACTGAAAACTGAGCAGAAATAGTCCCCACTCCCCGACAAAAATTTGCATAATTGTATAAATGTAAGACGAAGAAAACATTGAACGCTATAAACGCTAAGTAAATACCACAATAAATAATAATAATAAACTGTAAACGTACCCCCTACATACGTCTCGTGTCGCGCACTAGATTTGCGTAGAACCCCTAAGTATACCCAATATCCTCACCCATATCCCTACAGGCCTATCCAATCGATTGAATTTATTTATTTAAACATGCCATGTACTCAAAATGACATCAAATCGCCACTCCAAGCATTTTGGTTTGCATATAATATTGGATTCATTATTAATTGTCAAAAAACGGTCAGAGAAACCTGAAATTTATTGTTCTGAATTAAAATTACCTAACTGGTTTAAGTCATTAAAGAAAAGTAATTAATTAATTAATATGTGAAATATGACAGATATGAATTATACATTTTGAAATTATGTTTAATGAACGAAATTAATGTAGTATGTAAAAAAACAAACAAAACATGGAAGTAAAAAGTTTTAAGCAAAACAAAATACTTTGAATATATACATAAATGGCAAGTAAATAGAATAAATGTCACTCAATCTTTTATTTAATTGTTGCTTTAATGGATCTTTTGAATAATAATTGAGGTTTTGAGATTTTGATGCAGATTGAAAGCGAATCGATACACGAATCATTTATAATATTCCGCTCAAGAATCACATGATTATTGACGAAGCTATAGCCATCGCTGCGACCCATATTGGACCCCATGCATTTGTGTAGTTTTTTTTAAAGAGACCTGCCCCTCAGAAAATTTGACAAAAAAACTGAAAAATAATTGGTTTTGAGGTTGTCGATCTACAAATCCATTAAGGCATTCCGCTCAAAAATCGCATGATTTTTGACGAAGTTATAGCAATCGCTGGGGTCATATTGTGTCCCCATGCATTTTTGTACTTTTTTGAAGGGGATCCCCCAGAAAATTTGACAAACAATTTGAAAAAGAATTGGTTTTGTGATTTTGATGCAGATTGAAAAAAAATCAATCTACATTGGGTAGTCTGCCGTTCCGGGGAAATCGGGTTAACATTTCTTTCCGTAGAATTGTTTATTTTCCTAAGCTGATTAGAAATTATTTTAATTACAAAAAAAAAAACAGGGAATTGCACTTTCCCTTGCATTGTGATTGCTGTGAATAGGTTCTGAAAAGTCAAATCGTTACCAAAAAAAAAACAAAAATGTTCCTAGCCAAGTTGCTGCTACTGTGCACCGCCTGTGTCCTAGTTATAGGCAACCCTGAGCCATTTGGAGGTTTTACCAAATTGGAGGGGCAGGCTCTGATAGATGCCCAGCAATTATTGAATACCGCTCTGGCTAAAATGGATTCCGGAGATGGACCTCATTACCGGTAAGCCCAGATGTGTCATTCAAATATATTTATTCGAATGCAATTGTCATAAAGTCTGTAGAGAATATAAACGAAATAATTTCATGTCTGTAAAATATTATTCTTTCTTAGCCTCTTGAGGGTCGTGGAAGCCTACTCTCGGGTGGTTGAAGGCACCTCCTACAAATTCACCGCCGTGCTGATCGACGAAAATGACGTTCAAAAGATATGCCAAGTGGACATCTTGAATCGCATCTTGAACCTACCAATGGTGGTCACTGTCAAGTGCCCCAATGAGGCCGAACTGACCAAGCAGCAAAGTGCCTAAAGATCAAAAATGAAAATGTATACAATTTTAAAAATTGCATTAAAAATCTAAAACAAAATAAAAATTTTCAAATATATTTTAAAAATATTAAAGTTAAATAAACTCATTTTCTTTAATTATGCTTGATTTTTTACGGCTTACAGGAAAATAGATCCTGCACAGTGACGCAGATTGAAAGAAAATCGGTTCACGAATCGTTTAAGTTATTCCGCTCAAGAATCGCATGATTATTGACGAAGTTATAGCCATCGCTGGGGTCATATTGTGCCTCCATTCATTTTTGTACTTTTTTAAAAGGGATTAAGTATCAAGCAAAGTAGATATCTGGAATCGTTCCTGGTTACCTAATGGCATCGATGTGACCTTTAGGTGCCCCAATGAGCCCGAACTTACAAAGAATTATAGTGCCTAAAGATCTGAAAACTGGACTGTATAAATCTTTCAAACATTTTCATTAAAAATCTTCAACGAAGAAACATTTTTTAAATTTATTTTGAAAGTTTAATAACCTAGTTTTTTTCATTAGGCATGAAATGTTTCCAGTTTCCGGTTCCGGTGAAATTTTTTTTAGAGGCTAATTAGAAATTATTTTAATTTAAAAAAAAAACGAACTTTAATTTGTCCTATTATTTGGATGATCACAGCCCTCAATCCTTGACCGGAAAAAATTAGTTGGCATTAGTTTCATAAAAGTTTTGTATTGGGGACTCCCCATGTATTTTTCTCGATCCGTTTGAGTTTTGAAATTATTGTCAAAAAAGTTTTACTTTAAAATAATTCAAAACTAAAAAGCTTAGCATAATGATAGAGGAAGTCATGGAGTTGTTTCTCATCACTGCTGTAGTCTATTTTTGTGCCAATTTGAAGAGGCCGCCTAATGCTTGGGGATACTTTCATTGTGCCTGCCCGATCGTTATGGGTATACTTTCTGCCGGATTAATTCACATAAATGTTAGTCTATATTTTCCACATTTATCTTTTTTTATAAAGTTTTTTTTTTTCATAGAAATAGGAAAATGCAACGTTGAGTCTTTTTGGATTATTTGAAGATGACTTTATTTTGATTGAGATAATAATATAAAATAAAATTTATTAAAGTATTTAAAAACAACAAATAAATATGAAGGTATGGCATGAGTAGAAGCTTGAATTTGGAAGCGAATGAGGGCGAGGGTTAAACGAACGCCTACAACTAGGATTAGATGAAGCCTATGAGGTCGAAATCCATAAATCGGTGATGACTACTTGGCTATGCGTCGTCTTGTGGTCGGCGTGGTGGGTACTCCGCCGCTGGGCGGCTTCGGGATCTGAAAAGCGTGTATTAAATGGCAATTCTACATATGTTTTCCTTTAAATATCTTACAGAACGAATGGGTCGTGGTGTGAGGGAGTTGGCAGGAGGCGGCTCTCGCGGTTGCGGTCCATCCGGATGGCCCACGACAGTGACAGCAACGGGTCTCTGCTCGGATCCAGCCCGCTCCATACTCTCACTGCGAGAATTGGAGCCGGAACGCTTGAACATACCGGAGAGCCGCCCGCGTAGATCCTTTTTGCTTGATCTCATGTCGCTGGCAACACTGATGTCTGAGTCAGATCCTTGAATCTATGTTTGATGCAAACAAGGTTAATTTATTTAAATTTCTTATATCTTGCTGCCATTTAAGGCAGGTTCTATACTTACTGAAATTTCACTCTCGGAATTGCGACTGCTTTTGGTCAGGCTGCGCAGCTTGCCCATAATTCCCTTCTTTTTCTTGCGAGGTCCTCGGGGTATATCGCTCTGGGTGGATCCGCCGGATAGACGCGAATCTAAACGTGAATCCAAACTGGAATCTCGTACCAAGCCACCCAGTTCTGAGTCAATCGATTGCATTGAGGAGACACTGCCGTCGTCCTGCCGCCAAATGTTCTAAGATTGGAATTTAAAAAGGTGAAGTATTTGTAGATTTCTTCTTTTCCCAAAACATACCTGATCTCTTTGTATAGAGTGATCCAGTGACAGGCTCTTGCGAATCAGACTGCCATTGTTGGATGAATTCCTGGACAGGCGTCCACCACCACGCTGCGATCCCGCCGCACTGGCCACGGAACTGGTGCTGCCATGATGATCGTTTTCCTGTGAAGCAGCCCGACGCAAATTGCCCCTCCGTATTCGACTCCGTTCCTGTTCGTCCTCGTTGAGGCGCTGGAACTTTCGCAGCTCTTCGGAAGCTTCGGCCAGTCGGGCCAGAACACTAGTGATTTGTGAGTGGCTCAGTGTGGGCGATGGAGAGCGGCTGCGACGAACGTTAGGCTGTTCCGGACGCAGGTTATTGTCATATCCGGAACTGCCACGCGATGATCCCCCGCTGCTGCCCAGCTTTAGGTCTGGAGCAATCTTCACCAACTCATCGACAGTCTGCAAGAGGGCACCCACTTTTCTGTCACCTCCATCGGCCTCCATGCGGCGTTTGATTAACTCCTTTTCGTAACGTTCACGCTGAAATTAAAAATTAAGTTTAAATTTATTTATTTGCATAAAATATAAAGGTTTTTAAAAAACACATACCTCTCGTCGCAACTTTTCGTTGGAGGTGCGTAACTTGGCATGGACATCGCGGAGCTCCAGGAGATCGCACTGAAGCTCGGCAATTTTCTTGCGACCTTCCTCCATCTCCTCCTCGGTGGCCCGCTTGATTTGGTCCAGCTTCCGTTTGGACTCCAAACGCTCCTTGTCTCGTTCACGTTCCACTTCGAAAAGTGTCTGTCGCAGATCTCTGGCCAGTGTGGAGGTTTCCTGGAGCAGTCGTTGCTGATCCTCACGCTCCTTTTGCCAGGACAGCTCCAGCTTTGTCTTCATGCCAGGCAGCTTGGTGCTTCCCGATCCAATGACACGTTCCTCTTCGAACTCGTTTAGCTTCGATTGCATCTCAGAGATTTTAATTTCGTTGGCACTGCGCTCGGAGACGAGCTCGGTTTTGATCTTGCTGGACTCTAGGCGAGATTCGACCAACTGATCTTCCAAGTGACCGATCTGCTGTTCCAGGTAAGCAATTTTGCTCTTGTCGTCATCGTCGCTGCTGTGCATGGAGCCACGACTCTGTCGGCCCGTGTTGTTCGCCTTCAGGTCTCCGATCTTCTTTTGGGCCACCTCCAGCATTTGCTTAAAAGCATCTCGGTCTTTCTTGAAGCGTTCACATTGGCGCTGGAATGGGAGATAGTTAGTATTCTATGCTGTATTATTGGGAGCCATCTTACCTGCATTGAGTTCAGTTCGCCGCTGAGGTTCTTCACCTGCTGTTCATACCGCAATCGGGTGGTAGCCACCTCTGACTTCATCTGTAGCTCAGTGCTCTTTAATCTAAATTAAATAAGATTTAGAACAATACCGCAATAAGGGTAGATAGAATGGAACTTACTGCTCCTTGAGCTCTCTGATCTCGGCCTCCCGTCTTGCCCCATGCCCGTTCAGTGACACCTGGGCCTGCTCGATCCTATTGTAGTCACTCAGCTTGCCGTTGAGATCGTCGTTGTCCTTGCGCAGCTGGAACACCAGGTCGATGTTCATCTCGTTTTCCCGACGCAGTCTTTCGTATTCGTGCTCTTTTTCGGCCAACTTGTTTTTAAGAACGGTTCTTTCATACTCCCCACCGGAGCCATTTTCATTAGCCGCCTTCAGGACCTTCGCCTGCAGATCGGCTATCTTCTTTTGGGCATCGTTCAGCTTCCGGGCCATTTCGGTGCGCTCGACTCGGATGGTGTCCATATCGGCGACCTTTTGTCGGTTGGCGTTGAGCTCTGCCTGGAGGCTCTGTTTCTCGGTGGTTAGTTGGGCCCGCATTAGGATGGTCTCCTCGGAGAGCTTCTCCCAGTGATTGTTGAGGTCTTCGTAGCGCTTCTGCTCCGAGCTCAAAGAGGCTTGGATCTCCTCCACCTGCTTCTTAAGGTCCTGCACTTGCTTGCTGTCAGATTTGCTGGCCTTGGTCTTCAGGTCCTTGATTTCCTTCTCCAGACTGGACTTGGTCTTATCGGCCGCCTTCTTGGCGCTAAGCAGGTCCGAGTCCAGCTGGGTAATCTTTGCCTCAAGCTTTTCCTTCTCCTTGCTCTGGTTCTCGAGATCCTTTTCCAAAGTGGCCAGTTTCTCCTTTTCCCGCTTTCCTTGCGTCTCCAAACTGGACTTGCTGGTTTCGCTCTGCTTTATTTGTGCATCCTGCTTCTTTAACTTCTCTTCGAGGTCCTTTAGCTTTGAGTTCAGCTTCTTGGCATCCTCATCGCTGCGTTTTAGCTTCTGCTCAAGCTCGGTCACCTTGCTGCTGGTGCCGTTCAGAAGCTTTAGTCGCTGGACATCTCCCTCGGCCAGGGTGAGTTTCTGCTTGCATTTCTGCAGCTCCTCTTCCAGATTTCCCTTAGCGGTTTGGAGGGCTTTGAGCTGGTCAGTTCCATTTGAGCTGAGCACCACCCGCATCTCACAAATCTCATCCTCAAGTTCCTCTACCCACTTTTTGAGGTGACTCTTGGGCGTTAAGTCGTTGACACGCTTGGCTATGCGTGGCGGTAACTTGGCTTCCGCCTCCAACTGCATCCGCTTGACCCTGGCGGTCAGTTCGTCTCGTTCGCGCTGGGCCACCGCCAAGGATTCCTTCATTTTCTGATCCACCTCGCCACCCTTTTCGCTGGCCTTGCGCAGTGTTATGAGCCGCTTGTTCTCCTTGGCCAACTTCTCGTTCTCTGACTCCAAGGCGGTTACCTTCGACAGCTGTTCCTTGAGTGTTTCCACCGTCTGATCCTTCTCCTGCATTGTCTTTCGGAGCTGAGACAATTCCTCGTTAAGGGTCTTCAGCTTCTTTTCGGCCGCACTTGTAGAGGTTCCAAAGCTCAGAAGAGATGACTTGCTTCCGTTGCTGCTGTCCTGTCGCAGTTTGGCCTGAAGTTCCTTCACATATTTCTTCGACTCGGCGTTCTCCTTCTCCAGATCCTCCACTTTAAGTCGCAGGATTGATGCCTCCTGTTCGTTTAATTCCAGGAGAATCCGCAACTCAGCCGGGTCGTCCTCGTCGGAGATTCCCTCGTCGCGATCAGCATGCACCTCGGGAGCCAAACGATGAGGATGTGGAGTGGGGCTAAGTTTGCGACCTACAGGAAAGTCAATCCATTAAAAAATGTACATTGAAAAGTTAACATTTTAGTCACAAAGTTTGTTAGCTACTCTGAATGGTAAATTAGTAAATTTTTTAGTGAAAGAGCAGCCGTAAAAAATGGCAAGTTATGCAGTTCAGTCGATTTATTAATAAGCGCGTGAAAAAATAAGTTAGTTGGATAAGTTAAGACGCTCAAAATGGGTTATTAAAAAAAAATGTATCTGCTAAGGTCATTCGTTTTTCTGGAATTTTAGTGACCTCATCACAGTTTCCTGTGGACGTTAAAGCGGAAATAACGATTCATATGTGTATAAATTGTCTACGAACTAGGGTTATGTACTTAATAAAAATAAAATGTCTACTTGGGTTCGTACTTCTGGAGCGCGTTGCCATTTTTTTCAACTGCATCATCAACGACTCATTTTCATCCTCGAAACGAGTCACCTTTTTCCTCAAATGTTCAGCCTGAAACACAAAAACTTGATTTATTGCATCTGAATAAGGAAGAACAAGGCATTAGAAATGATTGAATAAACCCATTCAAATATCATATTCATATTCGTATTCGTATTCGAGGATAAAAATAGTTCTGTTGCATGTGGAAAGCTTGAACGGAACATAAAGTGTCTGGTTCTACGAATGGTAGCTACACAAGAAAACAGATTGGATCGGATTGGAACCATCGAGGGGTCCACAGAAGCCATGGTTACCTGCACCACTCAGAAGGATGGGCGATATGGCACTGGGGAAGAGCAGAGTTTTGGATTGACCAACCCTGGAGCTCGAGGAAGCGCCAAACAAGGCACCAAATGGTAACGGTGTCGTCTCCCTTTCACTCGACACATTTCTAACCGAGAACTCCGGATCGGTTTGGGTGTTAGCTTCAGCCGAGGTCACCAAGTTGTCTATACTGGTGGATACATCACTGTGAACTATGGGCATTGTTTGTGTGCTCCGTGGAAACGCCATCACCTCTGGGACCAAATCTGGAGAAGTTTGTGTGCCACAACTGAATCTAACCCGCTTTTTTCCCCGATCCCTCAATTGCCGAAGCTTCTTGTGGAAATGGATGAAATTGATTAAAATAAACATATGTATGTGAGTCGTGTGGCATTACCTCCTCTTCAGCAAACTTAAGCTGATCCTTCAGATCCGTCTCCCGCTCAATGGAGTCCTGCAGTTCGCGCTGGAGGTGTTGTGGATCCTCCTGGGAGCCGCCACGTGTTAGGGACTCTCGGGTAATCTTAGATTCCGCTGACGTAGACTTTCCCAGAACACCCAGCATGGGAGCCTTTTTCTTGCCAGGATTGCGAAGCTCCTCTGCTTCCGTCTGTTGAAAAATTAGAGTCTTATGACTTGAAATATAGACTAATGATATATTTCACCTGTAATTTCCTGGTCAGTTCACTAGAGAATCGCAGCTCCTCCTCTAGTTTTTTCACCTTTGCACTGAGTTCGGTGTTGAAGGAACTTTGGCGCTCCTGCTCCAGGGTTTCAATCTTGCGTTCGCTCTTCTTGAGCTTGAAGCTAAGGATGCGACAGTTTTTGGTGGCCTTCTCGAGATCCTTTTGCAGGTTCGTCTTGGCCTTGACCTCGTCGTCGCGGAACGTATCCTGCACCTCATCCATCTCGGCCTGAAGGTTTAGTATCTCCTTCTTGGCAGATTGGTTCTCTTCCATCAGTTCCTCGCAGATCTGCTCCGCAGCCTGAAGCTTTCTCTTCAGCTCCGATTCGCTACCCTTGTTCTCCAGCTCTTTCATGCGAAGATTGAGCTTTCGCTTGTCTTCAGTAACGCGATCCAGCTGCTCCTTCATCTCGTTAAGCTTCTGTTGGAGATTGAGAGCCTCCGAGGCTGCAGTCCTATTAGAGGCTGTGTCCATGGAAGCGAGGCGCCGTAGCAGGATGTCGCTCTTGTCCCGCTCTGCTCGCTCCGCCCTGGCCTTCATAGCCTCCAAGTCTGCTTTCAGGGTCTTCATTTGTTCCTGAATTCCTTGTGTATCTTGGCCCTTGGATTGGGCAGTGACTGTGCTGCTGACAGCAGGCACGGTTTGTCTCTTTATTTCCTTGCTGGACACAGCATCCGGTTCCTTTCGACGAACCGTAAGGGAGCTGGTCGAGGAACTGGATGATGAGGTGGCCTTCACTTCACTGGTTCCGGAGGAGGAGGTCTTTATGGTGGAGCTGCTGGTGGTGCTACTGCTGCTGGCTGTTGTTGTGGTTGCTGCAACAGACACCTTCTTGGGGGGTAGGGCGGCACGTTTCTGTTCGGATGGAGGAGCTTGATTCAATGAAGTTCCCGACTTGCTGCGCTCCGGACGATCGGGTACCGGTGGTGGTGCTGCTCCGGATCCGTTTTCCCTTTAAACGAGTTCATAAAATTGTTAAAATTAGTGCTTTCTTTGTGTTTTAGGAATCATTATAATCTCACTCTTCTTTTCGCGGAACGGATCGCTCTCTACTGTTTTCTCGAGAGTTGAGACTGCGCTGTTTCTTTAGGAGATTCATTTTACGGACACGCTCGGCAAGACTGTCTGTCGATAGGATGACTAACTCATCTGGAATACTTGAAGTTTTACTGGGTGAGGATGTGACACGGGGTGGCGGTGTAAGGACGTGTTCCACCTGTTAGGGAAATAGGAAATAACATAGTATCTCGAATTATAGTTAAATACTCATATAATCACCTCCTTGATATCCAGGGCGGTTGTGTGACGCCGCGGAGGAACCGGCAACTTGACGGTAACGGCCACATTGTGATCCTCGGCAGCGGTAGGTCGGCTGTTGCTGCTGGAGGCAGCCGTCTGTGGTCGTCGCCCGGCATCGTCCGGCTCATCAATGTCCGGAGTGGAGGCCCAGGACTGTGGACGCTTCCTCAGCTCTACATTGAAGTGGACAACTGGGTTCAGTAAGGGCGTAAGGCGCCAGGCATGCAGGTGCGAATTGCATGTTGCAAGTTGCAGGTTGCAAGTTGCAGGTTGCATGTTGCAGATTGCAAATAGCGTTGATTTTCGCGCGTGCAAGAGTGCACGGTACAGGTAACACGTTTCATTGGTAGTAGTTAACAATAACAGTTGTTTTAAGGTAGAAATTAGTGTTGATAGAGAAAGTGAAAGAGAGAGTAGCAGATAACGATAGACAGAAGGCAACAGAGACGGCACAGTCGATGTGGGTTTGTTTTGTGCAAGCGCAGAGTGAGAGTGAAAGAAACAAACACATTGATTAAGATTTTAAACATATTATATTAAATTAAAATAGTAAAACGATATCTCAAAGTTTTCTTGAATCATAGTACTTTAAACTTTATTTTAAAAGCTACTGCTATGCTATCGTCAGTCATAATTGGAGACTTTTCCAAATAGCATGCAATAGCATTGAGACATTGAGAAATCGTTTGTCATAATTAAATGGTATTAAATGTAATTTCTGATTTATGGTTTTAATTTCCATAACACGAAAAAAAGATGACTGATATTATTCCAAATCTACATACATAAGTACGAGTAGTTCGACAACACACTTAAAAAACACCCAAATACTATAAAGTTATAGAAATATTGGCTTTTGTTTAAGAGAACGCACTCAAGTCATAGATCATGATTTAGCCCAAAGCGTTCGTTAACATTAAAATAAAACAATTAAACAGCTCTGTGACACACTAGATTTAAATAGTTTTTCTTTAGCAATAAGAATAATAGATCCATTTATACCTATATCATTGCCATTGGTTGTGTTTAAGCTGGAAAGATTTTGCGTTGACGTCCATGTCCGGGATGTGGGCCTATAGATAAAGTATCTTTTTGGTGTTTTTTCATTAAGCTAAAATCCATCCGAAAACTGACCGTGAAGTTTGGGCATCAGAGAGATTGGGAGAAGAGGCCGCCACCTCCTCTCCGGCTCTGCGGGCTCCATGCTCCTTGTAGTCCCGGAAACAGCGCTTACATCGTGTCGGATATCGGGTCTGGGGATGGAAGCCAAGTGGGCAGAGCTGATCGCCTTTCAGCGATGGATACAGATGATGCATCTGATCTCGTACAACTTGTTAGCTTTTCTTTTTCTGTAAATAAAGTTTATTGCATATTTATACATCGAATAGTGAGGCTTTTATGGGGCTTGAGTTTTACAGATTAATTTGATAAAGATTTTTTTCGTGTGAGTATTTGTTCTGTTCTAGATACATTATTTGAATGATCAACATTCGAAATTCAGTACAAAGCAATGGAATTTCTGGCATGAATCCAAATCAGAAAGGAATGTTGTTCACGTACATCAAATAGTTCGGCATTTTTAGTGGCACTTTATGTGTGTTTTTGTTATCATTCACTTAGCCGATAATCCTGAATTACAAAGTATTTTAGTTTTTATGGGGGATTTATGGCTTTGAATTGGTTACTTTTCAATTTTTATTATCGACTTAACCTGCCAAAAATAATGCAAATTTTAATGTCTACAATAATAAAGTTTTCAAGATGTTTTTTGCGATTTATATTTGAGAGGTTTGGAGGATATTTGAGGGCATCTAAATTTCGATTCATTCTTCTCAGTAGTTTATACCTTTTTTAATTAAATAATTTTTTTAGTTACCCATAACATAATTCATATTTATATTTATTTCGTTTTCATTTTGACTCAAAAGTCTAAAAGAATAGACTTAAAATTTTATTACAGCTACATATTCTTTTACTGTTTCCCTCGACGCATACCGGGTATAAAAATAATTGTAAATATAAACAATAACAAATATGTATTCCTTTATTCCGTATTTATAGAGCTATCAGGAGAGAGAAGAGCCGGAATAGATGGCCACAGGTGGAAGCTGCGCAGGAGAATCGGTTTCGTTTGCGCATGTTTTTGGCAAAAATCACAAATCCAATTAAGAGCCAGGTGAAGAGTACCGTTAAGAGCTTTCACTAACGGTATCTCTTAGCCATCTCTTTGTGGTTGCAAATCCCTAGTGCGTTTATAAATAATTACCACCGTTTTAACCCATTTACGTATGTACATATGTCCCCTTTTGTTTCTCGGCAGCGGCACTTGTAAAATGAGTGACTTTATTTAGAACACAGTCGAAAACTTACACGAAATACTTCCGCATTTAGAATAATTTGCGGCTGGATGACGGGACGGGGAATGAGGACAGATCAGCACGTCAAGGGTGCAGCATCCGCTGCAGCTGCTCTGCACTGCTCTGCTCCTCCAAGGGGCTTCAGACGATGACGATGCGGATGAGTTCGAAACTTTTAATTTACCACCACAGCGATCTACACTGGGTTGCGTAACCACCGCGATTTAGTGGTGCTTCTTGCCTTGGATTAAATAGCAACCGCTTAATTAAAGGATTCTTGTATGTGGTACAGGATACAGGCGATATCTTTCATTCACTGCGGCCACACCACACTAAACTTTCGGCCCACTCACGTTTGTTTGATTTAATTTTGGAATATTCAGTTTATACAAATCATTTACGGCCAAAAAAATTGGCTGTGTTTTATAAATAGCATAGTTTCTATTTTCTTCGTTATAAATGGCAGCGAACTTTCGCAACTAGCTTCAAATGCAGGTATTATCCGTAATGTCGATAGATCAAGTGCTGGTCTAGTGCCGTTGCTAACAGATTACAAAATATTTGTTTACAAAATTTTGAATTGGATCGTGCATTGCAACGTTTCCAAATCGGATTTTTTCACTTAAATCACACAGCACGCACACAGGCTCGTATATATATTTATATATATCTTTAATATAACCGTCGATCGCCCGAGCACTCGAAATACTTATACAAATAGCTGCATCTCTTTCCCGCTGGCCATGCGAACCGGGCGCTTTTCCTAGGCACTGATTTTGGGTTGTGAACGCATTGGAAATCGACGAGAAACTAAATTTAAAATATTTCTGAAAGCTTAAACTACCCGCCGGAGGAGCCAAAATATTCGATTCTGGTTCTCTTTTTCTCAAGAGAACCTCTGCCATCAACTAAATCATTCATGAAAATTCGAAAACTTTTCTAAATGTAAGTACGAGTTTCGAAGTTTTCGAAAACGAGCTATGCGTTTCTTGAAAATGTAATTTCTTCCTCCGATACTTTATAACAATTTTCAATTTTAATAAATACATTTTTTATAGATACTTTATAATTATTTTATTTTATTTTGTTATGCCTGAAAGACAAATAAAAGCTAAGCATATTAATGAAATTCAAAAAGGACTAGGTTCCGGTGGCTTCCTTGAAGTTTTCATACTTATCAGTTAGTTTTCCTTGAGAGTTCCAATAAGAGAACTTATCTTTTTGGTCAATCCTCGATTTATTATGGAATTTATTCAGAAATCATAAAATCGACAGAGTACATTGTACATTATACATTGGTTTGTGTGAGTGTGTTTACCTTGTTTTAAATGATGAACTTCATTGTTCGCAATGTGTATAGACATGATGCTGCAATGCGTATATATAAATAACTTAGAGATTATTAATCGCTAAGAACTAATGCAGGCTAATCGCCCAATGAGTGCACCCTGCATATGTGAGCTCCTTTGTGAGTGGGTGAGTAGTAGATAAGATGGTACAACGCGGCGATTGAAATGAAAAGCAAGCCTATTAACAACGGTTAACGTCTCCACATATCATGTTTCGCTGGTGGCAGCCACCGGTTCTTCGCCAGATTCGTTTGACGTTGTCGCAGGAGGCGGTGCACTGATTTGACTGGCTTCAGGTCCGTTGTTGTTTTCATTGGGCAACGGCTGCTCCGCCGTTTCCAACGCCACTGCCGGTGAAGGTGGTGTCTGTGACTGTGGCTGTGTTTGGTTTTGACTCTGACTCTGATTTTGACTCTGAACTGGGGCAGTGTTTAATGAGCTGTTGGCAGTCTTCGAGACTTCCGGACTGCTAAACATCTGTATTACCGAGTTATTGTTCATGTTCTCCACAGAAGCACCCGAAAGCGACAGATCATCTGCCGAGTCGTCTGCCACGCTATCTGTCTGTACACCTTTCTCCTCCAGGAGATGATCGCTTTCACGAATGGGTCGTTGGGCGGAGCCGTACTGCTTAGAGATCTGTAAAAGCTCGCGCAGTGTTTCATTTTCCATGCGCAGTTGCGAAATGGTTTGTAGCTCCTTTTGCACAACGTCGTCATCCACACTAGCCGCCCGATGCATTACGGCCGCCATTTCGTTGATTTTTTCGCGTTGCTCGCGAATCACCTGCCACATTCGCTCGTTATAGAGTTCCGTAAAGCTGAACTTACTATCCAGAACCTTGGAGACTGTGTGTTCGCGGTACTTTTGCATCATCAGCTCCATAGCCCGCTCGTAGTCCTCAATGCAAATTTTTAGCTCACGGTTCTCCTTGAGTATTTCCGAGCTGTTTATGTTCTGCTGCTGAATACGGTTGACCATATCCGCGTTGCTTTTGTTATTGGAGATGCGGTTTAGGGATTCGATGTCGTCCTGGTATTGTCGTAGGCTCTCCACCAACCTATTGTTCGTTTCCGCCTCCTCCAGAAGCGCGCTCCCCAAGGCGTCCAGATCCTTCACTCGACTAGCCATTCGCTGTGCGTCCATTATCATCTGGCCAACTGAAAGGTGCGACATCCTGAGGCCTCCTTAACTCTAAGTCAAATTACAATTGCAATTTTGCGATTTCTTTTGTTTTGGGCTAGGCCCTGTGCTGCTGACTCGACTGCAAAAACAATTGGAAAAACAGTTTCAAACATTAATGTTTTTGTCTTTTAAAGCTCAGAAAATAGACACTTACGTTTTGTATGGCTCTGATGCAGCTTTCTTTCTAAGTTAGCAGCTTCAATAATTTTTCCAGCCAAAATTTTATACAAAAAACGCTACTAATAGAAATTTTGACGACGACCCAATTATTAGCTGACAGCTGACAGTGTGCCCACCCTGCGATGCCGCAATATACTGTTTGATAAACAAAATATACTAAATCTACTAAAAATACCGTAGATTCCCTATAAGAACAAGAGTTTGTAATTTATAAATTTTAAAATTTTGTTATTCAGAGAAGTTTTATCTTAGGTTTTTACATCACTAGGCTTAATGTTTTAATTAAATATCAATTTTAACAGGTCGGATATGATATCAATGATCAAAGAAATAAAATAAAGGCCTCATTGAACTAAAGATTTGTCATTAAATGTTAAAAATTTATTTTATATTTAAGAATTAAAAAATAAAAACTTTTTTCAAAATATTTTTTAAAGAATGGATTCATCTTTATTAATATTTAGAAAATTGAATTTAAACGGTGGGTGTCTTTTCGATGCCTAAATTTATAATTTTCGGTTGCAGAATTTCTGCGTATAATTATTTAAGATCATACAGGTAAAAGAAGCTAAAAGCTTTATTGTCATTTTTGTAAAATTATTAAGAAACTATCAGTACAAATTTTGATCTTATCGCGAAAAATGGAAGACTTAAACAAGAATGGTCGTAATGCTATGTTCTTAAATGATCATGCATGTGTATGTCTAGTAATCTCTATTTAAGTACCTTAAAACTAGGCGGTTTTCATATAAGTACAAATCAAGGTCTTTTCATTTAAAGTTGCAGATAAAACAGAGGTAGAGGAATAATAGAATAATACATCGGGCGTAGGGATGTACAGACTAAAGATCACGAAATTACGGAGATTACACACCAACACTGTTAAGACTGCCGGAAGAGAGGTTCTCGGAGCGGCTGGATAGCCGGGGTCGTTTCATGAGGACCCGATTTGGCTTCACCGGATTGTCTACCGGACCCAGGTCGGCGGATTGGTTGAGATTATTGTTGTTACCGTTGCTGGATCCAGCACGTTCCAGCGTGCGTTGGGAGCGCCGCAACGAGGAGGAGGACATCCGCCGCAGGCCGGGATCATAATCATAGGTGGGCTGGCGCTGGAAGTATGTCATGTCGTGTTCGGTGTCGTTCTTCTCATCTAGTGGCTGCTGCTGTTGCTGGGCCAAAGGGTTCAAAGTGATGTGAATGTGTCGAGATCTCTGCCGCTGTTTGGTTGGCGAGCAGCTATCCAAAGGGACAAAATCCTCTCTTAGCTCAGCCATTCGCGGCTTGTTTTGGCCGCCACCTCGATGAGCCCGTGAGTTCCGGCGTCGCCACATACACAGACATGTGGTGACTATGAAAAGGATTAGCACGGCTCCGCCCCCAATCGTTCCTGTGACTATGGGGCTCATGCTGAACGTTTCGTTGTGGCTTGGCGTAGTTGTGTCACGCACACCCGTCTGAAGGATTGGCTCCTCTGTGGTGCTCATCTTGGGACGTTGAGTACGGCCTTGCTTTAGAGCACTAAACTCGGAAGCCGACTCAGCGCTAAAGGACTGCAGCTTGAATTCATAGACTGTGCCCGCTTCAAGGTTTCCTATCTTAAAGCTGCGTGAGCCGGCACCTTCTATGGTAGCTTTAAAGTACTCTCCCGCCGAGGACGAGGGACGGTAATAGGCGTAGTATCCAATTATAAGCTGCTCGTCGGCGTCGCTGTCTAATCGCCAATGTAGAACCACTGCAGTCTCGGAGTACTCCTCGATTTCCAACATCTCCGGAACGGGCATTGGGTCAAGGGCTGCACCAGGTTGTAGGAAAAACTTAGCGGACATGTTGCTCTCCTTATTGTCGTTGTTGGTATACACCGCCATAATCCTAAATCGGTACGTGCGCTGGGGCTTTAAGTCCGTCACAGAGGCAGTAAAGCTCTTTCCCATTTCAGAGTTCCATTCTGGACGCCCATAAGGTATGTTCTCGTTGGTGGTCTGCCAATTCTTGCGCTTTCCTTCACCCACCGTACGGTACTGGACTTTAAAGAAGAGGATGGCAAGGCCATCGTTTCGCGGCACCATCCAGCGCAACATTACGGATTCATCGGAGAGCCGGGTCACATTCGGAGCTGACGGAGGGATCATCTGCGCCGGTCGTCGTCCTCGATTAGCCTTGGAATGGTTGTGATCCGTTTGTTGGGTAGACTCGCTATGAATCGGTTTGGGAGTCACTTGAAGGGACATACCGGCGCTATGTTCGCCCAAGCTGTTCCGAGCAAAGCACTGAACGTAGCCAGCATGGCGCTTCAGCACGCTGTGAAGCACCAAGTGGCCATTCGGCAATTGTTCAGCTTCGGTGTCGTAAATGCTACTTTTTCCATTAAGCATCCAGTAAATCTCCGGTGTTGGCACTCCTGTGGCCTCGCACGCCAGCTGGACGCGTTCGCCTTCATTGACCATGTCTACCCACGGTGGACGCACAATCTGTGGAGGTTGTTCCACTTTCACTTGAATGAAATGCTCCAGGGCAGGTCGCACTCCGTTGTCCAGGTAGCAGATGTAGGTCCCTGAGTCCCCTATTTGCACGTTGGATATCTCCAAAGCATGGGCCAATACTGTTGTACGCTTATTATTAACAGCTCCCGCGATGTCTGGACTGCTCCAAACAGCTTTCGGAGGGGGCGAGCCCACACCAGGACACAGCAACATGAGGGTGCCGCCCTCAACCGCTGTTACTGTTTGAGAGGTTGGCTGACCTGTTAACAGGAAGGGAGCTTTGCCCTGAGAGCCACGGGCAGGCACAACCTGAAGTTCCATGGAGCTAGTAGACTTGATTCTCTCCCCAGATGCTGGATTGGTGGCTTGGCATGAGTAGCTGCCGGATGAATCAACAGAAACATTGCGTAGGAATAAATTTCCTCCGGTTCCCGAGTACTCCGATCCTAGCTCGACTCCATTCCGGTAAAAGGTCCAACTAGCCGCTGGATTGGAACGCACCGGCTGACCACAAGGCCAGAGCAGCGAGTTTCCGTTGGTTACTTGCCATTGCAGCGACGCCACCGGCTCCTGACTTTTGACAGACGTAGTAGCCAACTCCAGTCGGGCTGTAGTGGAGGTAACCAACAGGGGTCCGAACCAGCCATTGCAGCGGTACTCGCCTAGCGTATCCTGCCGGACAAGAACCTTCAGTCTGGATATAGCCGCCTCCTGGGTAACGTTGGCCTTCATTGAGCTGGTTTTAAGATACTTGAAACCTGCTCCTGGAGATCCATTGGAAGCAGTGCCATTCGGCGTCCAGCGACGATAACTCCATTCGAAACGTTCTGGCGGCAAACTGGTCTCGCACTCCAGAACCACCTCGTCTCCCAGGGGCGCCACCAGGGATTCGGGGGGTCGGAGAATTTCGCACCCAGGCGATGGGTAAACAGGCAGGGGCGGAGAGGATGGGTACAAAACCGGAATTGCTCCCAGCGGCGACGTCAGCAGAACGACAAGCAGCAGCGAGGACACTATAGACGGCATTTGGTGCCTAAATATGAGATAAAAAAATTAGGATTCTAAACAAAGGACTCATTGCACACTCACTTTGATCTCGGAACTGGGGGAGATGCAGGTGGGAAACGCGTTTGCGTTTGCGCAGTTAAAAATTTTCAGTCTCGGCAATCGCGCATCACTTGTGACTTTTGTATATCTGTGTCTGTGTATGTATGTGTGTGTGTGTGAGATAGAGGGCTTGAATTAAAATCGAATTTTCTCATTAAGCGTTAACAACCGCCAACGTCCCATAAAATAGTTGTCTTTTTCAATTCGGGCTTCGATCGATTTCGGATCGGGGACCCCGACGCCACCGAACAAGCACATGCACTCAACAAGTCAAATAAACAATGGTACTTAATATGCCGTGGGGATGCTGCAACCGAAATATCGAAATGCGATATATTTTTTATGTATTTTTGATTACTATAGTATAGTTTATTTATTATTTAGGTTCATATTATATATTTATATTTTATATTTTATTTATGATTTATGAATACCAAGCCTTGGCCCGGGCCCCTGACGGTGTTTTAGTTTTTATTTGAGAGTAAAATTTACTCACTCGTGAATCTGAGCCAGATCGTGCGTCTGAACCAGATCACCAGTTCCAAGATCACTGGTTCATGGCGCCTACAGGCGGCACTCAAAGCGATCAAACGCTCAGAATCTAAGAATATATTATTAAATATAAGAATTATATACTAAGAATTACATTATGTGTATGCTTGTGTGTCCAATTATGTGTAATGCTTGTCTTCCAGGACTTGAGAATTAGACAGTTTTCGTTAAGATCCATATTGCTTGAGGTAAAAAATTTAAAATAAATAATGTCACTTAGAAGTTTCAGTATAAAATGTATACTAAAAATACATAAAATGAGACATTATGTAAATTAAAGGTTCAATTATTTTCCCATTTATAATGAATAACATTTAACGGTCGAAATTAAACACGCTCATTATTAAAACCATTTATTAGTGGCACGGGGACAATTAAAAGAGTATTAGTAAAATATTTGTATAAATCTAAGCTTACCAAAAGTTACTGAGAGAACTTTGTTTAATATTTTGTAAACGAAGCTATGGCTAAGTCTTTAGTCTTTATTATTTTGCTGATGAATGCATTGCCATGGAAGACGGTAAATCGTTAAATTATTTTTTAAAATATCTTTTAAACAATCCATTTTAAGCTTTGTGAACCCTCCATTATATACAAGCTGATAAACATTGAATGCAAATCAAGCTTAGGATTTTCAGCAAATCCTAATTGCTATTTAAAGGCAATAAATTGGAATAAAGCCGTAGCCCAAATGGATGTAGATGTAACAAGGTTGTTAAATAATATTTCGGTATGTTTTAAAAACAGTTGATTTAATCATTAAAAATTGACTTTGTTTAACTTTTTTCAGCTTCGGATCCATGTCTCAAAAAAGGACTACAGTAATAAATATCAGCCCTTCCTTATAAATGTTCTCGTAAACATCTGCGATGTACTATCGAAGCGAAATTTTTTACCATACGGTATTATGTTCAAAAAAGTGGCCACGGAGTTCTCAAACTTTAACCACAGCTGCCCCTATAAAGGTCACTTATTTGCGCGAGGGTTTTATTTGGATGGTAAGGTACTTCCTAACCAATTTCCATTGGGAATTTACAAAGTTAATGTTACAATACTGGAGGGTTACACGAACAAGCCATCTGACTACGTTGGGGCAGTTATTGCGTACTTTCAGGTAATGCAACCTTTCAAGAAGAATAAAAATAACAAATCATAGGTCCCCAACGGAGTCAGACCTTAAATATGGAAGACTAGCATATATTCAATAAAAAACATTTTATTGAATAAAAAAAACTAAAAAAAACATTTTTTTAATCAGGGTTTTAATGGTTTAAGCTCTAATTAACATTTTCCAAAAATAACTAGGTTATAGGCATCCTTAGACTTAAAAAAACTTGTACTTTTGGATGGTTAAACTGCTGAATTATCAAAATAATAAAAGTAAATAACACAACTAATTATTTTTTATTTTTAAGTCAATATTTTGATTTCCATTTTTCGTGATGTGATTTTTCGTGATCCCTTAAAAATGGGGTTTTCACCTATATGGCCCACGGTGATGGCTACATCTTTCCCAATTCTTATATGATTCATAAGCGGAGTATCTTAAACGGTTTCTGGATCGATTCGCCACCATTCTGCATCAAAATCCCGAGACAAAATATTTTTCCGATTTTTTGTCCATTTTTTGTGATGGGATCTCTTGAAAATGGGGTTTTCCCCTATAGGGTCCACAGTGATGGCTATATCTCTGTCCGTATGTACGTCTGTTTGTCTGGGTCAGTGGCGGATTTAAGGAAAAAGGCCCAGTGGGCAAAATTTTATCAGGGTACATTGAAGGGTATTTTGAAAGGGAACGCCCAGAAAATTTGACAAAAAATCTTAAAAATATTTTGTTCCCAGATTTTGATGCAGATTTATGAAGAATCGATCCACAAATCGTTTAAGGTATTCCGTTCAAGAATCGGATGAATATTTCCTAAGATATGGCCTTCGCAGTGGGTCATACAGGGCTCCCCATGCATTTTGCACATTTTGAAGGGGACAGCCCAGAAAATTTAACAAAAAATCTTAAAAATATTTTGTTCCCAGATTTTGGTGCAGATTTATGGAGAATCGATCCACAAATCGTTTAAGGTATTCCGTTCAAGAATCGGATGAATATTTTCTTAAGATATGGCCTTCGCAGTGGGTCATACAGGGCTCCCCATGCATTTTGCACATTTTGAAGGGGACAGCCCAGAAAATTTGACAAAAAATCTTAAAAATATTTTGTTCTCAGATTTTGATGCAGATTTGTGGAAAAGAAATCGAAGGTGTAACTTTCAGCACGAGGGGCCCTGAAAGCCTTTCGTCGGGGGGGGCCAGTGGGCAAGCGCGCCTTTGCCCACCTGTTAAATCCGCCACTGGTCTAGGTCTACGCGAACTATCAATGGTTCATATATCAAGGGTATATGAACTTCGACTCCGCCCAAAGTAAGCTTTCCTTACTCGTTTTTTGTAATTTAGTATTTTCTTAAACATATGTACATATGGCCTTTAAATTAGAAGCGGAGAGAGTTTCAAAATTCGCTTCGGGCTGCTTAACTTCTCATCCGATTCTCAAGCGGAGTACCTTATACGATTTCTAAGTTGATTCGCCACCATTCTGCATCAAAATCCTGAGACGAAATAATTTTGAGATTTTTTGTCCATTTTTTTTATGGGATCCCTTGAAAATGGGGTTTTTACCTATATGGCCCACAGGGATGGCTATATCTTCCCCAATTCTCATCCGATTCTTAAGCGGAGTACTTTAAACGATTTCTGGATCGATTCGCCACCATTCTGCATCAAAATCCCGAGACAAAATATTTTTCAGATTTTTAGTGATGGGATCTGAATGCAACTGAGAAGTATTAGTTTAAATATGTAAAAGCAGATCAAACAACTGTATCGAATTTATCGAAAAAAAATAATGCAGCATTTAATAGTTATATGTATACAACGTTTTTATATTTGAATATTGTAACTTACAAGCTAGCTTATCAGAAAATATTACAAATGTAAGCAAAAATAGATGCTTAAATTAATCGGTTGAGAGTTGTGAAAGTTAGCGAATATTATGCCGGTGGCTTCTGCACTTTGGCCAACTCCGCTTTGAATTTTGAAATAGTTTCCCGGGCCAGCTTTAGTTTGTCTTTAAGAGTAACAATCTCTCCTTTGACCTTTTGTTTTACATTGACAATATTGTCAAGGGTCTTGATCTTTTTTTCCTCAACTGCAAAATAAATTAGAAATATAGGTTTAGAGTGGCTACGTAGTTAGGGTAATTGCATACACTTACAATCAGTGTCGTGCGTTAACATTCCATTGGCGCTCTGATCCGAGAGAAGCAGATAATGCTGCATAATCTGGGTTGGCTCCTGAAAGACAATTTCTTCGTAGGACTCTGAAACCAGGCCTTTCTTTGTGTCCATCGTGGTACTAGACGTGAGTTCGCCATCAACAACCGGCGACTGGAATAGCTTCAAAATGTGGTAGCAAGTCACTGGGCGCTCCGACTGGTCGTTAAAGTAGATTTTGATAACCACTTCAAACTCGCCCCAGCCGGTCTCTGTGATCTCATATGGGGGTTTTACGACAATTCGGTTTGGATTGGCATAGCTCTCGTGTAGCTTAAAGTGCACCTTTTTAACATAAGAGGACATGTCTTCATTGTAATAGGGCTTCAAATAGACCTTCCACTGATGTGTGTGTCCGTCCTCCTCGCGCTTTTTACCGAAGGAGCGTGCTATGTTTCCATATACAATTGGTTTAACAATAGTCACGCCCTTCAGCCTGCCACCAGAATCTCCCCCGAATTCAGTCATGATTTACTTAGTTATTATTTGTTTATTCTTCCTGAATTTCGGATTGTTTTGATTCTTCTTCTTCTTTTGGAGAGCGGCGTTTTTGTTATCGAAAATCGACAGTGATGCGTACATTTAGTATAAGATAAGTAATGTAATTTAAATATGTTTTTTTTACGAAAAGATGCACTTTAAAGGTTCAGATACGTTTTTACCTACTTGTATCTACAGACATGGGATGCTTGTCAAATTAGCGTAGCTCAGTTAGCATTGTTGAGCTAGAATACCTATATAGATTAGTATGAAAAATTTGATATTTTATGATAACATACATTCCAATGCAACGAATGTATTAATGTTAGGAATACATTTATTCAAATAAAAGTGTAAAAAATAGAATAAAAAAAAATATAGAGCAAAAGAACACAACATAAATTAATAATATTCATAATAAATAATTTTAATTATTAAAAAAATAAAATATATTTTAGAACAATTGAATTGAATACGATAGTTTTATTTTTTTTGTTTCTTTCCTTTGTTCCAAATATCGCAATATAATGTATGGTTGTGTGCAGCTTGATGTGCGTGTGTGTTTTGGTTTGTTTATCATCTACAAAGGACGCAAACTATTTAGAACCCGATTTTATAAATATTTCAACTAATAATGGCAGAAATGGAGTGTCAAAGCAGCAAAATGTCGGTCACAGAGGAAACATCCGCGGTAATGCACTATTTGATGTTGAATAAGTATCCATTTAACTATGGATTAGTTCATATGCATGTGTTTATTTACCTTGATTTAATGCGCAGTTAGTTTCCTTTGTGTGTTACTTGAAGAAAAAACGAAACTTTGAATTTAAAATATAAACATGCAAACAGCCTTGTTTTAGTAAACAATAAACTTAATATTAAAATATAAGAGAATTACTATATATTTTAAATAAATAAATTCTTATTTTATTAGACCCGCAAAGAATGTGGAAAACGAGGTCGAAAGCCTGGGAGAAAGACATCTGCAGAAAAATTGGATATAAAGGCAAAGCTTGGTAAGAATTTATCATTTAAACAAATTCTTTTTGTCTCTTCAGCTGGTGGATAAAAAATAACTCGAGTTATACTTGTAGCGAGATTGGAATTCAACGTTTTCTTACATTCTTATTAAAACACCAATTAAAATCCTACTTTTCTTTCGCTATTTTAGAACGAAGCAGGCAGAGTGCTAGAGAATGCCGAGCCAGAAAGAAGCTACGCTATCAGTACCTTGAGGAGTTAGTTGCGGATCGTGAGAAAGCAGTTGTGGCTTTGCGGGCAGAACTGGAGCGCGTCGGTATAGAAATTGTAATGTCTAGTTCAACATATTTATTTATTCTTCTCAATGTTGCAGTTAATTCAATGGAATAGACAAATGAATGAAAATGTCACACCAAACAACAATGACCAGTTGCTAAAAGAAATCGGAATTCTTAAACAAGAATAACATTTCAAATACATTTACCTGATTTATTACGTTGAAGTTACTTTATATTATTTGTATAATAAATATAGATTTAAGACAACCCACAGTGTTTTACCGTTAGTTAAACAACATTTTGAAAGAAATGAAAATGGGATTTATTTTTCCAGTAAGGAAATATTTAATTTTTAAAATATCTTACAATTTCGCATTTGTGGGATAGCCCACCTCAACCCTTAAAGTTTTGGTATATTTTTCTACTTGGCCTACGGCCACATTTAACCCAAGCTAAAAAGGAAAAGAAATGTAAACATACATATTTGTGTTATCAAAGTTAAAAATCCATCGAATCTCGCAAATTAAACCATTTCAAGCTAGCTTATGTATACATTTATTATCTGTAACTCCAACTCTAGCTTTATAAAAAGATAATATGGCGTTAAATGGGTTTTTAGAGTTTTTTCAAAAGGGCAAGGTAAGTACGCTAGATATAGATACAGATATTCCGGCGGCATAAAATGAAAACCTATCGGGGAAATAAAAACAATAATTTTCCATAGACCTTTAGGCCAAAGAAGCCGTTTGCCTCGGGAACAATTCGTTACTCTCTTCACAAACAGGCCCAGGTAATTTAAAACTATATATAATTTAATTCAATTAACAAGACGTATTACTAAAATCAAAATAAACCTAAAATTGATTCCTAAATTTAAGGCTAGTTTGCAATCAGGGATTAATTTGCGTCAAGTGGTTCGACTTCCGCAAGGGGAGAATCTAAACGACTGGTTGGCTGTGCATGGTGAGAATTATTAATATTATTATGTGCATACATATGCAGACGTGCATGTGTCCTCCTTTCCTTATATTTATATCTATTTATAAAAAAAATGTTCATTATAGTTGTGGACTTTTTTAATCGAATCAATCTCATATATGGCACTGTTGCGGAGTATTGTAATGAAACGACTTGTCCCACAATGTCTGGTGGCTCACGATATGAGTATCTTTGGGCCGATGGAGATCTGTAAGTGCAAAAGTTTACAGCAGATATTTAAAAGATCTAACAAATTAAATTTTTAGATACAAAAAACCAACAGCTCTTTCAGCTCAGAAATATATAGAGCATTTAATGGACTGGATTGAATCTCAAATTAATAACGAAGCAGTGTTTCCTTTATCGACCGGTAATACACTTTTTGTATATTAAATTTTACAAAGTTAACTATCAATTATTAATTATTCATATATTTCAGATGTTCCTTTTCCTAAAAACTTTTCTGCAATAAGTCGTAAGATTTTAACCCGGCTTTTCCGTGTTTTTGTTCATGTTTACATACATCACTTTGACAGGATTGTCAGCATCGGGGCTGTGAGTAATATATAAATTATTATGATGATTAAACCACTAATAACATTTTTAAATTTTAGGAAGCCCATGTTAATGCTTGTTACAAACATTTTTACTACTTCGTGCAAGAGTTTGAGATGATATCGGCCAAGGAACTGGAGCCCCTGCAAGAAATGACATCTAGAATATGCAAAGACAAAGATTAAATATAGTTCTGCGCTTAAATGTGCTGTAAATATGTATTAAACAATAAAAAATAAAACTGCTTAGTGTAGTTCTATGTCTACGATGTCCAAAACCTACGCGTTTATGAATTTTCTAATAAAATAGTAAAAGTTGGTGTGAATAGACGTTCTGGTATATTTTTAGTATTTTATTGCGACTGCTGTGGTATATTTTGGGAGGGTTCGGCAACAAAAGATTTGGTCGCTCTGATGTAAACACAACAATTACTCGCATAAATAGATTTTATGCTGATTTGTTTTTCTTTTTCAAGCGTGACTTAAAGCTTTGTGCGATATGGAAATGGTAGACCCAGATGCACATTTGGTGGCCTTAAAAGGTATAAAAAATTAAATGAAATCGGAAGACTTACGGACCTTTTCTGCCCACTTTTTAGTTATGCGCCTTATGCGGCCCACTTTAGTGGGTCTTGGGCCGATGGTTACCTGTGAGCCCACGGATCTGGTCCAACGATTTAACTACACCCAAGAGAGCGACGGCATTACAGGGGCTGGTGCGGAAACCTTGGCAGCAGGTCAAGTTCTGCTTTTGCCTCAATCCTTTGGGAGCATATACTTGGGGGAAACATTCTCGAGCTACATTTGTGTCCACAACACCACAACGCATCCGGTGGAATGTGTCACCGTTAAGGCCGATCTACAATCTAACACTTCACGCATCAACTTATCGCTCCACGAGCATGTGAAGTCGCCGGTGGTACTGGCTCCTGGAGGCACAATTGATGACGTTATTCGTTACGAAGTCAAGGAAATCGGAACACACATGTACGTAAAGGATTTCCGTTAAAACTCAATTGTTAATAATAATCTCATTGCCGAAATTAAATACTACTAGACTTGTATGTGAAGTGAATTACACAACTCCGGCTGGCTTTGCCCAATCATTGAGAAAGTTCTTCAAGTTCCAAGTCCTTAAACCATTGGATGTAAAAACAAAGTTCTACAATGCTGAAATCGACGAAATATATTTAGAAGCCCAAATTCAGAACGTTACCACCAGTCCTTTCTGTCTTGAAAAGGTAGAGTTGGACAGTTCCGAGGACTATTCTGTGACTCCGCTGAACACACTGCCTAATGGGGAGTCTGTTTTTACAGTGAAACACATGTTACAGCCCAACAATAGCTGTCAATTCCTTTACTGCATCAAGGTAAGTTAATTTAAAGTTCGGAAAAGATGAAAATAAATATCATTCTTCTTTTTGATCAGCCCAAAGCAGATATTGCGAAGGATATAGACACCCTGCGCCAATTCAATAACGTTGGCAAACTGGACATCGTGTGGCGGTCGAATCTTGGTGAAAAAGGCAGACTCCAGACAAGTCAGCTGCAACGATTGGTAAGAGCTTACAGAACTATAATATTTATATAGTTAATTCCTTGCTTTTATAGCCTTTTGAATGCAAAACTCTACGATTGGAAGTTATCGATGCAAAGAATACCATTAAAATCGGCACAGTGTTTACCTTTAAGTGTAGGGTAACGAACACATCCGAACAAGCAATGAAACTAAATGTTCGGATGGTCTCCAAATATTCCCCTGATAGTCAATACTCAGGGTGTGCCGATTTTATGCTGAATTTGCTAAAAAGTGGCGAAAGTGCAGAGTTTCCACTGTCTATATCTCCATCAAAGTTGGGTCTTATTAAGGTTTCTCCGTTGATATTGACGAATACCCTACAAAATGAACAGTATACCATTGAGAATGTGGTCGATGTGTTTGTAGTAACATCGGATTATAACAACGACCCTACAACTCTTCAAAATAAGTTAATTCGTTATGAAAGTGCTGCAAACTGTTTGACGCAAAAACAAGTGCAATTGCAAGTTGTGTAAAATTTTGTGTAAATAAATGTATATGTTATATAAAAACGTTATTTTATTTGTAAATGCTGCATATCTTTTTATTTTTAAATATTTAAATTATTTAGTTCATTTTTAAATTACTCAACGTTCAAAATAATACCTACAAAAGTAATATGGTATTTTTCAAGAACCTTCATATCGGTCACATCAGTTTAATGTTTTGATCACAACACATTATACCGGAGATGTTACGAAATGCTTGCTTATTTTCCACGCAATTGGCAAAATGCGGTTTTCAAACAAACTTCTCCATTCGAGGCATGGCGGGCCATTCAAAATGGGCCAACATTAAACATACAAAAGCCCTGAAGGATGGAGCAAGGGCCACTCTTTTCGCAAGACTTTCGAGGGCTATCCGCATGGCCATTCAGGAAGGAAACTCCGCAGATCCTGCGATAAACTCCCTACTGAGGACCGAAATTGATCGGGCTTTGAAACAGAACATGCCTAGCGGTACAATACAAAACACGTTAGCCAAATTCAAAACTAGTAAGGTTCAACTAAAGAAGTGCCGGTTTGACATTCGTTACAAAAGAAACGTATACTTGATATGTGTTCTTTATACGGATAATTTTTCTGGAGTTAAGATGGATGCGACGGCGATGATAAAGAAATCTGGGTAATTTGACATTCATAAAATGATTGTTATCAAGTTATAAAGCAGATTAATTCATCAGAGGTGAATTCATGGATGTTGGCCACCTGTTCGAGGATTTTGGTTTAATACAGGCCAAGTTTGATACCTCGAAGCTCGTTGACGGATCCAGTCTGGAAGATAAAGCCACTAATGATGCAATTGAGTTGGGTGCGGAAGAGATTGAAGTTGTTGACAACCAACAAGGAGTAGTAAATGTAAATAATAATTGCATTTTTTTATTCTATATTAACCTGGCTTTGTTTCTTAGTTTTTATGTAGTCCCATTGTGTTAAATAGTTTAGCAAATAGCTTATCTAAAGTTGGATATAACATCGACAGTAGTGAACACATCTACTCTCCATTGGTAAGAACTAATAGTGTGTTGTGTATTAATTTATTAATATTTTGTGATTTCACAGAATCCAGTGCAATTGTCAGCAGAAGAACAAAAAGCCTACGATGTCTTCATAGAGAAACTAAGAAATATTCCAGGTTTAGAAGATATTTATGACAATGTTGAATAATTTTTTACTCTAAAAAAATATACTGCTGTTATAAAAAAATTTATTTAAAAAAAATGTTTCATTTTACTATAAAATGGGTTAAAAATAATAAATATATATCATTTTAAAAACAAAAACAAATTTTAATTAGAAGTTTAAAAAATTTTAATATTTTAAAATCTTAATAGAATACCGCACTTAAGTTTTTGTTCCATTCCGAATGTTCCACACTCGACCTAATCTCCACCGTATGCTTAAAGCTTACATAAAACTCTCGGGTACCCCTAACCAAATGAGCTCTCAAAATCACTGGTCGAAATCAACACATTAAAATTATGAATTATTTGAAAGTAATTAGAAATAATTGGAAAAAATGTACATTCGGAGCAGTTGCCTCGGCGTATGGCTTTCATTCGCTGAAAACGCACATTGAGTATGCATTCAGATATCAATGGAAAAGTATGAAATATAAACAACTAACCTCTTTCCCTTCAGAATTGAGAATCATATGAGAGCGTTCGCCACAGATGTTCAGGTAAATTGTCAATCCGACCGGCTGAAGAAGGTGCTTGTGGTCATGAATCCCGTGGCGAACAAAAAGAAGTCGGAGAAGTTCGTAAGTAGCTGACATTCAGTTGACCAAGATCCTATTGTCCTATGTGTAGCTTTTCAGTTTAAAAACTACTGTGAGCCGATTCTGCACTTAGCCGGGTATTCAGTGGAGGTGCTCCGGACCAACCAAATCGGACATGCCAAGTCCTATATCGAGGAGATGGCGACACTGCCAGATGCCATTGTCGTGGCTGGAGGAGATGGAACGTCGTCGGAGGTTGTGACTGGCCTGATGCGTCGCCGCGGTAATTTGTGTCCAATCACCATTCTGCCATTGGGACGCACGGTTCAGTCAGCATCCAAGCACTTTAATATCCTCGGGGTGAAGGACTTCGAATACGTCAAATCCCTTTGCCAAGCGCTGGAACCCATGCTCAAGGACAAGTGCAAATACCAAAGTGTGATCCGATTCGATGTTATTAACGAGGAGGAGGGTGCCGACAACCATTTAAAGCCCATCTTTGGCCTCAATGGCTTCTCGTGGGGCTTGCTGGAGAATATCGAGTCTACGAAGGATAAGTATTGGTACTTTGGACCACTTCGTCATTATGCTTCCGCCGTCTCGAGATCGTTTGCGGATAACTTGAGTCTGAAGACTGAATATGTCTACACCCCTCCCTGTCCAGGCTGTGTTGATTGCATTTCCGAGCAGCGTGAGGAAACCGTAGCTCCGTCGGGCTTGTTCACCAGAAACATTTTCAAGTACAAAAAGAACTCGACGGGACCGGCGAAGGTCCTAGTCAAGAATGAGAACTGCAGCAACCGAATTCAAGGTAGCATTGAGGCTAATCAGATTAACATCAACTGCACGCAGAACGAAGACAACTTTTCGGAGCTGGAGAGCCAGTTTATAAGTTCCCTGAAGCCGGGCTGGGAGTTCATTAAGAAAATACCGGAAATCACAGATAGTAACGTTTTGCCGAACTTTGTTTTAAAGAGCCGAACAATCCAACTCTATCCGACCGGCGAACTGGCGGCAGATACGTTTTATTCCATTGATGGGGAGGAGTATGATGCTAGACCCATTAAGGTATCTGTTATTCCCAATGCTATTAAAGTTTTTTGTTGAAATTTTAAATGTGTATATTAATTGATTTTGATTAAATGGCGCTATCAATATAGCATGACACATTCACAGCAAAAGTTAACTGCTATTTCCTCCCAAATCCATAGCTGCGTATAATCATTCTTAAATTTCTCAGCGGTGATCAAAATCAATTTATCGTTTATTCGAATGCATGAGCCAGTTTTACGGCGCAGAACTTTTATTGTAAATGATTTTGGCTTGCAATTAAAGTGATCGTACCAACATTTTTTGGCAATACACTCGATGGAACGGATATAGCGTGGAAAGTAATTTAAGCCTAAGTCAATCCAGTTGATCTTCGATGAGCACTCCCAGGGACGTTGCTTGAATCCATCGATTCGCGAATGGCTCATCCGATCCATGAAGACGCTTCTAGTGCGTACACTCTTGCTCTTCGGAGATTCCTTTTTACCCACCAGCGCAAAGTGATTCGTTTCCCAGGCGGCGAAATCGCTGATGGAAATAACATCGCTGTCAGCGTAGAACGGCAACTCGTACGATGATCGCTTGTAGCCCAGCTGGTAGCTTTTCTCCTCGGGCTCACCTGGCGGATCGATGCTCATGTAACGGGGATTGAAGGCCTGACCCAGAATTTTACTCAAAGATTGGGTGGAGAGCTCCGCGCAGTAGTCGGTCTCCTCTTGTGCCGATCCAGCGGCTGCGTATAATGTTATGCAAACAGCCAGCCATTTGAGTTCTTTCATATTTGGAGTTGTTTTTGCAAACACATTTCCGATTAAAACTATGGTTGCCCTGGCCGTGTAATTGTTTCTATCGTTTATCCTCAAAATAATCGCTTTGTATTATGTGGGTAGAGTTAAACCTCTTTAAATATTTTAAAGAAATTTTAATATGAGAAAAAAAGGACCTCTAAAAATTAAACAGCAAATAAACTTAGGTTTGGGTACTCGAGATATGTGTGATCTTAATTAGTATTATTATTTTATCGTCAGCTCTAAAAGCTTTATGAGAACAACACCCACCAAGTTTTCAATTGTCAGCTGTTTGTGTAATCCGTTAGTTTTTCTTCATAACACGTACATATAAGATAATATGTCGTAAAATATACATTTATTAAATCTGAGTTATTAAAAATGATTCATTGTATTACAACTATTGAGTGTATGCTAGTCCTTGGGTTCTGTGCAAAGTAAATGAATCGTACACGCGCTGCAGCTCCGACAGCCGGTACTCCTCTAGGCAAACAATGCCCTGGAGAGATGGCGACAATTTCAGTGCGCATGATAGACAATGAACCACGTGCCGCTTCTCTTGCTCTTTAATAAACAGCACATTAAAGACTTCAACCTGCAAGTACCAAAGGACGATGGTTTCAAATATATTGGTTTAACAAAGATTATGAATAAACTCACCTCACATTGACCGCAATAATGCGATGCCTCGTTCTTCCCACGACCATTAAAGCGTATTTCCACCCCCTTTGATTTCACATACTCTTGTATATGCAAGACATTTTTTAAAGTTTGCAACAAGCACATTCTAAAAAAGATAATACAAATAAAATATTATATTTATTTTAAAGTTAAAAAAACAAGAAAGGAAAGCTAACTTCGGGCGGATCTTAAGTTGATATCAGACAGACCGACGCACATTTTCAGGAGGTTATCCTGATCAAGACTATACTTATGATATACTTTATAGAGTCGGAGATATTTCCTTTAGCACATAGACACCAAAAAGAAAATTACTTACTTGATTAGTTCAAAAAGTTTTGTGTCAGAAACTTTGATATTTCTAGCCAGGTTCCAACTTAAATGAACCATGGGCACAATACTTTTGAAGGCTTGCAATTTATTCCATTCATATCGTTCAATAGCAAGTGAATATTGACGAGCTGTTAATGGTCCGACATTCCAGGCAATATTATTACACCATCCAACTGATTGTACCCAATGGACACACCTAGAGTACGTAAAATCGTTAAGAGAATGAGATCAAACTGACTTGATTTCCACTTACCCTGCATTGACCCAGACTAAGTCTCCTGGTTTTTGTATAAATCTATAAACTGGAATATTCTCCTTGTATAAATCTTCCAAAACAGGCCACCACGAGCCGTGCAAATAGCTAATGTTGTTTTTCTCACAAAGATTGTGAACACCGCCCCAGTAGGCATCGGGCACGGCAAACCACTCGCAATCTCCTGGTCCGATATTAATATTAATTGAGCAAAAATTATTGTTTTCTTGGTGACCAGGTGTTCTGCTTCCGGGCACTTTCATATATAATTGAACGGTGTTCATGCCCAAAATGACATGCCCCACATGGGAAAGCATATTGGCAGCTGAAATAACTCGAGCAAAAGCTGGCAGTTTTTGTAGCTCTGTTAATTGTGGCTTCCATTTCCGCTCATCTGAGAGATCAACATTTGTCCCGAATCTATAAAGGAAAAGCCGATTAGTTTCTGGGAGTAGGTTGCCTCTTTTACATATTTTTACGAACCTTAACATTTTACTATTAATTTTATGTTTCTTACGCTTAAGAACAATGTTCGAATTAGATACAGAGTCCTTTGAATCGGAGTCTGACATCGCTTGAGAGCCCGGAAACCCTTTATCACTTTCATCCTGTGGTAAAATAGGCTATACAATAAAGTAAATTGTACAAAAGTTTCTAGTCACTATAATGTGAACATTACCTTAAGGCTGTCCTGAAAACTGGACGCTTGATATTGGGCATATTTGGCAATCGTTGTGTGAGACCTATGGGATATGCAGGCCCATACTCGCTTCCCTTGCGATGTATCCCAGTTTTCATCGGGCGATTGATGAACTTGAGTGCGAACCTCAACACTGTGGTCCGGATTGGCTTCTACCAGCGTTTTGGTGGAGAAGAGGCCGAGATCTAACTTCAGAGCGCCTGCCAATCCGCGCACAACCGCTATCGGATGTTTCAGACAGAACTCTTGTAACTGCGGGCTGAATGCGTTTTTCTTATTTTCTAAATGAACAGAGGGCGTGGGCGGCAGGAGCTGATCCCTCGTGAGTTTCTGCGGTGGGCAGTCGGGCGGAGATGGTGGGGGTGCATTTACTTGTAAAACCGTACAGTGTACTGGCGGTTCGTCGACAGGCAACAGTTTCACAGCAGCCATCAGCTGCTTTGAATCCATTTGTATTTTAAAAGTGGTCGAAAATTCGGAGTCGGGGCTACCATTATATTCATTGTGTTTTGAGTCTTCACTTAAATTACTACCGATTGCGTCTTGGCTTAACCGCTCTAGCTTAATATTCTCGTTTTGTTTGTAAATATCATTCGAGATGTCATCGAATGTGTCCACAACACTTTGTTCTGAAACCTTGTTACCTTCGGGCATTGCATTTAAATTACGCTGACCTAATGTCTCTGAAATATCTATATTTAATATTGTAAAAAGATGATTAGTTTACTATTTTTGTTAATTATGGTTAGAACATACTCAGTAAATTTTGATTCAGCTGTGACGTCTGAATGTTTTGTTGAATTAGTTCTTGTTGAATTGGGCTATCTTCCTTAATACGTTTTGCAGGTATAGGGCTTTGGCTGAGTTGGCTGTGCGGGTAAGGAGGTGGTGGTCCCTTTAAATAGTAAAAAATGTAAAGTATTTGAAACAATTAAGTTATAAAGAGCAACTACCTGTATTGGACTTTGTTTAATTTGTCTTGGCAGCATCTGTGCTGTTTGCTGTTGGCGTGAGTTCATTTCTAATGATATAGGCAGATTCCAAGCTTCTTCGATGGAACACAGTTGGCGTCGTTTGGAAGTAATACTTGGCAGTGGTGCTTGGCTGAGCTGAACCTCCAGAAATTTAATTCGCTGCGATAGACCTTTGGATAGCCCAATTGGGTCTTTTTTCATGCGAATAACTTGTTTCTTCCGAAATAATGAAGTCTTCTATAGGGAGAGCATAGAGTTACATTTTCAAATAGGCAAATTCAGGTGTTAGGAATCGTTTTACCTGGAATGATATTTGTTTAGTTGCATTCAAATAGCAAGCATAGGCATCTCGTAATTGACCACAGCTCTCATAAAGGATTCCCAAGTTCGTCCACGCAGCTTTATGGTCCTTATCTAATTGAACAGCACATATGTAGGCTTGGAGCGCATCCGTTGGTTGATTTTGTTGCTGATATAAAACGCTTAAAGATCAAATTGTATTATTATAAGAATAGTTATTACATAAAAGTGTATTAAGCTTACCCGATCGAACACCACGTATCGGCGTTCCCTTCGCTCTTTTCAACAGAATTGCGGTATGCTAAGAACGCATCATGAACCTTATTTATGCCAGCAAAACACCTTCCAAGTAAATATAATGATTGTCCACTCTTTGGATCGGCTTCGATTGATTTTTGGAGAAAGCTCAGTGCACTTGCCTCACGTTCTTTTTTTTCGCCTAGGCATTCTACGCAATGGTACATCCATCCTGAAACAAAAATATCATTATATTAAAAGGGGTTTCAGTTTCCTTGCAGTTGTTGGCTTGCCCTTTTGCCAACAGCATCATTGCAAACAAGGGATGAAATTACATTTTTTTTTTTATCCCGGCTGCAACAAAAGCATTGAATGCAATACAAACTTGCGAATGGGGATTTTAATTCCAACTGAAAGCTTATACAGGGCTTATGTATAGCTTACCTAATTGTCTGTAAACATCTGCTTTGAGTTCGAGCGAGATATTTTTTTCGGTTAATAGAAATTCATAGCCATCCTTGGCGGCCTTGTGTTTGTTTTGAACTTCGTACAGATGTGCGATTTGAAATTTGACTAAAATATAAAAAGTTTTTTAATAAAATATAATTATTTTTGCTTTTATAACACTTACCCTGAAGCTCTGAATATGTCGATGGGTTTGTATAAAGCAGGGCCAGTTGTAAATGTTTAAGGGCGATATGAAATTCCCCGCAATGTTTTAGCATAAGACCTAATCGTAAGTGAACTTCATTCGCACAGGTAAAGTTGGGACTCAAGTACAAAAGCTCCTGAAATGATTTGATGGCCCTGTAAAGAATTCACAATATTATTTAGTTTTAAAATTATTTTTTGTATAGATATCAATTGTGTGTCTATATCCTATAAGGTATTTTATATATGGTTAATAAAAACATACATAGTAAAAGAATATGTTTTTTTTTTATTTAGCGCTCAATTATCTTAAAAATATATATATTTTTTTAATTTTTAAATTTAAATTTTTATAAAATATGGACACACTTTTGAATTTGTAATTTGAAAAATTATATGGACACATTCTGCAATCCATGTCAACGGTATTTACATATGTAAGTAGACACATACACACACACATACGTAAAAGTGCTTGCAGTCACGTACACACGTTCTTAAAATTATACATAAGCCGCATACACATTACATGCCGTCGATTGAAGCATATATATTGCTAAGAACTTTCATATTTTAAACTATTATTTGTTGCTTTCTCTCAAAAGAATTAATCGAGTTTAAAAATAGGAGTTTAGAAAGAGACAGACATGTCTGCATGCACTTCAGACGGTTTCTTACAAATAATTTTGTTTGTTGAATAAAAAAGACAATTAAACTGTCTGTGGTGGTAATTTATTGATTATTCGCGGCAGACGAAGGGGGATCCGACAAAATTAGTTAATAATACAAAGAAGTGCACAATTTAACCACTAAATTCACATAACGATTAACGGGGGCAATTTACTACATTCTGTACATGCATATGTACATACGTACGTTTAATACACATGTAATGGGATAATACATGTATTTCTTTTCAATATGCATTGAGAACAAAGGATATTTGAATTCTTTATAACCAAATAAAACATGCCCTTTTATTTTGCACCACCATGCTAATTTTGTTATAGATTAAGTCTTTACGGAGTTTACAGCATCCATTTGTAAATAATTAAATGACCAAAACGAAAGCGATAAAACAAGTATTTATAACAGTCATCAGTGACATACTTTTCGTAAATAGAATTTGGTTAAACCTTCCAGTCTTAATTTTAACTACTATTTTTTTATTTTACATTTACTAATAATGGCAGTGTTGTTTGGAGTTGGATCTATTTAGTAAACAATTTGTATCAATAAAGTAGCGATGGGCAAGTTTCGATAAATTTGGCATACGAACAAGTGGGAATGAAACAAATATCGGATCTTGGTTGTCTCCACTGCAGTTGCTTTTCCCTTGATTAGGTTTATGTATTAAATAACTAAGTAACAATTTATTAAACAAAGTGAATAAAAAAAAATTATACTATAGGGAGGGGATGTTATAATTTAAAGTCAATCTCGAAATATTTGCACTGGCTGTGCACCTCATTATTAACAGCCTATGCAGGTCTTATCACTTATATCAAAAAAACTAATCAAATCTTTTCTATTAAAATAAACTTACCATTTAAAACATCGAAGCTTGAAGTAAGCAACTCCAATTCCATAAATAAAGGCATGGTTTGTCCAGTAATTTTTTTCTCGAAAACGTAAATACTTTTGGTATGCGGAAAGCGCTGAAATTAACGTTTAAAAAGATTAGTAAGTTCTTTAAGAACATATAGTCGCACTATTAGAAACAAATTTAATTCTTCTTATGATTGTATGTTAGTAAACGTTTTTTTCAACTGGCGTCTATATCCCTTAGCCCAATAGGAGTTTCCTAGGTAACTACAGTACTTAGATAAGAACAAATGCAATCTAGTAGATACATACGTATCTAAATGGTTTCAATACAATAATTATTAATAAATTCCTATGAAAAAAATACCTTCAGAGTATTCGCCAAGTAGAAGATGAAAGTGGCCAAGCTTGCAAAGGGCGTTTACGTATTGTTCCTCCTGGCCTTTATCATCATTGAACAACTTTATGTCTTTTGAATCTCCATCGTTCACCTTAGAATCTTCACTATTCGCTGCCAATATGGTATCCACAGGTTCTTCCTTTGGGGGATCGCAGTTTGGTAGCACATTTTTAGGTTCGTACTTTTTAATGACTCCATTCACTTGGCCATTGGAAATAAAGGTTTGCAAGTATGCGATAGTTTGTTGAACTAAATTTCTTAATTCTGCATGTTTGGGGTTTGATAAATCGAGGAATCCATAATACCGACTGAAATGTGAGCGAAGTTGTTAGATTGTTTTTAATTAAAAGCCGCCAGGCATTTTATTTACCTATCCAGTTCACGGACCAGGCAGTCGTCCTCAAAGGAAGCCTGACCCATGTCTAATTAGCTTCACTTTTCTTTAAAAACTTTCCACCTTTAGGGTGAGCTAAAGAAATAGCGCAGTTTTAAAAATATTTGTCTTTTTTATTTATATTTTGGTTTAGGGATGGTAATTTCGCGATAACTGTTAGAGATGGGCACTAAGTCACGATATCTTGTCACGGTTTTTGTGGTCACTGCTTTGAATTTAGATGGAAACATGACAAAATGGACAATCTTATATATTTAAGCAAAACCTTTTATTTTATTTTAGTTTTTAAATATATACTTTGTATTTATTTAGCGCGTTATAAATATAGCAGAATAAAAATAAGATGGAAAAACTTTGTTTGCTTTAAAAAAATTAAAAATTAAAAATTATTAAAATTTGTTTACACAAAAATATTAGGTAAATAAATGTTTAACAAAAAAGTACTGTAAATTAAAGATAAGAACAAGTTTCCAAAAAGTTATATTGTTTGTAATTTGGTCTGATGAGTTTCGATAATATCCAGCTTCCGTTTCTATGTTTTCATTCACTGTAAAAAAGTAAATGTTTTTAATAAATATTAAATTATTACGTAAATTATAATAAAAAAGATAACTCACTTAGGTCTGTGCTTTTCTTCTGACGATAAGGAAGAGATATACTGAAATTGTCGCTCTGCATGTCAGAAAGCTCGGCATCTTGCAGAATTCCGTATATCCAATTAAGGTAGGGAGAGATTAATAGAATCTTGTTTCGGAGTCCATTGCTGTTATCGGGTGACACAATTCCAACTAAATTGCTTTCTTGAACTATTCCATATCCAGGATACACCTCTATATCAGAATCCTTAAAAAAATACACAAATTGAATTATAAATTATTGGATAAACTAGAGGAGTGCTCACCAAAGACTCTACTCCATGTTCGACTGCAAACTCTCGAGTTACATCAAAGTCCGACAGAAGGATCCACTCCAAATCCTCGCGATCTGACAGCGGAAGTTGCCCATTTAAAATCAGCAGTGCAATATCGTGCTCCAAGGTGGACTTATTAAATTGAGGATAGACGGCTGTATCACTGACAAGGTATATTAAGTCCTCAAAGTCTTTCCCCTTCACAGATACAGCTAGATCTGCAGGATTAAGCAGATCCCTGGACGATAATGATCCATTACCACTTCCGCTTAATAAACACGATGCTGCTGTTAATATCACGTGGCTTTGAATAATATTGCCAAAACATTTCCGATCTAAAAGACCTCCGGCACTACTCCTTTTATAGAGAAAAACCTGGTAAGACGGTTCGGAATTTGCATTTTGAATGCCCGCAAAAGAACACAAAACAAGAAGAGCTAACGAGAGCATACTTTCTTCTGATACGTAGAGAACGTTCTGCTGATTCTGCTGGGGAACCTTGACTGTCTTCACGGCTGCTTTACATTAAGATTAAAATAGTAAACCTGAGATGCACAGTAAATACTATATCTTATCTTTCGAAATAATTTACACAAGTACAGAAAAGTGCGCGTTCCCATGGATAAATTTTCCTATTCTGAGAACACCAAAACAAATTTTGACGACAACACGTTATTTAAATAAATTGGAATTTTAATACATATGTATACGATCTAGAGATACTAAGTTACTAATACCAAGACAGTCCTTAGAGATTGTCGAAATATAGTAGCTTATTTAACTTTTTTTACTGTGTCTTATAAACGTGTGCATACTTTTAAATGGGAGCACACTGAACAAAAAAAATTACAAATAATAAATGAACTAACAGGCATTGAGATAATACTCTTACTAACTAAAAATTGTGTATAAAAAACAAGAATAAAATTTGCCAAAAGAATAGCTAATTTATTGTATGCTTGTGAGAAAAGTATGGGCTTTGTTTATATAGTAACCCATATATTTTGTTGTATACTTATTATTGAAACAATGGAACCGACAATATTGGTTACCTATTTTAAAAATCTTAACTAATATAAAAAATATAGAGTTTAAACAGTTTTCGTATTTACAGATTCGCTTAAGACGTGCTAAAAGAGTAGGTGTTTTAAATAACAAAAGGCTCAAATTTTATTAACTTGAATATTGAGTACAATAAATTTTTTAATTTAAGTGAAACCCCTTTTCTTTAGTTGCTGTTAACAGGCGTTCCTTCATTATTTCTTCAGTTGGATAGTCTGGAAGCTTTAAATAGTGGACACAGGTGTTCACCGATGGATAGCTTCCGACGCCAGCATCCACTTTCCGAACGACTGTCAGTCTGGGATGTAAGTTGGCGAGTCCTCCCGGCGGTAAGCTACTGCAGCCAGTTGTGAATTGCAGGAAAGCCTTTCTCTCGTCTCCCGTCATGCTTAATAAAACGTTAACAAAGCGTAGAAAACCGGGGCTGAAAATTAATATAATTTTTATATCATTTATAAATTATAAATTCATTAAGGAAATGTTTGTGTGGAACCCTAACAAAATCGTTCCTTATCTTAGGAGAAGTTAAGATACAGAAGATTAAGCCCCCTCGTTGGCAACCGCAAAATTATATTTAAAATAAAAAACAATAAATAAAGTATTTAAATAAATAAGTATACATACCTGTCTTTGTTATAGCCAAGTTTTGGTTCTGTATAGGATATAATGTCTTCTCGGCTCCAATGCGGGAACTGCTCGCCACAAATCATCATGCGGGCTTCTGCGGGCGTAAATGCTGCCAGTTTCTTGAGGGGGAATACTTCGTTGAACCCATCACTGAATGCTTTCATCTGTTGAGCAATTCCGTCTTGCAAAATGAAATTCATAAGCAATTCACAATATGCTTCTAGGTTGTTTATATCAACGTTGACGGCTGATCCGTTCGGCATCAGCTCGGCCTGGGTGTAGCCATAAACAGAGGAGCTCGGCAGATACGTGAACGTAAGGGCCAGGTCCTCCAGCGATACCTCCAATCCATTCTGAGTTCGGAGCTTAAGCTCGTTGATTAGTTCCTGTTTCTTTTCGGCGCTCAAGCTGTCGTCGAAGTCGATAGACTGTTTGCGCATCAATAGATTCTGCAGCTCGTGCAGGAATTGGTAACGAGTTGGGTCGATCTCCTTCAGGTTTTCCAACGACAGAATCCCTCCGAATATATTCGACTTATTACAATCAGTTCTCAGTAGCTTAGTGCAGGTGTCCAGCAGGTCTGATTCTTCCGACACCACAGAGAGATCGCCATTTCGTCTATCCGAAATAACTTTTTGGAGATTACGTGAGAAAACTTTGTTGTGGCAGAGCAACTGGAGAAACGATGTCGACAAGGGTATGTCCACTAGGCGCATATCTTGCAGGACTTTCGCAACAAAAACGCCAAAGAACCAGAAGTACTTCAGTACCTTTTCGCAAACTTCGGTATTCTGTGGCAGGGGAGCGGGGAAGAGTCCGTGTTCCCTGCGGTTCACGTAGTACCCGACGGGCTTTGAACTTCCTTCAACCGGCTCCTCGGGGCTTTCCGCGTCCTCGCCCAGTTGATCGTCGCACAGCCACATACACAGGTCGGATCGTTGGATCTCGGCAGCTACGAGGGCATAGAACTCCAGGGTAGGCCCCAAGCCAGTGCCTTCTTCGTCCAAGAACTCCACCTCGAGTACAGACTTCCTGTTGCAGTGCGTCTTCATAACCTGCATGGCCCATTTCAGCAAATCATCATTTCGTGGTACCTTAACACGCTCGTGCTTTAGCCGCCCGATGCGGAAGTCGTGGTCATCCCGGCGTGGGCTCATGATGGGCACCCGTTGCCTCTCCAGCGTCACGTCCCGCTGCGACTGCAAGCAGACAATGCTGCGCGACGCTCCAAACGAGGTGCAGTTGAAGTACAGCTGACGAGTCTCGAAGGGAAAGAGGAACGGGCAGGACTGGTTCAGGTTTTCGCACCAGTTGGGCAGGGCGTTGCTGGAGAGAACCAATGGATCTTGAATCTGCTGCTGCAGCTTGTTGGTTATCTTCTTGCTGATGAAGAGATCTTCGGATAAAAGTGGACCAGGATGGTCCTTGCCGTCTAAGTCGATTTCGCTTTGATTGAGGGCATTGATCTGAGTAAGCAGCTCGAGCACATCGTCGACGGAGCACAGGTTGTTGTCCGCCAGGTTGAATCCAATGTGCATCGGGGAGTTGGGGGACAAGGTCGAGGCACCGCTCTTCGAAGACACATCCGGAGTTTGAGGGAAGTCCTCGGGCTCCTGGGCCTCAGGCGATACTTCCCGGTACACAATTGTGTATGTGGGCTCCCATATTTTCCGGAACTTGTCCACTTTGTTCAACTGGCTGCACTGGAGCAGTTCCTGGACGGCTCTGAATATGGTCCAGTCCGTGTTGTTCAAATCGATTTCGACTTCGGGCGTACCTCCGATTCCGGGTCCGCGCAATTTCAGGCCCAGCAACGGCTGCTCGATAGTCTCATGTCCGCTCTGCTGAGGTTTCGGCAGCTCCACTCCTATAGCTGGAATTTCCAGATCAGACGTTTGGTTGACATTTGTGCGGCCGGGTCGCGGGTCGAATGCAGGTATCAGTGCCGAAAACTGTCTCTTGAGGACAAACTCGTCGTCCCACGACTTCCGCTTGGTCACTCCAACCAGCCTGTTCTCCAGGGCCTCGTCGTCCATGAAGGTGAGGAGGTTCCGGGAAACCATCACTTGCAGCAGAGTATTTCCCACCTCCTCATACTCATCCTCGTTCTCCTCCTCGTCGTTGTCCTCGTCGATGTCGTCCTCATCGTCCAGATCTCCCAGCATCGCCGGTGCCCTGCAGCTCTCCAAAAAGTCCTCCAAAGAGACCTGCTCGCTGTCGCTTGATGTCGAGGTTAAGCTCATAGTCAAGGTATGGTTAATGGTCGATGCGGACTGTTGGCCGGCTGAGGTGTTTGTTGGATTCGAGGGAGTGATGTTTTCGCTGTTATTGGAGGATAAACTAGGGTAGCTTTGGGCGGTGCTAAGCAACCCAGAATGGAAGTTGCTCGACAGCGCCAGCTTGACCAAACTGGTCACAGAGTGTCCGAGGAACGAGCCCGACGGGTTCTGGTCGCCATGCTCATTCACATTCACATCAGCGTTCATGATCTGGTTCTCCTGTATGTTGGTGCCTTGGGAGGTGCGACGGCGAGCAATCGCCGCAAATGTCTCCAGCAATCCGGTGTGAGTGGCCACCTCCGAGGTGGACGGCACCTCCGATGCCGAAGTCGTGGTCAAATTGGGAACGCTTATGCTCATCTGGCTCGGAACAGAGACACTCTCGCCCGAAATCTGTTGGTCTTTGATGTCCACAATGGACAGAACCGCATTCGGCTGCTGTGCTGGCTTCAATGTAACACTGGACTTCTTAGTATTCTTTCCCGGGTAGTCCTCACCGGGGGCTATGATCTGTTTCTCATTTGCGTTTTCGGGATTCGCTGCTCCTGGGGCCTTAGGATGCTTTTTAAGGCTTGTGGCTGGGTTTGTGCTCGGCAAGGGGAAGGTGTCTGTGGCTAAGATATTGTTGGAATTGTTTCGGATCATATCCACACCGTCGCGCATTTTATCGATCATTTCCAGGGCCTCGGTCGAGAGTTGGGTGACTTGCTGGCAGGCAGCAGCACTCGATGACCGTAGATTGGCCAGCAACTCCTTCGACGTCTTGTTCACCGAGTTGTTTGCGTTCATCTTGTTGTTCTCCTCAATATTCGATATGTTCTTGATATCGCTCTCCCGCGGCGAAGCACCCTGGGCATCGGCCATGGCCAAGCTCTGTCCAGCAGCCACGGTGGTCTCCTTGCTGGACGACGAAATGCCTCCGCAAATATTCTCTTTGGACAGTTCCGCCAACGAGAGGTTCTCGGAAATGGTGGCCAGGTCGGAGACAATACTAGAGTTGATGGCTGGCATCGAGTTGTTGATGGCAGACAAGTCTGATATGTGCTCCAAGTCGCGACTCAATGGCGAGGGGCCACTTATGTTGTCCTTATGCATTTGGCTGCTCCCAGACTCCTTGTGCTTGTTCCGAATCTCCCTCGAGGACGATGAGTTCATAGCCAGTTGGTTTGAGATTATCTGGGTCTTGGCCGAGGCGAACACGTTCTCGGCAATCGTCTCAACGGCCTGCTTCCAAGCGAGGTTGTCCGCCGAAACGGTCTGGTTGGAGGCCCCCTCAGAGTTCTGGGTCTTTTCAGTCGCTTCGGGCAGCGATGGCGTCGAGCTCGATTTGCGCGACGTTAGGGTATTGGATTTGTCTCCCACCTTGGCCGTGGTACTAGTCGGCCCAATCGATGTGGGATTTCCCTCGAATATGGACAGATACTCGCAGTCTGCCAGCTTCAAGTCGTATTTGCCATCCGCTCCCATTCGATAGGAGTTCCTCACGCCATGGTCCCACTTCACATCGATCCAGCCGTTGTGAATTTCCCCTGTGATGGTTCCTTCGCCGCATCCGTCCTGATCCTCCCAGCGCCAGTCCACGCCCCGTATCACCTTGGCCCCGGTGGTCATGTGCTTCAGCTGAGCTCGAATCTGCCGTCTCTCGCGTCGTATCTTCGCTTCCGCTTCCTTCACGCTCTTGCCAATGTCATCAGCCACTCCAACAATGCGTCCATAGATCTCGAATCCACTCAGACTCAAGTAGTGGGTCTGCCCGGAAGCGTTGCGGCCGTTCTGCTGGATCCTAATGTGACGATATCGGAGCGAGTCGTCCTGCGGACAACTGATGGGCCAAGTGGCGGTGCTGCCGGGCTCAACAAGGCTCTTGTCGTCCACATGGGTGCTGAGAGTGGTCCAGACAATACCGTCCTTGGAGCCTTGAAGTAACCAATTCCTTAGAGCCGACCTTGCATAGCCACGGGCATGACGCAGTGTATAGGCAGTGGGAATAATGTATACCCCCAAGTCGATGGCGAACCAAGCCTTCTTGTTATCCTTCGTGTGGCAATTCAGTGAGACACTGTCGCGCGACAAAATGTCCTCGAGCTTGCCGTACGGCAATGTCTTGCCCTCGGAGCTCGTTACTTGCACAAGTCCGTACTGGGCTGGATTGACCCAATCGCAGGTTTTCGCATTGGAGCCAATGTAGAAAATCAATCCTTCTTCGTCGAAATCGAACGAATGCGAAAACACAGTGCCCGGCTTGTGGTCTCGTATTTTTTTCAAGTAAAAGTAGGTGGAGCGATCCAAGTCGTACCACTGCTTGGCCACCATTTTCAGAAGGTACTTGGAAAGCTGGGCCACTGTTGCCAGTGGTTCCATCTTCAGGGTCCTACCCGAGCGGTCGAACAAGGTGCTCTCGCACTCGGCACGCTCCAAACGGAAACGCAGTCGCTTTTGTAGGATCTGCAGGCTGTAGCCAGTGCACGGCGTGTCGTACAAATAGATCGGCAGCTTCTCGGTGCTCTCCAGAACCGAAACAAGTTTCTGTATAAGAATACTAGCAGTACTCTTTGTCCTGGGCTTATTCGTTGCCGATTCGCCATTATCCTCCAGTATGCACTTTCTGAAAACGGCAACTCGTTGCTTCTGCATTTTGTTTCGCTTGCCGCGTGGGGAATTACTTTCCCAGGGATTGACCGACAAAACTGCCACCAGGGCTTGTACCAGGCCCGATGAGTGCATCTCGTAGGCGCTGACGACGCCGTCTTCGTGAATAAGTTGCGAAAGCTTGGTCAGTGCGCTGGCCAGGGTGGTGTCCCAGCCACCATTAGGAGCCAGGTTCTGTTCCTCAAAGGACATCTCGATTTGCTTCACGATATCCGTTAGCACGGTGACGGCTCCCCGTGGAATGGTCTGAGCCGATTTGAAGTACTTGTTGTATATTTCACGCGACAGGTTGCGCACCTGGAACTTCTGGCCCTCCGTTTTGGACTTGTTGCGCTTCTTCTTCGCCGTAGACCATCCAGAGGCGAAATCTGGCCCAAGAACGGTTTCGGCCGTAAAGGTGTGCTTCGTACCCCTGTTGCTCTCAAAAATGAAGCCAGGAAGATCATCCTGCAGGACTGTCACCTGATGGCCCTCTGTGTTGTGAATTTGCAGCTGATTGGTTTTGTGGGACTGGAGGACCCAGTTTCCAACAACTAATCGTAGAGCACTAGCAGTGGGCAAAATGGGCTGCGACACAATTCCGGTTATTACGCAGGATCGAGCCCGCATTAGTTTTTCCAAAAACTCTCCTCGATTTTCTGCAATGAAAAATTATACCCTTAAATATATATTCTAAGAGGGAAATGGGATTATCTTACCGGAACTGTCATTGCCATTTTCTGGGCTTCCACTCGAATACATCGTGGCTAGTTTTCCATCGATGATGAAACGGAACCATCCGTTAGATCCGTTGGAGAGCTCGAGTGCCACTGAATCTGACCAGACATAAAGGCAATCGCGTCCCCGGCAAATGCTCCACTCACGCCAATGGTAGGGCTTTCCTTGCAGTATTTCCTTTGCGTCCTCCATGGCATCATCTAAACGAAAACTTTCAGAAACAATTCGAAAAGCAAAGATTTTTATATCCTATACCTGAAGTAGATCTGGGAGCGACCACAGCACTGGTCGAAGATCTTATTGTAGGAGATGACTCATCCTGGCTACCTTGGGCATACACCTCTTCAGCATCAGTGTCCATCAGAGCTTGGACCTTTGCAAACACTCCCAGCCTGGCAAAATGGTCCAGGAATTCCTCTTGTGTCTTACACATGATTTCCTCGATTATGTTTAAAACAATTAAATGACCATCGTCATCGTCCTGGAAATAAATTACAGAATTTAAACATTTTGAAAAGCAAGTCTATGTTTGGGGGTCTCTGTGTATGTACCTCATTGTCCAGGACACTGGCGACTACCTCGATAAGCAAGTTGCCGCCGTTGTGGGCCGATGTTGAGGCAGCATCTTCGCTGTAACCGGATTCACTCAGACTCTGGAGCACCGTGGGATACGCGTACTGTACGATCTTTTTGATTAAAGCCAGACTGGCTCGCCGCACGCTCCCCAGCATGGAGCCCAGGAACGTACGACAGAATATGGGCAAGAGCAGTTTTAAATAAATGGGCGCCATTTCAGGATCCCCTCGGGGCTCCATCAAGGTGTACTTTTTGCCATCCTTGTTAAGCAGCGAGTGATCTGGGGACATCCACTCCCCCGGCGACTGCAGAATGGCTGCCACTTCCCTATGCCCATCGTCGAGCCGTTCGCGTGCCTTGTCCAATGGTGTTTTGCCATCCTCATCCCGAAGATCCGGGTAGGCTCCGAACTTGAGAAGGATCTTTGCAATGGCCGGACGACCAAAGCAGGCGGCATAATGCAGCGACGAGCTGCGCTGGCCCTTATTAACATCGGCACCCTTCTCGCACAGATACTCTACCATTTCCAGAGTACCAAACGCCGAGGCCCAGTTGAGAAGAGTTTGGCCCACGTCGTCCATGCAGTTGACGTCAATTCCGCCAGTTTCAATGGCCTCCCGCAAAGCCTCGGAGTCTTTGGAGCGAATGCAATCGATAAGCTGACGATGCGTCCTATCGGTGTTGGTGTTGTTGCGCCTGGGGCGTGGCGCCAGCTGTCCTTGATTGGGATTGCTGCTTCCGCGGTTCAGGGCTTGTCGACCCTCGAAGAGTAGCAACAGCAGGAGATCCGCAAATCGCATGCAATCCAACACACACCGCTCGTCGCCCTGCAAAGCTCGTTCAATGGCGTCGGCCAACTGCGATCGCAAAATGTCGTTGGTGATCGATGGAGAGCCGCGGCACAATGTGGACAACAGCGAAATGGTGGTGGATATTGATTGCGGGGATGCAGCTGCTTCAGATGTCTTCACTTTGTTGGCGTTGGTAGCGGCTGCCGCTCCAGCCAAGTTCTCGTTTGTTGCGTCACCGGGCAAGCTGGTGTTCGCCGACGTGTGGGCGTTCCCTCCTACACTTCTCAGCCGATTCAATAGTTCAGTGGTCAAGCCGTACTCAGCCAGCGGGGCTGGGTCCACCCACTTTCGCGTGAAACGATCCGCCACGGAGGCAAAACACTTGAGCGCCCCATCAGACACCATTGTGTCCTCGTGCTGTAGCAGAGTGCTCAAGCTCTCGACGCAGTTCTGGATGCAGGGGGTGTTTGGCTCCACTTTGGTGCACAGGCGCGATACCACCGACATCGACGAGTGCAGGGTGTCCTTGTGCACCTGCGATCCACAGTCGCGAATGAATTTCAGGACGCAGTTGAGGCCGCCACCCTCGAAGACGGCACCTGCCTCCCGGGTGCAAATAAGCTCCAATACCTTGATACATTGCTCGGCCAAGTCGCGGGAGGTTCGCGACGATAGGTCCGTAACCACCAAGTGATTGCAAATAGCCTTAATGGCACCGTCGATCGAAACAATCCGCCTGGTGCACTCGGCCGACACGTCCAGGTAATAGGTGATTGCTCGCGCCGTAACCTCGAGCACATTTTCGGGGGCGAACTCATCCAGGAATATCTTGCACAGTGCTGGCAAAAATGTGCGAGGAGGACAACTATAGGCGGGAGAAGAAACAGAATGAGGTGGTGAACAAAGGCGAAGGAAAATTGACGTGTCACTTGGGGGTACCTTTCGAAGCACCGATCTACATTATCAGACATCAAGAGCAGCATGCACAGCTGCTCCAGTGCAATCAATTGCATGTCTCTCTCGTCTCCTTGTCCCATGGACAACCATTCCAACAGCGTCTCGGGGTCGACATCGCCCATCTGTAATGTAAACCAGAAAATTTTGAATATAGTTTTTTAAGCTAAGAGCTATAATAAATTTTACGTAATGACAACTAAAACACAAAATTCAAAAAAAGCTAATAATAATGTTATATATAAGCTCTGTTTATAATAAATATTATGACTAAATTTTCTTAAAAATTTCGAATATTTTTCACTTACCGCAAATCAAAGTTGATTACAGTCCCTTATCTAAAACTGAAAAGAAAATTAAAATTTATAATTTAATATTATTTATTAATATTTAGATAAAAAAAAAACTTAAATTTTTTACTCAATTTCCCAGGCCATGAAACAAAAGCCAAGGCCGTTGGATAAACTTAAAAACTGACTTACGGTTGCTAGGCACTTTGCTGCCAACAAACAAACACTCATTGGTTTACTCAAACTAGTAAATGGATACCGTTTTGTGCCAATTCAATAATTTATCCAATACATAAAGAGAACTTGTTTTCTTATCAGAAATAGGCTCATGTAATTTAGATGGGATTTTATTTCGTTTGTGAGGGAGTTGGTCTGAAAAACCTATCGTTTTACCATTCGGGTCTTTTTGAGAAGCATGTATGTATGTATTATTTCTTAAAGTTTCCTATAAGATTATAATTTACCATATATATGTACATACGTACATATTTGCTGCGTAAAATTTATTTGAGAAAATAAAACGTGGAACAAATTCTGATGTGGGCTCCACGTAAACTGCGTTTTATTTCAATTTAGTTTGTGGATTTTTATACTTTCTTTCTAATTAAGTCTTACCTCGAACCCCAATGTAACTTCAGTTTTCGTTTATCCAATAATACTTAAGAAATTAATAAAATCACAAAACATACATACATGTATATTCTATTGTTTTTTTTTAACAACAAATTTTCCAATAAGGTTTTCAAATGAGAGGCACCTGCTGAAAGTGATGGTTAGTCTTTTTACTCTTCTGGCTTTTCATTAAACTATAGGGTGTGTAGCTAATATGCATTACACATTATTGACAACAAACGAACTAAAATTCCTGCTGATGTGCGTAAGATGACACCTACACTTTTTCTTATCAGCTGTGTATGTATGCATATTATATGTGCATATATGTATGCCTGGCGTGTAAGTCTCATAAATCGCATTAAATTGCTTCCATAAGCAGGCCTAACTACTTCACAGTTATGTAAAATCGAAACTAACGTTAATAATGGTCAAAGACAAAGTATGTATGTGTAAATTTCACAATATACCAACACACAAAAACATGTGTAATTGTCATTTATTTAGTCACACGAAACAATGTCTTCCTAGGCCATGAATGCTGGCCAAGTTTTGGGCCACAGCTTAGTACCTTTTTAGCATTATATTTTCGGTGTAGCCAATGGGTGCAGTAATCTTCACTTGTAACCAATTTAATTCAGTTTTGTAACAATTTTCAATGCTTGCACTATTTTTCTTCTTTTCACTAGAGGTGGCGGAATGGCGATAGGCGCACGGATGGCGCCTATCGATAACCGAACACCCACATAGCTACCGCCCTCTGTCGGCCGGAGGAAAACCTATAAACTACAAACGAACATATGGCTGATAAGAAAGATATCGGTTTACGAATTTTTCAAATTAAAACGCTTCTAAGCTTCTAGAACATAATAAAATTAAAATAAATATTTTTCTTCGTTATTTTATCGTATTTTTATTGATTATTATACATAGTTCATTAATTAAGAAACATTGGTAGAATTTAGTTAGGTATGGAATATTAATTTTGTTCTGGAATAAGCTCCGAAGCCCAAACATCTTGTGGCCAACCTGTACGGCCTTTAGTCGATAAGGGGACATTCTGAAAGGAGAAATGGTTAAAGTTTACAAATATTTAGAAGCAATTAGTTGGCATTGATTCATTCGAATGGCCTAACCCATACACAAATTTCGTTTGTGTAAATTTTTTTTGTTTAGAACTAGTACCCACAAATAGAGAACTAAGAAGTAAACAAAAAGGTAACACGTGCACGGAAGTACTTTACACTTTTAAAGAGTATTTAGAAATGAAGATCAAGACTTTTTTAAATTTTACGTTGTTTAAAAACCATAGGAAATGTAGGAAAACCTATAGATAAACCCCTGAAATCTTCATTTGATACTTTGTTTAAAAAAATACGTGCTTTCTGAAATCAAAAAAATGAAAGAAAACATTTTTTTCGAATGTTGTTTCTATAACTTTATAAATAAAATCATCCTGCTGATCTAAAATTGTTTTATGATTCAATGTCTCAATTATACTCTTGGCATTTCTTTCCCAGGCAAGTGTTCTTCAAAAGCACTTGATTATTCAAACCCTTAATGGATTATATATTTTTGATGCAGCACTTGGGCACTTTTGTTCTTGCGCCTGGCATTACATTCGTATCTTCCACCAGACCAGATTGCCCTATTAAGCTAATGGTTCACGGCCCACCCCCTTTAAATGGTGGGAAAGCATGGATTATCAATTACTGCTGCAAGTGTCTGCGGTTTAGCACTCCCTAAATGGCAAAATAAAAACAATATTACCAACGGTCAACTGTCGATTTCCAAAATTGGCTTACATGAAGTTGTACTTTAATTAGGAAATACCCGAAGGGAAGCAGGAGAACTTAATGATTTCTGTTTCCGATGCATCCGAATAAACAAATATAAATGTTCTCTTTTAAAGTCAAGTGCTATTCTTTTTTTTGTAAACAATCGTTTGAGAAATACACCCCAAGTTGAGTTGAAAAAAAATATATTCAAAAATGCCTTTCAAATCCAAAATAGTATAGCAAAATTACGGAATTTCCAATTGAAATCTAATTGATTACGAAATTTTATTTACATAAATATTAACTAAATGGTGTAGCAAACAAAACGCCCCCAATACGAGTATATATAGAGGTATCATCTGCTTATCTTTATTTTTAAATAGCATCAACAAAACCATAGAGCTGCATTTTCATTCCAAAATAAAAGTACATATAACTTTATGAAAACTGTAGGCATTTCTTTTTTACAACCGACGGCATTTATGTATAAAATTGAATTACCCGACGGAAACTTGTTTTAAAATACATATTTTTAAGTTATATTATTTGTTTTCTTACTTGCATTTCTGATTTCAGGCATTGTTTCTTTTCGCTACACAATTTTCTGCTTAATGGCTTAAGCTCGGCTCGGAAGCCTCCTTTGGGATCCTGATCGCCATCAAGGACATTCACCAAATAGTTGATGTACAAGATTGCCAGTTTTAGGGTTTTTATCTACCAAAAAATAACAAAATATAGCATCATTTGCATAGTCCTTCTTAGACTTCTATAAAAAACAATTGGAATTTGTTATATTTTGGTGAAATTACCTTTGAGAGTTTAGTATCTGTGGGAACGTTGGGAATCTTTTCTCGAAGATAGGAAAATGCATTGTTTATACTTTGTGTTCGTCTTCTTTCCTTTTTGTTTGCAGTGTTTCTTTTTTTAATAGTTCGTATATTTGAGGTTGGCAAATAACTAACCTGATTTGTATTAAAAATATGATGTTGTACCGGACTCTCAGAGGCTGAAATAAATTGGAATTCAATTTAATTTCTAATTTAAGAAGTCTATAAAAGAATTATAAATATATTCACTGTAGTTTTTTCTACTTTCTTTGTCACTTTTTTTTTTAAATTACGTTTTAAGTCAAAGATGGAAGATCCATTATACACCGAGTTATAATACATTGTTGAATACTCGCGTCCCACAAAACTAGAATTTTTCGACATTTTTAAAGCTATAATTTTATTATTTAAAAACGATTTTCGCGACTAGAATTACACATTTTCGCAGCTAAGAATAATGATAAGATTTTCTTTGCTGTCTGGGAAGTAACTGAATAACTTTTCCGACCGTTGAGTGAGTTTCTGTATGCCACTGCCAGCATATCCTCCCCCAATATTAACCAATCGCAGACGTTGTATTCCATTATCTGTTTCCACCAATAGTGGGCATTGAAAGTATGCACAGACACGCTCATAAAAATAATGTTTTTTTTTGGTTATTCAAAATAAAATAAGCCTCAAGGATGAAAGAGGAAGTACATTTGTATGATTTGGGCATATATTCTCTTTATTTTTATTTCTTCTGCATCTGTTTGGTTCTAATATCATGCACATTGTTGTGTAGAAGAATCAACACTCTTTGTTACATATGCGATGCGTATACACACATTGTAAATATGTTTATAATTTAATGGTAGGAATATCTTTTTTCTCAATTTAAACGAAAAGTTAATCAGTTCCATTCAGTACTTCTAACGATGTGTATCTTGTTCCCATAAATATTCGAGTTTAAACATGCTTAATATTTAAGTTTGCTACAAAAAGGTTTATTGTACCCGCATTCATTATACATAAAATATTTCTAATGGTACATCATTATATCTGTGCTTTGGTACAGACACATATAGGCATCGCAAAAAATACGCTTAGCGTGTTCAGGTAATACTTTGTCGTTCGTTGAAGTTTCATTTATAGATCGCGCGCCTTCTTCCGAGAGCCATTGTGTCAATTCGGGAACGCAAGTTATTTCAGGTATATTGTATCCATTCTGTTCACCTGGAATCATAATGTTGAGGTAATTAATGCATTTTACTTTGTTTTACTGAAGGATTTACCTTTTCTATCGGCCATAGAATCAAAAAAGCACCAAGGTGCATCAAGTCCTGAACCGGCCTTTACAAACGCCACATAGTGGGATGTCTCAATGCAAACAACGGCGAATAGTTCCATATAAAGTCGTGGAGCATCCATATGCTCAGCCCTCTTTCTGTAATCCTTCGGTACGGAGATCTTTTTCGAAACATGGTTATTTCTAAAAAAAAATTATTTTACAATGTTAGGAATTCAAGGATAAACTTCATAGATAAAACCTTTTAACGTGCGAGTGAATTAATTGAAGGCATTGGGGACAAAAAGAGGTACTTTCCAGTCCAGAACCAGCTTGTAAATTGCCAAAGCACTCACGACATTCGAACTCTGCTAGTTTACCACAAATAGAGCATTGCCGAGGAGCTGAAAGTTAAAATGATTAATCATTTTTCATTTCCTATTTAAATAAAGTCTTGAAACTTACAGTTTTCGATTATATCTGTGACATCCAGAACTTGTGAAGGCAGAATTCTGGGATACATCTTGTAATTTTTTCCAAAACGAGGCATCTGAATAATAAAACAAGAGGGAACCTCCTTAAGTTTAATGTCCGATGAGTGAAAACTTTGCTCAAAAAGTTGCTGAACACTCGGAAACGTTAACTTTTCATCCTTTTCCACAAAGAGTTGATAGAAATATGAATCTTGTCCAGAACTTAGCTAAAATTACAACAATAACGACTTTAAATTTTAAGAAAATAAAATTTTCATACAAAAATACCTTTAGAAATGGTTCAACTTTCATAATTTGTGACAGTAAACTATTAAGAAACTCCTCGGGATCTTTCTCTTCGCAGGTAAGGCCGCTGACGGAGCTAAGCTGATCGAGGAGCTCACGAAGTTTCATGACGCGATCTGATCGGACAAAGACATTTTTTCGCAGCGGATTGACGATTTCATCGCGCAGCACTTTCTGAACCTCACTGTAGTTTCGTATGTCCTGTCAAGAATAAAATTAGGCATAAGAAATATTCAAATAAACACACCTTACCTGTGGTCCCGGATGTCTATACAAAATTGAATCAAAAACACTAGTGAAGGTAAACATTGAAAACAAGGTTGCATCAAGGTAGCATGAATTATGATGCCCCTGAATTCCTTTGAATTTTCCACAAATACTCGCCAGCTCCTCAGAGTTATGTATTTCTGATAAATAAATATGCATTACATATAATATTGGGCTATATTTTTTGATAATAAACCCTTACCCAAGGGTGGAACTGAACCATAAACAGCTGGGCAGTCCGCGACGCCAAACTTTTTTGCTTGGTTATTAGAAACTTTGTTCACCGTGTTACTGGTATCCACATCAGCAAATCGGCGGTCGGCTGTGCACCTGTTTGCTGGCACAAATACAGCTCGACCCTCGGGGCACGTAAATAGGCTATAAAAAGAAATCGATTTGTAATCTTTTATTTTTCGTTGCATTTTTTACATTACACACCGAACACCATTGTGTCTTCCATCTGAAGTTATCATGCTCTTTAGATTTGATTCGTCCTCAAGCTCAATTCCAACCAGTAAACTTTTAGATGGCCCAGGTGGGAAACCGATCCATCTTATGACGCCATATAGATCCTCACTTACTACGGAATTGGACACTTCTACAAGGGATCCGATGGCCAGATCAGTGCCAGGAATTTCAACCAGGGATTGGTAATCGTTAACAGTAAAACCTGAAATTAATAAATAAATAATATTTATTGGCGAATGTGTTAATAATCCGGTAGAGGCACAAGTTTGTTGCTTTCGATCTTTATCGAACATACCAGGTTCCTCGTCTACAGAATTAGTTGAATAAAATTCCAACACAGTGAGGGGAATATTGTGTGTATCGGAATCGGGGTAAAATGAACTGTGGTAAAGATTCATTTTTTTAATAATTTTTATTCCTAAACTATTTAATAAATAATTGAAGACAAGAGAAATAAGCCTTCAATGATCGACGACAAATAAAACTCCTCAAAAAACTGCAGAGCACTGATGTTTTACGTTCACGTAAATAGAATATAAGTATGTATCTTTGGCCGGCGATCTAAAAATAAGTACACATGTCGTGACGATTTTCAAGACTTCTATGAAAAAACACATTTTACAAAACTTTAGTCGCACAGAACCATTCAAAATAGCAACTTCGTCAGTGTGACGTCCAATTTTAAATTCAATTTCAATTGTAATATTGAATATTTTATTTACCGGTTACACCAAGTAAGTACTAAAGGCATTAATGCAACCTTTCACACAAAAAATTTTACTAAATGGCCTGACACTAGCTATACATATTTCCAATTATCTAATGGTTCGATTGGCGAAACATTTGAGGTAGAGTATGAGGTATAATATATATATGAACTCACGTTGAGGTGGCTCGTCTGTGCCAATTTTTGTGGAAATGGGGGACGCCGGTTTTACAACTTCCTTATAGGCCTTTATATCATCACCAATACTTGATTCGGCAGCAATTCTTGGCTTGTTCAGGATCATAGCTGCAGGACCTGCATGCTTAGGCCAATTCTGGCCAAGAATATCTGCTAGGTCCACATTCTCCTGATGAGCACTGTCCACAGCACTGTGATGAGAGTCGGTATTTCTAAAACATAATATTTAATCCTGTGTCCTTTGGAAATATATCTTCTTACATACTTTAATATTCCATTTCTTTTATTTTGATTCCTTTTTGGGTAAGCATGGGTCCCACGTTCACCATCGGTATGTAGCTCATAGTTCTCCAGAGAGTCTCCAAACGTATTAGTAATGGTCAACTTTTTTTCTTTTTCTGTTTCATGATCGGATTTGGGATTCATTATTTCAGAAGGCTGAAAATTATAAAAGTTGTAAAAAGTATTTAAACATTAATAATAGTATAATAAACAATAATAAGCTATTCATACAAAAGAAACATTTTTTAAACATTTAACTATGTTATTATAAAAAATTCATTACTATGCATTATAAAAAATCTTAAAAAAATATAGCATTTTAAGGAGAAATAAAAATGTTTCAAAAGATACAATCTGCAGGCGAAAACCATTCTCAGATACAATATTTATTTGTAAACAAATAACAGCTGATTTGTATATCTGGTCATACTGCTGCAGTTAGCAGTTGATATTTATCAGACTTTTTCAGTGGAAATTCACATATTGTAGAAACAATTATGTATATTGGTTACACTTTTAACTATTATCTGGATCGCGAATAATTCTAAAAATAAACATACATATATTATAAAACCATGACTCATCCACAATTTACAAAACAATATTGTAAAATATACGTAAATATGACGTATTCATTTTTCAGAAACCAAAATAAATTTAAAACGATGTCATTGTCATTATTTCCCAGGTTTTTAGTAATTTTTATAAGTAGAGTAGCTCAAATAAGTTTGTTTACGTTTGGTCGATTTTTCTATGTCAATGATGTATGTATGTATGTACATACATATATTTGTGTGTGTAGCACTGCACTTTTATGGAAAACTATTTTTCCTCTGAATCAATGAGTTTGATTTGCACACGATTATAATTCTTTCCTATTTAAAAGCACAATTTTTATAACATTACAACCATTTTTCTATTAAGCTTATCATTATTGATAAAAACACGGGTTCTGTAAGCACAAATAAATTGGCGTTTCTCCACATACTCAAAAACATATATGCCAATAAATAAGGTGGTTACATGTGGGAATTTATATTATAATATCTCAACAACTCTTTTGAATTAAATTTTTAATATTTTAGGAACTAACAAACAATTTTTTCTGTGAAATACCCTTTATTATTGTGTTAACTTTGTGTGTCAGAGCCAGTGTTGCCAACTTTCGAAATACAAAAAAAAAAACAGAGGTGGCTAGAATGGGGGATCAAGAAAAAATAAAAAAGGGGAAAAACATTATTAACTTATTATAGTTTTGTTTATTTTTAATATAAACCTCCTTGGAAATTGAACTTTTAATATAATTAGTTTCCTAACGATAACCAACGACCAATTACGGTTCTCGAAGGCATTGTTATCGATTTTACTGTCCAGATGGAGTTTGTAACGGAAATTTAAAATATTTAACTAATCACTTTAGTTGGTTCTGATATTTTTATGTCTTCTGCATGAGAATTATTTTTTATTTTCCAATAAAATATATGTGACGATTCTTAAATGTACTTATGTTGAAACTAAAATAAACATCGGTACGGAATATTGTATTGAATTTTAATATTTTTATCTAATTTAAGCTATAGTGTAAAATCTAAACCAAAAGTCTTTTTATTTCGGAGTGTCCTCTGCGGGAGCAGATGGGCCTGGTTCGACGTGAATGGGGCTTTGGAAAGCCATTGGTTGGAGCTGGACAAAATGAAGTGGCAATGCAAAGGGTATACCGCGAAAAGCATTTGCTGATTCTTGCGGATTTAGGTCAAAACTTGAGCTATTGACGAATGGCGGGGCCGAATTGGCGGTATCCAGATCCTTGACAGTAGTATTATGTGGAGTGGGAACCACCAGCTTCAGAGCAATTGCTTCCCGACCCGTCGTGTCCTGCTCAATAGAACTCTTTGTTACGGGTTCATGAATAAAATGCGGAGGCACTGCAGCTCTAAATTCCTCAGGTCTTGGTCTGGGCGATTCCAGTTCTTTTGGCTTGTAAACCCTATTGTAGTAGTTCGAAGACAAGGAGGAAGCATCGTGATCCCTGGGTGGCGGATGATCAAGTTCCGTATTAAACTTGAACTCTTCGCCGTGATTGTAATTTTCGAAAGGTGATGGCTCGAATTTATATGGCTCATTTGCCCGAATGTAAATGGGAACCTTACGCTCCACTTCAACCTTGAAAGGAACGGGAATTTTCTTTTCCATGGGCACTGGGACTTTTATTTCCACCGGGTAAGGAACCGTACGAAGTACTGGATACGGTTTTGGAACGTGAACAATTTTTTCCACAACTTTTTCAACGACGTATGGTTTGGGAACGTGGACGGGCTTTGGAATGTGCACCACCTTTTCAACTATTTTTTCAATTGGTACATGAACTATTTTCTCAACCGTGACATTAACAAGTTTCGGAACATGCACAATTTTTTCCACAATTTTCTCGATGGGTACATGCACAACTTTTTCGACAGGATACGGCTGGGGTACTGTTTTGATGATCTCTTTTATGTGGTTGTGGTGATGATGATGATGATGATGCTTTATTTTAACTTTCATGCGCTTTCCCTCCTTCTTATTCGAATGATCCTTTTCATTTTCGTGAAGAATAGATTGGGTTCCGATTTGCTCAGATGCCTGGTACTGGCCATCGTCCTCTATATGTTCATGTATCTCCTCAAAAGTATGATAATGTTTCGTTTCTGAAGTATCACCGTCCGTGTAACGAGGACTTATGTTTTTTCGACGAGCACTTTTGAATTTATTTTTATGCCTGGTTATTTTTTCAGATGATAGCTTATGGTAGTTTTTCCCTCCGCGTTTTAAAGTCACATTTCGATCAGGCTCACGGTTAAAGTTTTGTATAGGATACTTTTCCGATCTTCTTCCTGTAGTGTGCAATGATATTTTTCCAAATTCAGGATAGGCCCAGCCATTATTTTCGGCAGAACTCGTGTTATTCACAGCATATGAATTACATTCCGCCGTCGATCTAAAGAATATTAATGGTATAATTATACATCCAGGAAATAAAGTAATCTGAAATGGAAACAAAAAAAGCATATATCATTCTTACGAAGGATTAAGGACTTAATAAAACTTACCAACGGATTCATTCTTAATGTATGTATTTGGGTATCCTAATATTGTTTGATGTGGTTCGTTCACTGTCTTTCACAGAAATGATTATTTGCCATTTCTTTATAGGCATTTATATGAGGATGAAACATAAATGAAATTGAAAAAAAGATGTTTTATGACTTAGTAGATTGTATACTCTACCTTAAATATAGGATTATAGGATTTTTAACCAAAAATAATGGATTGGAACAGAGACTTCGTCTTGTAAATGTTTCATATTTAAATGAATTCTATATTTAAATAATTAAAACTTTCACGAAATGCCTTAAGTTAGTTATACCCGATTCAAAAAGGGAATAAAGCGGTACAGGCCAAGTAATATTTTTTACGATTGAAGGCCTTCGATCGCGTGACGACTTGGAGATGTGTTTGCACGGGTGTGGAAGAGCAACTTTTGTATAAATGTTTTAAATTTCTTTAGGTGAATATTTCAAAGAAGCTCATTTATGTAGCTATTAAAGTGCATTGAGCTCCAATTTACGGAAATGTAGACGGGCTTATGTAATTTCCTATAGTATCCGCACTTTGTTCAATAGTATATCATTTTTCCGGATTCCCCTTTTTTGATAGGAGAACGGGGTTAAGTAACAGATAAGATTATTATTTTTCTAATCTAAAGTAAGCGATGACAACCAAAGGTTGCATTCATATATTGTTTAGCCAACTAAACATCCCAAATAAAATTAAAAACATTGTTTAAACCTATTTAAGTTTTGGATTTATTGACTATATGAAATCAACAGTGGCGAAGTTAATCTAATTCAATTCTATTCTCTAAAAACAAGCTTCCAGTGTGCATCTTTGATTCCTTAATTTTAAGATGTGAGCTTAGTAAATCGTCCATCGTGATATTGACGTTTGTACTGCTCAGAACTGGAACACCAGAACCTGAACCAGATCGGTCACGCGTCTCGATTAGCTGCCTCATTCTGAAAACAGATGCGTTTCGGCACATTTCTCGAAGATCTGAGCCCGAGAATCCGTTTGTTAGCTTGGATAAACGGTTTAAATCAACATCCTGACTTATTTCCTCCGTATGCAATATCAATTTAAGGATGTCACTACGCTGCGTTTCGGAGGGTAGGCCAATATGGAATTGAGCTGGCATGCGGCGGACAATGGCCTTGTCCAAGTCTTGGGGTCTATTGGTGGCACCCATGACAATAACAGTCGATTGGTTGTTTGTGCTGAGCCCGTCCCACAACATCATGAACTGTGTCTTCATCATGGCAGTGGCCTCGTGGTCGTTCATGTTGCGAGATCGCAGGAAGGAATCGATTTCGTCAATAAAAATAATGCAGGGCTCTATTTTGGCAGCCAGCGAAAACACGGCCGATGTCAATTTCTGCGACTCCCCATACCATTTGTCGGTAAGTAAAGCAACATCTAAGTTAATAAAGCGCATTCCCGCCTCTTTAGCAGTGGCCTTGGCGATTAACGTCTTTCCGCAACCCGGCGGACCATGAAGTAAAACGCCTTTGGGCGCCTGCCATAGCTTTGATCGCTTGAATAGGTCCTTGTGCTGCACTGGAAGCACTACGGATTCACGAAGCTCCTGGATAACCGTATCCAGTCCAGCAATATCGCTCCAACTAACTGTGATGTCTGCAGGAACAACAAGGTGTGACGCAATCATTAACTCGTAGTCGTTAAATTCCTGGGGATTTAGTTTAAATCCATCCTTTTCAGCCAGTCTACAACAAAGCATCAGAAGTCAACTTTAGTAAAATACTCAATTTGTTAAAGAAATATACAAGTTCAAACCTCTTCAACTGCTCTTCCGCAAGGATTTTTGCTTTTTTCTTCGCTTTACTGGTCGGGTCCAATTGGTTCATCATCCATTTCACCGAGTAATAAGTTACCAACGAAGCGACGGAGAGGCGAATCAGGACCTGAAACATTTGCCCTCTGCTAAACTCCACTCCCCCGAGTCCGAAGTTGTCCATTGTTTTGCCAAAACCTTTTTACTTATAAAATGAAGTAGAAAAAACTTTGGTTTTATTTTTCCTAACACGCACTGCGGCGTTAATGTGACCAAACTGCAGTTCTCGATAAATACTAATGGTGGAGTAACATCGATAACTAAGAAAGTACCAAAAAAATACCAAACATACAAAAAAATAGCTTTGAGGTGAGTTTCTTTAGTTGGATTCCTTTGTTTCAAATTCCAAAAGCGATCGATTATTAATTTTAAACTTATTGTTTTAATTCTTTTCAAGTTTAGCATGAAAAAAATTCACGTTTAGTGCCTAAAATACTCTATTATTTTGAAAAATGTTACACTTTATTGAAAAATGCTTTCTTTTACATTATATTTTGAATTTAGCAGTGCGTATGGTTTTTACTTTTAGAACCATTTAAGGTGTGTAGAATATTGGACTAATGTTCCATAATTTTAGTTTTGAATCAATCCATGGACGAAGCTGGGCAACATTGGCATACACACCGGGAATGTTCACCTCTCCACATCCAATTCCCCAAGCAACGATTCCAGCAGACTTAAATCTGTTGGGTTGACCTTTGATGGGACACACTAAGGGCGATCCACCATCTCCCTTGCAAGTGTCCTTATCTTTTTCGCCTCCAGCGCAAATAAAACTCTTGTCCAAAATAAAGTGTCTTCCAAGGCGTGTTTCGCGCAGGTTTGCCTCACACCGTTGACTGGGAACGACAGGCAAGTCTACCTTCTTTAAGATGACCTGGTACTCTCCATCTTTTCCGAACTTGTTCTTGCCCCAACCAGTGGCATAGCAACGCTCAAAATCGAACAGATCACCTACATTTGGCAAACAAACGGGCTGGATATTGCTTTGAAGGGTGAAAGGACTCTCCAGTAAGAGAACCGCTACGTCATTATAAAGAGCTCCCTTGTTGAATTGCTCGTGATACACTATTTCCTTGACATAACGATCCTCGTGGGGGACAACTTCACTCTTCGTTTGCGTATCCCATTCTCCAGCCCTCACTGAAATGGAAGATTTAACAAGTTACTCACACAAATGGATGATTTCATTTTATAGATATTTCTCACCAACGATTGTAGATGGCTTTTTAGTGTGAACACAATGAGCAGCAGTCAAAACCACATCTGGAGCTATCAAAGCCCCACCACATTCGTACAAGTTTAGTTCACCTTCTTCCCGTAGAATGGCAAGCATCCAAGGGAATTCCCCGAACTCGGCCTCCTGATTCACAGCACCGGTAATTTTAAAACCAACACCGTTTGGATTTGAGTATCCGCAACCTTCGGGGGCTTTTGGAATGACGATCGAGCCGTCCGGTTCGGTTCTCTGTTCATGAATGGATTTCGTTTAAGCCTATACACTCAATGCAATACATTCTTACATAATACCTTGTTTGGAAGATCACAGCACAGCTCCAAGGGGTTTTTACATGGTGCGTCAGTATCAATGCGAATGTCAATTATATTTTCGCCGCTGGTGTTTATTGTGTTATTTGAGCAGAGCCACCGGGGAACACACTCCTTTTGATAGCCGCACGACTGATACTGCGTGGTTCCAGTAGACGATGAGTCTTTAGGATTGACAGAGACATTTGGAACTGGGGGAGCTGGAGTTGGTCGGAATGTGGAGCTAGGATTGGTCTCATCTGTTTTAAAAATGTCGGCAATTAAATTGTCCAAGGACGTGTCTTGTTGGGCTCCACACGAAAATATGCAGGCATAAATTACAAAACTATAAAACAGTATCATGTTACTGAAAAAAGAAGCACACAAAAATAAGTTAGCAGGTTTAATATTATAAATTTAGGTCAAAAGAAAGGTAAAGGCCGATAAAAATATATACATACAAAAAAGGTACATATGGATATCTGTATGTAGTATAAACAAGTTTTTTTATTACTGAACCGAATATCATTTCTTCGATACCTTTTGCCCCTGCAATAAAATTCTTTACCGGCTTTTTAGAATCGTTTCATTTTAGATCTGAATTCTTATCAATTATAATTGAAAAACATTTGATACTCAAAATGGGATCAATAACGTGTTCCCATTTCAACAATAAAGAGCTTTTAGAACTTTGAGTGATAAGATTTTAAATATGTACTAGCCTGAATAAGCCTGGGTCAATTTTTTTTGGACTAAATAACAAAAAAACTGATAACGAATACTTTCCATGCTAATTTAATATTTGTTAAATCCTGCTTTAGTAGCATGGGAATTACTAATTTTCCACGGTTTTACCCGGAAAAAGGTACTTTTTTATAGCGTTGATGCATTAGAATAATTTAACATATTATTTACTAATGCCGAATTTTAGTTATACATTGCCAATAATTTTAAAAGCTTGATTTTACGTAAAATTACAGTTTGATTTTTCATTATCACTGCTATTAAGTGACAATGAGTCTTTTCCAATTATAATGAACCAAAACAGGTTTTAGTTTTAAATAAATATCATCGCTATGAAATAACAAATTTGCATACAAATGTACATCGTACCTGATTATTTAAAGTACTGGACCAAATTATTTTAAACTTTTTTTTATAGCTTCTAACAAAAGATTCAATAGCATTCAATAAATCTATACCTATGTATGTATGTATATTTTTTCATATTTTATAAATAAAGCACTTCAAGACTCAAAATACAAATATTTTACGAAAATACGATTTATCTTATTACCACCTTATTTATAGTTATAATTATATTAGATATTGTTAAATACGTACACGATCAATTTTTTTGTTATTTTCTACTTTGATAAACCACAGCGAGGTTCTACAAGCAATAAAGAATACACTCAACTGATTTGATTTCTGATTCAATCTAAAGTTCGAGCTGACAAGCTTAGCTTTTTATACCCTAGCAGAAGGTATTGTAATTTTCACACGAAGGGTGTAAAGATAACATGAATGATCCAATGAAGTGCATAGTTCTTATGTACATATGTACTAAGGATTACGCCTAACCCGATATAACCATGTGCGTCGGGCTGTCTATTTCTACGAAACTATTCTCTCAGTTTTCAGGCTTTCCACTCGTTTTAAACCATTTAATGTTAGGATTTTAAATGATTACATCTATTCTATATAATCGAAATACCATATTAATTCGGAAGGGTATATAATTATTGGTTTTTATAGGTTGCAGCTTTCTTTTCGTTTTTTTGTGAAGAAAGAGCTTTAAAGCTGGATCAAGATTAAGATCCAAACTTACCTAAGATATACACTTTAAGGGGTATGGCTATTTTAATACTAAAAACTAGTAATAACTTAAAAACTCTAAACACTGGTTGAAAACTTTATTTAAATGTAAGAAATATTTTAAAAATAAATAAATAGAAATAAAAAAAGTCTCATTAAATCTTGAACCTTAAAAACGTTTGTTTTATTATTAAAATGATAAATGTAATTTATTTTAAATGAGGGATTTTCTTGGGAATTTTTTGGGAATGAATGAATTACGAATTTATTAATCTTAGCTTATGCAACAATAATTTAATAAAAGCTTAAATATATTTTAAAATTTAAATTAATAACACGAGTGGAATGAACGAAATAAAACATAACTTTTGCGATAAACTATCGAAAGCATCAATGTCTACGGCTTTCGTTTCTAAATGTGTGCGTAATATTCGATGTGCTTACACATACATATGATGTACAAAAATTCTTATTGTATTCATCATATGTACACATCTTTTTAAATCCAAACACGGTTCCTAATTGTTCAGTATTTCCAGAAACATGGAATCGTTTAAGCAAAATGACGGCAATCGTGACGAGCTGATTATTCAGCAGCAGCGTGAAATAGAAAAGGAGGTAAGTGGCCATGTACTATTCGAGCAAGGTGCAAGAATATTAAATGAATTGCAACCCAAAACACAGATCAGCGATACCACTCCTTTAGTCAGCGAGCAGTTGCCGCTAACGTGCCTGTGGGCTGAGTACAATGGCGATGAGGTTTTTACTGCCAAAATTCAGGATCTCTCGAAAAAGTACAAGTTCATCCGGCGCACCCGGCCCGATGGCAACTGCTTCTTCAGGGCCTTTGCATACTCCTACTTGGAGTACTTGATCTCAAACAACAGTGCCTACCAGGAATTCCGCAAGCTGGCTGAGGAGTCCAAGGACAAACTCGTTCAGCTAGGATTCCCCAGCTTCACATTGGAGGACTTTCACGAGACTGTAAGTACATCAGGAGAATGATTCTTGAGCTTTTAAAGTAAAATTTATGTTCCGATTCTCTCAGTTTATGGAAGTCATAAAACGTGTAAGTCCAGACGAAGCTGGTGGCCACGAAAAGGTGCAGACAGAGCTGCACAAGATATTCAATGAGCAGGGATACTCAGACTATGTGGTTGTCTATTTACGATTAATTACCTCCGGCAAACTTCAGGAGGAAGCAGATTTTTATCAGAATTTCATCGAAGGTGACTTCACAATCGAGGAGTTTCGCCACCAAGAAGTAGAGCCAATGTACAAAGAGTCGGATCATATCCACATAATCGCCCTATGCACTGCCCTCGGTGCAGGGGTACGCGTGGAGTATCTAGATCGCGGCGAGGGCGGAACTGTCAAGGCCCACGATTTCCCTGAGGGAACGGAGCCCAGAATTTATCTGATATACAGGCCAGGCCATTACGATATATTGTATCCAAATTAGTTTGCTCTTGATAATTTTTAAATCATCAAAACCATTTATGTATATAAAATGTAAAATAAAATCTCATTTATTTGCATATGAATTCTAATTTTCAACTACTAACCGGGGCTTTATATATTGTGATAAGTAAAAGGACAGAGCAAACGCAAAATTTACACATATCGTAGTTGTTAATTTATTTAAACACTATTCTTTATTATTTGATTTGAACGATTGTGATAGTGACATAATGAAATTGTCTAATGTTTTATAAAATATTAAGTTTTTTTTAACGGTATTTCGCCATTATTTCTTCGGAAAATTTCTGGCGATGCGCAGACAATGAGAGGTTCACAATAATCTCTCGATCATCCGTCCGTCAGGCGCCTCCACAGTACGATTTAATTGTAGGATGATATTGACCACAAGATTTTAGCTCAGTAAAGACTTCCGTGAAGAATCCAGGCTCAGCATTGATTTTAAGCATTTTATCACTTAGCTTGTTCACAATAACCAGGCATCTGTAATTTTGAAACCTTTGTAGTCGAATCATGTGAATCATATACGATTTAAAATATCATACCTGTCCCAGAACTTTTCCTTTGAGTCTTCCACCAAAAATGGCTTGAGGGGATAACTGATCTCATTACCCATATAGGAGTATGACAGATAGAGGCAGGTAAGCACAGAGGCCTGGAGATCGGATTCCTTGCTTTCCTCTCCGCTAACTAGTTCTCGGACTAGCATGTAAACAAACACGACGTTTGCCGGGTTTATAAACGCCACATCCTAAATAAAGAAATGTGTTTTAAGTATATATTAATTTGTTCGGAGTCTCTAAACACCAGTAAAGTATAAGCTCGATATCCTTTTGTCGTACCTGCCATCCTTGGAGCAGTAGGCTGCGATCAACTGCTCTGAGCCACATGACTGCATCGCCAGCATCGAAGTTGTTAAGTCTCTGGCACCGGCAGTGCAAGAACATTCCCAAGCACTTTAGCAATTCCGAAGTGGATGCCTATAAAAAAAGGTTATTATTTTTTTATATGCTTTGAAATTGAATGAAATTTTTAATTTAAAAATATGTATATCTTACCTGAATAACGGTTTTACGAGGGATCTGGTTTGTATTTTTGATCTGCATGGACGCCGGCTGCAATTGCGGCGGCAGGGTTAGCGTCAGCGGCTGCTTCTGGATTAGCTTGTTGTGGTTCGTTATCGAGTTCTTGTTGTTGACCTTAACTGGGTCTTTCGCCTTGGAAGGATTTTGCGATTTGCTCGGCCCGGTGTTCGTCTCCTCGCGGATGTCCTGAGCCTGGTTCTGATTGCAGTGCTGGTGCTGGTGTTGGTGCTGTTGATTGTGCTCCTCAATGCGGTTGCAGTGCAGCTGGATGTTTCGGTTTTTGTCGGACGATGAAGCGAATGAGGACTCCAGAAGCTGGGCCTTGAAGCAGGCCGTGGGCAGGTTCGCGCACTTATTCTTGTTTTCGATCTTTTTCTTGTTGTGAGACGTGGATAGCTTCTTCCAGGAGAGAGCATTGATGAAAATCGAGTGCTTTTTCAGGTTCTTCTCAAAGGAGCTCTTCTCTGCCTTGAGCACAGAGTTCTCGTTGTGTGCGTCCAGGACATTGGTAATAGTGTCCTTGGACGCGTTCGTCAAGTTGTTCAAGTTGTGCGAGCTCAGCTGAGTCTGCGTCTGCAAATTGATGTGCACGCCACCGCAGGTTCCCTGTTGTCCTATGACGTTCTTCGACAATTGATGGCATGCCGATTTTTTGTTTTCTCTATTTTTTGCATTATTTAACTGCTCATAGGAGAAGTTATTGAGATGCGAATCAATCGATCCTGTACTGTCATTCTCGTTTCTTATATCGGTCGAATGATTATATTGGAAATTTGGCTGAGACGAGTATATAGGATGACGATCCCGCGGATTAAAACTTAGCACCGTTCCCATTTTTGCTGTAATTAGGGGCTTAATCAATAAGTTACGAATAAAATGACCCTCACCCTCTGTTGGTAAGGTTATTTTAAAATATTGATTTTTAATCAAAGTACTCATCTCATTTACATACTCTTCAATGCTTTTATTTCAACTTGTATTCGCAAAAAAGCTTTAAATAACTGTTTTTTTGAAGAGTAGTATTTTGTAAAAAAGTTTTTCAAAAGATGTTTTTACAAATTTTTACCTTCTTTGTCCTATGTATATTAGTTTCGAAGAAAAAAATTTTCAAGACTTTGTTACTACGCCACTTTCTGTCTGCAGGAGCACTTTGTTATGCCATTTTAAACGACCGCATAATTGTACCTATGTATGGAGTCCTTTTCCAACTATCATATATTTTTTTATCGCACAAATTCCAACGAAGCACTTGTTTATGAAAACATCTTTTCGCTACAAGCTTATGAAATAAGTACACAGTTTTAAAATCGATACAAGTTTGCGCAGGCCCAAAAGTGAGGGTGGGATCTGGGTCCTGGGCGCTTTTCTGGGCATGCTCAGTACAGGTGTTTTCGTGCATTTTTTATAGTATTGTCAGCAAGGATATTTTGGAGCTGCCATAGTTTTTTTTTTAGATATGTAGTCATGTAGGTTCCTCTTCATTGCAAGGCACCTACATATTTCAGCGTGTGTTTCGTATTGTCAACGGTTTTAAATTATTTTAAGATGTTAACGTATACGTTTGTAAATTTAAAAAAAAAATAATGTTACTTTAATAAAACTAAAATGTTTATTTATAAAGTTAGGCAAAGACTACAAAATTTTAAAATAAAAAAGTTAAAAACATTTTTAAAAACTACCAAAAAGTAACAGTACTTTGAATCATTCCAACAATAATCAAAATTATTCAATAAACTTTTCAAGATAGACTTCAATAAAAGAATTAGTTTTTAAATACACAATACAATTTTTATTTATTTAACTATAGTAACAACTTCTGTATTAACCCCTAATAAGATAATGCTGCCCAAGCACAAAACACAAACAGTTATGGCAAGATCGCCTAAAAAGGACTGAAGGATAACAAAGATGTTGCTAAATTGCTTAACTCTGTTTCCAATCTGTGGATTCATTAGCAAGATTAGCATGGGACCTAAATTTGATGGTAATGTCGCCCTTTTATGGTATTGGAAGAAAACAAACTCCAGAACCGCAAAAAGAAGGACGGGCACAAAAACACTGCTGTTTGTGTAAAGTGCTAGTACAAAGCCGACAACAGCTGCCAAAATAATGTGAATCCGGCTTTTAACTAATATGTTTGAGCCATTGGGTTGCGGAGGAGCTGGTTGTTCCGGCAGAAAGCTCCTTTTAATAGGAATATCAGGTTCCACCTCAGGGTCGGAATATTGTTCAGGTGTAGTCGGTTCGCCTTCTGAAATAAAGTCGAAAGGGTAATGTCAAATGTGCAATAAATATGTGCATTTGATTAAACTTAGGTTACCTAGCGTTTCCTTTTCGATAGATGTAGCTCTGCCATTCAGTTTGTCTAGCCGTGATTTGGATGCCTCTAAAATCTTTTTGCGACGTAGTTCCCGTCTTAATGCAATTGCGTCCTTTGCACTCTTGTCCTCTATTGTTGATTCTGTTTGCTCCATTTAAATGTGTTGTCAAGTTTTTTGACTTCAAATTTTAACAATATTATAAGACAACCTAATATTATATTCTGTTTGTTTTTATTCAAGAATGTCAAGTTAACAGCGATAGGTATACATAAATTGAACCAGTGGAATGTGGACTAGGGATCCCATTTGCTAAAATTCAACCTATTCCAAATTAAAATCAGCTGTTTCTTTTGTAATTTTATCAACTTATCCCTAAGAATATATAATTTTTAATCTCCATAAAAATAAAATTTAAGTTATACGAAAATTAAATTTTGATACTTTATTCTGGTTTATTATATTAACAATACATGACGTTAACACAATTTTTTATATCTTTTCCAAGCGTCTGGGTGCATAAAGAAGTACGTACGCAGAATGCCAGTCCCCGCCTCCAGACAGCCGCAAAATCTCTTCAGAGGTCACAGTCGAAACGTCATCGTCATCGAATTTGAACCAAACGTCGCCGCTAGAACGCACCCAGGCCACATAATGTCCAGAAGAACTTGATCTGCCCTTATGTGTTAACACAGCCTGCAAGGTGTAGTATCCGGAATTGTTGCTTCCCAGGTCGTCATCGAACCAAAACTGCTCGTACTTGATGTCCTTCTTCTCCTCCTTCGCTTCATTTGGCTTCACAACGTCCACTTCCATTTTCTTGTCTTCAAGATCCTTAAATTTGGCGCGCATGGGACACAACTTGTTTTGTAACTCCGGAGTGCACAACTCAAAGGCATCAAAGTCTATCGGGAATTTAATATCCTTCAATACCTTCGCATTAATTCCTTCCTTTCCTTTGTATTGGAAGCGAACAAACTGGACCGTCAAATATGCCGGTAGACGGCTTACCAAGTACTGCAAACAACAAACTTATTTGGTTAAAGAATATATATATATTTTAAGGTCGACTTACGTTTCTAGTGTACTGAGCATCGCGTCCCAAAGTCTCCGATTTCTTCACCAATTGCTCCTTCATTTTCTAAACAATAAATAGTACCAATAAATAAATTCTATATTTCGTAGTTAGTAACTAACCGATTTTAGACCACTCTGCATATACTTGACATCCATTGAGATAAAGCAACTCAACTGCAGAAAGTTCTCAGTTGTCACTGTGGAGGGTTCATCGGGAACTTCCTCCGAACTCATTTTTATTTCAAAAGTTCCTCCGAACCATTGGTCAATGAATGAGCTAAAACAAAAAGTATTAAACATTATTTATTTTAAAATTCTAAGAAATAGTTTATTACCTGTGTTGCTTCTTTTGGACAGCAGTACTCGAAGGGTCTTGGTTTGTGGGACGAAGCTTTTGCTGAAGCATTTTCAAAATTTCTGCCCAGCATTCGTTGGCATCCTGTTGGCGGTAGGTACCGTTTTCACCGGTCTGGGCAAATTGTGGAGATGCCCTGTGCAAAGCCTGTAGCAGGACTATTGGAGTCACGGTAGTGCCCTTCTCCATCTGAGCAAATATGGATTTCATGGCAGATGAAATTGAAAATGCAGTTGACATCGTGTCGGTTCCATCGTGGTTATAGGCTGTCAAGGCAGTACGAAGCTCAGGCACCGCGTTTAAGCATTGAACGGTGGCATTCATGTAGCATGTATTGCCAAGGTTTGTAAGCCCGGCTGGTAAACGCATCTGTAAAAGATGACAAAACATAACAAAATAGTTGATTAAGAAATACAATTAAGAATGAAATTGGTTTTTACGAATATATGTAACTTTTTAGTAAATTGTAAAAATATGCAAATTTTGTTGAATGATTAAGCATATTTTTATGAACTAAGAAAATGAGATCTGGCGAACCCGTAATGCCTTAAAATGGAGGAAGAATACATACGGCTGTTGCGGCTTCCGCTTCATTCATGTCTTCGATGAACTTGACCGGTGTAGCAGGCACTTCTGGTACACTTTCCTTGCTGCCCAGCAACAAAACAACAGCTCCCTGCGAGGCCAATAAGATTAGTAAAGGATCGAAAACCCTTTAAATTATTACTTACATCTTTCAATTGCAAGTTCCACTGATCATCCTTAAGAATGCCACCCTTGCACATGACCTTTTGACGCTCCGGCTGGACGCCAGTAAGTGCAAACAATTGGGCTTTAAACAAGATGGGCTCCTCGTCGGTGTTTACCTCAATATCTGTGTAGAGCTCCCGGCCCCACTTTACCTTAACTGAAAGCAATAACTTTAGTTTTTTGATACAAACAAAAACGAAGCGGTGGATTACCTTTAAACGAGGGCATTGCTAAGTTTTTCGCAAATATAAGTTCTTTTTTCTGTAAAATTCAAAGTCATACTAGCCGAAATGGAGATGGGTAAAACTTCGATATATTTATGCGGTGTTTCGTACAGCAATTACAAAACCTATCGAGTTTGGAACGGTGGCATTGGACTGTTTGTGATTAATAATATATGCAAATTTTGATACAGAGTGTATGTATTATTAAAAAAGCTAAAATAGTTTTGTTTCTTTTTAAGAATAAAAATGCTGTAGTAAAGTGGCCCAAACAGCTCTTACAGAGTTTGGTTCAATCTCCCTCTTCCCAACCATACAAAAATTATACCTATCGATAGACTCATGTAACTACGATTACCATCGATAAAACAGCTGACAGTTTTCAGAATTCATTTTTTATAATTCATTAATTGCCCACATCGGCACATTTAATTAGATTAGAATCCAAAAAATATAGAAAACATGAATGAAGCGGACAGTTTTGCTGAAATCTTCCGAGGCGGACTACCCCATTGCCTACTCATTGTATTTTCTATGTTGTTACTATGCTCACCGGTAATGCCCAGCGAATTCGAGGTTATTTCCATGACCAAGTTTGATGTTAATGGACAGCATTTTGGTAAGTAAATAATGGATAAGCTACAGATTAATTATGTAAGTTCGTTTCAGAGTAGGTTCCCAAATGTGAAAACTCTTAAAATGTTCCCCGCTTCAACATGCGGTTGTGACCCTAATTTTCATAAACATTGATGGGGTTGTTTCTCCCTTATTTAATTAGCAACATTGAATCCGATTAGGGCATATAGTGTGTTTCTTATCTTATTTTGTTAAAAGCCAGTAACTACTGGCATTCGAATAAGCCAAATGATAAGCTTTTCTGACTCCCATGGGAGGACTGCATCCACAAAACTTTTTCATTTAAACTTTGATCATTAGAAAAACTAGGTCAAATTCATAATTTGTATATCTTATACAGAATCTTTTTACTCTTTTACAGAAGAAGCCTTCTACATTAAAAATATTTATAAAAATCTAAGTTATTTTCCCCAATAAGAAAGTTTTCAAGGCTAATGAAAATATGCTTTTTGCTTTTAGGAAGTCGAGCATCTTCAATTTCCCTTGAAGCCAGATCCTTGTATTCTTGGAATACCTCTCGGCATTGCGTTCTTACGCGGTAAGTATATAATGTTACATTTTATTTTAAATTGTAATTTTCCAACCTAAATTTTTCGTATAGTCTTACCGATTTGTCGATCCATGATTTCGACAAGCTAAGACAAAATGCGGGCGGCCTAATTCTAATGTTGCCAGCTAATATTTTGGATTTGGATGTTGAAACCAGAGAATTGATCATGATTTTGGAGCAATCTATGCTTGCACATGCAGTTGTAGCTCCCATTTATTTTGCACCATACAACAAGGACTTGGAAAAGATCATAGATGATATCACTTATACTACCACCGACAGTGTGGCGAAAAATCAAACCGCATTGGGACAATTGATTGTAACAGTATCGGCTAATCGTTACCACATTAATGTTGGTGGTGGAAGTATTGTGGCCAACAAGAACAGCAAAGTTCCTATTATCCAGGGCGAGCTGATTCCCAATCAGTTGGCACTCAAACCCAGCGAATCTGTTACCGATGGACAAAAACTTCCAGTTATATTAATAACAGCTAACCTGAAGACTTTTGGAATATATAATGTGAGTATTCGAAAAAAAATATTTTAAATTAAACAACTCATTTTCCTTCTTGTTTTATTTGATTAGGATTATCCGTTGAATGCTGATGCTGCTGTTTTATTAGCACTTGTTGAATTGTTCAGTAAAGTGCACTACACAGCCACCATGGCACCCAAGTATCGCCTCAAATTTTTGCTCTCTGATGCCGGCTTGCTACTAAATTTCCAAGGCTCGAAGAAATGGCTGGAAGTAGATGACAATGCTCTTCAGGTAGTGCTCAAAAAATGTATACTGTATTTCTTTTATTAAAAATGTGTTCTTTATCTTTCTCTAGAATGTAGAATTTGTTCTATGCTTAGACACCATAACGGAAAGTTTATCCAATAATCCAGACAATGCTTTATACATGCACGTTTCCAAACCACCAAAGGAGAAGAGTTCGATAAGCAATTTCTTCAAGCTCCTAAAATCAGCCGCTGAAAAGTATTCGAATGGATTAACGGTTGAAGGTGTTCATAAGAAGATCAATTTGGCAGATTCTAAACTCGCCTGGGAGCATGAACGATTCAGCATTAAACGTTATCCTTCCTTTACTTTATCTTCTGTAAAGAGTCCCAGAAGCCCCATTCGAACAACTATTTTTAAGAACGACGAGAGTCAGATTCTGGAACACACACTGAATACGTCAAGAATTATTGCTGAAGCTCTTGCTAGTTTTATGTACAAAGTTGACTCCGTTTCTGGCATCTTCGATGGAGAGTTGGTAAGAAGAATAGACCAAAGGCAAAAATGAAAAAATATTTAATACATTTCTTTGTATTGCAGGCCATTAAAGAAGAAAACTTACTGCCATACTTCGGAGTCAAATCTATACTTCACAACAATGATGTTAAGGATGCTTTCGAAAAATACCTTAGTAATGTTAAAATCATTTACGATAAACCCGACAGTCGGGATCCTGACTTTATGTTCTACAATGAGCACGATGTAAAGCTCAATGTCTATAGAGTAAAGCCAGCGATTTTCGACCTCTTCCTCACCATTGTCATTGGCATTTACCTACTGACGGTGTTTCTAGCCATTCAATATTTCCCCCGACTTTATGATGAGGTGTCGAAATTAACGAAAGAAGAGCCAGTGGGACAACTTAACGGACATTCTTCCGAACGACTAAAAATGAAATCGCATTAGCATAAAGACGGTATTGAGTAAAAACATATTTGAATGTAGGAAAATTTATGTCCAAAATTCTTTTTCATCAATTTACTGATAATGATAATAAAACAATTGTTACTTTAAAGATAAAATTAAATGGTAGAATGTGTCCAATGTAGTTCCAAAGTAAATATAAATTCATTTGTTATAAATAATAGTTTTTTTTTTATTTTACATAATATATTATTACTTTTTTTTATAAATATTTTTGGTTATGTATATAAATTTTAGTTATTATTCACATTGCCGTTGCTGAAATTGGAGTTGCCTGAATTATGGGCACGGCTTGGCTTTGGCAGAGGGTTCCAATCCAAATTGGACGATGTAGGCGATGACTCTCTGTATTGGGTCTTGACCTTTGTGATTTTACTTATAAACACATTGTTTGGAGTTGCCGACTCGTTGGCCTCCACCGCTGACGGAGAAATATTTGCAGAAGTCACCTCCTTAGAAGATCTAATATTAACGCTATTTAATTCATTGGGATAATTATATGTGTTATCTGAATATGAAGGAGTCATGTAAACTTTGGTGCCCTTAGCCGCACTTTCATTTAAAAGCTTCTGATTGCGACTTATGGATTCAAGAACCTCTTTAATTGATTTCTTCTTCCTCATCCTAGGCGTGGGTGTAGCATTGGAGTCCCGCTCCTCTGAGATTGATGACCTAATGCGATCGAAAGAATACCTGTCCGCCAGCCTAACCGGCCTCTCCAATTCGAAATCTTCTCTTATTTGCAAATCATTTGGTTCTGGGGAAGTGGACTGCACACTATTGAACCCATAATGGTTATCTTCTGGAGTTTTAGATCCATTTAAACGTGCGTGAGCTGCATTTTCTTTGATAACTTTATTAGGAACGCTGGAACTGATGTTCTCTTCAAAAATTTGTGAGATTTGCTTAACAGTGCCAAATGAATTAGTTTTCTTTTCTTGCTCTGGCTCGATGCTGGAATCTTGTTCGGATTCATTGACTAGCTTAACAATGCTATTATCAGTAGACTGATGTGCCTTAGATGTGGTTGGGTTAAGATCGCATGCCGAATTTACAATAGTGACTGATTGTTTGGTAATTTTCGGAGTCTCCGCTTCTCTTACAGACTCGTCTTTAGCTGATTTTTGATCAGAGACGGCGACCGTGACGATTTGCTTTTCAATATTGATCGGTTCCTGGTGCTGAATGTTATAGCCACCGTTCTGTTTTCGCTCAGTGCAAAGTATTTTAGATTCATTAGTTTGCCTTACATGTATTGCGTTACACTGTGGTGCTTTGGACGTGCATGGATTAAGTTCTGTGGCTGGGTCGGATGCAATATCTGTGCCTATACTTTCAGATTCATTAACCTGCTTTACAGGGGATGTGCGAGAGGTTGGTTTAGTAACCGGGACGGGTGCAGGAACCTTTTCAACAGTTTCGACCTTTTCGATTCTTTCTATTTTTTTGATTCTTTCCACTTTTTCCACTCTTTCTACATGTGCAATTGTGCCAGATCCACCATTAGTTTGCTTAATATCTACTATCTGTGTTTTGGACGTGCTGGGGCTATTTTCACTATCAGTAACTACAATGGTCACCGCTGGCTTTTGGTTAATTGGGGGACTTGAGTTCCGGACTTCCTTCTCAACGGTAGGGTTTTCCAAGGACTCGTTTCTGTTATTGACGTACTGTTCGATTTCAGAGGCCAGTGATTCAATGTCCTTGGTTGCCAGGTAATCTGGGACCTAGAATAAATAAATATTTGACACTATCAAATGTATAACTTAATATTTTAACTAATTTACTGTTGATTTTGGCGGTGGTGGTGGCGGTGCCCTCCTCTTTTTCCGGTATTTTCTAGGACTCTTGGGGGAGTTGGGACATGAATCTGGCTCCGATTCAAATGGATTTGTGCTGGTTAGACTAGATTGCGAAGACCTAAAAATATCAAACAAAACAAATATTTGAATTTCCCACTCAGATAAGAGTTATCTATTTACCTTATATTCTGTGACATTGGCGAGGAATATCCAGAGAACTGTGTTGTGCTCCGGTAGCGATCATTTCGATTAAAGTACATTCCACTTGATTCAGACTATACATATATTTAAACAAAGTATTAATGTGTTTTTGTTTGATTTAGGGATTAAAATACCTCTCTTCTAGTATCAATATTTTGTAATGATGTGTGTCGATCGCCTCGGAAAATTCTTGAATTTAAATAGGATCTGAATAAGAAAGATTTACATATTTTATACAATTTTTAAATAATATTTATTTTACGTACGTATCATTTAAATCCCGCCTAAGTGTTGGCGGGCTTTCTGATGTTTTATTTATGCCCAATGTGGAAGACTTTTTTTTGCGGAAAGAGTACGTTTTCCTGAAAAAGAAATACAAATTTTAAAGCGTATTGTATGTAAGTTTAATACTGCTTATATGTTTGTCATATTAAGCACCTTGGCTTTGTAGTAATGTAAAAAAATTTAATAGATTTTTTCGATGGATGAAGACATCAGAAAGCTATTTATACAATTTAGGTATCGCTCGATTTACATAAATAAACACACCCGATGATCTGAGATCTGACGAAATAAACTTACCACAAATCTTGTAGGTTTCCAATCGACAAACTGTGTCTTCCATTATCGTTCTTCTTTTTAATGGTGAACCCCAAAATTCTGAGCCGCTTGTGATTATCATCCTCGTAGAAAGGATTCAAGTGCTCGGGGTAGTTGTAAATTGATATGTGACTAGTGTTTCGCTTGTTCCAACTCATTGTGGTTAGTAGTTAAACTTGGGTTAAATTCATCTGAAATATTCAAAGAAGATAAGATGATCTTTAATAAATCAAAATAGGTCTGATCAAATATAAGAAAAACTTACTAAAACCGGTTTAGCGGCTTAGAAAATATACAATCTCAGAAGAGAGCTTATACATACATCTATATATGAGACTCTAAATACTATACTTTTCCTTTATATTATAGAAAATTGATTAAATTAACACTCATTTGGTGACATAAGTGATCAGAGTTTAAGGTGATGATTTCAGAAAATATACCTGAATAAATATGACAAAAAGAAAGAAAATTTCCTTTCTGTTTAACGGTACCATTACTGTTGTCTTAAATATTGTCATATATGTATGTATATGCAAAAACCAATGTTTTATTTAAGTAGAAAGTATATAATTTTTTATTTGATCGTTAAAAGAAACTTTGTTTTTTTTTGTTGTTTATTCCCGGCTATGAGTCAATGAGGTAATGAAATAATTCGCCTGTTGTTTGGATCAAAAGATACTTTATCAAAAGATACTTCCAATTTCGGAATGTCACTATTATTTGGCACGGTTTGTTTGATTTGGGGTCCGGTTAACGAGCCGCAAAAGGTTATTGGTTTCGGTCGGACTAACATTGGCTTGGTTCAGCAATCTCGGATTAATTGACGCTACATGAGTACAAAGTTGAACACGTCTATATGGAATGGACACCAAGGCACACTACACAGAGCATTATTGTGCTGACCATAAATATAGTGATTGCATTATTGACACATTCCCGAAATTCTAAAGTCATATGATTGAACACTTATCGATTGGGTCATTTATAAAAAAAAAACCTTTTATTTATTTAGTTATATCACTTGTTAAACAAAAGATTAATTTGTTTTAGGTACTTTAGAGCTTTGCGCTTCAGCAAATTTATTTCAACTTTCGTGTCGGGAGCACGCACGAATTTTGATTATGACACGAGCATTGGGCCCGTGGCCGCCACTAATGTGAGATCATGTAGATTATTTTAAACACAAACAAATACACATTTTTCAATCTACACACATTTTTTTTGGTACATATCAGGGGGATATAAACATTCGCCCGTTATATAAAGAGCCTTCGCACTTTTGGCTATCACTTTTATTTCCATATACGGATTATGTACCTCATATATACGGGCAGGTACACATAAGTACAAGTTTAGATAAAAATATACACAGGTATGGCCAAGGAAAAGTGATGTGTTCGTATCTCGTAGTTCCAAATGACCTAAAATATTTAGCGGATGAAGCTTTTCGCGATACTCACCCACTGAGTTGTACTTCACGAATAAATGAACTACATGAACTTTATTCACATAGATAGAAAGCTTTTAAATACGAGGGCTTTTTTTTATAAGTTATAGTATGCTCGCACCTATACGTACGTATACTCCACACGAATGTGAGACAATCTATTAAGATCGCCAAATCTTTAAAAGCTAGAAAAATTTATTTTTTTTAAAGGTTTCCTAGATACACTTTCCGAAATGCAGATCATCCCTTTAACTAGCAACTAACTTTCAACTTTCCGATACGATTACTATGGGAGTTTAAGTAATCAATTATATTTATCTTTATTTTGGTAACAATAAAATATGTAAAGCTACAATAAGACATGAAAAAATCAAACACAAAATGATAAATTTGAATGGAAAATTTGTATTTTAAAATTATACAACGTATAATAAAGTTAAACACTGGTATATACGATTTTATATACATTTCTACTCCCATTTTTTTTAGGAACCTGGAAAGTCAACGGAAATGACGCACATTCTTATTTACACACTCAAGAAAAAATTGGTTCCGATTGGTAACAAAGTTTTTTTTATTAACGTTATTTCAAATAATTCTTTCAAAAATTGTTTGCAAAAATGTATTTAAATTTTGTGTATTCTTCAGATGTCATAGAATCTTCGAAATGTATAGCTACGTTTCTGTAAAGTTTTTTATTTATCTTGCAAATGAGGTTAGTTCTAATCTTTGAAATGTTTATATTTTATTAAGATATATTAGAGCTTTGGCGTTCAGGGTCATAATTTATCGTCTAAGAGCTATAAATGCAAATATACAATAAAAAGCTTAAAAGGACAGGTAGGCTTTGTTTATATATACAATTTATCTGAAATGTTAACATGTAAGTTCAATAAAACACCAAATTTTCAAAAAGATGTGGAAGCATCCGCGAATGGTCTAAGCTTATTGGGTATATCTTCATGGTAAGTAGAAGGATGGACGATTTTCCACGTTCAATTTCAAGGATCAAACTTTTTATGTTTGGAAAGATTTTCAGTAAATTTAAAGTTAAATAAATAGTTTCTTTGGGAAAAACTACTAAAATATATTTTTATTCTTTTGGTCTTTGAAACTCTAAATTTTTGTTATCTTTTACCGACCAAGAAAAATCGATGTTTTACATTTATTTACCAGAGACTTGGCAGGCAGCAGGATATCCCATTTATGATCGATGTTTTAATCCTGTGTAAAATTAAATAAAAAAAAAATAAAAATGCATCCGTTCATATTAATGTTTCGTAGAAACAATGTAAGTATATACATATTATTATATTATAAAAATATATTATAAAAAAGCCAACACTTGAAGTAAGGTAACCATAATTATACACGTCACAATAATAAAATTACCTCTTATACGTGTCCTAGAAAATACTCAACAACTTATTTTTACAAAAATATTTTATGTTCGTAATATTGTTTTTAATACCATTTAAACACATTTTTTTTTAATTATTACAATGTTTTTAATTTGAAACACGATTTGATTACTGAGGTCACATTCATGACATAAGTATTTTTAATCTTTTATACAAAAAATCGCGACAAATGTGAAAATGTCCAAGCTGAGTTTTATTACATAATATAGAATAAAAATTGATTAAAGTTTAAACGTAGGAAGTATCAACAATTTAATACCCCAAAATACAATATACTTTGCGTTTTCGAGATTATTGAAACTTTTTATGGCGGGTACCACGTATTCGTTACACCTACTAATACCTTTTATTTTTAATTATCTGTTTTGAATTTAAAATTTCTAGTGCGTTATCAGTTTTCTAACCTCTGCCAATGAAAAAAGCATCGCGACAACTGAAAAGTTTGTTTTAGACACACGAGACAAATTATTTGAGTGCAAAATCGGGAAATACTTTACAGTTTCTCCCAGAATGGCTTAAGAATTAGTTTTACCAAATATACGATACTCGCAACGGTTTTTTTTTCAAAAAAATACTCGGCTTAGTGTGACATTTTTTTAAGAATGTGCCATTCACGGTTGTGATCTCGTTATCTCAAAAAATTGTCTTAAAATTCCAATCAGGACCCGTGTACGACCAGCAGTTCCGGGCCCGGAAAATACCAATTGGAAGCTGCCTCCGAAAGTTTCTTCCCAGAAATGATAGACTTTGTGGCTGGACTCCTCGGCGGTAAAGCATTCAGCTTGGATTTAAATCAATTATTTTAAAAATCAATTCAAATATCTGGACATTTTAGGAGCGGCTGGTGTTTTGGTTGGCCATCCTTTCGATACGGTGAAAGTTCACTTGCAAACCGATGATCCCAAGAATCCAAAATACAAGGGGACATTTCACTGCTGTAAAATGATATTGCAAAGAGACGGTTTTAGAGGAATATACCGAGGAATAAGTAGTCCGATAGGTGGTATAGGATTGGTTAATGCTATTGTTTTTGGGGTGTACGGGAATGTACAAAGATATTCTGGTGAGCCCAACGCGTTGCTGACCCATTTCTATGCTGGCTCCTTAGCCGGCATAAGCCAGTCATTCGTTTGTGCACCCATGGAGCTAGCGAAGACAAGGCTCCAGTTATCACAGAACATTGACAGTGGAATCAAATTCAGCGGACCTATCCATTGCCTCCGACACATATTCAAAACCGAAGGCATTCGAGGCACCTTTAAGGGATTGGTTGCAACAATTCTAAGGGATATTCCAGGTGAGATTATAATCCTCCTATAAATACTTCGTTACGGACTTTTTAGCTTTTAACAATTTATAATTATCTGTTTCAGGATTTGCTGGCTATTTTGTAACCTATGAGTATATAATGGCGCATAACTCCAATCCAGGAGTATCGTTTACACTATTGGCCGGCGGGTGTGCAGGGATGGCATCATGGATATTCTGCTATCCCCTCGACGTGGTGAAGACACACATGCAAGCCGATGCGCTGGGAAAAGATGCCAAATACACTGGATTCGTGGACTGTGCCGTCAAGGGGTATAAGCACGAGGGAATCCAATACTTCTTTCGTGGACTAAACTCAACACTCATCCGAGCTTTTCCCATGAATGCAGCCTGCTTTGTTGTGGTCTCCTGGGTTTTGGACTTTTGGCATTCCAATTATGGCATGAAATCGGTCAAAAACGTCGAACAATCTCTAACCCTAATGAATTTAGACAACAAGGCTCAGGCGGATCTGGACAATGTTGTTCCAACAGTCGAGGAAGCTGTTCGAAAGTTGATCACAGACAATTCCTTACCGTATCAGCCAAGTTCCCCACCGCAGGATGTTGTTCACAACCGTTTTCCCAGTAACACTATGAATATCCCCAAAGAATCTAAAAACCGTATGGCAAACGATGTTAATATAAAATAAAATCAAATTGTTGTATTTTTAATGGGATTTTGTTTGTAAAAAAAAAAAACCTCCATATTAGAAAGATTTGAATCCATAATTTATATTTATTTCAAATTGAATACATAATATAATAAAATAGTAGTTTACCTTAGGTTTAAGTTTTTAAGAGCCGCAGGACATGCATGCATCCTTATTTTCTAGTGAGCACACCATATCCGCCATTTTCTTTTCCCTTTCAGATTCATAGTCCTGAACGCTTTCCTCCTTGATGCCATTCTGGCCGTTTATCTTGAGACCACTCATTTTCTTGTCGACGGTAAACTGAATGGCGTTGGCAGCTGGCTTTGTGCGCAAGTAGTACATTCCGGTTTTAAGACCAGCTTTCCAGGAGTAGAAATGTATGGATGTGAGCTTTCCATAGTTTGGCTCTGCCACATGGATATTGAAGGATTGGCTCTGATCTATAAACGCACCGCGATCTGCGGCCATTTTAATTGTTGATTTAACTGAGATTTCCCAAACTGTTTTGTAAAGGTCTCGGACCTTTTGGGGAATTGATTCAATATTTTGAATGGATCCCCTGCTGGATATGATCTGATTCTTCATGTCATCGTCCCACAAATCCAGCTCCGTCAAATCCCTCAGCAAATGATGGTTGACCACTTGGAACTCGCCAGAGAGTACGCGTCTTGTATAAATATTTGTTGTATAGGGCTCGAAGGATTCGTTATTACCCATAATTTGAGCAGTCGATGCTGTGGGCATCGGAGCCACCAAAAGGGAGTTTCTAACTCCATGTTTTTTGATGGACTCCTTCAGACCTTTCCAGTCCCAAAGATCTGTCGGCGTTTTATCCCACATGTCGTACTGCAGAATTCCCTTACTGACCGGACTTCCTTCATAAGTTTCATAGGTGCCGTCCCTTTGGGCCAGTTCGCAACTGGCTTCCAGGGCTCCAAAGTAAATGGTTTCAAAGATCTGTTGGTTCAAGAGGCTGGCCTCCTCGCTTTCGTAGGGATAACGCATAAGAATCAGCGCGTCAGCCAGACCCTGAACGCCGATGCCAATAGGACGATGCCTTAAATTGGACTTCTTGGCCTCCGGCAGTGGATAAAAGTTTATATCTATTATCTTATTGAGGTTTCTGGCCACGGTCTTGGTGACCTCCTTCAGTTTTTTGAAGTCATACGTCTTCTCTGGCGTCACAAACATATTGAGAGCGATCGATGCCAAATTGCAAACTGCAATCTCGTCGGGCGAAGAGTACTCGACAATTTCCGTGCACAGATTACTGCATTTAATGGTGCCCACGTTCTGTTGGTTGCTCTTTCGGTTGCACGAGTCCTTGAACAGCATGTAAGGATTGCCAGTCTCCACTTGCGACTCAATGATGGCGAACCACAAGGACTGTGCTTTTACAGTTCGGTTTGCGCGTCCCTCCTGTTCGTATTTCACATATAGCTTTTCAAACTCATCGCCCCACACATCATGAAGTCCAGGGCATTTGTGGGGACAGAAAAGCGACCAGTCCTCATTGGCCTCCACTCGTTTCATGAAGAGATCTGGTATCCACAGGGCATAGAACAAATCACGGGCTCGATGCTCTTCCTTGCCAGTATTCTTCTTAAGGTCCAGAAACTCAAAAACATCCGAATGCCAGGGCTCTAGATAAATGGCAAAGGCTCCCGGCCGCTTGCCACCACCCTGATCCACATATCGTGCCACGTTGTTAAAGACTCTCAGCATAGGAACCAGACCATTGGAAGTGCCGTTGGTTCCGCAAATGGAAGTACCCTTTGCACGAATACAATGGACATTAAGACCAATACCACCCGCAGACTTGGAGATCATGGCGCATTGCTCAACTGACTTGAAGATACCCTCAATCGAGTCGGAAGTCATGGTCAGGAGAAAACAAGACGATAGCTGGGGACGATTTGTGGCAGCGGCAAATAGCGTTGGCGAAGCGTGCGTGAAATAACGCTCCGAAAGCAAGTTGTACGTCTCCACGGCAGCATCGATGTCTTCTCCATGGATTCCGATTGCCACGCGCATAAGCATGTGCTGGGGTCGCTCGGCGATTTTACCATTGATTTTAAGGAGGTACGAACGCTCCAGAGTCTTGAATCCAAAGTAGTTGTAACCAAAGTCACGATCATAAATTATAGACGAGTTCAGGCGATCGGCATTCTTTTTCACCACGTTGTAGTGGAATTCCGACACCAAAGGTGCTCTGAGATTAGTCTCTTTATTGACATTGGTATAAAGAGCCTCAAACACATCTGTTTGTAGAAGAAAGATGTTTGTTAGGCGTATATATTAATAAACATATAAGTGCCCCTTCGTTAACATGACGTTTTTACTTACCAGAGAAGACCTTTCTGGTTTCCTTGTGCAAATTGGAGACTGCAATACGAGCTGCCAAGATGGCATAGTCAGCGTGATTACAGGTCAATCCAGCCGAGATTTCAGCGGCCAAGTTGTCCAGCTCCTGCGTGGTCACTCCGCAGTAAAGACCATTAATAACTTGTAATGTAATGGTAACCTGTTGCAAATGGATATTTTTCGACAATTAGTTTAAGAACAACAACGTATATGGCTTTAAAAATATGTAGTTTTTAAAGAATTTTACTATCCTTATCATAATAAAGATTGACTTATCATTAATAAATGACGTATCTACTTTTGTGTAATTTTTTTTACTGCAAATTAAATATTAAAGTATGATGAAATTACTGATCATTTGAATACATAATTTTGGTATTAAATTTCTAACTATTTCTTTCAATAACTCTGCCTTTTTTTTTTGGTTTATTGTTCTATTTAAAATTTGCAGAAAAATGTATATTTCACAAACATTTTCTACGAATTTCATTTTATTAATAATTGAAAGATAACTTTTGTAAGCAAACATCTGTATGTGTGTACATAAAAGTTGCCCCTCACATGGATTACGGCCCCTCTGCTATGGAGGTATATTGGTGGTTCTAAGAAGCCCCAAATATCATTCTCCTACATTAATAGATGCCATTTAATCAGCAGCTAAATAAACGGGTACTTACGGGATCAACAAAATCCATATTTAAGTTATAACAAAGCTTTTGAATTCGAGAGGTTATTTTATCAAAGTGTACTTCCTCCTGCCTGCCATCTAAAAATAATTAATTAGAACCATTACGACAAATAAGATGGTCAATTTACCTCTTTTAATAACGTAGAGCTTTGAGCTCTTCAGTGTCTTATTTTTCAACATATTTAGTTATTTATTTCACAATAATATGAGAGCTAAGGAATGCTTGTAGTCAACACAAAAAGGCGCCAAGTTACAATCGATTCTATCGATCGAATAATAGTACCGTATTTAATATTCGAAACTTGTTTGAATTAATCGACATTTTGAAACAAGCGAAAGCCAGAACGATAAATCATTAGTTTTTTTAGAATAAAAAAATATATGAATTTATTTAAGCTACAACGTACTATTAATTAACATTTTTTGTTTACCTAGGAATGTGTTTTTTCAGGGCAATGCCAATGGAACAAAGAAATAGAAACAAATTTTGGAAAAATGTGTTGTTTTGGTCTATATTTTATTTATTTTGCTTTAAATAATTACATAAGTATAACAGTGTTTAAAGAACTTTTCAAATACATATGTGTTTCATAAACATTTTTGGTAGTTTGGTATTAGTTAAACATGAAAATCCAATATTTGCAAAGAAACTTTTCGGTTAGTTTGAAAGTGTAGTTTAAGTTTAATCATATGTTGTGTGACGGAATGTTTGATTGATTTTCTGTCCAGTTTGCTGCTGGTAAACACTAAAAAAAAGAGCATTTAACCAATTTTTTTAAACCATTTTATAAAATGTTTGGTTACTTACAAAAAATTATTAATTTTTTCGAGGTCGTGTAATATGTCATCTTGGTCCGAGTTGAGATCATCTCTTTCTTTAAGGCTTTCTACTAAAGTAACATTAAGGTTCTCGATATATATTTGAAGATTGTTCACCAATAACTGAAGAGTTGGAACATCAATTCCAGTGAGAAATTGCCTGGAAATCCATCGATGATTGGAATTCATATTTATACCAACATCACAGAGCATTGAACGGATTACATCCACAATGGGAGTAACACCGTGCTTTTTTGCCTATTAATTTTTAATAGGAGGTTTCAATAATTAACAAAATAAATATTATAAAAGCTAATCTACCTTTACTTTCATTTGTGCTATTTCCTTTGATTGAGCTAGGGCTATTCTAACCTCAATTTGCAGCTTTGATTGTTTCGCGAAGAAGAAATCATTTTCGTTTGAGGGGAAATCGTGGCTTTGAATCGGATTCCCATTTATCGTATGAGTGATATTGCAGGGTTGGTTAACTTGGTTCTGTAAGAATGATTTATTATTATCCATATCCGTAATCCGCTTAGTTTCACAAATTTCGGACTGCTTCCGAAGCATTCCACTTGAGAGTTTGGGACACGTCTCAGAGTCCGAACTTTCATTGTCCGATCCCGTCAGAAATTCCTCTTTATTATTTTCTAAAATTTAAAATAAACATAAATTATTGTTCTTAATACACAATTTAAGCTTTATATTAACTTACGAGTAATATTATTCAACTGATCCTTATCTCCGATAGCCAATCTTTTTCTTATTTCGTCCCGATTAAAGCGGCGCTATAACAGGGATTATGTATTATTTAATAAACAAAATATATCCATCAATGTTTCCTTTACCTTTTTCTCTATTTGCTTCACTTTTTGAACATGATTTTGTAGTGTTTCCATATCCATGTCATTAGCCACTTTATAAGCATCAAATTGTTCTGTAAATTATGATTTATATTTTAATAATTTCTTAGTAAAAATAATGTGAAAGAAAAGGTAAAAAAAAATTACCTAAAACCACAGCAGATGAGCTGACTTTGGGAAACTTGTTGGGACCTTCCAAATATTGGGACCAGCATGATGGACTCTGGTATCGGCGGTTTTCAGATGGTTTCTTTTCTTCTTGGAGACTCGGCCGAGACTGGCCTATTTCTAAATTGCTTAAATTTGGTACATCAACATGATTCATGTTCTGCGTATCACATTTCATTTTTTCCGACATTGAAGAATAACTTTCCGTATCCGGATGAAAGTTTTTCTTTTGATTACATATCTTGTATTCAAATGTGTCCGGTGGTAGCTGTCTTTCATCATGAGACGGTTTATGATGTTTACTTTTTGTCATTTCATGTCCATATGGTGTATTCTTTTTCTTATTTTTCCGGATGCTATGTCCAGAAAAACGAGATGATTGTGATTGCTTTAAAGCTTCCGTGCCATTTGATAGTTCTGCGTCACATATCTGAAAGTTCTTAAACAAGATTTGAATGATTGGAAATTAAAAATGTATTATTTTCAAATACCTTTGTTAAATTTAATTCATTTAACTCCACATCATGTTTAGTTTTGTTTTTATATCCTGTGATAAGTAGCTCAAACTCTCTCTCAACTTCCCCACCAAAATCTCCAACAATATCTATGGGACTTTGTCCCTGTAGTTGCCCCTCGTATTTTGTACAGAGCCATGGAGAAAAATCCGAATTATTTACACAATTTTTGCTAAGGTTATAGATCAGATCTGGTTTGTTTAAAGTTCGTATCGGCGTTTCAGAAGCCGGCTTATAGTTTTCATTTACAAGATCAGGTATATTTGCTGATGTGGAGCAGTTTGCTGTTGTATCGAACAAATATGTGTTTCCATTGTCAACGCCATGCTTTTCGTCATTTTTTAAAATTATATCTTGAGTATTTTCACATGCTTTAGATTCGGAAATTCTAGCAACCTTTGTATTATATGTATTTTGTTCCTCCTCCCTGTCGCTATCCGTTAAATCACTTTCGTTACATTCCATGTCCGAGTACTCGATGTACTCATCAGAGAGGGTATGTGCAAATTTCTGAAATCCAGGATAGTTGGGGTTGATAATACCCTTAGTTATATAAATATCCATTTTTGAGCTAGGCATTTCGTCTTATATACTGGAAAGGAAATAAGTAATTGAATATGTAATGATTAGTGTATAAAAAAATTTAAAAAACTAAATATGTAATACATTATTCTTTTTCACAAATTATATTACTTTCAATTTATCTTTTCATGCTGAGAGTTGAAATTCTTCTTTAAATTAAACGATTCATTTGAAGTAATAATATGTAATGTGCTTATATGTATGTATGTGTATCTATTATGTGTATATTATGTTTTAAAATATAAGCTAAACTAAAAATTGTTGACGTAGGTGTGAAGCCTCATTTTCATGTAACGAAGGAATTAAGAAAGCTCAATTACTAACCCTGTGCTTACATCTTCATTAAATTATATACAGTAAATTGCAATATGCTTTAAAATGTTTGTAATTTGCAAATGAAAATTTCCTTAGTTATTGAATCGATGAAGACTTACAAGGACTCGAGCACTCGTTCATTCACACAAAAATTTACTCCCACACATAAAAAATAAATTACTTGTTTTAGCGCATGCGTAAATCGTGGAGCCCTATTTTTTAGTGTTGAAAATATTTTACTTTATAACCGGCTTTTCGTTATTTTTTGTTAATATTAAAAATAAAGATAACTTAAATATTTCAGAATGTTTTTTATTTAGTTAAACAAAAATTTATAAATATTAATAATTGTTCTCGTTCTAACACGATATTTTATCATATATTTGGTATTTTTTTCCTTTTGAGATTTGGCAACACTGAGGCATAATGTGATTTAAAAACAACCAAAATATTTATAAATATAAAATATACACATTAGAAAGATGAAATAAACAAGGCGTGTTGTGTCTGTGAATAATAATGATATTATTCAAAGGGATGCGAAGGGTGCCAACCCAATTCAAAACACCTGTCGAATTGGTGCTCATCCGGGTGAGTTTTCCGATCATTACGCAACGCTTAACAAACTATAACTATTGACATTTTCAGTACTCCACGGCAGCGAATATTTCAACTCATGATGACAGCAGAAACCTCAGCCCGTTACAGCCAACGGTCCCCGTTGGGAACATACAAAGCCCCCATTTGCCTGAAACCCCGGTTTCGTGGGTGCCAAGCCCATATGTTTTGCCCGGAAAAACATTAAGCCAGTACAAGAAGCTGTCCAAGTTTCGCCTAACCTGTGAGTGTTTTTTCAACTGCGATAAAGAACAATATAAGACAGCTTTGCCATTATTATTTCAGCTCTTGTGGTCATCACTACAATGGGAGGCTATGCCATGGCCCCGGCTGCCTTCGATCCCACCTCTTTTGCCATGTGCACATTGGGAACCGGTCTCGTTTCAGCAGCGGCCAACGCCATAAATCAGTATCATGAAGTTCCCTTTGACTCCCAAATGTCAAGGACAAAGAACAGAGTGCTCGTCACTGGACAAATGACTCCTCTTCATGCTGTCACCTTCGCCCTTGTATCAGCCACAACTGGCTTGAGCATGTTATATTTTGGCACAAATGGATTGACGGCGGCGCTAGGAGCGGGAAACCTCTTCCTCTACACAACGATTTACACACCAATGAAGCGAATCAGCATCGTCAACACTTGGGTGGGGTCTGTCGTGGGAGCCATTCCGCCCCTGATGGGCTGGGCAGGATGTGCCGGCACTCTGGACGCAGGTGCGATGATACTGGCGGGCATTCTGTATGCCTGGCAGTTCCCGCACTTTAATGCACTCTCGTGGAACCTCCGACCAGATTACTCTCGCGCCGGGTATCGAATGATGGCCGTAACAAATCCAGGTCTCTGTCGGCGCACTGCCTTGCGATATTCGGTAGCCATTGTAGGCTTATCGGTATTGGCACCAGTCCTTGACGTCACGAACTATTGGTTTGCATTGGAAACTTTACCCTTGAACGCATACTTTGCATACCTCGGTAATTAGAAATCATTTGGCAACAGTTTTATATATGGTTTAACATAAAAATGTTTCTATTCTACAGCGTACAAATTTCATGAAAAGTCTGATAGTGGAAGTTCGCGAAAGCTTTTCAGATTTTCTCTGTTGCACCTGCCCGTTTTGATGTTGCTCTTCTTGGCCAACAAAAAGGAATGGTATTTCAGTAAGCCCGCCGGAGAAGAGGCAAAGGCAAAAGATTCCAGCTTACTTACAATAAAGCAGTCAGCGAGTAGTCTAGGAAACGTTTTGCCTGTTGCCGTTGCCGAAGAATCCAGATAGTACTTGTACACCTTTTTGTCGATAAGAAAAAAAGTTATGAAGTTATGTTAAGCTAAAACAATTGAAGTGTTTGTATGTATATTAATAGTCAAATAATGTTGAAAAACATTTACCTCTGTATGGATATTGTACACTTCAAATAAACGGCGATCACATTCTTGACAAATCCAAGTTCTTTTGTTTCGAGAAATTTGAAAATTAAAATCAAACCTTAGGAGTGACCAAAGGGTTTTTATTAGCCGATAATATAGTCTTTATTTATGTGGTATAATAAATCATATTTAAAATTAAAAAATCCATTTGGGGTAAGATAATTTAATAGGTGAATTGGAGAGCCCATTGTATTATAAATACCAATTTATATTAGAAAAAAAATTAAATACATTTTTTTTTTTGCTAGAGTTTAGTTTTAATACGGTTTCTTTTATATAGAACGTCTGAGTAGCATATTTTTTTAACCATTGTGAACTAACAATGTATCGATAACAATCGTAATTTTTGGTATTTTGTTTTGTTTTGATAATTTTATTTATAATGAGAATAAAGGTCATTGTTTCCATGAAGATTCGATAAATTTCCACAGTTTATTGCACCTGTTTGTGTAAATCGCATATTAAACAACCAAATATTAATGCATGACATGAATCATTCCCTAAATGCGAAAGTCGCCGGATCCCTCGTTTGGTAATTTGAACGGGTAACTAGCTCAAATGAACGTAAAATCCGTGACGAACCACTGGAGTGAATTATTTTTAGTGAGCTGAACGTGGATTGTGACAATGAAAAATTGAGGAATAGTGTTTACATTCATTTTATAATTTATTTTAAAGTTATCTTTTTTATCTCTAAAGAAGAGAGGCATATGAAAGTTTCTTTACAAAGTGCATGCAACTATAAATTTCTAATTATGTATAATGTACCACATAAGTTTCGTCAAGTTTGTCGATTGTGCCTCACATTGGTTAGCGAGTGCGATGTTGCAGAACTACAGATTTATAATGATTCGTCGCACAAAAGTGCCCAATCCAAAGCCGAGCAGCAGTCAAAGGTGGCCGAATTCCGTAAATCCGAGAGGCCAGCTAGCTGTTTCTGCAGGGCCCTGAGCCCAAATGTGTGCAGCTGCGTCGGTGATAACTCGCTATCAGTGGTGCTGACCAATAACGAAACGGGTCCAAGCCAATCCCTTCACAAATCGCATTACACACCAAGTGTGCCTTCCACTGTGGACGCAATATCGAGTGGCAGTGAACCATACGCCAAGTCTTTTGCCAGCAAAAGCCAATTGGACTCGGTTATCGCCGAAAGATCAGTATTCAAAAGTCAGTCAACGTCGTCGCAACTGCATGAGACCACTGCCAGCAATGCTGGCGAGGAATCCGAATCGGAATCAAACGCGGAACTCCCGCGGGAGGAGCTATCGGTTATCAATCAAACAAAAATAAGCCACAGCCAGAGCCACAGCCAGAGCCAGAGCCAGCAGTTCGGTGGAACAGATAACTGCGGCCAAGAGCACGGCAGGGATGATTCATCATCACATCTTACATTTCAGATATTCAACTGTCTCTCTATTAAGGTAAGCAGATTTCCATCCAACACATTTGCACAGAAACGAATTTACATTAATTACGCACACACACAAGCTCGCGTACAAGCTGGTGTGTGTGTATGTGTTATCTATGTGATTACGACACCACACGTCAAAATAATAGGAAATGATTGGGCCGCGTTTATCCCATGGCCTATTAACAATCGGTATCAGTTGTTGGTATTTTTTTTTTCCAATGAACCATTTTGAGGCATTCTCCCACACACATACACACATACTCTCGCACACACACCTCGTACATCAATATCCAGCATGTGAATGTAAATATTGATATGTACAAGTGTACATTGTACATTGTACGTGCATACATACATATGTACACGGCTGAAATGTGAGCGCAGAGACCTACATTAATCTACGCTATAGATAACGTAATTATTTCGCTGCAATTTTGATTGTTTTTAGGGTCAATTTATCAACGTCAGATTATATTTTTATGACAGGTAAATAGGGAGATAGGTCACTCTCATTTTCTTAATACTAGCTAATCAAAAATCGAAAGGCTATAATATAAACGTCACTTTCATTCGGCTAGAGTACTTACCAAAAATATCTACTTATTTCAGAGTGTCTGAATTATTTACATGCGTAAACATAAGAGGCATTTCTGTTATCGGGGCTAAGAAATCAAAATAGATTTTTAGAAAATCGGTTCTATTTTTAAATTAAATAACTTATAGATTTTATTTTCCGTTCAATATTGATTATTTGAAAACATCCAATTGGGAATGGTTTCTTATCGGTTATATGCACAACAACATGGAACCACAATATGTAATATTTCATAAGCAGAATTATTAAAAATTATATTTATTTCAGCCTTTGCCTAACGACGGACTCCCCAACGTGATATGTCGGGACTGCAGATCCAAACTGGATTCCTTTGAAAAATTTCGAACTATGACGCACAATTCACATAATGCTTTAAAAGAATTTTTAAATATATCAAAAACTCACAAACTAGTAAGTATTTATCAATTAATTGTGCATACATTTTATCGAGAATTATCAAGAATAATAATTTAAGAGCTTAGAATATTGGAAAAAAAGATTTTACTAAAATATGTATATTTTTTTTCAGGACGCAAATGATTTGGAAGAAAAGCTTGATACAATTTTAAAGACTCCATCAGAGGCTATTGCTGCAAAAGCTTTGACGGAGCTAAGCACATTTTCTAAAGTTAAGTACGAACAAAGTAGAAAAGATACCGCTATCACATCTGCTTTGGATCGGAAGAATGAGATTAGTAATCCAGATATAACAGCGCACAGCCTATATCCAAGTTTTCTCAAATCAATCGATATAAAAACTGAAAAGATAATACCACATAATGTATCAATGCCTGGTTCCTCACAAAGCCAGTACGATTCGAAATTTCAAAAGGATCCGGATATCGAGAAATATGAAAACATGCAGCAGCAACTTGAAACGGCTGCTGTTCTAATGGATATAAGCAAAAAAATTGTAATTTCACCTCCGTGCTCGAATCCTCAATCTCCGTGTTTTTCTGCAGCTGTAGATACAAGTATTAAAAGTTCTGTGATAAAATCAAAACGTCCATTAAGCAAAAATGAAATTCAGGACGGAGTTGAAATCGACCTGTCCGTTAAAAAACAAAAGAACGATTGCGCTAACCAACGGATCCCATTGTACAATTATTGCCAACCTTCAATGCTTGATCGTCAGTCACACTTAAGAAGTGAAGAGGATTTTAAAAACTACAGTATTACCATTAACCAAGTTGGTGGATCCGATTATAAGCAAAAGGCGCCAAAGGCGAGTACCGGTTCCCTGCTAGATTCCGGAGATAGCTCCGACTCTCACAAACTGGAGATGGACATAGGGTCCACCATCAACGATAGAAAGACCCCGGATAGTCTGAGCTCGGACCATGCAACAGATGCAGCTACAACTCAACTTTGGCAAGCATTGGCCCGTTCAGCAGGTAAGTTTATCTATTTTATAAATACACAAACATAAATTGTAACTGAACATTTTTTAATTAAGCCAAAAGTAAAGAAGAAAACCAGGCTACAGAATTAATACGAAACATGATGAGCCAGAGTTTTGTGTTCTCGGTTCCGCCAACAGCATCATTTACTAAAGTACCTGAAGAACCCATAGCACTATTAAAGGTAAAAATTAACTTTCTAAAAATTAACAATGCTATGCATCTAACTAATGAATTAATGTTTTTTCAGGATCTATCAGAGGCTCAATCCAGTAAATCAAAACCTTGTAGAAGAAAACAAAGTTTTCCTACCAAAACTGATTGCATCGATGTAGTTAATGAGAATGTGACTGATACTTATACCACTTCAGAAGCAACTCCAGATGATAAAAAGGATAAAAGGGTGAATATTGCTGACAATTACTAATTGTAACTTCCATTACTTAAATCCTGATTTGTATATTTTTAGCAGAACATCAACCTTTTTAATGCCATACCCGGTGCTCAAAAAGATATGTCATGTTCCAATTGCGGCACACTTACAACTACAATTTGGCGGCGGAGTGTCAGGGGAGAAATGGTTTGCAATGCATGTGGGTTGTATTTCAAGCTGCATGGTGTTAATCGGCCACATTCAATGAGACGCGATACCATACACACCAGACGCAGGCGTCCTAAAGAATTGGAGCGATCTAAAAAAAGTAAGTTTTTCATTCAATAGTATAAAAAGAGTAGTCTACAAGAAAAAGAATGTTCTTCTCTTAATGTTTACCCTTAATATAAACACATTGCTGTTGTTTAAATTTGAATCTTAAATAATAATATAAATAACACAAAAGGCTTTCAATATAGATTTTACAAGCTAATCCTAAATAATTTATCTTCGCTTATGAATATAGTAAAAATAATGTTTTTATATCTGTAAAGTTTTTAATATCTGTAAATATATATGTAAATAAAGAAATGCTGCAGAAGGATAATACTATTTAATAAGAAATATGACTCAATAATTTATTGACAATTTCAGAACACAAGCAAATGTCATGTTCTTCAATTGAACCAACAAAACTGGATTTCTTGACGTCTAGGGAAGCCCCTGATATTTCTGGTCTTGCATTGAATGTGAGTGAATAAATTCATATAATGTGCTTTCTGCTAAGAGAAAAGCATGACTAACAACATCTATTATTCCATACAATCTTTATTTAATTTTAGAAATTCAAAAAGGAAATGGATGAATCCGAGACCGCAGCAGCACTTAAAGATATATTATTGAGGCGGAAAAAAACGGCGTTTAATGATACCTGTGAGAGTGCGGATCATTCTGCACCGCTTAACCTTGTTTCCAGTGAAAATAATGCAAAGTTAACATAAAACGCCAAATATATTTCCCCTACTCACTTTTCGAAAAGAAACCTTTAACAAACATTTTGTTTATTTATGAGGTCGCATAAGAAATAAAACAAAAGGTATAGGATTACAATAAGTGTAGAATATAAATAAAATTTTCATTCTTTAAAAATTAAATTTTATTCATTTGTATCTTTAAAAACTAATACCAAAATACTTATTAGTGTAAAAGAGGTATAAAATTGAACCAGTATGTCAAACCTTTTAAATAATATCACACTAAATATAGACCTTAAGCAAGGACATCAATACTTAATGCAATTAAATTAAAAATAAAATTTATTATATTTATATTTATTAAAACCATTTTACAGTATTTTTAATTTTTTAATAACACAAATTACTTCTATTGAAATTGAACGTTCAGTTTTAACAATGATTTTTCAGCTTTCTACGCAATTGAACAACTTCTAAAGCTAAAAAATAAATGTTTTAAATCTCTTGCCTATACGAAAATCATGTGATAATATAATAATCTCCACAAACATTTTAATAGTAAAACTATGCAAAAAGCAATAATCACGCAATGCAAACTTTTCAAGGAAATATTTAAATTATATACAATTATAAGAAACTAAAAACTTAATGCTGTTTTCGAATCTACATAAATCGTCTAAATAAAATAAGGACTTCATATTAGAATAAGATACAAAAATATTACTCATTTATTTTTTCAAATAAAATACTCTATACAATTTTTAACAATCACAATAAACTGGTTAATGTAAAATGTAAATCGTGGGTTTTCTTTAAATCTTGTTTCAATATATGAAGAAGTATAAGACACTGTCTCTGTCTTATACTGGGCGGAAGCTGCGTAAATTTCTTTCAGTGTAATTTCAGTATTTTCTCAGCTGTATTGATATTATGGACAATCGATAGGAAATTACGTCCGATAGTGTTATCGTTCACTTTACATCACATCACCAAACGCTTGTTATCAATTTCATCTGTTTTTAACCATGCTGGGGAACGGCGAACATTTTTTCGAAGGGGTTGAAAAACTCCTTGAAATTTGGTTTGAGGAAAGTTCCAATAGTGAGAATGACCTACGGAATATAAGCAGGTAATGTCGAAACCGTATGACACATCGTAATTTATTTGCACTGGCAAGCGGAAAAGAAAAACACGGGGAGATGAATTTCCCCCAAGATCAATGTAAAACCACAATAATAGTAATTTCACGTGTACGACCATAAAAAACCACAAAAAGATTTATATATATTAGTTATTTATTATTAGTCAGTTATTCTTTAGGTTGCTACATGTCACCCGAAGTTTACACGTTTTTTATTTCCTAATCTTTGCTTTGAAGTTCAGCAACAGCCCATGACCTTTCCAATTATAATTACAGATAGTGTTTACTAACCGGATTCAATAAATTTTTCGATTCTTATCTTTAATATACTTTGTAGGGTTCACCCGAGTAATCTTATTTCTTAAATGTTTCAGGGCTGACTGGGAAAACGTGCTGAGCCATGTAAACTGTGAAATTATCAGTACTTCCAAAAATGATGTTATTGATGCCTTTGTGTTGAGGTAAGCTTTATCTAAATTTAAAAAACTGATTCAAGAAACTGTTTTTTTTTTCAGTGAGAGCAGTATGTTTGTTTCAAAACGAAGATGGATTTTAAAAACATGCGGAACGACGACTCCTTTAAAATGCCTAAGCTTATTGTTGAAATTAGCTGCTACTAATGGATTTACCATAGTAGCTGATTTATTTTATTCCCGTAAAAATTTTACAAGACCAGAAGCTCAGGTAATTAAAAAACTATTTTAATAAATGATTGTTTAAAGTAAAAATATTTTCAGATAACTCCACATCAAGGTTTCACAGAAGAAGTCACTTATTTGGATTCAATCTTTCCCAACGGAAGATCTTATTGTTTAGGTTCAATGAACTTGGAATGCTGGTATCTTTACACATTTAGTCGGGCTGATATTAAAATTTCTCCCGAACAAATAACTGATGGGAAAGTCGCTGATTCTGATTCTGATCCAGACCAGACTATTGAAATACTAATGCAGGACTTACATCCAGAGAAGATGGGGATCTTTCATAAGGAAAAGTTTGCCAGCGCCCATGAAGCCACATTGGTGAGAAGACTCATGCATTTAATGTTCATAATTAGTACTTTCTCTGCCTTAGAAATCTGGAATAGACACGATATTGCCAAGTATGCATATTGACGACTTTCTTTTCGATCCTTGTGGATACTCTATGAATGGGATTAATGAAAAGGTAATAATGAACTAGTTACATAAAAAATTAATACAATTTTATTCTCAAATATAGGGCGAGTACATGACAATTCATATTACCCCTGAGAATCAGTTTTCATATGTCAGCTTCGAAACGAACGTGGCTTTGAGTAACTACAGAAAGCTTATTAATCAAGTTATCAATACGTTCAAACCAGGGAAATTTATTGTAACAATATTTGCAAATAAGGTATGCGTATTTTTTTCTTATTTTCTGATTAATTTAATGAAGCTAAAACTTTTTCTTTGGTTTAAGTGCTCCTTGGCTTATGAAACTATGAAAGAGTTGGAAGTAGAGTACTCAAAAGGATCGCATTGGAAAAGAACGGACATGCAATGTTGTAATTTTCCATCTTATAACCTGTTGTTTGCTCAATATTCCCATACTGATAAGAAAGGTGATAATTTATAAACGAAAGAATTAAATATGTGTTTGTAGATTTTCTTGTTTATCCGTTATTGAGTAAATTGAATCCCGAATAAACGATACAACTTATTGACACATTTTATATGTTATTTGTTCAAAAATGAAAAATGTTGGTTCTTACTTAGTTCATTAAAAAAAAAAAGAAAATTTATTTAAGAATTAATTAAAATGTAACTGTTAAATAAAATACCAAAAATATACCATGTATTTAAAATATGGATAGATTCATCGCATCTGGACAAGTGGCATACCGACTTCCATCTCTAGGGGCAGTATCTGCACTCGACAAATTTAAGCCAAACGAAAAATAAAAATGGGTGAAATTACCAACGAAAACATTATTTGGACCATTAAAAACGGGGAGTTCGATGCCGTACAATCTGCCTTCCAAAACGATGTATGTTTAACAATATAAAAATTGCGTTTCATTAACTTAATATATCCGTACACAGGCACAAAAGGTGAACGAGGAGATTAAAGGAAGATTCCCCATACATTATGCGGCAGATTTTGGACAACTTAATGTGCTGGAGCTCCTTATAAGTTTAGGAGCCGACGTCGATGTAAGCTCTTCAACTAAAAACAGAACTCGAATGAAAGTCAGCCACTTATATGTGTGCATGAATATTTTCCAGTTCTCCTACCTTTCAATTACATACATACACCTGTTTAGTCATACTTATAAGCAAAAGCCGGCCGATTCCATTGCAGATTACTAATCTAAAATATTTTTATCATTTAATACATAATTTTAATTTTTAATGCAGAGGAAGGACAAACACGGAATCACTCCGATTTTGGCTGCTATTTGGGAAGGACATACAAGCTGTGTGGAATATCTTCTTAAAAAGGTTGCAAAATATTCCGCCAATTAGAAACAATTTTTTTTTTTACAAATTAATCAATTTGTTACAGGGCGCAAGCAAAAACGGTTCTACTCCAGATGGCCAAAGTTACCTCGAGGCAGCGGAAAAAGACGAAATTAAAAAATTACTTGCATAAATTATAGATGTAATTTATAGATACACCCTTTCAGTATCAAATACATTTTTAAATACAGTCGTGTATAGCTTTTAAACTAAAATTAGGGTCGCTTGTTTTATTTTAAACTAATTTTGAATTTAAACTTTATAAAAATTAAAACGTTTTTAAAAATATTTTTAAAATTCATTTCTGGCCAAGTAGTGATCGTTTAAAAGCATCGATAAGTTCAGAACCACTTTCGCATTTTACCACCACTAACGACAATAGACCAAAACTTATTTACTCAGCTGATTAGAAAAACAAAGTCTTTAAAGATGTTCCAACCGGAGAAGCACGGGCTAATGCCCGATTTTCAGCTTACCAAATTTACAACGCACACTGGATGAAGTTGCAAAATCCCCCAAAAAGTACTTGAAAAGTACCTAAGGGGAACAGACATAGCAAATACAAACAATGAAGGATACCTTATTGGTAAAAAAAATAATGATTCAATAAAGTTAATTATTAAACTCACTTTTATTGTAGGCTCTGGAATGGACTGTGCAGTAATACCACTAAAACGGCATGAAGATTATTTACTCGTTCAGACTGTAGATTTTTTTTACCCCATGGTGAATGATCCCGAAACATTGGGTCGTATTGCTATAGCTAATGTTTTAAGCGATGTTTTTGCGGTGGGAGTGACAGAATTTGATGCAGTGGAACTGATTGTTAGCACCTCGACAAGCTTCTCAGATAAAGAAAGAGACGTTGTGATATCTCTTATTGTGAAGGGATTTCAAAACTCATTGAAAGCAAATGGGTTTCCTAATACTATTCTAAGGCTCAAGGAACTTAAGATCAATCCGTGGTGTATAGTCGGCGGAATAGCCACTTCCGTCTGTCGGAAGGAGGAAATCATTTTGTAAGTTCTTGGACCATTTAAAAGTCATTTAAAGTGTTTTTTTATCCGTTTTTTACTAAAAAATCTATTTCGAATGGTTTATAGACCTTCCAATGGACGACCAGGCGATGTTTTGATACTCACAAAACCCTTGGGTGGCCAGATGGCCATGGATGCCAGCCTTTGGCAACTTAACCAGACTGAGAGGTACCAAACCCTGCGATCCGAATTCAGTGATCATGAGATCAAGGAAACATTTGAAATAGCAGTAAAATCGATGACCTATTTGAACAAAAATGGTAAAAGCTTTATTTTAGAAGTTTTCTTAAAATTAAAATATTGTCGTTTCAGCTGCACTTTTAATGCACAAATACCAAGCACACTGTGCCACCGACATCACAGGATTCGGTTTATTAGGACATGCAAAAAATCTTGTTAATTTCCAAAAGGAGAAACTGTTGTTCAAAATCCATACATTGCCATTTATCAAGAATGTTTTACAATTCAGTTCTCTAGTTGGCCAGAGTGCAAAGTTCCGTTCTGGCAGATCTGTGGAAACATCTGGTGGCCTACTAATTTGCATTTCTCCCGAAGCTGCAGTTAAATTTTGTCTAGAGTTTGAAGAGGTTACAAGGGGGCAGCAAAAGGCTTTTATAGTTGGTACTGTAGAACAGGCAGTAGAGTCAGATGCCGTATTGAGCGATAATGTTAAATTCATTGAAGTAAGCTTATAAAAATAGTTGGAATATATTAATCATTCATCTTATGAAAATTATTTCTTAAAGGCTTAGCCCGGAAATAATCTGAAATTTATTGTACACCACAAGTGTACAATAATCATGATGATTAGTAAAACTCTTCCAACTATGTTGAAATAATTATGAAATTATGAAAATATTCAAAGTAAATTTTTTAAATTAATTATTCATTCTATGATGATTATTTCGTAAAGGTCTAAAAGCCGGGAAATATTCTGAAAATAATTGTACACTAATGTATAATAATCATGATGGTTAATTTAAACTTTTGAAAATATATTATTTTAATACCAATAAATAAAGAACTTATTGTCGAAAATGTATGTTGTAGTTTATTTTGTGAAGTGTCTCCCATTTCAGTAAAAATAAACAGTTTGCTTTATAAATATTTAATTTGTAATATAATGTTGTATTTAGTAGCGTTTTAGTAGAATATTGCACCCAAGGGCTATAATATACCAATAGTACAACTTTTCTGGAAACACATGTTCTGAAAAAGGCAGTTGTCCTTATTTGGTACTTTTTACTGTTGGTATCCTCCCCGCAGGAAAAAACACCCTTAACGGGAAAATTAAAGGACGGCAAAGGACACTGACTTTGTTAAACTCACTGGAGCGACAAAATAAAATATAAAATGCCAAGTAGTCGACTATAAATTAAAATTGATCTCTCGAATATAATCCGCCCACTTCTGTGTCGCTTGTTAATGTAAAAGTTCCCATAAATGTGAAACGGTCCATTCAATTGCCAAATAACAAAATGTTCAGGAGCAAAAATGAAGGAAATGTTGTGTACAAATGCACAGTTCGACTCCTTGATGACTCCGACGTCCTAGAATGTGAATTTCAGGTATATATACCGGACCATATCCATCGCAAGAAATATTTATTAGTTTCTTACTTGAAATTTTCCTCATTCCAACAAATCTACCTCTGAGGAAAGACACTAGTTAAGTGTAGATAATATTATAAAACATGAAATCCCCAAATAACCAAATTACAACATTGTCCTTTAAATTTGGTTTTAAGTTTTCAAAGCGTTGCTATTCAACAAAAAACAAATGTGTGGTTAACGTCCTTTCTGGTTAGTTGCCGGTAAAATACGATATCGACATTACAAACCCATCCCAGTAACTCAAAACAAATGCTACAAAAATATATGTGTAAAATATGTAAACAGTTAAGGACATTTTTATTCTAAAAATGTATTCTCCCCATGTTTCTGAACCATTTTATTGTTTAATAAACCTTTTTAGCAATAATATGTTTCTGTTGTTTCATTTTGTTACCAACTACGTGTTTTTTTTGTTGCGAAATACCTCGGTTTCAGAAGTATGCTTATTCTTTAAAAATATGAATATTTTCTTATCTTACAGCCGTTCCATAAAGGTATTTATTTATTGGAGTATTTATGTGGTGAGTTGGAAATCAAAGAGAAGGATTACTTTGGATTGCGATATGTTGACTCATCAAAACAAAGGGTAAGTGATTTTATAAAATAAATAAAGAAAATGTATTTAATAATAGATAATTTTTTCTTTTAATAGCATTGGCTTGACCTTTCCAAATCCATAATAAAGCAATGCAAGGGTAAGTAAAGTATATATTAAATAATAATATTGAATTTATTCAATATAAACATTAATTTTATATTTAGATCTGGATCCCATGTTATTTTCGTTAAGAGTTAAGTTTTATCCTGCGGATCCGTTTCGATTGACTGGAAATGCACGAATTATGTTATATCAGCAACTAAAAAGAGATCTCCGACATGGTCGTTTATATTGCTCCTTGGGAGAAGCGGCAGCACTAGGTGCTCTAATTGTTCAAGGTAAATTCAGAATAACATTCAGAAAATTAGAAAACCTTTTTAAAATATTATACATCTTATTTACAGAGGAACTTGGCGATTATAACGAAGACGTGCATATTGGATCTTATGTATCTTCCATAGAATTAGCCCTACGCCAAACAGAGTATCTGGAAAAGAAGATAATCGAGCTGCACAAAAAGCGTGAGCCCGGCCAGGATCTTTCCCTGGCCATGGATGAATTTCTTGGCATAGCCCGTGGACTGGAAACCTATGGTATAGATCCACACCCGGTGAAAGATCACCGGGGCTCGCAGCAATATATCGGAATAAATAATTCGGGTATAAGCACATTCGTAACTGGAAAGAGATCGCAACATTTCCGATGGAATGAAATCCATAAAATAAACTTTGAGGGAAAAATGTTTATTGCACATTTAAGTTACACGGATGCTAGTCGAGAACCTGTAAGTTGACTTATTCCAAACTTTATTGCAATTATTCTAAGACTTTAAATTTTTTAAAGAAAAAACATACCGTTGGGTTCAAATGTCCTTCTGGAGCTGCTTGCCGCTATTTGTGGAGATGTGCCATTGAACAAATGCTGTTCTTTACGTGAGTTTTAAAATAAAATTTAATAAAAATTAAAATCTTATTTTTAAAATCTTATATTTTTAATATATTATTCATGTTTAGATTACCCAATAGCCAAAGTGCGGCTGTGATTTCTGGCGGAGGCTTTTTCTCCTGGGGTACAAAATTCCGATACACCGGAAGAACTGAGCGTGAAATTTTGACTGAAAACATAAATGCACTGCGGGAACAAAAGCTGAATAATTCTAATTCGAGCAAACGAAAAGCCAGTAGTGTGCCAGCCACGCCTTCCAGCCCTCAAGGTGATTTGGCCCAAATACGTAAGTAAATAGGGTTAAAAAAATGATTATTATTGATTTATTTTTTTATTTCTAGGGTATAGCAGCCTGCCGAGATCCACGATGTCTGAACCCCTGGGATATGCCATACCCAATGGTTCTCACTGCTATGTGGGGCAAGACCATGAGGGCAACGGCGGGATTCAAATATCCAGCCTGGAGCCAGTATGCGAGGAGGCTCGCCTGCGATCGTCAAACGTCGATGGCCCGAACTATCTGTCCACCCAGATGGGTTATGCCTACAGGGACTCCGTCGAGCACTCGTCCACGGAAAGCGGTCTTACGGTGAATGGCTACGATCATCCGAGGAAGCATGAGGCGAAGCAGCACGGAACATGGAGCTCGCCAAACGCATACTATGGACACTCCGCCGATGCCACCTTCAATCCCAGTTCAACGGCGGATCACTTTTTGCGAGGCGATCCGTCCGTTCAGAAAGTGAAAAAGTTTCGAAAATTTCACTTGTTACATGCCTTTGTTCCGTCCGTTATTTTTGTGGCTTTCGCAATGGCCGGAACGGCCGTGTTCATCATGGAATCCGAATCGGAGGCCTTCGAGCAGCTGCGCAACTCCCCGGAAATGCTATGTCTGCGCTATCAATATTATCAGCCGCTGAAAGATTTTGTTTTCGAGAAATTCGGTCGGAGTAAATAAGAGTGTTCTTTCGATTTTCGAATCTACATTGTAGCAGTAGCTTGTTTAATTCCACTAACATCCACTGTATCCGGGTATTTTAGTATGTATTTAAGTCAATTTTTTATTATAACGCTGTAATTCCATATTAAAAACAAAAGCCTGAAATTTTATTTTAACATTTAATCGATTCGTTCTGATTGGGTGATGCTGGGTCCGAAAAATTTTAATTTAAAATGAATCCTAGTTTCTAATTTAAATTTTTAAAGGTAATCCAAAAAGTGCGGACCAATACATACAATTAAGGAAGAAGTATTAATCCATATAATGGACAGTAACTAAAAACATGAATAAAAACTATACAATTTTAGGAGCTTCATAAAGTAAACCTCAACAGGGTTCATAAAACAGTTCTTTTTTATTTGTCGATATTGTTTCTCAATCAATCTTATCCAATAGATTTAGTTAAGTAAAAGTTTTATTAAATAAATAAATGTGACTATCCTTTATTTTATTTATGACAGTAGGCCCCAAAGGGCCGTATTATCAACTGAATGTACATTTTTTTTATTCTAAATACTATTTGGTAAATAGCGATGTTTACTATAGAACCATATCCGCTTGAAGACCCAATGATTCCGAGTGTTTCTTGGCCTTCATTCGAAGATCCGCTATACTGGAACTTTTGCTGTGAGCAGCGGCGAAAGCGGCCAGATTTATTGAATATTGTGGCACGGAGAAGAGTCCAGCTGGGACTGTTCCATTGGTTATAGCTGCGGCATACTGCAAAATTAAAAAAGAAATTAATCAAAAATATTGGGAGGAACATGAAGCTCCAATGCTTTTAAATAATAATTCATTAAAAACAAGAGTTATCAAAATAAAATGTAGGAACTTTAAATATTCAGAGCAAATATCACTTTTCTTTTTAGATAATTTAGATAAAATTAGTGTAGCTTTTTTTAAGGAATACTAGGGTGGTTTAAAGAGTAGTTCTAACCTGGTGAGCTGCTACTGAAATAATCGCCGGATCGAAAGCTGAAAAGGCGGCGGCTGCTGCAACTGTGCTGGAGAATTGTTTGACAGCTGAGCGGGTGATGGCCGGGGGATGAGGTGAATCAACATTGACTACCGGAACTTTTCCGGTACTGACACTTCCAGTCGCTGCAGGATTAACACTGGTCGCCGTCGCTGGAAGTGGCGGAACGGAGGAATTTCGCAGTGCCGCCAGACTGACATAGGGTGCCACTCGACAAGGTTCCAGTGGAGTTGCAATGGGAGGACTCCGACTACCTACCAAGAATCCTTATAATAATAAAAGAAAATACATTTTTTCATCAGATAATAGTTTTATAAATAATCTTGTTTTTCAGAAGTTTTGTAAATATTCACTGTGGTCCATATAGCGGAAAACCCCATTTTTAAGGGATCTGGGATCCCACGAAAAATAGGCAAAATATCTAAAAAATATTTTGTCTCAGGATTTTGATGCAGAATGGTGGCAAATCGATACAGAAATCGTTTAAGGTACTCCGCTTGAGAATCGGATGAGAATTGGGGAAGATATAGCCATCACTGTGGCCCCTATAGGGGAAAACCCCATTTTTAAGGGATCCCATCACGAAAAATAGGCAAAATATTTAAAAAATATTTTGTCTCAGGATTTTGATGCAGAATGGTGGCGAATCGATACAGAAATCGTTTAAGGTACTCCGCTTGAGAATCGGATGAGAATTGGGGAAGATATAGCCATCACTGTGGCCCCTATAGGGGAAAACCCATTTTCAAGGGGTCCCATCACGAAAAATGGACAAAAAATTTAAAAAATATTTTGTCTCAGGATTTTGATGCAGAATGGTGGCGAATCGATACAGAAATCGTTTAAGGTACTCCGCTTGAGAATCGGATGAGAATTGGGGAAGATATAGTCATCACTGTGGCCCCTATAGGGGAAAACCCATTTTCAAGGGGTCCCATCACGAAAAATGGACAAAAAATCTAAAAAATATTTTGTCTCAGGATTTTGATGCAGAATGGTGGCGAATCGATACAGAAATCGTTTAAGGTACTCCGCTTGAGAATCGGATGAGAATTGGGGAAGATATAGCCATCACTGTGGCCCCTATAGAGGAAAACCCATTTTCAAGGGGTCCCATCACGAAAAATGGACAAAAAATCTAAAAAATATTTTGTCTCAGGATTTTATTGCAGAATGGTGGTGAATCGATACAGAAATCGTTTAAGGTACTCCGCTTGAGAATCGGATGAGAATTGGGGAAGATATAGCCATCACTGTGGCCCCTATAGAGGAAAACCCATTTTCAAGGGGTCCCATCACGAAAAATGGACAAAAAATCTAAAAAATATTTTGTCTCAGGATTTTGATGCAGAATGGTGGCGAATCGATACAGAAATCGTTTAAGGTACTCCGCTTGAGAATCGGATGAGGATTGGGGAAGATATAGCCATCACTGTGGCCCCTATAGGGGAAAACCCCATTTTTAAGGGATCCCATCACGAAAAATAGGCAAAATATCTAAAAAATATTTTGTCTCAGGATTTTGATGCAGAATGGTGGCGAATCGATACAGAAATCGTTTAAGGTACTCCGCTTGAGAATCGGATGAGAATTGGGGAAGATATAGCCATCACTGTGGCTCCTATAGGGGAAAACCCAATTTTTAAGGGATCCCATCACGAAAAATAGGCAAAATATCTAAAAAATATTTTGTCTCAGGATTTTGATGCAGAATGGTGGCGAATCGATACAGAAATCGTTTAAGGTACTCCGCTTGAGAATCGGATGAGAATTGGGGAAGATATAGCCATCACTGTGGCCCCTATAGAGGAAAACCCATTTTCAAGGGGTCCCATCACGAAAAATAGGCAAAATATCTAAAAAATATTTTGTCTCAGGATTTTGATGCAGAATGGTGGCGAATCGATACAGAAATCGTTTAAGGTACTCCGCTTGAGAATCGTATGAGAATTGGGGAAGATATAGCCATCACTGTGGCCCCTATAGAGGAAAACCCATTTTCAAGGGGTCCCATCACGAAAAATGGACAAAAAATCGAAAAAATATTTTGTCTCAGGATTTTATTGCAGAATGGTGGCGAATCGATACAGAAATCGTTTAAGGTACTCCGCTTGAGAATCGGATGAGAATTGGGGAAGATATAGCCATCACTGTGGCCCCTATAGGGGAAAACCCATTTTCAAGGGGTCCCATCACGAAAAATGGACAAAAAATCTAAAAAATATTTTGTCTCAGGATTTTGATGCAGAATGGTGGCGAATCGATACAGAAATCGTTTAAGGTACTCCGCTTGAGAATCGGATGAGAATTGAGGAAGATATAGCCATCACTGTGGCCCCTATAGGGGAAAACCCATTTTCAAGGGGTCACGAAAAATGGACAAAAAATCTAAAAAATATTTTGTCTCAGGATTTTGATGCAGAATGGTGGAGAATCGATATGGAAATCGTTTAAGGTACTCCGCTTGAGAATCGGATAAGATTTGAGGAAGATATAGCCATCACAGTGGGCCATATAGGCGAAACCCCCCATTTCAAGAATAAGCCACAGCGAAAATCTTGGTTTAGAAAAGGTTTCCAATAGAAAATTTTCATAAAATCTGGATTCTATAGAAATTAAAATTAAAAATCCCAGTAGACAGAATTACTCGTACTCTCCAGATTGGCAAATCGTTTTAAGATTCAGTGACAAGTAATTGAATTCATTTTGTAATTTATTGCTCAGAAAACGCCCCCGGGTCTGAGAGGCGGCGTCATTCAACCACAGGGACGTGTTACTCCAGGAGCACATACAAATGGCTCTCCGGGGACCGGGGCCCAGGTTAACGTCTTGTTTATGGTGGTTCACCGGCGGAAAAAAGCCTGAGAATTGATATGAACCCATAAAAAGCTGGCCATTCGTTGTCTGCTGGCTGTTGTGCTTTTTATGCCAAAATTTCAATTTGATTACATTTCTGGAAGTTTTTTTTGTTGGGTCCAGTATTGAAATACGGCAACATTAGGAGGGAATTTGATAAATGCGATTATATCTTTTAATCCAATTAAGTAACAGTTTTTTTAGGAGGGGCTACGCACTTCAAGAACTCCACTTAAAGTTAGTATAAGTATTATTATTTTTTTTGCGGAAACTTTAAGTGGATGATTTGCAAATAAACAAACTTTACAAAAGCTGACCTTTAAATTTTCTTGTTTAACATTTTCCCATAAATCCGCGCATACCTTGATGCTCCGGTTCCTTTTTGTTTATTTTATGAATTACAATCAATTCTCACAATCACATCTGCTCACAATTTCGGGTGGACGGTAAGGACGGCAAGGCAAGTCCCTTTGGCAAGGATACACAGAGAGCCGTTTTTTAGAGACAGAAACACAAATCATTGCTAACTTCATCAAATTAAATATTCGAGCAATAAAACGGCGAATGCAAACGCCATTCTATTGAGTGAGTGGATCCTGGGTGGGTGATGAATTAGAATCTGGGGGGGAATCAGGATAAGACCTTGGAAACGAGGGTTGAACCGGCGAAAGGCGAATGAATTAATGAAGAGACATTTAAATAACTGTGAAACCGTAACATATTGGCGCCGGGAGTTGATAAGCCAGGAAATGAACAGTATCCTCAAATGTAAATTGGTCTTGGCTGATTTTTGTGTACTTAACTAATTGCGATTTACACTTTCATTAAGCCTAATTGGCAAAAACTTGTCTAGCATTGAGCAAAGGAATGGTTTATTTTTCTTTGGGAAGGATTTGTACTTTTTACACTTCGAAAAAACTTTAAAAAAAAACAGGGTTTTGTGCTTTTTAAGATGTCTCAATAAAGGAATCAAAATTTTAAAGTCCCTTCAAAATAATCGTCCCTAAATGGGCATTATTGTTAGCATTCTTCAATAGGTATTTTTAAATGAAAATTCATATTTTGTAATTAAATAATTATTTGTCGGACTTTTGTTAGAAATTTAAACTCAAATATTTTATACAACATTCTAAAATTTTTAAGTCTTTTTGAGTAAAATAATTATATTTGTATATTTAGCTTACCTTTATGCATTTGATTTTCATGCTTTCTACATTTTGCCCGTCTGTTTTGGAACCAGACCTGAAAATACATTACGAATAGTATTTATTGAAATCCTTAAAGTACCTTTTATTGTAGTTATTATTGTTTTTGTTTAACATAATTACAAGAGTTGCAGTCAACCGATGTATGTATAATGATAATCTAACTATGGTCCAAAAAGTTCAGTTATTTATCGGATGCCATAAAAAAAGTGACACTCCTGCTGGCATCTACATATTTCATGACCACATAGTGTCTATTGCTGGTACCCTGATTGAGCATTTAATCTTTAACCGGCCCCCTGATGCTTAAACAATTTTCTCCTCTTAAGCGAGACAGCAAAGGGTGGTGGTCGACTACAAACCACTTAACACCCCATATTTTTCCATGTGACGGTGGTTGAAAAATCAGATCTTTCGTTCTTCTCCCCTGCTCCTGCCAGGAACTTCACATTTGGGGAGACAGTTTTTGGGGAGACAGTGTCGTTTTGTCATTAGTACCAGTGTAATGAATATCAATTGAAAATCAATTTGTGCTTGTATTGCATCTACAGGGGGACACCCGCTGGACAGTTTCATTGCCAGGCTAGACAATTTTCGGCAGAATTTATGGCCACTTCTTGCGAATAATTACCTGCACTCTGGCCTCGCTCAGCCCCAGCCGCTGGCTCAGTTCCTCCCGCATGAAGGCATCCGGATAATGTGTCTCCTCGAAGAGTCTCTCCAATTCATTAAGCTGGTCCAGCGTAAAGTTTGTCCGAGATCTTCGCTGCTTTGTGTTAACCACGGACGGATCGAGGTGGTCGCAGTGGTCCCTGATTCTGGTTGGATCCGGGGAGCCGCACTTCTCAGGTATTATCGGCTTGTCGGGGGCTAACGTCGGCGTGTTGCTATCCTCCGTGCAATCACTTACATGTGTCGTTACTATCGCAGAGATTTTTGAATCTACAAATTTTTAAATTTTCATTTTATGGAGTTTAGGTATCACGTTTTCAATATACACACATAAATAACATATATTAAGCATAAAAAACTTTAATTTCATATTTTTTGGCTATTTTAATAAAGATATTCTCATTTTATTGCAATGTTTTGATTGAATTACGTATACGACCTGTATTCAAGTTAATATTTTTTCAATAAAACTTGTCTTTTATATTTTGAATATACTTAACTTGATTAAAAAAGTAAAAAAAGTTCATAATAAATAAATTTTACTATACTATTTGTTATACCATTTATATCATGGAGATTGTGTCTGTTTAAATATCGGACATTTTATCTTGAAGATTTTCTTAAAAGAATTTATAATTGATAAGGTATCTATGAAAATTAGATTAATATTTTCTGATTCCTATTCTTATTGCGTCGTTTTTCAAAACAAAAAGCTATTCATAGACATAGGCTATTAGACTCGTAGATATAAGGTTTACGCTTAAAAGCCAAATTTAGTTAGTAGTAGTCAGAATTTTCCTTATCTTACGTCCTATATAGGATATACACAATATAGTGCAACAATAAGCACAACATACCTAATATATACAATGTATATTATACATATCTATGTTGGTCCTATCAAATTAATATATATTTTATGGCGTTTCCGCTTGAGTAGACGAATGTGTCAATTTTATGACCTCATTTGTCTGATTTGTCACTATGATTAAGGATACTTAATTTTGAATAATAAGTCAGAATGACCATTTACATTATCTCACAAACTTTAAATCCATTTTAGCTTTGTAAACTTGATCGTTTTTTTAATTATAGAAAACTTAACACAATTAAAACTTTTCTTTAAAGATCCGACGGGAATTCCAATTTAGCATCGTCTTTTTTTCTCAAATCGAAATTCAAATTTTACCTTCTGGCTGTGAATCCACTTCTAAATCCTCGGATATTAACCAGTTTTTGGGCTTGTTCTCTACGGGTTTTCGAATATTAGGACTTAAGCGGTAGGTCTCCACAACATCCTCGGGAGGAGAATCTGGTCGTGGGTCCGGTTCAGGGGCGATAATTGTATTACTTTCCGAAACGGACAAATCGGTTATGTCAATATCCACGGACTCGTCACCACTCGCACAGCCGTCGCCATAACTGCCGCCGGAACTAATAGAATTTATGAGAATGGAGTTTTTAACATCCGGATGCTTTTTAATTCGCGCGCCCGTCATTGAATTGAACAAAGCGTGAACACTGTTGTTTGTTAAGTTGAACTCAAAGGATTTTGTTACAAACTGTGCCAATTGCTCCATATTTTGCTAAAATAAATAAATAATTGCGGCCGATTTTTTCGCTGCGTTGGAGCATAAGTTGCTGTAACGGAACTTAGTTGCCGACTATTTTATAGTCAACACCAATAGCATTCGGCGTGCCTAATCACTTCACTTGGCTCTTTATCGCTGCGCATGTCATTCGGCACATCCTTAACCAATTCCTCAGACTCCATTAGGCGAGAGAGCCAATCATTGGAGTGGGTAAGCATTTTTCAATCGCCAAACTACACTAAAAAGTGAACAAATAAATTAAAATTTGAATCTCTCGAGCAGGACCCATTTAAATAGTTCAACATCTTGACTTTATTCAATTAGCATTTTTATTTGAATTTGCTAGCCAGGCGCAAGCTTAAGCTCTCTCGGACGCTCTCAACGGCGAGTCCTTATAAAAATCCACCCCTGAATCCGCAGTAACATTAGGTGAAGTCCTGCCTACGGTCCTTTAAATTGCTCTCATTGGTCTACGGAGGAGCTGCGTTGTAATTTGAAAGTGGTTGCATGCTGAGCGATTCCACCTTACTTTCCTATTATTGGTTATAGCCATTATAGAATACACTTTATCCATTAAGCGGCAATGAAACACATTATAATTTGCCATGAATGATTCTGTGTGGGAGGAGTTTGGTTTTAATTAAAGTGGGATATCAAAGGATTTAAGAGTTTAGCACGCCATAAACACTTTTAAATTCGCCCTGATAAATACAATTCAGCTTAATGCTTACTTCCATTGCCAGTGCATTATTTTTATCTACTTTTTAACAAAGTCGGCTCTTGGGGGTAAAATAAAAGGGTCGGGCTTGGACCATTGCCACGCCCTTAAAGTTCATTAAGTTCAAACTGTGTTAATGACACTGTGCAGCAAATATGACACAATTTTTTATACATATTTATGTGCATAGCATGTGCAAACAATTCATCTTTCTAGGACACCATAACGTAATTTAATCGTTTTGATTACATTTCATTTGGCATTGATTCGAACAGCTCCCAGAAACCATGTTACACAGTGTACTGGATTCATTTATCAACTTGTGTGTCTCTGTGTTTCATTTGATTTAAATTCGGCACTAAAGCTTTCATTTCTCATATTTAAATTTGAAGGATTTCTCTCTTCTTTCGGGAAGGACTCACCTTTTCCATTTTAAAATCTTTTTTAAATCCCCGCAATTCCTTTTGTTTCTTTTAAACGTAGTACGATTTGAAAATATTAAAGTCGCTTAAGAGGTGAATAAGATCCTTTAATCGTCTTTTTTTATTGAAAATAATTATTAGACAATGGCATATGCTGCATAATTGGCTATCCCACACATATTAACACCTTTTCGTATTCTCATGTAGCCCGATTCGCCCCAACGCTGCCCCCACCAATTCTTTAAGATCCAATAGTCCTTTCCAAACCCAATTATTAGCATGGCATGATTTACAGAAGCTGATGAACACATCGGATCATCGTAGATACCGTCGCTAAAAGGGAATATATTTATTATATGGTTCATTATGCAATATTTTGTATTACCTATATAACTGGAATGTCTTTGGTGTGGCATTAATCGATATGGCTACCGGTCCAATGTGCGTTACTGCAGCTTGTATTGCTTGCTCATCGTGGGCGGGCAAGATGGCCCAGGAAGTGACATTGACAACGGATAAATCGCTTACAAATTGACACTTTCCCTTCTATAATGAATATATAAGGACGTATAAGTAGTTTAGATATTATCGGATCAGTGGAGAGTTCAATAATAATAACAATAGCTATACAAATATAAAGCTCTATGTATCTTCATAAACCGTACCCTTGAAACATATTTATAATCATCCGCTCGCATTAGGCCTCCAGTACTTTGCAAATAGTTTAGAGTATTTCGTAAGGATCCGCCAACGCATCCTTGATTTCCATGCGACACACTGCAGTCAACGATTTGTTGCTCACTCAAATTCAATATTTTTCCGGTGCGTTTGAAAACCTGCCCCGAAATACTCTCCGAAATGCTGAAGGCGTAGCACGATCCGCAAGTTTGCTGATTTTGTGGCGGGGTAACGAATCCCTTTTTTCGCCAGTCTAAGCTCTCTGGAACATTAGTCATCAGTGGCGAACCCACTATTTCAGCTATATTATCTGCTCCTTCTTCTGTATGGCTTTTTAAAAGTCTTAAATACCCTTTAAGGTAACCATCAGTATTCTAATTTAAATAAAATTGTGTCATTATGCAGTTATAAAGTTCATATATGTAAAAAGTTACCATGTCAGCAAATTTATTTGGTTTTAACCTGAAAGAAGTCTGACCCTCTTGGAAATTTTTGTTATGTTTTTCGATGATTTTATAATTTTCTTCGAAGGCTTTAAAACTTCGAAATTCATCATCATTACGAAGGTATTTTCTATTATTTTCGTTCTATAAAAACAAGTTTTTATTAATACTTTACTGTATTTATATTAATTACAACTTACTTTGAATATTTCAAATTCATTTTTATACTCTGATTCAGTTACATTTCCATTATTAATATCAGAAGCTAAAATTTTATGTTTTAGAAAACACAAAAAACCAAAAACGAGAATTATCCGCATAGCTGTTGTTCCCAAAATGGTTAACTAATAAACTAAATTTCAGCAACTAAGCAATTCTTTTCGACAACGTAAAATTACATTTTTTATAAAGCTGACTTAATTTATACACTTTAACAGCTTGATAATATGTACTTAAGATAATAATTTTGGTTCCTCCTACATAACAGTATTTTTATGACATTATTTATTATGTTTTATTATAATTATTTATCGAATTTAAATTATTTCGAGCTTAACTTAAATAGATCCATGCGAATGCTATAAAATAACTTAAACAATAAAAGAATATAAATATCATTATTAAAAAAAATCCTTTACCTTTACTAACAAAAATATGTTATCATTTGTTGAATATACATATAAGTTTTTAAATATACACCTATTTATTTAAAGTTAATAATGTTTAGTAGTGTGACCGTCCTCCACCAAAAGCTTGAAAAAATACTAAAAATGCTGTTGATTATAAAAAATTGACTACGTATTCGAGCATTTATCTGAATTAAAGAATATTTCATTGAGTTTAAGTTCATAGACAAAGTTTTTTCAAGCCCCACATGGTTAATCAGTAGAACCTTCGACCTACTTGCCATACGATAGTCATCAGTGTTTCTTTTCATTTGTGTCAGATATGAATAAAAGTGTGTAGTCTAAGCCTTAAAAACAGCTGTTTTGCATAACATTGCGGATCCGGTTGATTTGCGTCAAAACAAAAGCCAGGATCATGTTAAAAAACGCTGTTAGCCGCTTGTTGCAAATAAATTCAGTAAGTTTAATGTATCTGCCATTCCGTTACCTAATGCCCTGCACTTCATTTTACAGGCAAAATGTGCCGGCCGAAAGAATTTGGTTCGCAACATCAACCTGATTCCCATGGTGGTAGAGCAAACCGGCAGAGGTGAACGGGCCTACGACATATTTTCCCGCCTGCTCAAGGAGCGGATAATATGTCTTATGGGCAACATCACCGATGACATCAGCTCCACCGTAGTGGCCCAGCTGTTGTTCCTGCAATCGGAGAACGTCAATAAACCCATTCACCTATACATTAACTCTCCGGGTGGCGTTGTAACGGCGGGCCTAGCGATCTACGACACGATGCAGTACGTCAAACCGCCCATTGCGACGTGGTGCGTCGGACAGGCGTGCTCGATGGGATCGCTTTTGCTTGCGGCGGGAGCACCTGGGATGCGATACTCACTACCAAACGCCCGAATAATGATTCACCAACCATCTGGCGGCGCACAGGTTCGTTTCGCCATGATGTTTTCCGATTGTGCTCTATTATTATTATTTGTTTTCTTTAGGGACAAGCCACGGACATCCTGATCCATGCTGAGGAAATAATTAAAATTAAACGCCAGCTGACCAGCATATACGTAAAACATGCCAAAAACTCATACGATGAGATGTGCTCCCGAATGGAACGCGATCATTTTATGACTCCCGAGGAAGCCAAGACACTGGGAATAATTGATCACGTTCTTGAACATCCACCGGAGACTGTTTCTGAAACAGGACCGACATCGGACGGCAGCGTGACCGGCAAAACCGTACCAGAAGAGGGCGAGAAGAAAAGAAGCAAGCAGGCTGCTTAAAATTTGTTCACGTGTATAAACCAAAATTCTATTTTCAACTTGAAACGGTTTGAATACTTCAATTAGCAATATATCGAATGTACCATCTTTCAATAACACCGAAACTGGCTGTTTTCCATTTTCTGGTTCGTTTCTAAGGCTACAATCCATTTAGTATGTTGCGTAACAGCTTCTCCAGTCGGTGCATATTCAATTGATTTTATAATGCACAAAAATAAACTATCAGAAATATTTAAGAGTACTTCCAATAAGATTAGAAACTGATAAAGTTAAGAGTTAAATGCTTCAACAGCAACAAAAAGGGTTTTGGTATAAAAAGTTTTAAATAAATGTGTTTTTTTTCATATCTACCATCTTGCATTTATCTTCTATAGATAAAAATAATAATAATGAAATTATCTGAAGACTTCCATTAATCCAAATTCTCAAAATTAGTTTTTGAACAAAAAGTCTGATTTCTACATCATGCGGTTGAATCTCCACAACTTATGTTTGCTTCAAGTCGATCTGCATTTATTTCTTATTAGAAAATCTAAAAGCTATATCAGAAAAGAGATACTTGTTTGTGCGTACACGCATATTTCTTAATTAAGTAAAGGAATAAGAAAACAAATTTCCGCTTTTAGCTTTGATCCATTACAATTATGTCTGAGCTGCCGGCAACTGAATCCTTCTGAATGTAATCATAGATCTTGCTCAGCTCAGGGGTCTCCTTGATCGACTTCAGGAAGTCCATTAATTGTGGATTCTTGTCTGTGGAAATATTGCTGGTCAGTACTTTGTTTTCCTCAATATTGTGTTGTACGCTACTTACTTGCTTTGGGAATTTGGGAAAGAGCAGAAACAGCACGTAGGGCCGAACGCTTCAGTTCGTCTTGCTTTTCGTACTCCTGTTTTACAGAATTGGCCTTCACTTTGTGTGTGCACGTATCACGTAGTTGCTGTATAAATTGATCGAGTCCTGAAAACAATTAGCAGATTAGCATTTACCTTATCCAACATCTCTACGTTACTTACTTAAAAGAACCTTATCCGGGCAAAGCACGGCCAAGCGCGCTGTCATCAGATAGGTCAACATTTTAATGTCGTAATGGTCGCAGAGACCGGCTTGGACATGGTCCAAAAATTGCATGACATCCACCCGATCCAAGCCCTGCTCGAGTAGTGTGTACATGCACTCAAATGCTGCCTTGCGAATGTCCAGACCGTCGTCGACGGTATGCTTGAACGGTCCCATCTCAACCTCCCGAATGAGCTCGCTCTTCACCTTCGTCTCAGAGTAAAGCCACGGCAAAAGGGTGGGCAACAAGTCCCGCACCAGGCTTGGCTTGTTATGCACCGCCGAATTAAATGCAACAAGGGCAACACGTCGCACCTGCGGCTCCGGATCCCGCAGGGCGAACAGGAACTCGCCAATGCTCTGTTTGAGCAATGCGTCGATGGGCTGAGGCTGATCGGAGATAGTGAACTTCACGGAGGACACCACCACGGTGCGCATGGTGGGGCTTTCGGAACGCAAGGCTTGCTGGAGCTGCGGAAGTAGCTCGTCGGGATTAACCAGAACAAGTTTACCCAAGCATTCGGCCACCACGTTGCGTGAACCCTCCTCCGAGCATTCACAATGCTTAAAAAGCTGGCTCCAAATAGACGGAACCGAAGGCAAAAGTTGGGCAAGTCCACTCGGTGACACGGAAAGTGATGAGATCACTTCTTTTAGGGAGTGCAGAAGCAGGTATTGACGCTTGGGCTGCACCTCAATCTCATTTAGAATCAGCGGCAGATAGGTCTGTAGACTGCCCACGGATACAGCTCCAAGAGCATGAGACGCTGCTGCCTTCACATCCTCAGAGGTGGCTCCAAAGCATTCAATAATGGTCTGGGGCAGGACCTGAATGCTGCTTAAATCAAAGTGTCGGCCAATCTCTCCAATTGTGAGCAGGCAGAAGATGATTTCCGTATCATTTCGCTTCTGTAGATCAGTAATCAGCTTGGTAGCCAAGGGTGTCGCCACCTGAGGGCACTGCTGGGTGAGAGCAGCGATGCACTTGGCCGACGAGTGGTAAGCCTGCTTGTGCAGCTGCACCTGCTCGCTGGGAGCACCGCCTGTGGCTCTAGAAGAACCATCGCCTCCGCCAGCTAAGACTGGACCCATTAACTTCGAGACCAGCGATTGATAATCCAAACCTGTCAGCTGGGTTTGTACTAAAGCTTGGAACAGCTCCAAGGTGCAGTTCAATGCAGTTCCCTGTAAGAATGAGAGAGAACTATAAGTAACAACCAATGATACCTAAGTGTATTTAAACATTTTAACTCACCTGCAGCAAAGGCGATCGCACCAAAATAAGCACCGATCGAAGGAATTGCTCGTGAATTCCAACAAGGGCTTGGGGCTGACGACGAGCCACAGTACTGAGCAGAGTAAGCGAATATTGAGCTACGTGCAAATCCGAGTCTGAGATGAGAGGTGGGATTTCAACAATCGCTGTCTGCAGTAGATTCGGCTCAAAGTTGCTCGAATAGTTGATGACAATTTTATTAATAAGATCGAGCGAGTGGAGTTTCAGGGCACGATGGTTCTTGCGTAGGAATGTCCCCAAAGCCGGCAGCACGTCGTGGAGAATGGGAGTAAGATCAATGTGGAGCGAGGAGGCAGCGATGAGTGTCAAAGCCTTTACGCTGCTCAGCCGGGTTACCTCGTTCTTCAATCGCTCCATAAATATGGGCAGGCAAACAGGTAGTTCGTTTTTCAACAAGTCGCCCATGTTGGCGATAATCTGTCCCATGCAGGCGATGGCCCGTTCCTTAACCTCCTGGTCTACATCAGTAACTTTCAGTTTTTGCAGCGTGCACGAGTAAACTTCGCCCACAAAGGACGGTGCATCAAAGTCAGACTTAGCCGCATTTCCTTCTAGCGGTCTTATAACCTTAACCAACTGCTGAAGAACCAAGAGGGCTTCAGTGGCGATTTTGTAGAAGGGGTCGAACACCGAGGCGACCACCAGGGGCACCAATGACGGTATGTGTGGGTGGAATACATGTGGAGGATGTCCCTGGAGCAACGAATAAAGGAATCCTAGGGACTCTATTTTCATGTTGCTTGTCGAGCTCTTATCATTCAATGAATAGCTAATGCCGGGTACAATGCTGTCCAAGTAGGGACCCAGGGCGCCGGGCAGTGAATTCAACAGTTCGCGCAGCAAGAGGAAGCAGTCTTGACGCGTTTTCATCGATTTTTCCCTCATTAGCGGCTGTATAGCCTTAACGATTAACGGTAGCTGTTCAATTAGCAGTGACGTCGGTCCCGACACCTGATCCATAGAATCAGGGTCGTTAGCCACATCATCGCTCGCACGAGTGTTCTTCAGCAGTGCCACATAAGCATGGAATATGTCAGACTTCACATTCTCCTCACGCTCCTTAAAGCGAGCAATTAGAGCCGGGCTCAAGCTGCGGTAAAAGTCCTCGATAAGTTCCTGACGTGTAGCAATCAGAACCTCCAAGCACTTTGCGGCAGCCCGACGCACCTTCCAGCTCATGTCGTCGTCGTCACTATACTCCTCGCTGTCCACATACTCATCCTCTTCGGTGTCCATGGCGTAACCAGTATCGCCATCATCGGTCTCATAGTTATAGTTTGGATCGTACGTGATGTACTTTAAGCACAGCTCAAGTATCTGAAAAGTACAATAGGAATACGATTCTTATGCAAATTCTTTTGGAACTTACCATGGGAATGTGCGGATTTATGGCATCAGGGCAGCGCATAACAAAAGCCTCACAGGCTTGCAGACAAAATTCACGCAGCTCATCGTCATCGCGCTGACTGTATTGGCTCAGTAAGAGCATGGAGCGATCGATGTGGTTGCATAGGCGATGGCCAGCCTGGCGGCTACAAGAAAATTTGTTGATAACAAAACATCATAAATTATGACACATAATAAAAAAAAATATATTGCGACAAATGTACGGTAGCGGTGAGGTTTTATTCATGTTTTCCTTACCAAATCGAAGCCAAGCACTGGATATAAGTTCGTATGGCAGCAGGGTTCGGTGGATTCTCCAGACCATCGAGCATGTGATCAATAACGCCATTGTAAGCGTTACTATTGGCCTGGATCAACAGGAAGGAGAGCGCGACAATAGTGCGCTTGCGAACAGCCTGACGCGAGGAGGCCAATTGGGGCATCAACGCTTTAAGAATAGTGCTATGGAACGGAACCAGAAACTCGCCGAACCGCGAGAGCAGATCCGCCAAAATGTCGAGCGACTCGAGTTTAACAGAAACGTCCTCCTAAATGGAGTATAATCCTATTAGTAAGATCACGAAGGAGTATACCAAGCATACAAACCTTCTCAATAGCTGTGCTCAATTTGCCGGTGATCCGCTGACAGACGTTGGGGGCTAGGGAATTGGAGGACTGAGGCAGTTCAGCGATAACTGTTTTAAGACCAATGCTCGAGATGTCGCGGAGCTGCTCTGTGTTGGACATCATATTGGCGCAAAGGGAGTCAACAATCGTCTCCACCTGGATCTCCTTTACTTTGTTGACCAAGGGACCCAGACACTTCACCGCCAGGTTCTGCACCTCGCCGTTCTTGTCCTCTAGAAGTTTCAGCACCATTCGCACCACCTTTTTCTCCGATTCGTCGTCAAGAATAATGCTGTCCTTTTGTAATTCGGTCATCAAATCATTTGTCGCCATGAATCGAAAATCCTTGTCGGTCGATGTCATCTACAGCAGCAAAGGCTCAATTTCAATTTCATGATTTTGCTAAAATTAAAATCTATACATACTTTTTCCAGCAAATTTGCTATTTGATGGTACTGATGTGACGCCATAGCGAGGACTTCAAAAAGTACAAATTTAATCAACAGAAATTGGTAGGCAAGGTAGTATGTGTATCACTTTTCTTTTAGTTTAAAACTCGAAGTCTACTGAAATTTTTCCGGCAGAAATTCTACAAGTTTTTCACATTCACAATTTTGTTAGGCTACCATTCACGATTAGAGTGACCAACTTCATTCGGATTAAGAGACCGATTTTGCGAAAATCCTCCCTTTCCGGTAAATCCCTAAATGGAAATTATTATTAAATATAATAAACCTTTAACATTTAAAACTTAATAATAATAATTTTAAGAAATTAAATTTTAAATTCTTAAATAAGCTATTCCCTCAGATGTTTTGAATCGGCTTACTAGGTATCGATAAATGATAACTTGATAGAGTCGCTTCTCTCATCCCTAGTTAAGTGCCGCTCGTTTCCATCAAATTTTCGAACAAATCTAACAAAATATCAAACTAATCTTGCAATTGCGTAAAAATGGATAACATATTGAACAAGGAAAACACAGGGGTTTATTGTAAGTTATAAATTATGGCGCAATTCGCATGAATAGATTTCATCATTATATTCTTCTAGTACCTGCAAACCCCATCAAAAATGGAGTCCCTTTGAGTAACACTGTCTTGAAACAAACTGTAAAAAAAAGCGTGCTTGGCAAACTAGACAATAATCTGCTCAAAACCCCAAGTATCACTCCATTTAAAAGCGATGCAATTAAACTAGAAGGAAGCATCGCGAAACTGTCAATCCGTAAAGGACTGAAGCAAAATTTTATCAATAGGGATCGGGAGGAGACCAGTGTAAAGGCAAGGAGCTGCTACTTGGGTGGTTACACGTTGAAGGCTAAAACATCCATTACAAACTTGTTCGACTATACAGATCTTCCCAACCCACAATGCTTAAAGAAGTGCAGCCGGCGTAAGTACTTAATAGCCAGCAATTAGCATAATATAACAGACTGTGTATTTTCAGCGATTCAAGAAGTCTGGTCTGAAAATCAAGGAGGGTATGATGCCTTGTTTGAAAAACTTTCATATGACTTTCACAGCTTGGAAAATGACTTTGGAGGAGATAACACACCTCCAACAGAACCAAAAATTGATTTATTGCCTTCTTTAACTGTCCCAGAAGACTTTGGTACCCCCAATTGCGAATTCCAGTTAAACTTGATGCTGCCGATACCGAATTTTGAGAGTGTTCAAATTTTATTTTAGTATTAATAAGTTGTGTTTGTTTTATCGTAACGTATCGTATATTTGTATTTATTTGGCTTGTGACTAATGAAATATTGTATTTTTTAAGAAAATTAAATAAATATTAAGTCTTCATCTGCGAATATATGGTATTGACTGATGACTTTTATTTTGTGTATATTTTTGTTTATGAACATGACTTCTAATGAGTAGTACATTACTGTATTATCTTACTATAAACTTTTCCGTTCTCAAAAACAACGAAAATTTCAAATATCTCAAAAATATCCTGCCCTAATAATTTTAATATATTAATATTGCTATTTTTTGAAAACAAAACCGAGGTCTGAATCTATCCTTCTTTTCCATCATAACATTTTAAAATAAATTTTAAATAATTAAGTCGCCAAACACAAATCTCAATTTGGCTTTTTCGAGCTAAAGCCATTTGCTGGACATTGGCCATTTTACAGCCAACAGTTGGCAACACTGGAACACAGTAATGTATCTAGTTTCTTTTTTACATTACTGCAGAAAGGTTTCTTAACTCGTCGTCGGTTAACTTAGCTGATCGTTTCAGCTAAATAAAATAGCAGTGAAAATTCCTTAAGCACGTTCATGAGTTGAAATACAAATGCATATACGGTAATAACAAAAATAGATAAAGTTATTAAAAAAATAATATTGATTTAAGCACAAAGAATTATTCATTTGTTGCTTTGTGGATAAAAGAATTAGTTATTTGGTCTACCAGTGTAAAAAGTAACATTTTTTCATATATTTGCGTCCAAATAAATCAAAAGACTTAAGCGACAAACTGACATTTAATGGTAGACATGTATGTTTAAAGACGTGGCAGTGTCACCAATGCAGTAACTCAAACATTTCGCATATGTATGTATTGCATGTGCGTATGTAATCATGTGCTGTAAATAGAAGACATTTCCAGTTTTTAATGGAACCCAGTTCACATTTAATTTACCATTCATTATGGCTCTCAATATGTGTTATGCATGTAGACACATACCTACACACCTACATATGTTTGTGTCAATAACTAAAGAAATATTTATTTCTGCAGGCACTTTGGAAGTGATTCGTGGTTTAACCTGTGATGAAATAATCGTGTTTGGTTAAATACAATACAGAAGATTCAGAACAATGGTCTACCCTGAAGAACCTTTTTGGGTTTTGCCAACGGTAACTGGATTCTACGAAGATAGAGACTATAGAGGTAATATAGATGAAATGTGACATCATAACTTGAATGCCTGACTATATATTTACAAAAACTTGTAACACTTGCTTGTATGCATTGCAGTTAATGTGGTTGAAGCCCTACAAGAGTTTTGGCAAATGAAGCAATCCCGTGGAGCGGAATTGAAAAACGGAGCTCTAGTAATTTATGAATCTATCCCATCGAATAGCCAGCCATATATTTGTTTTGTGACTTTGCCTGGAGGAAGCTGCTTTGGAAGTTTTCAAGTAAGTTTTAACGCTACTGGTTCCGCTTACCCTTTACAGAGAGTCAGCCTCATCTCATTGTCATTCTTTTAACAATGAAAAAAAATTAAAATAATAATATGATAAAGGTTTTAAATTCACTTAACAAGGGAAACCAACATTTATAAACCTACATTTAAAACGTTTTTTAAATACTTTCTTTAATCATAAACAGAATTGTCCAACTAAGGCAGAGGCTCGACGCAGTTCCGCAAAGATTGCTTTAATGAACTCGGTTTTCAACGAACATCCGTCGCGTCGAATAAGCGACGAGTTTATTCAAAAAGCTGTACAAGATGCTCGAACTTCATTTAAAGGGACATCTCAAACCAATGAAGGAGCAGAATCCGGAATAGGAGCATTTAGGTAAGCACTGACCCCGTCTTAGTGTTAATCGGTGACTTATATTGTCTTCCTCAGGTTCATGTTGGAAGCGAATAAGGGAAGAACAATGTTGGAGTTCCAGGAGCTAATGACTGTGTTCCAGCTCCTTCACTGGAACGGATCGCTAAAAGCCATGCGCGAACGGCACTGCTCAAGGCAGGAAGTGGTGGCTCATTATTCCAATCGTAGCTTGGACGACGAAATGCGCTCTCAAATGGCGTTAGATTGGATTGCCCGAGAACACGACAGTCCTGGCGTCATCCGTAGAGAGCTCGTGGCGGCGGAGAGAGAACTTGAGACTTTCCGCATGGCTGGCCGTGAACTCCGATTCCCGAAGGAGAAAAAGGACATTTTAATGATAGCTCACAATCAACTGGGCGGTAGTGCCCTTAACTCAACTTCCATTGATGATTAATCTAAAGATAATGAGCAAAATGCGCGATCAAATTCAAACAATATTTTAGATAAATCCCTTACTTTCACTTTGAGTAATTATCAATATTTATTCAATTGGCATACCATATGATCTCCATGATGAAAAACACGCGGAATTATTATTTGAAAAAATATTACATTTCCCCTAAAGAACTTCCAAATTAAAAATAATTTTAATAAGATTGTTATGTCGGATTCTTTAATGAGAGAAATTTATAAATTGATTTTATTTTAACATTGTAGTTATTTTTCTCTGCAGATTTTTGTCTTTATTATACTATTTCATTCTCTTTTAAATTCATGAAGTCAAAATCCTTGAAATCTTTAGATTATTTATTAAAAATAATTGAAACATTAAATATTCCGGCATAACCTCTCTTCAATCGTTAAAAATGTGATTTTTAAAACAGCTACTACAAAAATAAGACTAAACCCAATAAATTAACTATATAATATTATTATAACTTTATTTTTGTTTTATTTAAAGAAACTTAAGTATATATTACTCATGAGGCACCCATACATCGAGCTTTTTCGTAAAATATTTGACTTTTAATATCGTTATCACCTGGAATCCCCATTCTTTATAGTAGTATCAAGAATACGAAATAAAACAACTTTCAACCTTCTATTGATTTAAATTTTAAAAATTAAATCAATATTTTGTCCACTGCTGGTAATTTTCCATCCCTCGATAAGGAAACGGTGATGTTACCTTGACAGTGTTGAGTATTGTTGAAAACTATCGTTCGATACTATCGTTAACAATGCAGTTTCATAGCTAGATCTAGAAATAAAATAGCAACCCTGGTGTTGATACATCTCTGTTTATATGTACACATACATACAACAGAAAAATAATAAAAAACGGAGAAAAAAGTGAATTTCCTTCACTAAAGAATAATAAACACATCGTAAACCAGTAAAGGGCAATATTATATTCAATTGCAAGCCCCAATAAGGCATTTTCTGAAACGCCATGGCCTCCGATGAGCTGCCAGCTGATTTGGACAAGCTGAAAATAACACAGACTCATCCTCTCTTGAAGTCTGTTGAGAGGAACCCCTTCTACGCTGCAGACAATGGATTCGACAGATCGTTTCCGGGAGACACTGCGGAACCAGGACCCAGCATCAAGGGCAGGATTACCCATCTTTGGAAGTGCAGACCCAGGCGAAGGTCCGAGAGTTGCCTGGACGACTGCAAGCAGGAAGAGTCGCTTGCTGCATCCGAAACGTTTGATATTGTCAGTCCCTTGAGCAGTTCCCATGGCGTGCAAAAATCATCACAGAAACGGAACTATCTAGCCCCTGCGAAGAAGAATATATTTCGACAGCCTATTTTGAGGTCGTTGTATGGCTGTGAGCATGGAAAATGTCTGGTCCGAAGTGGTCGGATATATATAGTTAAATCAAAAGAGGAGGATTCACACGCCAACGAGGATTTGAAGCCGAGCTCCAGTGGAAAGTGCACCTTTAGCGATGTGATTGGCGAATGTAATGCCTTACTAGATGAATCGGCTAACAGCTGGCACATGTCGAAGAATTGCAACTCTTTGAAGACTCACAACTCGGGAGGTGGAGCAGAGGTTGGTCAGCTTCCTATTGCCAAGTGCGACACGTCTGCCGTTTCCGTAGCTTCAAGACCACTGTCAGCTGTTCCATTAATGGGAGCTACATGCTCGCAACAGGCCAGCTATAATTCCACGAACCCCGGCAGCTGCGATGATGTTACCATTGGAGAACTCGCCAGTTATTTGGATACCATTGTTCATATCCCCAAAAAGATGTCCTCAATGGCCGAAATGATGTACACATAATTATCCCATCACGGCTGCTATTCATTGTACGTTTACTCCGAATATAGTTTTAAGAATTAACTGTAAAATTTCTATGTTACTTGTGAATTTAATTACACAATTTCTGCCCTCTGTATCTTCAGTTGAGTAATCTAATATTTATACTGTATAATATGTACATAGTCATTGGTATATTACAGCATTTCTAAACACACAATCTGCATTTTAATTAACATTACCTTGAAGGTGACATTTGTTCCTTGAAGGTTCAAGGTCTTCAGTTTGAGGTTTAGAAACAGTGGACATCTATGGAATTCCATAATGAAATCATTTGAAGGAGTTTGTCTGGAACACATCTAGGAACTAGAGAAGGTTCTAGAAGTTTCCTTTCTTGAACAAAAGAGGATTTTTATTTTCGGGTTTCTTGGATTTCCTTGTTTTAAAATCGCACATTACTTCTTTATCAAAGCGATTGACTTTCCATTACTTAATGAAATATAATTAAAGAAAACAATATTAGATAGAATTTTTTTTAAGACTAATCATTTATTATTCATTTGAAGTTCGGATTATACATACATAAATAGACATTCAATGCGTTATTCATATAATGTTTATCTATTTGTGCACTCAAACTTGACAAATTTGTTGTTTTCATGAATTAATTCGATTCGATTAATATGTAAAATATTAAAGGACGTTAAATTCAGTATTATTAATGTAACCTAAATATTTGTGGTTATTTTCGGAGCGCACCGATTTGAATTCAGTCATAAGATTAGAGTGGTTGTTCTTGCTTGAAAATCGAATGGGAGTGAACACTTTCTTAAGCTTTGATATATTTCCAATACTTTTTTTAATTCGATCACTATAGTTTGAAAGGTGATTAAACGAACGACTATACTCTACTTCCTGCCATTGTTGAACGCTCGTTTTCCGCGGCGCAGCGGGATATAAAATGTGCTGGAAATAAATTAAATCAACGAGCCATTTTAATTTACACCTTATGTACTTTTTCAAAATCACTATGTTCTAGTACCCACCGAAACGAGAGCTTTTTCGGTGAATGTAACGCTTTTTCTAATAATGTCATCCGAGTGATGATGATAATAATATTGGGAGTTTTGCGTCTGTGAGTATCGGGTATTACTGCTTACAATATCTACGCCATGATGGTCGGTATTGGTGAAATTGTCGTATCCATTATTATTACTAAACATATCTACAAAGCTAATGGAATGGAATTCACTGGGATGAACATAAAACGTTACGATCATAGCCGTATAAACGACAACATGAAACAGGATGCAAGTCCAAATCAGATTTATCTGAAAGCCAAAGTATATTTAGTATAAATATCTAATCTATCTATCTATTTTTGTAAATACAATACCTTTTTCTTACGACCGTATTTCGTGAAGGATGTGAATGGAACTAGGGACACAGTTAAAAGGCAGCCACACACCACTCCGGCGAGCAATCCCAGGAAGTTAAGCTGGTAAGGCAGGGTTCCGATTCCGACCAGCACGCTGCACAGGAGCAGCAGCTTGAAGAGAGCAATATGCGGCTTGTGAAGATATTTCCAGTGCATCCACACCAGAAGTGCGATCAACGAGGCCACCACGCCACTGAGAGATGCCGAAGGCCCAACCTGATGAAATGTTTTTTATTGAAATAAGTGGGGTTCCATCAGATTAAATAGAAGTATTACCTCCGGGCGATGGGGCACCAAAATGGCGCTCGTCAGATTTCCTGCAAAGCCCGACATTATATAGACAATCGCAGTACGAACTGTGCCTATCAGGCGCTCCAAGTCCGCCAAAAACAAGTGCTGAAAAATAAGTGTGATGGCCAGGTGCAATATGCCGGCGTGCATGCAGAGCGATGTCAGTAGTCGGTAGAACTGATCCGGAGTCTCCACGGATATAAACGGGAACATGCCGCATACATTATTTAGGCACGATATCTACAAAATAAAATTATTTAATAAAAGCTTACTGGTATAAGAATTAAAGTATATGTACCTGTGAACACAGTGAGGCTTCCTCGTGAAAATATCCTTTTATAAAGTCGCAGTATTCGCGAGTGGTTATCCTACACTCGCCGTACAAGCCCGTGCAGCAAGGATGTCCTATTACCTCGCAAACCATGTGCTCGGAGGTGTGATCCTTGTAGCGATATCGCTGCGTAAACGAATTGGTCTTGCGGCAGATCGGCCACTTGGTGATGTCGTCCGGCCACTCGTAAGGCGCTATTGAGGCTGGGGCATCGCAAAATTTCGGATCCAGTCCGCAAACGGACCCAGAGATTCGTCCTCCAGGTCCAGATTCGCTGGGCGACCATTTCTTCCACGTCGAGATTGATTTCTGGATATAGAAGTATCTCAAAGATTATTTCTAGAGATTTTCTAGATTTTACCTACCGTAGGATAAAGTCCCCTAATGGAACACTCCGCTTGGGAGCTTTGAACGCAGCCAGAATCGTCGTTGCGGATGCAGCAGGCGGTCTCCCTCTCGTGGCGTCGCGTCTTTGTGACCACCTCCGTGATCTTGATGTCGCGGCGCATGCAGGCAGCAAACTTAGCTCCCATATGCACCAAGTCAATGTGCCTCGGGCCGATCCACAGATTCCGTTGCTCCACATGCTGGACAGTCTGCAGGCTGAGGCTTGTCACCAAGACCTGCCCCGTCTTCTGCTCCGAACCGATCCCGATCGGGGCAATGCCGTAACAAATAATAGACAGGATGAGCACTACAATCTGCACGGTGTTTATCCAGTAGGTGAAGAAGGGTCGATGATCGGTGCGGTCGTCCAGGTCATTTACGGAAAAGTACTTGATGCATCGGAGTGGCGGACGACGCGAGTTCTCCAGCACACCGTCCAGCAGCTGAGCGGTGATCCGATTGCCCCGGTTGCAAGTGGAGGTGGTGGAGTGCGAGGTGCGCATCGTGGGTTGCATCTGGCTGGACACCGAGTTGCAGAGAGGAATGTGAGCGGCCACGCCGGGATGTGTTGCCTGCTCGCTGCCGGTGAGGTTGATGTCGCTGCTGGCATTCCCACTACTGTTCAGAGCCGAGGTGCGCCACCCATTCTGCTGCCGCTCCGCCATGTAGACACTAACCCCCACACCCATGCCTCCCGCAGTAGAATCCGTACAGGTTCGAGATTTCGCTGCCTGGCGTCCAATCTCGGAACCATCGTCATTCAGCGAAGTGGCCGAAACTTCGCAGGGGCTGTCAAAGAACACCTCGTCTTCGATGATCGCCTCCAGGCCGTCGGTCAGGCAGTCGGCATCCGGCTGCTGACCGCTCTGGGTGGTGGTGACGTGCATCGGAGCAAAGCTGCGGGACCACTGCCAGGGACAACGCACCTTGTGCATTTGCATGGGTCGTCGCTTGTGGAACATGTGCACCAGATAGCTCACCATGGCCACAAACATGTATCCCACCGAGGCCTTGCGCTCCACGAATTCACCGGCCAGGAAGTCCCTATTGGTGTAGCTTTTCTGCCTAGCCATGTCCAGTCCCATGGCATCCTGAACGGGCAGGATGTCCGGGCGGTCGGGTGCATAGTTGCTATTGCCCTGGTTGCTATTCACCTGACCCACATCTTCGCCGGCAATAGCTTGCTGCATGTGATACTCCAGTTCGGAGTCGAACATCCCGAAGCAGCGGATAGCCAGACGTCGATGACGTCCCTGCCACAGGGCACAGTCGGCCGCCTCCGTGCTTGGCTCTACCCCAAAGAACTGGGCGGTAGCCCTTTTCAGATAGATCCCAATTCGTTTCTTGCACGACAGATGATGCATCTGGGGCTGGGGCAGAACCTGCATAGATTGATGCTGCTGCGTCTGGTGGTGCATGTGCTGAACCCGTGGATTTGCCACCATCTGGCTTCGGTAGAGTTGGTGTTGCTGTTGCTGCTGCTGATTCGCCTCCAGTTGCTTGGCTACCATTCCGGAGTCCAGGCTGGCATTCGGTGCCAGCTGTCCCTCACCCAGACCCGATATGACCGGAATGGGCATCGGCACGGGCATAGAAATGGGCACCGGACTAATGGGTCCCGTGGTCTGGGTGGTCTGGTGTACTCCGGTGGTGCGGCGCACTGTGTTGCAGTGCAGACAGGTGCCCGACGGGTTGTCTACTTCCAACTGAGTCACTGAAGCCCCACCCGGAGCCACAACGATCACGGAGTCGCTGTCTTCCTGGCCCCGATGACGGCTCATCATCTGCTGGGGGGTGTCACCGCCTACGGACGCCCCAACACCGACTCCTCCGTGGTTTACTGAACGAGGAGCCGCCGCAGTGGTAACTGGTGAGCAAGAACTGACCGCCGAGAGGACCAGGGACATACTGGTCGAGGGTGCCGGAGAGGGGGAGGTGCAGGCCGGCGAACAGCTGGAGTTGTACGTCTGCGAGGTCCGGCTGAGGCTGCTGTGAGAGGACTCGCCGTGGCAGCATTTGGAGCGAAAGTTGTACGGCATATTGGCGTACTGGGACTGTGACTGCGACTGACTGGATGCGCCTGATGATGACCCGGAAGCGGCTGGTGTGGAGGCAGTGAGGGTGAGGTCGGTGTAGAGATCCATGGCAGGCGGTGGCGTGGGCACGTATCGCTTCACCGGAGTGTGCACCGTGGATCCCAAGTAGGCGTTGTAGTTGTCGCACTGGGCCAGCGGCAAGGGTACATTGGAAGGCAGTAGGAGGCGCGTGGAGGAGACAGAGGGAACGGCCGAAGGGATCCCACCCATGGAGTCCATCATCTTTGCTTGAGGGGTGGCCTGGGACTCGCGATATCGCTCCAAGCGGTATCTGGAATTGGGCGAAATGCCACGCTGATGATAGTTTGCGCCAGCTCCTATTCCATGTTTCTGCACCACCGGAGGATTTTCCGACTTGCACGACTGCGCGGGCATCTGGTTGGCCACACAGGTGGCAAAGCAATCACTGTTGGGAGCCGGCGAGGGAGGAGGCACACCCCTGTTGGGATCATCGTATTTCTCCAACGGCGACAGCTTTAGTTTGCCGGAATGTGGCTGAAAGCGTCCCGACGAGAGGCTGCAGTACATCACATCGCACTCGTTGGAATCGAGTGCTAACTGGAGCTGGTTCTGGAAGTTAATGGACTTCCGTCGAGTTGTGCTCATGCCACTGCCAGTGCCACGCATCCCGGCGTGGCCGTTGTCCGGATTGCCCTTCTCATTCCTCCTGCTGCTGTGTCCCAGGTCAGCTCCATTCGAATTCATAATCGAGGAATCACTCTTAGCCGGTCTAACAAATAAAGTTAAAAAATTCAAATCAAATATTTTATCAACTGACTCACAAAAAATTAAAAACAATTTTAATATAGAGAAGCGTTTGGATTTTAAAATTTTAATTAAAATAAATCCTATACCCTTTACTTTTATTTATCTTTTGTTAGTTTTTATTGGAAGTTTTAATAAAACTCACAAAAGAAACATTATTTTTCACATTTTTCTTCAAAAAATCCTAGTAAATATTTTTAATTGGATGCTTTTTGGTACCACATCTCTATTTCAGATACAAACAATAGAAAAAAGGGCCAAGGGCGCACATGAGTAATCCGGAACCCCAATTCTTATAATGAGGATTCTTTTAATAGGGACAAACACTTTTTAAGCAAAAGTCCTCTTTTTAAAACTCATATTTATAAAAACAAAAAGAATTTTCTTTACTTTTAAGTTAAGGAATTTCCACTCATTAGCACGATCAAGAAACTTTTCATTATTTAGAAACAAATACTCAAAAAAACAAAAATATAACACTTATATTAACGTTGAAACTATTTAATTACTTTTGCTGATCCTGCGGACACTTATTAGAGCCTTAAACTGTTTTTTTTACTTCATTATTATTTTGGTTTTAATTCTGTTTACAGGCTGAAAATTCTTTTATCGATTTTCCACAATCCACTCCATTTTATGGAAGCACTTGGGCATCCAACTTGGTTTCAAGAACCCGAGGACCGAGGACCGAGACCGTTCTTCAATGCATTGCGCTATTATTTTGCTTAAAAATCTTTTTGGATTGATTTATTAATTTTTTATAACCATTTTTTTAAGCCACAAATGCATATGTACACAGCACACTCGTCGAAAAACTGCAAACCACTCGATTCAAATTTTTCCTTCTCACGCGCATGTCTGAAAATCCTCATGCTTGAGATGACACAAATTATCCTTCCTATGAACCCATGAGGAAATTTTCAGCTAACAGCTAAATATTATTTCCATATATAAAATATTTTTTTTATAACCCAGTTTTTCAGTATCCTATGCAATATAAACAATTTCCAAGCTCCTAAACTTTAAACTCATATTTTTAAATTGAAAAGTATCGTTTTTCTAACCTTATTAGTTAGTGCTTAAAAAATATCAAAATATTTAAAAATAAATGCCAATCTTTATAATTTATTATTTGCAATCAAGTGCAGCATCTTTATTATTATTTTCTGGTTTTGGAAATAGTTTTGAAACTTGTATTATCGAAATTATTTTCACATGAGAATATCTATGTATATGACAAAACATTATAATGTACTTATTCCTTATGCGAGTGGGAGGTGATTGAAAAGTCCAATCGTAAGAACACAATAGTGAATACAAAAATAATGTAAATGAAGCCGCTAACCAGAAGAGGCTCTTGCAGCAGGGAAATTTTCGAGAAGCTGTAGTAGAGCGTGAAATCGGAAATGTGACTTTCGACCAAATTGGATTTGGAGAATGAAATCACGGGACGGCCTGTGGTGTCCAGATAAGTGTGCACCAGCTCGTTTGGCAGCCTGCTTATGGTATAGGGCGTCGACAGTTTGATATCGCTAGAGCCCTCGGGCAAAATAATCTTTATGGTCGCCTCATCGATCGCCATGTTATCGTAAATGTGGTCGATTAAATGCATCTTTAGCTGGTATTTGGTGCCATCGCTGAACATGTACTCGTAGGATGGGACATTATAGCCGAGAGTGTACTGCGTTTTCCAGCCGCCGAACAGGGGGAATCGCGGGCGCAGCTCAAGCTCAATGAAGTCGCGTCCCGAATTCATGTTTGAGGTAGAGATGTTGCCGTTTGTATCCCGGTAGTAGACACCAGAAGCAGATGCTGGCAAATAGGTTTTGTACGATTTCAGGGCAGACTGTCCGGAGCGACCCTCCTTCTGGAAATCGTACCTCGAGAACGATCCCTTCAGTTTGGCGCCGGTGTGGGTCATTTGGATGGATTCTTTGACAGCAATGTTGCCCCAGTGGGAAATCTCCAATGTTCGCTCCAGAGTATTGACAGTCACAAAGGGGGCGGAGTTCTCATAATGGATTGAAAGAGGTTCCAGGCTGAAAGCTGAAATATAGAATAAATTAGTTGGAGTCTTCTCAAAATGGACCTTTAGCTCGTTACCTTCTACATTTTCGTAGGGACCGAAGGTGATTTTGCTGGAGGCCACCGAAAAAGGCTTAACTTGGGTGTGAGACAGTATGTTAGAGGAGCTGAGCTTGGCACTGGTCTTCTGCGAGTTGGTCTTGTATTTTGAGTAGAAATGCAGATGTCCAATGTACTTCACGAACTGTTTGTCGTTCTGTCTGATTTCCAAGGGGTGCGGCAGAATATTCTTTGAGGAGACGGTCTCCACCACAAAGGTTTGCTTGGAGGCGGCCTTCGGGAAGGTGAGGGTGTAGCTTTCCTCGCCCTTAACCAGCTCGTTTTTGCGGATCTGGACATTCTTGTCGGCATTATCTTTCACCGAAATGTAGGCGAGACTTGGCTCGCCAACGAAAAACACGTACTCGGAAATCGGCTTGCCGGCTGTGTCTTCGGCCGAAATTTTGGTGGTGGCCCGCACGAGCTGGGAGGTTAGGTCCAGGCTTCTTTCCACATTTAGATTGACAATCTCCGCCTGCACTTTGGATATGGACAGGAGGGCTCCTAAAGCCAGGAAAATAACAATATTCGTTGCCATTTTCAGCTCAAATTTGGACACGTATTTTAAAAGAATGTCAATGCCGTATGGGAATTTTAGTACATTTTGAGCCGGCTTTGCCAGTGTGGCCCGTTGTTTCTTTTTTGTTGGTGTGATTAGGGCCTTTTAGGCAACCGATTGGATTTTATTTGTAAATCATTAGTTAAGGTATTAGTGAAAACATAAATACTCTATTTAGTATTATTAAACGGCTATTAAATAAACGTTTTCTTTAAAGCAATACTTAACGCAATGCCACCTGCAAGGAATATACGAACCGGGTAATAAATAGCATAGACAAGAACCACACTGAGACAATTTTTCGTCTCTTTCGCACGATTTTCCATCTCTTTTCCGTTCGGCAAAAGGCTGCAGAAAAAACGCGCGCGACTTTTCTGCACCTCGAGTGTTGAAAAACGGTTAAAATTTGATTTGAACCAAAGCATAGACAAGAACCACACTGAGACAAAAAGTGTTGGTCCAAGTAAAATTGTCGACCCCCTAATGCGGTTGCGTCAGTTATGTCGACAATATTTTTTGCCGAACTTCAATTTAGTCTACGATTGGCCGTAGACGATTAAACGAAGTTGTTCGCCGGGAATTGAATGGATACGGTTGGGGCACCAAGTAATTCGAATAGGAATTGTGCCATTTTCTCCAAACACACACCTACACACACCTAGGTGCAAATATATTAAGAATGCAGTGAAAAAAGGGCATCACGAAAGTCGGTCTGCTCTCTCTGATGGTCAATATATATATAAATTTTACAAAACTCCCCTACCTGTGTATCTGTGAAAATGTGTAACTAAGAAATTCTTATGTACGCATGTATATGCTACATGGTTGCATAAACAATTAATACGGAAATGCGCGAAAACGCATAAGTTTTCATGTATTTTCTGTGTATGCATTTCCTTTGCAAGTCCATGTAAATATATATGTAAAGGTGTCTATTTTTACTCCATTCGGGAACATAAAATATATATGTGTGTGTATATGAATTCATATTGCATGTACAAACTTACGTTTGTATATACCCAGTGCAAGCAAAAAAGCACATAAACGGATATCAAGGATTTGCAAAACAGAAAGAAAACTGTGAACAAACTATGAAATTATGAAAATATATTTGCGTGACTGTTACATGTAATTTTACTGGTGTAGAGTATCTTAAAGATACAAATACAGACACGTATATTCGCTAAGGATACACAAGCATGCATTCGATGGAATTTGCACAAATATTTGTAACAAAAAAAAAATACATACTCTCGTTGCAGAAGAAAATGTTTCGGGTATAAAGTGAAATTGCTAAAAGTATACGATCTGTGGAGTTACGAATTTGGGAATAATGGAACCGAAAAGATGGCATTTGCATTTATCATGTTTTTTGCTACTCCTTAGTTCAACCTTTTCTGGTAAGTAAATAAACTTGATTGAAAATGATTATTTGTGACCTAGAAGCTCATTCGCATGGTTGTATGCTACAGATTATTTCAAAATGCTAAGAAGTGCAAAAATTTATATTTAACTAATAACCTGTATAATTTTTCAGATGTTGGAAAAATAACGTCTTCTCAAAATCATTTTGGAAACACTATACAAAGTCAATTTAATACAAAAAACAATACCCGTGTTATTGCACAAAAAGGGGGTCTTGCCATTTTACCGTGCGTGGTAAAAGTCAACTCTCCGGCAACGGTAAGACACGATTTTGTTTGGCCTTTAGCCAAATTAGATTTTTTCTTGGGATTGGCTTGGGTCATCAATATATTAAAATTTGAAAAATATTTTAGGTTTCTTGGATACGTAGAAAGGACTTTCAGCTCCTGACAGTGGGTCTATCCACGCACAGTAGCGACAAAAGATTTTTGGTGGAACATACACGCCACATGGGACATTGGTCTCTAAGGATTAAGGCAGTGAGAGAGGAGGACCGAGGCTTTTACGAATGCCAATTGTCAATTTATCCAACTCAGTCAATTGTAATAGAATTAAAAATAGTCGGTACGTATATACATATTTCAATAGTGTTAAGTATAAATGTGATTAACTAATGATTTATTTACAATATTAGAAGCGGTAGCGGAAATATCTAGTGCCCCAGAGCTCCATATAGATGAGACTTCAACTTTACGACTGGAATGCAAACTAAAGCGAGCAACGGAAAATCCAGCATTTGTATTTTGGTAAGAAATCATAAATTTATTAATCAGAAAATCCCTTTAAAAGAATTAAAAATGCATGAAGAGTACAATATGTCCCCCAGGCCCAATACGGTGTCCATATCTTGGCCAATTTTCTGTCGATCCTTAAGCGGAATACCTTAAACGATTTGTAGATAGATTCTCCACTATTCTGCATAAAAATCCTGAGACAAAATATTTTTTAGATTTTTTGTTCATTTTTCGTGATGGGGTTCCTGAAAATGGGATTTCCCCCACAGTGATGGCTATATCTTCCCCAATTCTCATCCGATTCTCAAGCGGAGTACCTTAAACGATTTCTACATCGATTCTCCACCATTCTGCATCAAAATCCTGAAACAAAATATTTCTCAGATTTTTTGTCAACTTTTTGTGATAGGATCCCTGAAAATGGGGTTTTCCCCTATATGGCCCACAGTGATCGCTATATCTTCCCCAATTCTCATCCGATTCTCAAGCGAAGTACCTTAAACGATTTGTAGATAGATTCTCCACCATTCTGCATCAAAATCCTGAGACAAAATATTTTTCACATTTTTTTTCCATTTTGCGTGATGGGATCCCTGAAAATGGGGCTTCTTCCTATATGGCCAAGAGTGATGGCTATATCTTCCCCAATTTTCATCCGATTCTCAAGCGGAGTACCTTAAACGATTTTTAAACTGATTTTCCACCAATCTGCATCAAAACCTCAAAGGAAAATTTTCGAACAATATTTTTCAAAATTTTTGCCTTGAGCCCCCTTGAAAAACACGAGTTTCCATTTATGGCCCAAAACGGTGTCCATATCTTGGCCAAATTTCAGTCGATCCTTAAGCGGAATACTTTAAACAATTTGTAGACAAATTCTCCAACAATCTGAATCAAAAACTCATAACAAAATTTTGGATCAATATTTTTCAAAATTTTTCACATTATGATCCCAAAACAATGTCCTATCTTGGCCAACTTGCCAAGTCAGAACAAATTTGAAGATTAAATCCCAATCGAATTCCTTAACATTCTATTAATAATGACAATAAATTGATATAAATTGAACAAAATTGTTAATATTATTCATTACTAAAAACAATTTTACTCTTTACAGGTACCATGATAGTAAAATGATTAACTACGACTCCCAAGGAGGATTCGTGGTGACATCAATCGGGCAGAGTAACTTGCAAGGTGGACAGGGGTATAGAAGTTCCCCGGCAAATAAATCGCGGGCTACCGCCAATGCAAACTCAATGGATACCGCCCATAGCGCCGCAAACAATCTGTTGGGAAGCTCCGACAATTTGAAAGGATCCAATCCGCCCTCCTCAATACCGTATTTCCAGGCACACCAATCCTCCTATCTCCTTAATCCTTCAGTAAGCGTCCTCACTGTAAAGCAAGTTAATTTCCGGCATGCTGGCAATTATACGTGCGCCCCATCAAATGCCCGCCCAGCCAGCATTACAGTACATGTTTTAAGAGGTAATATTATCCTAAAATGATATCCCTACTGTCCTATATAGCTGAAGTATATGTTCTAATTGAAACAGGTGAGAAAACGGCAGCGATGCAGCACGCCAATCGGACTATTTTGGATTCTGAAAATAGCGGAAACGGAACTTTTGGATTGATAAGCTTAGGAGGACTTAATGGCACTGCCAGTGTAACACTGACCGAAAGCCTATTGCATTTTTATGGGATGTTCCTGCTAGTAGCCGTCGTAGTTTTAGATCGATTCTCATTAGCAGCAACTCACAAAGTATTCTTAGCTTCCATCGTAGTTCTTTTGCATAGCTGAAACATATAATTGACGATACCTGGAGGAATGGAGCCACTTCAATCATTCGAAAATAAAGAATTGATATTTTCAAATAGAAGATGTATATAGATCATTGACATACCATATATTAAACAAATTGTAAGACATTTACGTATTTTAAGATTAACTGTAAATAGACTTCCATTACATGCAATGTATTGAATTGAGAAATAAGAGAATTCAAAGAACTTGTTAACCAAATCTTAAAAAAAAATGCGAAATCGTTAAATCAAAATGGATTTAGCAAAGCAGAATTGAATGGCTCGAGGTGGTACGATATAATGTATGCTTAGATGTTCATATTTATTGACTGGTACTGACATTTTAATGTTAAAAACAAAGGAATTAGAATAAATTATTGATAAAACAAGAAACCATACCAATTTGTTACCTAATAACTCGAAAAATTTGATCGTCACCTTTAAACTGTTATTCTGCTCAGTGTTCGATATTTAGTATATAGAAGGATTTATGTAAGCACCTTTAGAAGTATGGTAATTCGTATATTGTATGTACAACTGTAAATAATTATTACTTTCGTGAGCGTTTAGGAAGCGCTGTCTTGAATCCAAATGGGCCTAAATGCCTAAATATTGTTTTGTTTAAATTAAAATACGGAATGCATACAAGTCAATACATTTTGTTGCAAAATACCAAGGTTTTAAATAAACAAATCCATTTTAAAAAATAATCTATGCTCTTTTATTTGACTCATCTTTGGGCTATTACCTTTCAGATAATTTGTAATTTGTTTTTAATAAACTGTCCCTGATCAGATATAATAAGGTTTAATTTTCGTCACCTATGTGGACAGCCCTCTACAGAACTCTGGCAACGCTCGCGCTTCGGCTTATCGTTAGCTATCGTTCCAGCTTTCATTCGTTCCAAGTGCCAGCCGTGGATAATGTTATCAAAACAAAAAACATGAAATCCGAAATTTTAGCTGCCGTTTTCTTAGGATTGGCAGTCAGATCAATTATATCCTTGCATTCCTACTCTGGGCAAAATTCCCCGCCCATGTATGGCGACTATGAAGCCCAGCGGCACTGGCAGGAAGTTACCGTCAATCTGGATGTCGGCGAATGGTACACAAACAGCTCCAACAATGACTTATTGTACTGGGGCTTGGACTATCCTCCGCTGACAGCTTACCATAGCTATTTAATGGGTCAAATTGGCAAAGCCATCGATCCCGAATTCGTCGATCTGCACAAAAGCAGGGGCTTTCAGTCCCCTGAGCACAAACGCTTCATGCGATCAACAGTTGTCTTTGCTGACGTCCTCATTTATTTGCCGGCAATTTTGTTCGTGTGCCTCAGCTTGGACAAAGTCTTTCAGGGCCAGGATACACTGTTCCTGCTGACGTTAGCCATTACTTATCCAGGACAATTTCTGATTGACAATGGTCACTTTCAGTACAATAACATATCCCTTGGCTTGGCAGCCTTAGCTGTGGGAGGAATCTTGCGGGGCAAATACTACATGGCATCTTTTTGTTTCACGTTGGCTCTCAACTATAAACAAATGGAGCTATATCACAGCTTGCCATTCTTTGCATTCCTCCTGGGAGAATGTGTTGGACAGAAATCGTAGGTGTATCTGAGCCACCATTATTAACCTAAATATAAATAAAATGAATTGTCATATTTTCAGTTTTGGTGCTTTTGCATCTAAACTTTCACGAATAGCGGCGATAGTACTAACTACTTTTGCTGTGTTATGGTCACCATGGCTAGGATCTTCTAAAGCAGCACTAGGGGTATTGCAACGCCTTTTCCCTGTTGCACGAGGAGTATTCGAGGACAAGGTGGCGAACGTTTGGTGTGCCGTAAACGTGGTTTGGAAGCTGAGGTAGTTTTGTATTTTTAAAATATCATAAACCATGCATTTATAACTAAATTTATTTTTAGGGAGCACTTAAACAATGAACAAATGGCTCTGATATGCATTGGATGCACTCTATTTGCGGCTCTGCCCACGAATATCGCAGTCTTTAGAAATCGGAGCCAACTGGGATTTTTGTTAGCCCTTTTCAACACATCTCTGGCCTTCTTTTTGTTTTCATTTCAAGTAAGTTATTAATGATTAATTGGGATTAAAGTATAATTTTATTTTGTTTTAGGTCCACGAAAAAACCATTTTACTGGCAGCATTACCATCATTATTTTTACTAAAATGGTGGCCCAACGAAATGCTTCTCTTTCTGGAGGTCTCCGTTTTCAGCATGTTGCCTCTTCTGACAAAGGATAACTTATTACTGCCGGCCTTAGCATCTACTGTAGCATTTCACCTAGTATTTAAATGTTTCACATCACAAACGACTTCCAACCGTGATAGAATACTGAAGAATATTGCAAATATTTCAAACATAGTCATGGTTTTAATAGTGGGAGCTTCGTTAACAATAGCTCCCCCTTTGCGATTTCCTGATCTATGGCCTTTGATAATATCGGTTACTAGTTGTGCCCACTTTGTGTTATTTTTTCTGTGGGGAAACTACCAACAATTTACTTGTAAAATAAGTTTGCAAAAAAATTAAGCTTTTAAATAAAAATTCCTGTAAATATAGCAAATATATATATATATTGTTGACCACGTATTGTTCATCGTTTTTAATTTTATTTGGCTTATGTATATATTAGACCTTTACTTGTCCGACCAAAATTTATATATATAACTACTGCCTATTGTCTATCTTATCGCTGATTTAATCGGCAGAGTAAATACACTTTTCGAAAGAAGTCGTGAATTTAATTTTAATCTCTTGAACTTTAACTTTTGAATAAAGTTGCTAAATTAATAATAAAATTTATTATTTTTTTTTAAATACAATTACCCCCCAAAACATATTCTGTTTCTCCCAGTGATCTTTATGAAACAAAATAAATAAATTAGCACATGCTGCGAGGCTCTTATAATAAAAGCCAAACATAAAAACTCAAAATTTATAGGTTTCAAGAAATATAAACATTAAAAGGGAAAAGCTTTTGCTGCACAGTGTTATCAACAGGGTCCCCCAGATAAGATAAACCACTCGGTAAAGATTAGTTTAGTGTGCCGACTTTTGTGAGCTTGTTAGTCATGTACAATTAATTGATCGGTGCACAAGCCAAAAATTTATTCATCGCAAGGCATTCCGTTAAAATGAAATTTCAAAATTGTACGATATTAGCATTTGCTATTTTGTGTATTATTTTTACAAAAGTAACATGTGAGACGGAAGCTGTTACCGATGGAACGACAACAACAACCCCAGAACCGCCAAAGGTAGATAAATGAACTTTCCTCAGGTGATCGATAAGGAAAAACTATATTACGAGAATTTTTGTGATACTGACCAGCCGGATCCTTCTTTATCTTGCAATCTTTCTAACTCTACTATATGTGTTAAAAATAAATAAAAAAAAAATCATCTAATGGTGGAAGAAATTTTCAAAATTATAGAATTAGTAATGGACATTTCCGATTTGTGTACTACGCCCATCGCGGTAGTGCAATATACAAAATGGGTTATAATCAAGCCGATAAGATATCAAAAATAAAAAAAATGAGTCAACAAAACGGCACTTAACTGGCGTTAAAAAGATTAAATTGCACGTTGAAAAAAAAACACCTATATTTTTAAAAAAGTTTTCAAAAACAAATTCATATTTGCAGAAAAAGACTCCCGTGAAGGACAGCAAGTTGTGCAAAAAGTGTAGTTGCGTTATAAATGATAACACCAGTTTGCTCGATTGTAGTGAGAAATTGGCTGGTGACTGGTTTACTTCAGATGAATGGAAGGATTTAATCGACGGCGATGTGGTATTCAAAACCATAAAACTGGAGCACAACAACTTGACCGCTATCCCGGCTCTACCCCCATATGGTGTGGAAAACTTGTACTTGGCATTCAACCAGATTGAGAATGTCACTTTGGGAGCTTTCCAGAATTTGAGTGAACTTGTGAACCTGGATATATCGCACAATAAGCTAACCACAAAAACCCTAGTACCCGATGTCTTCCAAGGACCTTACTCGATAAGTGACTACAAGCCTTTGCCAAAGCTGAGATCGCTTAATCTGGGATATAATGACTTGCACTCTCTGGATGCAGATATCTTCGAGCACTGTCCCCAACTGGAGGAGCTTGTGCTATGCTCCAATCCCTTCCAAATTATCAACAAAAATGCCGAAGTAGCTATTTCTGGATTGGCTTACCTAAAGGTAACTTTAAGAGGTTTACAAGGGATTTATAATCAATGAGTTCTGGATCCTATTTCAGACCTTGGATATTTCTTATTTGGAAATCGATTCTCTACCGGAAACAGTTCTGCATGGACCCCGGGATCTGAATACCTTGTTGGCCGCTGGAAATGAATTTAAGCGTTTACCAGATGGCTTGGAATACGCACAGAACTTGGTTCACCTTGTTTTGAATGAAAATCCCATCGAGAACTTGGTTGGAGATAAGTGGGTGTATATTGGATTACTTTAGGAGCAACATTATTTTCGATCTATTCTCTTTTTCAGTGTGTTTCCGGAAATGACAAACCTTAAATACCTGAGCATGACTTTTATGCCAAAACTATACAAGATAGGACCAGGAGCCTTCAGCGAACTGCAGAGTAAGTAATTTTTAATTAATCATTAAACTCTATTTTTAAACATTCTTTATGCAGACCTCACCGAACTGATTTTGTCAGACAACAAATTCTTAAATGAAATTGACGAGCTGGCATTTCCAAAGAACGTTACGGGAGGACCGTACCTAGACTATCCTCCCTTGGAACATGTAAGTCAGATACAAATAATTCGAATAAACTATCTCTAATTTAATAATTTTTAGTTTTACCTGAACAACTGCAACTTGACAGTCCTGCCCAAGCCTCTATTAGTTCGTTGGGATAAAGTTAAAGTACTTGATCTTCAGTATAATCCTTGGACATGTGACGCATCCAACGACTACTTGATCAACGTATTAATCGGACAAGTTAACAAAACAAGTCCAGTTTTGGCCAGGAATGTCCAGTGTGCCAGTCCAGAGGGACTGAAAGATGTTCCTGTTTTAAGAGTGGCGAATGAACATTTGGTTGAGAACCCAGGAGGCAGTTTGGTTTGGATTGGTCTGCTTGTTGTACTTCTGATTGCTATTCCAACTATAGTGGCCGCCTACGCCATTAAGAAACGCGGCTGCTTTGGTCGGTTCCGCCGCAGTGATAGTGTCGCTAACCGAGCCCTCTATAATAGGACCAGTTTCAATGAAGATTTTCACATTTAAATTAAGTTTCATGAGACTAAAATGTATAACTTTTCAAAATATATATTAAATAGGCATAGTAATTTTGAGTTGTATTTTTCATCCCGCTGAAATTAAAGAAAAGAAGTTATATTTTTAGATTTACTTACTTTTATTATAAAAGCACTATCATGACACTATTATCTTATCTATTTAACCGAAAAAACTTGATTGTGGTATTTTAAAAAGATTTCTTGTTCATATATGTACGTTTCTAGATTACCCATATTACAGAATGTTAGTTGGACACTAAATCAGCTTGAAAGCCATTAAAGTAAGGATGCTCCAGGATTTCCTTAGCGGAAATACGATGAACCGGATCATAAATCAGCATACTTTGTATGAGATCAATTCCGTTTTCGTCAAGATTCTTAAGCTGGTTGGTCAACTGATTGGTTGACCAGCAGGGAAAAGTGTTCTTATAGTCTGGAAGTGATGTTACGCCAGGCCAGATATCTTCGGTAGGTGTTTTGAGAATTCTAAGAATTTCAAAGATTATTTAACATATTCGAAAATTGCTAAAGTAACAATAAATACCTAAACATTCTGAATAACTGATCGATTTCCGAATCACCTTGAAACAGGGGTTTACGCGTTGCCATCTCCGCAAATATGCATCCAATAGACCAGATGTCAACGGGGCAGGAATATCTTGGGGACCCCAGCAGAACTTCTGGCGCTCGGTACCAAAGTGTCACGATTTCGTGGGTATAAATTCGCACTGGAATGCCAAAGGATCTACCCAGACCAAAGTCAGCTACCTTAATAATGCCGTTTTTGTCGATCAACAGATTTTGGGGTTTCAAATCACGATGCAGGACTCGACGACGGTGGCAGAACAAAATCGCACTTGTTATTTGGTACAAATAGCTTCGAACTAGTTTGGGGTCCATATGCTTATCGGCTGGCAATGAGTCCATGTACTTTTTCAGGTCCATTGACAAGAATTCAAAAATCAAGTAAATGCGGTTCTCCTCCATCAACACATCTTCCAGGCAGACAATATTGGCATGCTTTAACTCTTTAAGCAGTGATATTTCTCTAAAAAATATATAATCAACTAATTAAAAGAGCAGTTTTCTGAGTACTCTGCGCATAGGTGCATATGTATGTACATATGTAATTATGCTGCGGTGGCCCAGCATAATTTCTCGGGTTATATCGAGGAAGTACTCGACATAAGTTACTAAATATCATGCCACAAGTGTTTGTGGCAGTCGCAAAAGTCTTCAGCACAAAAATTAGGCAGAATTGTGTGAAAATTAGTGCGCCATGCAGTGGCTTGGGTTCGGCTTCGCTTGACGCCAAGGCAGGTTACCTGATTGCTGTCGAAGGGACGCCTTCATCGTCAGACTCTAAGCGAATTTTCTTCATGGCCACTATTTGCCCAGTGAGGCGGTTACGTCCTTTGTAGACAACACCATAGGTGCCTTCGCCAATCTTTTCAATTTTCTCAAAATCCTCCATTATATTATGACGTTTGCAAAACAGGCAGACTTTTAAATTTGCGCGTTTATGGAGTCTCTTCTGTCACAACGTTGCCAGACTTGAATATTTTCAGTATTAAACCAAAAAATACTTCATTTTGGTATTATTGGGACCTGCAAGCGGAATTTTACGATTAATACTGATTATACATTTTACATTTTTTGAACGCCAGAGAAACTTTTATAAAAAAGAATAAAAATAAATTTATAAATAAGAATATTGTAAAACATTTTAATTTAAAACTTAGATTTAAATTCCATCGTATTATGGAACATATCGCGTTCCAGTTTGAGCTTTTCAAATTGGAATATCGTTGTTATATTGACACTCACACATGCTTGTACCAAATATATGGAACAAATCTCTTATTTTCTTTTACCGGAAAATATAAAATGCCAAAATGTCTTTTCTAACTAGAATAGTCGGTAAATCAACAGGTTTAAGGTGAGTCTGTACCATAAACATACTTTTCTGTACCATAATCCATTGGCTAACGTCGCCTTTTTATTTTAGTGGCATTCGATTAATGTCGGTCTATCCGCAACATTACGTCGAACCTATAGTGCAAAAAGATAAACAGATCGAACAAAAAAATGAGCTCCCAATGCTTCATCATGTCCCCATCAAGGCTGCTCTCAACAAGTCTTCAGATACAGTGTTTCACGACGATACGAAGGAGAAGCTGTTGAATTATATAACGAAAAAGGGAAACAGTGCATTGGCCAGATCGCTTCTGTCGAAGGCCTTTGAGTTAATAAAAAGGACGCAAACAGAGCGCCTAAATCTGGCCAAAGGGGACAAGGATCAGGTAATCACGAATGCCGAAGTGCTTTTGAAACAAGCTGTTGAAAACTGCCGGCCGTTACTGCAAGTAACTGCCATCAAAAGAGGTGGTGTAACCTACCAAGTGCCGGTTCCTATCACAACAAAGCGGTCCTACTTTTTGGCCATGAAGTGGTTACTGGAGGCAGCTCGTGAAAAGGAGCGCAAGGTGTCTCTTCCTGAGAAACTAGCATGGGAAATCCTTGACGCCGCCCATGGACAGGGTAGGGTTGTTAAAAGAAAAGATGACCTGCATAGGCAGTGTGAAGCAAACCGCGCATATGCTCACTACCGATGGAGTTAAATATGTATTACTAAAATGATTATTTTAATAAAACTTTGAGTTATGTTATAAAATTTTAAAATATTAAAGTTTCTTCACACTTTTAAGAAGGGAATAACATAAAAATAAGTAATAAGAAGCTGAAATATTCCTTTCAAATATTGTACATGGTTTCACTTATAAGTGAACATTTGTTTTTTAACCTAATTTAAATTAAACAAGGTTAATTTTTTGTTTTCAATTAAAAGAAATAAACAGTAACAGCTGATTAGTGTGAACTGCAATTGATTTTTCATACTGCACGGAAACTGGGTCACACTAGTCGCTTTTTGACACTTGGCAGCACTAAATTGGTATTTTTAAAACTTAAACTAAGTCGATTGATTCTTATTTAATTTAAAAAGCTTAATAAGTTAACTTATATAGTTTGATAAGAAAGCTAGAAAAATTCACTAAAAAGGTGGGAAAAGCTAACAGGCAATGAGAGATAAGGTAATTAAGAAAGTTGTATAACTTTACTTTCTTTTTTCTTGACGTTATATGACATTTGAAACTTATTTTTAAAATAATTGATAACTTTTTTCAATTTAAACACCTGTAAAAATCTAAAATATTTAAACTATGAAACAAAAAATACTTAAATTAGTGACGGAAATCGTCTATCGGAATTGTAACAATTTATCGAAACGCAACTCTACAGATGACGCACGAAGAGAACAAAGATGGCGATCCCTCCCGACCGAAAAATTCGTGAAACGAGCTGAATGATAAATAAAGAATTTTTTAATTGTATTCAAACTCCCGCAAACGCAGTGAAAATTATTAGTTAGTAACAGTGTCATGCGTACTTACAATGTGTAGAATAAAAATTTATCGCAGAACAGTTCGTTTTTAGCTGTGCATTTGTACTTGGTCCCAAAACACATAATCAAACGAGTTATAGTAGACTGGGCTGCATCAAAAGAAAAAAAGTTGACAAAATTCACGAAACACTGCAATTGATTCGGATTCTCGGTATTAACCAAGAAAAAATATGTATATGTAATACATAGGCCGTGGCTCGACGTCAACACTCGCTGCAACAAAAGGAATTGCATACATAGAATTGACAGTGGATATTAGGGTGAGTACTTTTCACGAAGTTGGCTTAAATTAGGTTCCAGGGCATATTGCACACCGAATTAGTGTTTAAATGTTTTTATCGTGGATTAAGGTAGATACGTTTGAGTGTTCGATATATATACGATATTGTATATATTGTACAAAGCTATGCACGAATTAATTCCGTTTAATTGTATGTGGATACATTTTCATGATTCTGCATACATACACATGTATGTATGTATATGCATGTACAAATGCTCGTAAACAAAGTAACTGCTTATGTATCATTTGGTATGTACATATGTATGTATAATAACAAATGATCCAAGTTACTCTGTTGCTGTCGCCTGTTTGTTCGCTTGTGTGTGTGTGTTGTTGGGTTTATTTTTATAATAACAATTTAGTATTTTTAATTTCCGATTCCCTGCATCCATACGATTCACAACTTTATGTACGATGTACATGTACATGTATACATATACGTATCATGTAAGTATCGTGTACATGAGCAGCGTTCGTCTTTCATGGAAAAGTATTGTGAATCAGGTGTGGAAAAAAGATTAAGAAAAGCTGCTGTATATTGAGTTTTGTTTTTAACTTGGCTTCTACTACTAACTAATATTTAGTATTTTTAGTTTTGATCGAATTTTGATCGAAAAATGTATCAACTGATCAAGTTTACCTTTCCCTAAAATATTTACATGCATGTAAAGTCGAATTATCGGTTACCGATCCTTGGGAATATATTGACTTTTTTTGTTTATAATTTAACTTGATGGATTAAATGTTACTTTTAATAAACTAAATATACACTAATAACTAAATTAGAAACATGGCCAACATGTGTTCCATTCAAATATATTGCCACGCCCCTTGTTCATGCAAAAAAGCATGATCTTTACCTGTTGCATTAAAAAAATATCACATTTTAGTTTTTAAAAAATATTTGGGAGGTCATTAAGCACAAATTTCTGCTATTTTTAAAAAATAATGTTAATAGTCCTTTCATACTTTATTCTTTTTTATAGATCTATTGCAGATATGGCGACCAGTGACGACGAGCCGATGCACCTGTATGAGGTGTTTCAAAACTGCTTCAACAAGATTGCCAACAAGCAGCCCACAGGATCGGTGGGAGCAGATCGCGGCGGTGGCGGCGGCGGGGGCTACCACTCGCCCTATGGCGGCCTCGGTGTGGAGAATGGCATGTACCCCAGTGACTTCAACACAATGCACGATTCGGCCAACGGGGGTAATAATCGTTTCGCAAACACCTCCACTGTCGATCAGTATTTTGACTCCTCCGCCGCCGGAAGCGGAGGAGGAGCGTGGTGCCAGTCGCAGATGAGCAGCGGTAGCAGCTACATGGGCCAGGGGGCATACCAGAACAGCGCCTTGGATCAGCAGCAGCAACAGCAGCAAGTGCATCCAGCGGACGGCCTGGGGCTGGGAATGGGTGGAGATGGCATGCACTGCCCGGTGTCCACCACCCTGCCACCGATGAGTTCGTTTCGCGCTAGCACTGGCGGTGGCCCCCAGACGCCAGTAAATACCCCAGCCGTGTTCAACTCGCCACAGGCCCACAACCACGCAGTACAAGCTCAGCACAGTGCATTGTCCACGGCTGGACCGCTTGGCCATCACTCATCGCTCAACCATACGCCGCACGCACATTCCCACGCCCATACGCACGCCCTGCCTCTCCCCCACGCCCACCCACTCCACAGTCAGCAAAACAGTCCTGCGGTGCAGGGTGCGGACGCGTTCAGTGGTGCCGGGAAGGTGGCCGGAGCTGGTAACTCCACGGCGGCGGCCCTGCGGCAGCAGATGTACATGCCGGCGGATCAAAGTATTAGCAGTTTCGGTTCGAACCCCTCCACGCCTGTGAACTCGCCGCCGCCACTGACTCAGTCTGTCGGAGGAGGCGCAGGAGAGCCTTCCGTGTCCGGAGCATCCGGCTGGGGTCACTCGGTGCTAAATGGCGGCGGAGGTTCCGGTTACGCCGGCGATATGGTTCCTGTGTCCAGCCTTCACACCATGGCTTCGGTGTTTCAGGGTGTGCGCATGGAGGAACGTCTGGACGACGCCCTTAATGTGCTGCGGAATCATTGCGAACCGGAAATGTTGGCTGGAGTAAATCAGGCCATGCCCTCGATGGATAACATTGACGCCCTGTCCTCATTTGTGCCCAACTCGCCGTCGCATCTGGGTAGCGGCGGTGGAAACTCCGCCTCCGCTGTCAGCAACGCGTCCAACGCCAACGCTCTTGTGCACGAGGTCCTGGCCATGGGAGCATCAGCGGCCGGTACATCGGGGCAGTCGGTGGGCCTTAAACTGGATCGAGGCGCATCCACTTCGTTGCCGAAACAAACGAAAAAGCGGAAGGAGCACACGGCCATCAGCAATGCGGTGCCGGCGGGGGTCTCCACCACCACCTCTAGCCTAACTAGCCTGGACATAGCAGATACGAAGCCGACCAGCTCGATTGAGTCCTCGAACTCGGGCCAGCTGCAGCAGCTCTCGCAGGGTGGAAAGGCCTCCAAGCGTCCAAGACGCTATTGCTCGTCCGCGGAGGACGACGACGATGCTGAGCCGGCGGTGAAGGCTATTCGCGAAAAGGAACGCCGTCAGGCGAATAACGCCCGCGAACGGATCCGCATTCGGGACATCAATGAGGCGCTCAAGGAGCTGGGGCGCATGTGCATGACACACCTAAAATCGGACAAGCCGCAGACCAAGCTGGGAATTTTGAACATGGCCGTGGAGGTGATCATGACGCTGGAGCAGCAGGTGCGCGAGCGCAATCTAAATCCCAAGGCGGCGTGCCTGAAACGACGCGAAGAGGAGAAGGCCGAGGATGGACCGAAGCTTAGTGCCCAACACCACATGATTCCGCAGCCGCAGCCCGGGGCTGGGAGCAGCTATCATGGCCAACAGCCAGCGCAACTAGTGCCACCAGCGTCGCAGACGATTAGCAGCATGACCATATCCCTACCCGTCAACCAGGCCAGCAGTGTCCTGCCGCCGCACTTGCAACAACAGCAACAATCGCAGCTCGGACACGCACAGCTCCCGCAATAGCATGCACCGCCCAGGAATCCTCCTCCTCCTCCTCCTCCACCTTCTAGTTCGTCCCACTCTTCCATAAAAACCGAATGTATTGAAGGCTCTGCGGCCAAGTACTCAGCAAACTTGGATCTGGAGAGTCAGGTTTTAAGCAATATGTTCTGGCGTTGTCGTCCTCCCAAATTGCAGCCACAACCCCTACAAAATGTACAACACTTTTAACACATAAAACACTTAAAAACTAAAACAAAAAAAAAAGAAAGAAAACATAAAAAAAAAAGAAATTGAAAGAAAAACGAAAAAAAAGAAAAGCCCAAATGATTGCCAATCCACATACACAGAAAAAAAAAAGAAAAAAAAACAAGAATTGCTCCTTTTTTGAAAACGATTGTATATAGCTGTTCCATTACGTTTAACCTGGGAAGATCTTTTTCGTTTTTTTTTAATATAGAATGTTTTGATTTAATAATTTGTTTATTTTGTGCGATATCACCGTAGCCATATTTTTTATATACAAATACATGCATACATAACGACATAATTAAGTGAAAATAGTTTTATAATAAAAAAAAAAAAAAGAAACACAACACATAGACTTACTTCTATATATTCCCGAGAGCTAAGGAATAAATATGTCCATATTAATACTTTATATATATATTGTGTTACAATGTTCTTTTGATGTGATTACAGAGAAAGTTGCACATAATGATGATGGTAACCACCACGGAAATAATCGTTATCTAAGATCTAGCTGGTAATTGTTGTAGTTACTTAAGGCTTCAAAGAGACACGTTCATGTGTTTTTATACTTTAATTAATTATATTTTTCGCTAGGGTAGGTCAACCGGAATTAGAAAAAAAACCAATCCAACAAAATAAACATGCCCATATTAAACATTAACTGAAATTAAACAAAAACGTGAAGCCAATGTAATTTCCCTGAATGTATGACATGGAAAAAGTGTTTAAAGTGTTATAACAGACTCTTTAAGGCTCTGATTTCATATATATATAGTATCAGATATGATTCATTATTTTGTTTTCAGTCCACGGATCGTTGACGGATCATTTTCTAGCTTTGGTATATATTTTACATCGCTTACATAATTCATGAAACTACTTGTACAATTTTTTCGACTTTCGTGACTTCATTGATTTCGTTATAATAAATGGTATAATAGAATCTTTATACCAAATAATATTTTGATAAACTGTCGATTTTATTTTTATTCGATCGGTAATTAATGGATATAGACTGGTACCCTATGAGGCACAAACATACCTTCTTTAAAACCATGGTTCTGATAATTTATATATTTTAAAAAATAATATTTTGAACTGCCGATTTTTTTCCATCCTAATTATTGGATAAAAATTGGACCCCTTATTTTTATAAAAATAAAAGGCCCAAAAATACCTTTTTTAAAAATTTAATTTTTTATTTTCTTCTTTAAAACTGAGCTATTTTCATCAAAGAATAGTAGTTTAGTTTTAGTAGTTTATAGTAATATTTTGATAAACTGTCGATTTTATTTTTTTCGATCGGTAATTAATGGATATAGACTGGTAGACACAAAGAACCTCAAAGAGTTCCAGGGTTTTAGGGGTTATCCCTATGAGGTACTAATTTAATAATTTAATATATCCGATCTCTTCTTTAAAATTGAGATTCTTTCATCATAGAATAGTATAGGTTATAGTAAGATCATCTCTTTTGAACTCCAACCAATCCAATTACAAAAAAAACATTTTATTTTATTATTTACAAATTTTTTATTGCCATGAACTTTGTTCCTAAATGCACAACTAAATTGTTAGTAATTCTTGTTTAAGGTCAAGGTCGCTCTACAGGTTCGACACATTCGTATCCAAAACAGACAGGGCCTCGTTCTTCTCCTCCTGCAACTCCTTGCCAGTAATGCTCAGCTTTGACTTGGCGAAATCGCTGAGGGTCAGGCCCTGGACGATCTTCCATTGCTTGTTCTTGATCTCGACGGGGAATGAGAAGATGACATCCTTGGGCGAGTCGTAGCTGCCATCGGAGAACACTCCCATCGACACGAACTGTCCGGGAGAAGTGCCATTCCACCAGTCATGCATGTGGTCGCAAGCGGCCTTGGCGGCCGACATGGCGGATGACATTTTGCGAGCAGCGATGACAGCGGCACCGCGCTTCTGTACGGTCTCCACGAAGGAGCCCTGGAGGTAGGACACGTCGTTGACGGCATCCACCACAGACTTAACGGCGCCATTGACCACAACCTTTCCTTGGCCAGCATCGGGGTACTGGGTTGAGGAGTGGTTGCCCCAGATGATGATGTTGTTAACAGCAGAGATGGGCACTCCCACCTTGGCGGCGATCTGAGAGGTAGCGCGGTTCTGGTCCAACCGGGTCATAGCGGAGAAGTTCTCCCGGGGAATAGAGGGAGCATAAGACGAGCACACCAGGGCGTTAGTGTTTGCTGGGTTACCAACAACCAGCACCTTAACATCCTTCTTGGCGAACTTGTCCAGGGCCTGGCCTTGGGTCCTGAAGATCTTCACGTTGGCGGACAATAAGTCCTTGCGCTCCATACCCTCCTTGCGGGGCATGGCACCCACCAGGAAAGCGGCCGACACGTCCTTGAATCCCACAGCCGGGTCGGTAGTGGGGACCACCTCAACCAGCAGAGGCAGGGCACAATCGGCCAACTCCATGACCACACCTTCGAGAACTCCCACCATGGGAGGAATATCCAGAAGGTGAAGGATGATGGGCTGATCCTTTCCAAACACCTCACCGCGGGCGACCATGTACAGCAAGGAGTAGGCAATTTGGCCGGCAGCTCCGGTCACAACAACGCGAATTGGTTCAGCCTAAAAATATACGTATAATGTTTATAATCTTTTTGGAATTCTTGCGGAAGAAAGGCGAACAAAGGTGTCTACGAATTACTAATACTCTTTCGATTAAAAAACTATTAAATACCAAGAATCCTAGAGTTTTAAAGTCTAATTATTATTTTTTTATTCAAAGTACCCACTACTAGGTTACTAAATAATTGGCTATGTTTAGATACAGCTGAGCTAATTATACTGTATTTTTTTTCATCCAGCCTTTGCCTTTAATTTAATTTATTTTTAGATATTTGTCAAGGCTCTGCACTGTGTTAATATTTAAGAAGGGGGAGCATCTTTGACGCAAAATTTTGGCAAATTTGTTGTTTTTCTCAAACTATGTAAAAGTTCTATGAATATATACATTTTAAAAAATGTTTTATTTTGAAAAATATTCTATACAAACATCATAAAATAAAGAAAAATAGATTTGTTGGTTTTTGCAGTATCCGTATATATTATAGGGTTTACTTGAGATATATATATGCTATAAAAATGCGTATAAGAATAGCAACAAATATTCTTTGAAAGAAAACTAGATTAGTATCCGTATATAGTATAAGGATTACTAGAGATAATAGTATTTAAATGTATATATATTTTTCTATTTTAGAGACTTTAGATTAGCTATATCCCCCCTTTAACTTGCTTTATTTAAATAGTATACCGAAAGGAAAGAGAAAACAGGGCCTTTATAGCCAGCTGGGCTGTTGCATTCCTCAGTACCCTTGTTATGCAATCTCGGTTAAAGGCTTTCGGTGGGGAAAGTAAATGTAGGGCGCAGTTGGCAACCGACCCCAATAAGGACAACAGGCTAGGCATTGCATTGAAGACTAACGGGGGGAACTAAATGCTTTGTAAAGAGCCCCAAGCAAACAATTGGCTATTTGGAAATTAGTTCAACCGGAACTTCTGGTGTTTACCAATTGTTATTGATAAGATACGAGAGATTTGGCTATTTGGACTTTGTTTTACGGTTTCAATTAAGTAATGTGTGTGCCTTTACATAAGCCTTATCTGCTGGTAAAAATGATGGAAAAATCAAAATGCTTTATCTCAGTCAATTGGCAATTAGCCTGCATGAAAAAAATATCAAAACCTCTTGGGGTCCACTGATCGCATCCATTTGTGCATACGTATCTACGTCACAGAGGTTTCAATGATACGATGGAGAGGTCGAATGAATGTTAAATTTCCAGAAAAATGTCGGAACATCCTACACATACTCGCAAAGGTACTTGTTATTGCGAGTGTGCCTAATTGTGGGGTCCATTTTTAATTTAGACAGGTGCTACAGTACTCTTTTAGCCAAAAATTGTACACTATTTTATGAATAATTATTTATTTTGCCGGTGGTCTTACCATTTTGCAAAAATTTCTCCGGCTCAGCACTCGACGTTGGGGATATTAGAGATAATAATAAGAGATAATAAATTAAGGCGGAAAAACCAGAAACCAAAACTATCGATAAAAACGTTTTGAAAACATTGAAAATATCGATGTTTGGCAGGGCAACATCGACAAGAAGTTTTTTTTACTCTTTTTTGAATTTATTATTCATTTTGTTATACGTTTCAAAATGTTTGTTACATGTTTTAAATACCTAAAGTTTTGTTTTATCGTAAAAATTTAGAATAAAATTAGTAGTCCAAATAAATAAAATCAACTTCGTTATGTCAAAAACGATAGTTTCACATATCCCAAAACTACATTGAAAGATACACAGTTTTTAGTTTCTGAGCTAATTCTGTAAAAAATTTAAGAATTTTAAAATTTTGAGTGTATAATTATAAGAAAACACAAATATAAAACGATTATTTTTATATCATGTTTAAATAGATAGACGAATAGACTTAAAATTAATCAAATCTAAGGGTGCGTATTAAAAATAATTATTGAGAATTGAATAAGTCACAACATTTATTTGTAACATAGATTGTTTCTTAAAATATATTTATTGTGAATAATTTTATCCAGTATTTTTATTGGTGTTCCATTTCTTCAGTACCAAAGTGGATTATCGTTGTTACATTAGCACTCATACGTGTATGTTCATATATTCAGTCGTTGCAAATTCCAATTAATTCGTGAATTCTGCGTTAAATTCTCACTTTGTGGTGCCTCTCGACAATCCCTCTACTTTCAGGTCATTACACCCACATAAATATCTACTATTTTGCGAAAACCAAGCATATATTGTTGGGTGCGAACACCACGAATTGTGTGCCTAAAATCGAGTGATATCTGTTATGAAAAGGTATCCATATTTAAAAATACACTTACTTGTATGCGTACGTTGTCGCACATATGTATGTGCATATTGTATATACAAAGACTTACCTGACAGTAAACACCTTGTCCAGGTACTATAAAGATTGTATGTGGTTGTCAGCACCCATCGACGTCGTTGAAATAAAATAACAATAAGAGCATTAACATTAAACATTGCCAGTTGGTTTGATTATAAACATATTGTACATATGTATGTCCGTATGCCACCATTTACATCGTACATACATATATATGAAAATGTTCGTCTCGGGGGAAAAAATCAACACAAAAACTGAAAGTTTATAGATATTAGGTTCAGAAAACTTGTTTTCATAGTGTGCAAAATAATGGCAATGTTCAGATGAATCATCAAAAAGAGATATTACTTTGATGCAGACCTTTTTTCGTGGCTATATGGCAATGATCATCATTGTAAATAACGGCATCTTAAAATTTTTTAATTTTTCTCCAATACTAATGGAAAAAAAGAGGGTTTTAAAATTTTACATATATTTTTTCCATTTTCGAAAAAATACGATATTAGAAGCGTTTATAAAAAGTGACAACTTAGACGTAGCTAGAAATGTAATATTCTCTATAACTCTCTCCACCACTGTCAAAGCAACTTAAAATCAATTCAATTTATTTTTTTACAGCTTTGTTCTCTTCACCATCAACAATTGACTAAAATTTAGCACTGCGAATACTTTACTAGCAATAAACACCTGAAAATGAACGGCCTGAGCAGCAACGATGACGCAGTTGAGTGTCCTTTGTGTATGGAGCCGCTGGAAGTGGATGATTTGACGTTCTTTCCATGTACATGCGGCTACCAGGTTAGCACTTTACTTGTTAAGATCTTTGATGAACAGAAGTAACCTGTTTACTTTCGTAGATCTGCAGGTTCTGTTGGCATAGGATTCGTACGGATGAGAACAAGCTGTGTCCAGCATGCCGAAAGGAGTATCCGGAAAATCCTGCGGATTTCAAGCCGTTAACGCAAGAAGAAGTGAGTAAAAGAAGCTTTTCTTTAATATTTGTCAATGCACCTATGACCATTTCATAAATAATTATTTATTTTTGCAGATGATTGCATTCAAGTCCCAAAAACGGCAAAGGGACCAACAACGAAAGCAAAAAATCACAGAGAACCGAAAACATCTGGCCAATGTTCGGGTGGTTCAAAAGAACCTGGTGTTTGTTGTTGGGCTACCACCTAGACTTGCTGATGCAGATGTATGTTGCCATTTTTCAAAATGTTCCTCAACATTCTGACAAGTGTTTTTTTTTCTCAGATTTTAAAGAAACACGAGTATTTTGGTAAATATGGGAAAATTCATAAAGTCGTTATAAATCCAAGTACCACGTATGCCGGGGTCCAGGTAAGAGTTGTAAGATTCAATAATTAATTACTATCTTTATATATTTACGAGTATCCCTGACAATACCCGAGTTGATCAGAACATTTTTTAACACAGTTTCTTTGAAAGCAATGGTATCAAGTATATTTCATTGAAACTGCGATCAGATTTATTGTCTTTTCTATTTTTCAAAAATTTTCAGTTTTAATTTTTTTCAAAAAAAAAAAAAAAACGACCTGGTAAGCAAAAAAAAAGTATTTTTTTTTCAATTTGGATTTAAAAACGATTGGTAAAATTGTAAAATATTAATTTGTTGTCAACATAACACTTGTGCAATTATTTCCTCTCAAATAATTAATGTTATTTAATGGAATCAAAGTTGCAAAATGCAGTAAAAATAAATCTGCGAGGGTATCTAATACTTCGGTTGCTCGAAACGAGCCCAATATTAATGCATTGCGTACTGATAACATTTTTTCGAACTTCAAGGGTCCATCAGCTTCTGCCTACGTCACATACGTTCACAACTCGGATGCTTTGCGGGCCATTCAAAGCGTCAACAACATAATGATAGACGGGCGGCTTATAAAGACTAGCTTGGGAACAACGAAGTATTGCAGTCATTTCATGAAAAACCAGCAGTGTCCCAAGGGCGACTGTATGTACTTACATGAGTTAGGGGATCCTGAGGCTAGTTTCACCAAGGAGGTATCTATCGCTGTAGTCTGTACCATCTTAAGAATATTATTTTAATATTTGGTTGTCTCTTGTTTTCCTTTAAGGAAATGCATCAGGGAAAACACCAGGAGTACGAAAAGCGCCTGCACGATACTCTCATTGCCTCGTTCGGACCGAATACAACAGGTATTATTAATGGTAATGGAGTTTCTAAAGCAAATGGTAATTGTTTCCACAACGGAAAATAAACGAATTAATATTTTCTGTTCAAAACAGCCGCGATACCGTCATCATCGTCGGCGTCGTCATCGTCGTCTGGGTCAGCTGCGAATGCGAGTTCTTCCGGGAATTCCCAGCAAAAGGAGGCCTGGCCAAGTTTATCGGTTTCCCCCATTAACGGCAAGGAAGCGGCGGCATCCAATTCTAATAATTCCAGTGGAAAGAACAAAAGGGATAAGCTGCGTAACGAAAAGAGACACGAAAAGAACAAATCGAAAAATAAAAACAGCGCCAACTCCAACACGAATGCATTCAACAAGGAGAACTATGTTCCCGATACTCGAGGCGGCACAAGCATAGAAACTTTTGCTGAGGCGACGGCGGATCCGCCCGCTCCCGTAAAAACTACAGAAGCACACAGCAATTCCAGCAATCGTTCGAGAGCGGAACGGGGCAAGGACAGGGGCTCCAATCAAAAAAGGGAAGACCAGAAGAAGAACAAAGAGAATGCCCCAGCCCCAGCACCCACAGTGAGCAAGTCGTTGGAACAGGATGAGGCGAGCGAGAGTACAATAACACAAAACAAAAAAGATACAATCGATAGCTGTGAGGATAGTTTACCACAAAAGAGATTAGCTGCCACCAGCGTTCAGAGATCTGTGAGCTCCTGTAGTGACAATAGCGAAGGTCATGTCTCTGAGAGTAGTGTTAGTAGTGAAAAGAGTTTGCCTGGTGATGATTATCAGGAGGAGAAGTGCAATAGCTCGATCTCTGAGAGCCACCAAGAAAATGTGAAGCCTCCGGAAGGCGAGGATAAGACTAATGAAGAAGTTACAGAGGCTGAACAGGACCTTTCTGGACAAAAATCGGAAGTTAGCGAGAGTACTAGCCCCACTGCGGTAGACAGAAATAGTATCCAAGATACAGTTTGTCCACCCGAAGAGCAGCCAGCCAGCGAAACATCGAATTTGGCGGAGAATGGAACCAGAGTATCTGGTAAAAAAAAAATTTTATATTCTTTGTTTTATGTGTTTTAACATTCTTGGTTCCAGATGCACTGTCCAAGCTCAACATTTTTGATGAGACGCCTAGTTTCTTTACATCGTCAGCATTCCAGCAAGTCCCGCTAATAAAGAATAAACTAGATGTGGAAATGCGGCAGTCGCACTTACCAGACTTGGTCAATGGTAAGCATGGATACATGAATGTGTTAAGTACGAAAATTTATTAAAAATATTTTCCTATTTTTAGATATTGATGGTATCCAGAAGGCATCAAACACAAATGGTAATATATCTCCGATATATAATATTATATAAAATTTTAAATCAAATCTGACTTTAGAATGGGAGGAAGCTTTCAAAAATGTGATGATACGCAACACTAGGCACGTGGAGGAGCAACTGCTTCAGCAACAACACTTACAACAGCAGCAGCAACATCACCATCAGCAAGTATTGCATCAACAGGAAGAGTATCTTCGCTTGCACGAATTACAGAAACGTAACAACTTTGCGAATATTTCACAAATGAATGGTCCTACAAATGGTAAAAACTTTTAAGTAAAACTATTGCTTGTCTATTGATTGACAATCCTACCTATTTTTTTATTGCAGATTTTCTTAGCCATTTTCAAGCTAATCCCGTTGATTTAAATAGAGTACAAGCACATGCTCTTCTGCAGCAACAGCTTCTACAACAGCAGCCTGGCGAAAATGTGTTCGGCGGTAATATGTCAAAGTTCTTCGATTTTCACAAAAGTCAACAGCAGTCGCACCATCCGTATCTTAATGGGCACACACCGCAACTGAATGGAAATAATGCAGTGCCTGATCCACAGAGAGTGGCTAACTTTATGGAAAACAATCGACTGAATTCGCCTTTTGTTGAAAATGGTATAACCTAATATTTTGCTTAAAGTTTATGGAAATCATTAAAGAATTCTCCTCTAGGACTTTTTAACCCGCAACAGCAGCCTCAAAAACAAAGAATGATGGGAATGTTTGAAAATATGGTTAGCATAAAGATATTAAATATTAAAAATAATAAAAACAATGTAATATACAAACTTACTTAATTAACAGCCCCCTAATACACAATCTCAGCAGAGTCGGTTTCCCCAAACTTCAATCGTTGATGATGATTTAGGTAAGCATTTATAATCTTATAATATTGCTTGTAAAATTTAGTAATAAAATATTTTATTTAAGGCTTTGATCCATTTATTGAGACCCAAAAGGGCCTGGCAGAACTTATGGAAAATGAAGTTGTACAAAAGCAGAGTATTAATAGTGAAAACGCCGTGCCGAAGATGCCACCACAGCCACAGGTTCCCCCGCATCAGCAACTGGTTGACAGTATGCAGCGATCTCGCATGCCTCCGCCGCCTGGCTTCAATCATGTGAACACCCTAGGCTTGGGTGGATCATCTAGACTGCAGCACACAAGTAAAATGATGCCTTTCATGAATATGCCGCTTAATGGTGTCGCCAACAATGCTGGCCCGGGACAACATCAAATGCCGATGGGTGCCAATTGGAATGCTCATTTGCCCATGCACCAAAACCAGGGGCAACCTGTGGGCGACTCACAGTTGCAACACCAAATGGCTCACAACAAAAGTAAGTAACTTAACTTTACAAGTGGTTCAGCATAGTAACATCCATTTCTTGAAGTGTACAACAACAGTGACTGGACTGCAATGGATCCGGCTATACTTTCATTTCGACAGTTTTCATCGTTTCCACAAAACCAAATTCCCCCACATCCTCAACAACAGCAGGATATGTTTATGCAGCATTTGGCTCAACAGCAAAATTCCCAGAGTGGTAGGTGATATATAGAAATATATATATATTCTTTAAAGTTGATTAATATTGTATCATTTAATGTTTCAGGTTTCAACAACCAACCACAGCAACTCCTTCCTATGGCGATGCCCAATAATTTGCTGAACGGACAACAGTCGCAACCGCCGCAGGTTAATGCCAATGTTCAGGGCATGCTTGAGTTTTTAAAAAGCCGTCAATTCGTTTAGCTACAATACATATAAATATTACATTTGTTTACCTGTACTCTTTATTAAATATTTCTTAAAGTAAATATAGGCAAAATAAAATTCGAATATAATGAAATTACATGATACAAAGACGGTAAAGTGAACTTTTGCATGCTGATGAAGAAATACATTCGAAACAAGAATCAAGGCTTAAACCAATGAGACTTCTTGTGCCTCAAGGATAGAAACAAAAACATCTTAGGCGTGATTTGGAGCTAGATATTAGACCGATTTAACATTCCGACAGCGTGAGAATGGAAAAATAACTATCCAATAAATCCTAAATTCACGCGAATGAAATTATCGAGACTGGGCGTATTTGTATAGCCATTAGCGTTTCGTAAAAAAAAAAAATGTCAAATTTTAATAATAAATAATTGACTTGAACGGTGACTTCAATTACATATTTATTTCTATGGTCTGTACAATTACTTTCTATTATTTTTGGCAGCATGGGGCAGACGATTCCCTTGACCAGCGGACCCTCCTAGGCGCATTGCGTTGTTTCCGGGACCTCCATACCCTTGCCCACTCCTGTTGCCGACGTTATTGCGATTTCCACCGCGGTTCTTGTTCATCTCTGTGCGATTCCTCGATTTGGCCTGGGCATCTTCCTTTACCATGTCAATCACTTCATCGGGAATACGCAAATATTTAATCGTACTGCCTCGGATATAACATTCCGGCATTCGCCAAAACCGGTCGCCATCCTAAAAAAATATAAATTTTAAATTATTCAAAAGTTTGAAAAGTGGATATTGGCATCTACTATAGCTATGATACGAAATTGCAAGACAGCGGATTAACCAGAGCATAGCTGACGACCGGGGAACCGCTGACAACGGCTTGCCGGCTCCCAGTCTCTCAGCTGCCGCGCTTTACTTTCCACCACCATAGAGGTCCGTAAAATTAGGCAGATTAATTTATATTAAAACCTACCTTTGATGTACAAATTACGTCGCGAAGATTAATATTCATCCAGGAGTCGCAGCTCACCAAGTGGCCATTGTAGGTTTCACCATTTTTCAGCTCAACCAACTAAACAAAAAAAATAGTAAGTAAGTTAGTTCTGATAATGAAACGATCCACTGAAACTCTTACCATTGGGTGGCTTTGAGCCGTTTTTAACAAGGATAAGGGGAGCTGCAATAATATTAATAATTAATTTAATTTTCTTTAGAAAATAAAGTTTTATTTACCATGTTGAAACAATTTATTTAGTGATAAGTATCGATATCGATACTCGATAATTTGTTATCGAAAGAGATGAGTAAAAAAAATACGATAGATAGAAACGATAGATAAAAACAAAGCCTAACGACCAATTTGAAAATTATTTTGTATTATTTTATAGCCATATAGGAAAAGGAAAATATAGACATCACTGTGGGCCATATTGGTGAAAACCCCATTTTCAGGGGAAACCCCCCATTCCATCATGAAAAATGGACAAAAAATGTCAAAAGTATTATGTCTCAGGATTTTGATGCAGAATGGTGGAGAATCGTTCCAGAAATCGTTTAAGGTACTCCGCTTGAGAATCGGATGAGAATTGGGGAAGATATAGCCATCATAGTGGCCCATATAGGGGAAAACCCCATTTTCAAGGGGTCCCATCACGAAAAATGGACATAAAATCTGAAAAATATTTCGTCTCAGGATTTTGATGCAGAATGGTGGGGAATCGATCCAGAAATCGTTTAAGGTACTCCGCTTGAGAATCGGATGAGAATTGAGGAAGATGTGGGCATCACTGTGGGCCCTACAGGGCAAAACCCCATTTTCAAGGGGTCCATCACGAAAAATGGACAAAAAATCTACAAAATATGTCGTCTCAGGATTTTGATGCAGAATGGTGGGGAATCGTTCCAGAAATCGTTTAAGGTACTCCGCTTGAGAATCGGATGAGAATTGACGAAGATATAGCCATCACTGTGGCCCCTATAGGGGAAAATCCTATTTTCAAGGGGTCTTATCACGAAAAATAGACAAAAAATCTGAAAAATATTTTGTCTCAGGATTTTGATGCAGAATGGTGGGGAATCGGTCCAGAAATCGTTTAAGGTACTCCGCTTGAGAATCGGGTAAGAATTAGGGAAGATATAGCCATCATAGTGGCCCATATAGGGGAAAACCCCATTTTCAAGGGGTTCCATCACGAAAAATGGACAAAAAATGTGAAAAATATTATGTCTCAGGATTTTGACGCAGAATGGTGGAGAATCGATCCAGAAATCGTTTAAGGTACTCCGCTTGAGAATCGGATATGAATTGAGGAAGATATGGGCATCACTATGGGCCCTATAGGGCAAAACCCCATTTTCAAGGGGGCCATCACGAAAAATGGACAAAAATCCTAAAAAATATTTCGTCACAGGATTTTGATGTAGAGTGGTGGGATATCTATCCAGAAATCGTTTAAGATACTCCGCTTGAGAATTGGATGAGAATTGAGGAAGATATGGGCATCACTGTGGGCCATATAGGGAAAACTCCCATTTTCAGGGATCCCACAAAAAAAATATCCAATCTTAACCACAAGGGTGTATAAACTTTGGCTCGGCCCGAATTTATCTTTTCTTTCTTGTATTATTTAATTTTATGTGTGTGTTTATTTAATTTAAACCTAAATATATATTTTAATAAAGTGCTCGGCTTTGTAGCGATTGAAGCTCATTGAGGAGCAATGCGATGTTGTACCGTACTTGTTGAAACATAGACAACGGCAGCTCTAAAGTTCGAAACTCCTTGTTTTGAAGTTTAAAATGCAAAACAATTGTTGGTCTGTTGATTTGTACGGAACTGGGGACAAAAAGTTGAATTACTAAATTACAGAAAGACATTTTAACAATAAGAACTTACTTTAAGGATAGGGAAATATTAATCCTCCACTGGAACTGGGACATTTTGGACCGATCCATTTTGGTAGCCGAAAAATTATTGCACAGAACGTCTCTATGGTTGATCAGGACCTTACAAATATCGTCTACATATTCCTCTGTAAAACTAATAAAGTAATGTTAATCTTAATTTCATTGGAAGCCAAACTAACTAGCATACTTACTTTAAATCGTCCAATAAACAATTTCGGAGCTCATGATGCTTAACTGCGCCCTTTGGATACCTCAAGTATATTTGCATCGTCAAGAAAACCATGGTAAAGAGTTCGCAGAAGTTGGAGGGAACCTTATGCCCAGCATTTGTTAATTTGTTAATGGCAAGGGACAGCACTTCGGAGGAAGACTTCTTTGTTTCAATAAAATGCACCGACACTTGTATAAGGACCCGGAGAAGAGACTTGGAAAGCTGGGGGACAAATGGAGTATAGGGCTTAACACTCCGAAGGAGATTATATCTGAACGTAGACGACATTTTGATAAAACATTACTTTCTCCTTAAGGAAATTGGTACTTATTTTTGTAAACACATTAGAGATGGGAGTATTTGGCTATCGATTTATGACGGTATTTTTTTTTTTAATTAATCTCTTACTAAAGTTTCAAGTTTATTAAAATAAAACTCTCATATTTAAGAAAATAAATAGAAAAAAATTATACCTTAAAACCAGTTATGAGATCAATCAATAAATCAAAGAATTTTTAAAAATAATTATTTGAGCAACATAAATTGCCAAATTAGCTCTGGGTTACATGAATGAGGCAGGACATGAACATTAATTCAATTCAAATTCAAGATATAATGAGCCAATTTAAACGATTTACAATCCAATCATTAAAAATTGACAGCAGTTCACGCTGTCAATCAAAGGGGGAAACGGGTTTCGTATAAAAGTAAAAGCTCCTCAGAGGATGCAAACATTCAAAATGAAAGTCTTGTGGTGTCCGTTAATTTTAATCCTTGCAGCACGCGAGGTAAACTTGCAAATGAGTGGATTAGTATTAACCAATTTTATTACAAAATTGGTCAAATCAAAAAATGCAATTATTTTTTCATGTTTTATTGGAGGTGAGATTAAATTTTATTAAGGTATTAAATTTTAATATTAGATACAAAACGGTTTCCTAGATTCGCGAGATACTACTCAGGCCCTAATGGAAATAGACCAATTCGTTAGTTTTGTCCATTTAGACCAAAACTATTCGTTGTCATCCATATTAACGAGGGAAAATTATGCTCAAACATCAGTTTTCGTCAATGCACAATGTAATGGAACTTCTAAACTAATTTCGGAAGCCTCAGATAATAGATACTTTAACAAGACCTATCAGTGGCTTCTCTGGGGTGTCGGTACCGACATTGATTCCTTGTTTCCTTTGGATATTGACTACGTAGGACCCAACGCCCAGATAACCTATGTTAATAAATCAGAAAATGGCTACGCATATTGGGATATTCACTCTAAAGGACGTCATTTGCGAGCAAACATTGAAATTAATTTAATAGCAACTTTAAGTAACGGACAAATCAATGTAGTTCGAAATATTTTTCAAATGCAGAGTATTGAGTCTCGTGGGCAATTTAATGGGCTAACCCTTAGGGGAGCGAGCGTGGTATGTTTTATCAGTTTTATATTAGTCTACCAGTCTTAAAACTTTTTTTTCAGATTGACAAAGATGATATATATACAAATGAACAAATTGAATCTATACTGTCTCGTCCAACAAAAGATTCGGGTGTTGCCGCCTTTATAAAATATCACTACGAACTTCTAGGACTTTTGCGAGAACGTTTCAATTTCTCTGTAAATTTCCGGAACTCAAGAGGATGGGCTGGACGATTGGGAAACACTACCTTCCGGCTTGGTCTCCTGGGAATAATTATGAGAAACGAAGCAGATATCGCCGCATCTGGAGCCTTTAACCGAATTAATCGTTTTGCTGAGTTTGACATTATACACCAAAGTTGGAAATTTGAGACCGCTTTTCTATATCGCTATACTTCTGATTTGGATACCCATGGAAAAAGCGGAAACTTTTTATCTCCTTTTAGTGATAAAGTGTGGTTCTTCTGCTTATTAACCTTGGCTATTTTTAGCGTTATTTGGATAGTTTTCGAAATAATTGATTTCTTTTTCTTGCATAGAGGAGATAACTCAAAATCCTTACCTTCTATACAGGCTACAAAAAAGATTGATTCAAAAATCAAAACCACTTGTATTGAGCGAGTTCTGCAAACTTTCGGGGCTGTGTGCCAGCAAGGCTTGGATCCCATTCCCAGAGATCGTTCTGTACGGTTCCTCGTCATGACATTATTTTTATTTTCCTTGGTTATGTACAATTATTACACCTCCTCGGTTGTAGGCGGATTGCTTAGTTCATCCGACCAGGGGCCATCCTCAGTGGACGAGATAACTTCAAGTCCCTTAAAAATATCTTTTGAGGACATTGGCTACTATAAGGTTTTATTCAGAGTAAGTAAAAGCTTTTAGTTTTTTTTCATAAGAACATATTCTTTTTTTCAGGAAAGTAAAAATGCATCTATTACCAGATTAATACAAAAAAAACTATCATCTTCCCGGTCTTCAAGTGAATTGGCCATTTTCGCACATATCGAAGAAGCTGTTCCATTTTTGAAAGCTGGTGGTTTCGCTTTTCATTGTGAAGTTGTGGACGCTTATCCTGTGATTGCAGAATTTTTCGATGCCAATGAGATTTGTGATCTGCGTGAAGTTTCTGGTCTAATGGAAGTAGAAATTATGAACTGGATTTTACACAAGAACAGCCAGTATTCTGAAATCTTTCGAACTGCGTATGTTTTTGTGCAAAAAACTTTTTGAAATCTTTTTCCAAATTTTCCAAACATTTTATTTTTATAGCATGTGCAATGCCCAGGAAAAAGGATTTGTGGAGCGCATTCTTAGGCGAAGACAAATGAAAAAACCAGCCTGCCAGTCCTTATATACCGTATATCCAGTAAGCTTATCGGGAGTTTCTTCAGCCTTCATTATTCTTATTTGTGAGTTACAAATTACTGAGAAAGTGCTTATTATTTATTTTAACATCCTTAATAGGTGGAGGCATTTTTTCGGTAACTTTTTTGTGTTTAGAGATTTTATCTGTAAAATTTGAATTTAAAAAGGTAATGAATAAAATATAAACTGCAGCCAGAAACTACCAAAAATTTAGTAAATACTATCTTGTCTAATCAAAAATCTCTTGGAGTTAAATATGGGGTATACAAAAATAAATCTAGAGTTATTTTTAAAGGAATTAAAAAAGTATTTTATAAATTATTTTAGCTTTTTAAAAATTAGTTTAAAAATAGCTAGATATAGCTATAATTTAGTGGTGTGGAACTATCGTTCGAAACGATATGTTACCAGACTGTCAAAAAAGTAGCCCTGGTCAAATGCAACTCTGAAATTTTCTCGTTTCCTGTCACGCCGAGTACTTGGCTCTTTTCCTTTTTGATTCTGTTGCCGAAGTGAGGTAAGTTTTTGGTCTGTGTTTATTTTTAAGTCGTTAAGTCGTGGAAAAATACGGGAAAATATTCGATTGATGGTGTCTTTACACCTTTTATTTGCTGCGAGTGCAATATTTAAATGATTAATCGTAATTTAAAAAAAATAATGGCGGAGCACATGCAACATTTATGAGCAATTTTGCTTGCTTAAATTTTCTTGTGAAAAGACTTGCATTGTGAAATTTAAATTTATACATTAAGGTAAGTGAAATTGTGCGTAAATGGTTGTCTGTCGAAAGTCCAATTTGGCCGAAATTGTCCACAGAAAACATATTTTCGCATTGTGTAAATGGCTTTGGCAAATTTAACGTCTCGACCTATTTCAGATCGGGTGCCCAGAATTAACCATCCACCATGCCGCAGAATGAGTATATGGAACGCCATCGCAAGCTGTATGGCCGGCGATTGGATTATGAGGAGCGAAAACGCAAGAAGGAAGCCCGTCTTCCCAAGGAGCGTGCACGCAAGGCCCGCAAGTTACGCGGTATCAAGGCCAAACTCTTCAACAAGGAGCGGCGTAATGAGAAGATCCAGATTAAGAAAAAAATCCAAGCCCACGAGGAGAAGAAGGTCAAGAAGCAGGAGGAGAAGGTTGAAGATGGAGCCCTACCCCACTATCTGCTCGACCGAGGCATCCAGTCCAGCGCTAAGGTGCTGTCGAACATGATTAAGCAAAAGCGCAAGGAGAAGGCTGGAAAGTGGGACGTGCCCATACCTAAAGTGCGCGCACAGTCTGATGCCGAGGTTTTCAAAGTACTGAAGACTGGCAAGACCAAGAGGAAGGCTTGGAAGCGCATGGTTACAAAAGTCACATTCGTGGGCGAGAACTTCACCCGGAAGCCTCCGAAATTCGAGCGATTCATCAGACCAATGGGATTGCGTATGAAGAAGGCCCACGTGACGCACCCCGAACTGAAAGCTACATTCAACCTACCTATTATCGGGGTAAAGAAGAACCCCAGCTCTCCAATGTTCACGTCGCTTGGAGTTATTACAAAAGGCACAGTAATTGAAGTCAACATTTCCGAACTCGGTCTTGTAACGCAAACCGGCAAAGTGGTTTGGGGAAAATATGCCCAGGTCACAAATAATCCAGAGAACGATGGCGTTATCAATGCAGTGCTGCTTGTTTAAACTTCAAATACTTCTCCCTACTTTTAAGCTTGTGACTAAATAAAAAAAACCTTTATAAATATAAAAACATTGTTCGATTATTTTCGTTACTTAATTTTAAAGCTAGTTTAAGAATTCATTGTTCTGTACACATCTATAATGATTATTTCATATTTCTTTCAGTTTGGTGACTGGTAATCAAGATGCAGATCTTCGTTAAGACCCTCACGGGCAAGACCATCACTCTTGAGGTCGAACCGTCGGATACCATCGAAAATGTCAAAGCCAAGATTCAGGACAAAGAAGGAATTCCTCCAGATCAGCAGCGTCTGATCTTCGCTGGCAAGCAGCTGGAAGATGGCCGTACCCTCTCTGACTATAACATTCAGAAGGAGTCTACCTTGCACTTGGTGCTGCGCCTTCGTGGTGGTGCCAAGAAGCGCAAGAAGAAGAACTACTCCACCCCCAAGAAAATCAAGCACAAGAGGAAGAAGGTCAAGCTAGCTGTCCTGAAATACTACAAGGTACAATCAATACTCCGACACCCCAATACATTCTGATCTGTTCTTGGAATTCTTGAGTCTTGGTCTTGCGCTCTTTGACCTAAGATTTGGCGTTCAGAGTGACTTATTAACCTTCCGTTTACTAACTTTTATTTAAAATCTTAATAACACAATCGTATTCATTCGCAGGTCGACGAGAACGGCAAGATCCATCGTCTCCGTCGTGAGTGCCCTGGAGAGAACTGCGGCGCTGGCGTCTTCATGGCTGCCCACGAAGATCGTCATTATTGTGGAAAGTGCAACTTGACCTTTGTCTTCAGCAAACCAGAGGAAAAGTAAATCGCTACATAACATGTACGTTTCCAGAAATAAAATAAAATTAGTAATTGAATAATAAATTCAATAACAGAATTTTGTATGGTTTTTATTAAATGGGCAGAGGGCCTGGAGGGAAACTACATCCATACATCCTATAAAAAGAAGCCACGAATTCATTTTTAGATTCTACCTTTATTTTTAAAATAAAGCAAAGTATAAAAAGCAATTATTTACTGAGAAATGCAATTCATTCAGTGGTTGGGCGTCTTAAACGTTGGTTGTGCCGATATTTAGACTTTTAGCCAAGAACGTCAATATATCAGTAGCTTCCTCGATTCTCTTCGAGGTTGGTTTTCCAGCGCCATGTCCGGCCTTTTGATAAACGCGCAACAGTAGAGGATTCTTCTGGAACTCGGATTCGCGAACAGCCTCCTGCAGAGCAGCAATAAACTTCAATGAATGTAGAGGACTAACGCGATCATCGTGGTCGGCGGTAAGGATCAGGGTCGATGGATATTCCGTCTCATCACTCTTGGGAGTGTGCACATTGTGCAGTGGTGAAAACTTGTACAGATTTTCAAAATGTTCCTTCTCAGAGGGATTTCCGTAATCTGAACACCATGCATGTCCGATGGTGAACTTGTGGAAGCGTAGCATGTCCATTACTCTGTTTAAAATCATAAGTCGATTATTTTAGTTACTTTTGTGCAAATCATTTGAGGACATACCCGACTTGAGCCACAGCTGCTCCAAACAAATCGGGACGCTGATTTATGCAAGCGCCAACTAGAAGACCACCATTGGATCCTCCCTGAATTGCTAAACGGTCCTTGGTTGTATATTTATTGTCGATCAGGTATTCGGCAGCGGCTTGGAAGTCATCAAACACATTCTGCTTGTTCAATAGCCGACCACCGTTGTGCCATTTTTCGCCGTATTCGCCACCGCCTCGCAGATTGGGATAGGCCAGGACGCCATCAAAGGTGTCTATAAACATAAGGCTACAGAAAATCGAGTTGTTTAGAACGTCTTAATTTGATAATAGCAATAAAGCTACCCTGAGAGTCCGAATGAAGGCAGCATACTGATGTTAAAACCTCCATATCCGTAAAGAAGACATGGCCTTGGTTCAATACTATCACGTTTTTTGCGAATAATAAACATGGGCACTTTGGTTCCATCCTTACTGCTATAGAAAATCTGTTCCACAGCATAGTCCTCTTGCCGGAATCCCTCTAAATTCAGCTTTATTTCGCGGAAAACTGTGGGCTTCTCATCGGGCGTCTTAAAATCGTACCGATAAATTGTACCAGGATTCAAAAACGAAGAAAAGTTATAGAAAATTTCGGAATATTTCTTCTCTCCCGTAGTTCCCACAATGGTGCCTATATCCAAGTCGAATTCTCGCAGCAGCTTTCCATCATTCAGTGAATTTACTTGTAAAACACTCTGAAGAGCCAAAGAATAATTAATATTTTTCAAACGAAGTATATAAGTTGAGTTACCTTAACATCCCTAATATAATTAACAAGCAACTTGTCTCCATCGACGCACTTAACCCAGTCCAACACATCGGACTTGTTCTCCTGATTTTTGGAAAGACAATGTTAATTAGTTTTTTTTTTTTTAACAAGAAAATAAATTAACTTACAGCAATAATGGTCTGCCAGTTGGCTTCCTCTGGTTTTTCAAAGTCTATGAGGATAAGTTGATAGTTGGGTGCATTTTTATTCGTGCGGAAATACACCTTTGAGCCCTCATTGGTAATATACTACAATAATAAGATTATGTTACGTTTAAAAAAATAAAGAATATTGTTTAGTAAAAAATAAAACTTACATCGTAATCAGCTTCAAACTTCTCCACAATTTTTTTAACATTCAATTTAGAATTAATTTCTTCGCCAGGCTGTAGATCTGCGTAAAATACAATGTTGTCCCGGCAATCCTTTACAATAGCAAGTATCAAGTATTTTCCACAATCCGATACGGTCGATTGACTAAAGAATTAGGAAACAAAACCTCTTACTTTTACTTTAAGGAAATGAATTAAATATTCTTACATTCGCCATGAAGGTTCTTCGGGAAACTCGACAACAAGGGTATCCTTATCTTGACTCTCGCCCACGCGATGGTAATACAACTTCTGGTTTTCATTTTGCTTGGTCTCAGATCCATCGGTTTTACCATCTTGATCCGGATATCTCTGATATATAAAGATAAAAGATAAATTTCGTCTTACAAAGCTTAGATACTTACTCCATAAAAGAAGCCTTTATTATCTTTTGTCCATGATATCTCGGAGAACTTGACCTTCTCCAGGACTTCACTCAGATCTTTGCCGGTCTCAGCATCTCGAATGAGGATTTTCACCCAATCCGAGCCACTTTCGCTCAGACCATAGGCCATGTACTTGCCATCGTCGGAAAACGACTTTTGGCTTAAGGCGACGGTACCATCCTCCGAGAGGCTGTTCGGATCGAGAAAGACCTGACTTTCGTCGTCCAAGGTCTTCTGCTGGTACATGACACTTTGGTTTTGCAGGCCAGTATTCATAAAGTAATAATAATAATTTCCGTAGCGATAAGGGCAGCCATATTTGGGATAGTTCCACAACTTGGTGAGCTTTTCGTTTGATTTTCTTCCATTGCTCTCCGCTCTCGAGGAATGGCCGGCTAATATTGTTTTGGGCATTCACGAATTCCTCGGTTTCCGCCGCATCCGGATCCTCCAGCCACCGGTATACATCTTTAATTGGAGTTCCATGGAAATCATCCTCCACGGTTGGATCCTTTCGTGCGATTGGATACGCAATGAGCTTTTTAGATAAAGTGCTGGTCATGACTCTGGTACCTTTCATATGTGTACATGCAAGATAATCCAATTTCACCAAAATGCTCATGTAATCTTGTATTCTTTTGACAATTTTATTTTATTTACTTACGGTTTAAAGGCAAGCTTGGATGTGTATACTTTTTGGGCAGTGCTTTTGGTACAATTATTTGGCAAAATCGGCGAAACAGCAATGGGCCTTGAAAAATGGTATGCATTTGCAAAATTATCAATGCAAAAACTTGAAATCAGTCTTTTCGCAATCTCGATAAATATCAGGGGTATTCTTTTCCAGTGACGAAATATCGCATCACAATTTCAAGAACGCAGCTTCAAAGTTTAAAGCTATATATACTATTATACTTTGAATAACAAAAAAATTTGTATTTTTAAAATATTATAGACTTAAAAATCGATCAAGATTAGGTTCCTTAAGTTTAATACCCATGCTTTTTAGGCATCTAAATCATTTTCTACATCTAAAAATACCAGATGCGTCACCTAGTATATTATTATAACTATCGGTATACTATAACTTGTTTATTTATTTATTGTTTTTAAATTAAGGTGACTTAATAGTTTTCTAATAATAAAATATTTAATGATTTTTTAATGACATTATTCCATTTCCGATTACTTGGTATATTTTAAAGAAAAATAAAATACCAAAATAAAGTAGTATCGAATACCCCCAATATTGGAGCAGTCAGATGTCTGCAGCTCGGAATTATTAGCCGAAACAGCTTTTGGTCAGTTGTTTTGTTTGTGTGATGTGACGGAACGTGTGTAAACAGCACTTCACTAGGGAAGCTAAAATCTGTGTCATGAACTAAATTAGAAAAAGGGTTCTGCCACTTTACATTACACATTATAGATTCAAGATTTTGGTTTATTTGTTTGGTATGTATCTTTTTATATATTTTTCTTCTAACAATTCTCACTTTAAATGGTTTATTTCGGTGGTTTAATTTCCATATGTATGTTTTTCATGCTAAGATTAGTTTTGGTAATATATGTGAGTACCTACGTAAGCGGACATAAACAAACAATATATTTATCTGTTCGTGTTGATGTTAAGGCTAGTTTGGTTACTTTTTCATTGAATGATTTTTAAGAGCTTGAATAAATATGCAAGGCTGTGTTTATGACCGCCATAATTGCAAGTTCATGGGTATGTTTAATCGTATATCATGTGCATGTACATTATATGTACATATATATATATATGTATGTACATATGTGCATTTCAAACTGCTACATTTGGTGCTAGTGACCACTTGAATGACTTAACAATTGCTATATACATATATACATACATATCTATGCATTGTTTTTGTTGCTCACAATATTTAGGAATAGCTTAACTTCTAAATTCCATTATTCCCCGTATTAACATTCCAATTTCCATATATTTTCAGGTAATATAGCACTATGTCTTCCGAAGTAGACTGTCCGAAGGATACCGCAGTGCGGGTGGCTGTGAGGTAAATAAGTAATTTAAAAAAAACTCGCAATCACCGAATATAATACATATTTTATTTAATTTCTAGAATCCGGCCCAAGAACTCCAGAGAGATGATAGACATGTGTCGTACTTGCACAACCGTAGCCCTTGGCGAGCCACAGATTTTTCTTGGGTCTGATAGAACATTTACCTATGACCATGTGTTTGATGTTGATTCCACTCAAGTATGCCAGTTCATAAGATTCCCTATATTATTTAACTAACTTTCCATAAATATATTTTAGGGTGAAATTTATTCAACGTGCGTGGATCGGCTGGTGAGGAATGCCTTGCAAGGCTATAACGCCACAGTATTAGCATACGGCCAAACAGGATCTGGAAAAACGTATACGATGGGCACCGGCTTCGATCATGAGACGGAAACTTCCGAATTCAATAGCCTTGGGGTTGTTCCCCGGGCGGTGCGACAAATTTTCAGTGGAATTGAAGAGTTAAGAGGCTCAACTTCGGAAAATTCAACAGGTGGAAGGCCTGAATTCAGTCTCGCTGTTCAGTACATCGAGCTGTACCATGAAGATATATATGACCTTTTAAATCCATTCAATAAAAGTGACAGTTTCAAAATTCACGAAGATTCAGATGGCCAAATAACCATATCTGGAACGTCCATTAAACCCATTTATGAGGAAAAAGATGCTTTAAGGTGGGTAGTTTTAAAATTAATTTCAGATACTAAGATACTGATGTTTTACCTTTACAGATACCTCCAGCAGGGGGCTTTAGCGCGAACAACCGCATCTACAAAAATGAATAACACGTCGTCCAGGTCGCATGCTATGTTCACAATTTTCATTCGTAGACAGCGATTGCTGTCTTCCTCGAATAATGGTGGTTTGGACAACGATATGGAAACTCTTACCTCAAAGTTCCATTTTGTTGACTTGGCCGGCTCGGAGCGTCTTAAGCGGACGATGGCTGAAGGCGAGAGGGCTCGCGAAGGTATTTCCATAAACACCGGTCTCCTAGGCCTTGGAAATTGTATTTCAGCCCTTGGGGACAAGCGAACTACGCATGTACCTTACCGAACTACCAAACTGACTCGCCTCCTCCAAGACTCGTTGGGTGGAAACAGCCAAACATTGATGATAGCCTGCGTGGCGCCAACTGATCGAGATTTTAGAGAAACCCTAAGTACTTTGGAGTACGCAAACCGAGCTAAAAACATTCAAAACAAAATTAAACTTAACAAAGATCAAAGTTCCCGAACCATTTCCCATCTACGTCGAGAAATCGCCACATTGCAAAGGGAATTAATAGAATACAAGCAGGTGATAATTGTTGTGCTTTCCTTAATGAAAATAACTAAAAATAAAATTCAATTTAAGGGCAAACTTGTAGTGGACTGCGAAGGAAATACAACTGTGTCTGACACATACAATGAGAATACTTTGCTACTTTCCGATAATAAACGTCTTCAGCAGCGCCTGAAAGCAATGCAGGAAACTGTTAACGTTTTGACAGAAAAAAATGCAGAACTCAAACTGCAGGTGGCTTCACAAAAGTGGAAAACTGACGACAATTCCGAATGTGAAATAACCGACATAGTCGGTAAATATATATCAGAAATCGCAAATCTTGAAGCCAAGTTAATTGAATCCGATGAAATGAATAGACAAACCGAAAAAGCTGCTATAAGAGTTGCTGGTGGCAAAAACCCCGGATTCGATGGTAAAAATTACAAATTTTTATTTTCTCTAGTTCTTTTCATTATCACTAAAATATTTTGATTTATTATAAATAGAAAATCTGATAACCGAAACCAAAAAGGATTTGGAGAAGAAAAAAGAGTACTTGATGAGTCTTTCTGTGCCCGGAATGGAAAATCAAAGCTATGAAGCAGAACAAACCTTTAATATTGAAGGCTGTGAAGGTAAAATATCTTAAGTGATTAAAAATATGTAGTTCCTAATTGTGGAATATAATTTTCAGGTATATCTGAAGGCACAACCCTCAGTATTATTAATAGAGATATAGAGTGCAAAACAAAGTTAATAAATGAATTGGAAAGGGCGCGAGGGGCAATGGAACAAATGCGGACGAATTTCGAGGATAAAGTGCTTCAATTAAATTACAAAATTGCCAACGCTGAAAAGGAACGAGATGACGTTTTGCTCAATTTGAGTAAGTAGACTTTTAGATAAAAGAAACCTTTAAATATAAACCAATCATTATGTTTAATCTATGTTATAGGCCCGATTACCAATACAAAAGACGATCTTAAGAAAATCAAAATGTCATATGAGATGAAGATATCCGATATGCAAAAAAAATTGAGTACCTTGCAAGAGGCTCAGAGGGAACATTTACGCCAACAACGAGACAAACAAGCAAAAGAAACCCAAATAAGTTTATTGCGCAACGAACTGGGTGCATTAAAGACGGCAAAGGTGTGTGATTTTATTATACCCATTTAATACTGTATCTCAAAAACTCTTTTGTGTTCTTTAAGGTCCAACTAATGAAAAAAATCACGGAACAAAACAATCGACATAAGGTTGAAGATAGTCGGAAAACTAAAGAAATAGCCCAGTTACTGAAGGAGCAACGACGCCAGAAAAATGCTGTCCAATCTCTGGAGGCCAAAGTAAGCCAAAAGGATAACATATTGAAGAGAAAAACCGAGGAAGTTATTGCTCTTCGCAAAAGCCAGCGGTCAAAGTCTGAACAAAGGCGAATACCGCCGGTACGTTTGCAAAATACTAACTTGAACTCCCGATTGTATCGACAAAGCTGGGAAAACCTATATCATTATTTAGTGGCTGCGGCCAGAAATAGACAGATGATAACGCAATTGGAGATTGAATTGGAGCGTAAAATAACAGAGCGCGAAAGTCTGTCCTGCGAACTCAATACTTTGAAGAGTAATTCGACACGGTTTGACGATCTTAAAGAAATAGATAGCATACAAGCAAATATAGACTATATTCAAGAGGGTATAGATCATGTGCAAAAGGCTATAATGGATTTTGAAGATTCAAAGAAAGAAGATTCAATAAGAAGTGACTTTAACAAGATCCAATCAATCTTAGATTCTATTGAGTCGATGGACGAAGCTAAATACGTTCTTCAAAAAATTTCCAAAAATTCTGTTACATTGATGTGCAGTTTATCCAATGCAGAGTCTCAATTGCAGGAGCACAAGTCTTTATTATCGGCGGTCCAACAAGACTGTAATATCCAACAGCAAATGTTGGGACATTTGCTTCCATATGATAAAAATGAGCAAATTTCGGCCATGATTGAGTCCTTCAAAAGTATGGATGTTGCTAATAGCATGTATAGTTCTCAAAAATCATTAGAAAGCAACGCCACATATGTTATACCCCACGAAGATCGACTGGAGGACTCTACCTATGTTGAACTGCGCGATAGAAGCCCGTCGCCGCTTTTGTATACCGAATCGTAAGCATCTGAAACTAATATTTTTAGTTTTCATTGTCTCATGCCATATACTATTGTTTCTAGGTCGGATAAAAGCCCTAAAGTGCGTAGGCGTACAGCTAAATATGAAGATCTACTTTTTGGTGTCATTGAAGCTGCAGATGAGGTAATATACTTATGACACATCTTGTATGATTATATTAATGATCTAATTCTCCAGACTAAAAAATGACGTGATCATACAAAGAAGAAAATATGACAATAAACAATAAGATGTGCCTTATACGTAACTAGTAAATAATGGTGCTAAACTAAAATGAAACAAATAGGTAATGTATTCTATAAATTCGGAGTCAAGTATTTTAACCAATTTTCTAAACATTTTTAGACGCTTATTAAAAGATAACATATAATTAAGGAAACGATTCTCAGAAAGGAAGACCGAGCTTTTGCTCTATGTAATATGTATTTTTTGAGCCATAACGAATAAATTAGAAATATTTATTAGATTTAATATATATATATATATATATATACAAATGTAATTAGAGAATAATAAGAATAAAGTGCAATACAGAAAATGCTAAGAATTTGTATTTTTTTAATTTTTAAAGAACGAAATTTTAAGATCATTTTTGGGATTTAATGAAATTACGTTGTAGTACGTATTTTCACACAACTAATACAATTTAAGAAAATATACTTTTTTTGATAATTTTTTAATTTGAAAATAAAAAACGTAAAATAAATTAATTATATCAAACAAATTTTAAATAAATTACATTCTCTTTAGTAACTTTATTAAAAGTTTCCCCTAGTATTAATCGGAATTGGGTCCCTGTTTTGCCGTTATCTTGACATTTATCGTTGAATGGAAATTGAGCGGCATTTCAGTAACAACACAAGCCAAACAAATATTAGAAATTGTAAAGAATTGCTATAATGACTGAAAATAATGGACCCGCAGTGCGAATGCCATGGTAATTAGTTAGCTATTAGTTTACTTAAATCAAATCTTTTAATCTAATCTCACTTTTTAGGGTGGAAAAGTACCGTCCAAGCGGCTTAGATGATTTGATTTCACACGAGGAAATAATATCAACAAGTAAGCTTAAGGTTATCAGCATGAGGTGGAATCTAAATGATATTGTTTAATTATATTCCAGTTAGCCGGTTCATCAGTCGTAAGCAGTTGCCCCATTTATTATTCTATGGGCCGCCCGGCACGGGAAAAACCAGCACAATATTGGCCTGTGCCAGACAACTTTACTCCCCGCAACAGTTCAAGTCCATGGTGTTGGAGCTCAATGCATCCGACGACAGAGGAATTGGAATCGTCCGTGGACAAATCCTCAACTTTGCGTCCACGCGAACCATTTTCTGCGACACCTTCAAACTAATCATTTTAGATGAGGCGGATGCCATGACCAACGATGCCCAAAATGCTCTGCGTCGAATCATTGAAAAGTACACCGACAATGTGCGATTCTGTGTGATTTGCAATTATCTTAGCAAAATAATTCCGGCACTGCAGTCAAGATGCACTCGTTTCCGATTCGCTCCTTTATCGCCAGATCAGATGATGCCCCGACTGGAGAAGATCATTGACGCCGAAGCGTAAGCAGGGGGGCTAAGATATGTACATAGATGTGCCGTCATTAATATTTTCCAAATTGTTTTTAGAGTTCAAATTACAGAGGATGGTAAGCGTGCTCTTTTAACCCTTGCCAAAGGCGATATGCGAAAGGTCCTGAACGTTTTGCAAAGCACCGTGATGGCGTTCGATTCGGTCAATGAGGACAATGTATATACATGTGTCGGATATCCTTTGAGACAGGATATTGAACAAATACTGAAGGCATTGTTGTCTGGAAACAGCGTGGAGGACTCATTTAAAAGTATATACACGTCTAAACATTTAATTTTCTGACTAATAATAACAATTTATTCTTAAATAGCTGTTGAAAATGCAAAATATGCTAGGGGCCTCGCATTGGAGGACATTTTAACAGAGTTGCATTTGTTTGTGATGAGGCGTAAGTGTTGAAATCTTGTAAAAGTCCTTTCACTTAATTTCGCAAATTTTTCCTATTTTTCAACAGTTGAACTGCCTATGTCTGTTATGAATAAACTTATTGTAAAGCTGGCTCAAATCGAAGAAAGGTTAGCCAAGGGATGCACAGAACCTGCACAAACGGCTGCCCTGGTGGCCGCGTTTTTCATTTGCAGAGATATGGTTTCTTTGGAGAAATAAATATTTAAAAAAAATTTACTATTAAATAAAATGTTTTAATATTAATTTATTCCCTTTTATTACTATTAAAGTCAAATTAATTATTTTTACAAAATTCTTTAGTTATAAATTTTATTTTTAAGCCGAGTTTTGAAATTAATTTTTTTTTTCAATCGGTTATAATTAAAATATTTTTAAAATATTTCTTTAAAATTTTCAAAGTTTTTAAAGCTTCTTTGCCGTTTCAATTCCATTGGTCCGCATTGAATGGAGACTTGGGGACGCCACCTTGGCGAGCTTTGCCAATAACAGAGTGTAATATATTTTTTATTAAACCAAATATCACGGTATTGTTAATTGGTTGTGAATCACGCATACGGATTCATATCTCCTAGATTAGCAAATTGCGTGTCTTTTGTGAGTCCGAAAATAGTTTCGCATTAAGTGCTTTGGGCGTAGCAGGCTGGATCCACCCTAAAAAATATGGCAGCCGAAATAAAACCAGCACAGCGGAGCAACAATGATCGCTTCAACACATCCAAAAAGCCGGAACTGCTGAGTAAGCTTGAGGGGAGTAGCGACGATGTGAACGCTGCTATCCTTATTCCAGGCGAGAACGGCGTAATCAGCATTTCCGATGATAAGTGCGTATACAAATAAATTCAAAGAAAAAAAGCTTTTTTTTTTTTTTATATATTAACGTTTTGTGTTTACTTTTTGGGATTCCAGAACTGTGCGTATATGGCTGAAACGCGACTCCGGTCAATATTGGCCGAGTATTTGTCAACACATGCCCTCCGGGTGCACTGCCATCGAATACGTTCCGGAAAACCGTCACCTGTATATTGGACAGGAAAATGGCACTGTGACACAGTATACGCTCTCCGAAGACTGCAACCGTTTGTCGTTCTTGCGGGATTACTTATCGCATCAAGCCCGGGTGGTGGCTGTTGTTTTCTCCAAAACACACAAGTGGATATTATCTGCGGGAAAAGATAAGCAGTTCGCCTATCACTGTACGGACAGCGGAAAGCGAGTGGGCGGATACAACTTTGAGACACCGTGTACAGCTCTCCAGTAAGTTTGATAAAAAAACAAAACAGAGCCTTGAATTTGGAGATATCAGAACAATTTTGTGGTTATTTTTGATTGTCTATATACCTGGGATTAGGGACCAAGGGTATAATTAAGTTTCCCTCCCGAATTCCTCAATTTTTTTATTTGGCTTCAAGAATTTTCAACGCCCCTATTTTAATTATGAAGAATATTAAATTTTGTTTCTCTATTTCTTTAGATTTGATGCATTAGCCAAGTATGCTTTTGTGGGCGATCATGCTGGACAGATAACTATGTTGCGATGCGAGGTTCAAGGAGTTCAACTGATTACCACATTTAAAGGCCACACAGGTATCCAAATACGTTTTTAGAACCAACAGTGTATGACAATGAGTTCATATTTCAGCGGAAATTCGGTGTCTAAGATGGGTGGAAGGACCGCAGCTACTGTTCAGCGGAGCCTGCGACCAGTCCGTAATAGTTTGGGATGTTGGCGGCAAACGTGGAACTATTTACGAGCTGCAAGGACACAGGTAGGCATATACATATGCGTGAAAAATGACATCATTTAAATGTTTGACCCTTTTAGCAACAAGGTTTCGGCCCTGGCCTATGCCAACCAAACTCAGCAACTGATTAGCTGTGGAGAGGACTCGGTGGTTGTCTTTTGGGAAATGAATGCCATGCGAAAGGAAGTTCCTGGTTGGGTGGAGTCCAACAACTGTCAGCTCTGTTCCAGGCCCTTTTTCTGGAACTTCCGTTCCATGATGGATCAGAAGCAACTTGGTACACACGATTCCAAATATTTAAATCAGTTTCTATATAAATGTTCTTTCCATAAACATAGGAATTCGGCAGCACCATTGTCGTCATTGTGGAAAAGCAGTTTGTGACAACTGTTCCACAAATCGTATTAACATACCTATTATGGGCTTTGAGTTTGATGTTCGCTGCTGTGATCCGTGTTTCAAACAACTGCAGACTGTTGAACGTCCCTCGCTGGCGTCATTTAATGACGCAAAACACTCCATTGTCTACATGGACCTCGACGAGGACCGAAAGCTCCTATTAACGGTCGGCCAGGATAGGGTAATCAAGATCTGGGATCTTTCCAACATCTGGTCATAATCGTTTCGGTGTGCGCATCCATACGACCCCAAGTCGAAGTACCAAAGGTATAACCATTCACAGGTGCTTCAGTCGTAACTGGAGTAACCGTGAAGGGAGTGGCATGGAAAAATGACTAAATAAATCCCAGCTAGGTTCTCATATATTCGATTTAAAGCAATAATCATGTACGTACGCTACCGCAAACATAAAAATAAAGAAATTCATCGATTAAAGAAGACTATTTTGGTATTTTATTTTATTTGGAAAAGTATAAAATTAGTATCCTCCCCGGCCCGGTGGCGGTGCCCCGCGAATCATGCTCGGCGGTGGCCCGCGCATCGGTGGGGGTGCACCGCGTCCAAGATTACCAGGCATCGCTGGCATGCCTCCGGGGATCATGCCCGGTGGTGGGGCTCCCATCATTGGTGCTCTGGGTACTCCACGGCCCATCGGCGCCATGTGAGACGGTGCGGGGCCTCCCACTCCGCGTACAGGTCCCTGCAGACCAGCCGGCACCGAGGACATGTTCAGCGGCACTCCTCTGCCGGCCACGCGACCAATTCCGGGACCTGGAGCAGCACCGGGAATGGGCACACGCGGAAGACCCTCCTCTGGTGGCGGGGGTCCTTCAACCGTCAGGGAAACTATATTCTCACCACGAAGAAGCACAAAGCCCAGCACTCGCTTTTCTTCTCGTTCCGGAACCTTGGAATTCTTTGATCGGATCTTGCGGAACTCCTCGCAGTCCCCCAGAATAAGATTCATGTGTTTGTCGAAGGCCTTGAACGTCCCAATGAACGTACGCGAATCCTGGAGAACGATTCGCACCCGATAATTCAGGTGCTGAATCATTTTGTTGTTCTTTCCGATAGTCTGAAATAAATGGTGAAATATATTTACATTTTGGATGTGAAAGCGGTTTTCATTTATTGGCAGACCCGGCACTCAAGACGCTTAGCGTATGGAGGCTAGGTGCTCGGCAAAAATTGGCATTTTAAACAAACATTTGAATGCTTTTTTCATTTGACCTTTTACTTTCGTTTGTTTGATATAACACTGAATATAAAACACCAAACAAATACATACCATTTTGTATTATTTCTTTATAAACCTCTAATAAATAATTTTAAAGATGCCGAATAAAAAAATCGCACGCGTGCATCAGTGTGACCAGATGCACCACAGTTTAACCCTCCTCTGGACCAGGATACTGAGTCCAATTGTTTTTTTAATCGTTTAATCGAAAATCGTACAAAAAATAAAACGTCTCTTTTTCTATATTCCTATATTCTTATAAATATATACCGTCTATATAATTTAATAATCAGCTCACTGCATCATGAAACACCCAACTACTGTAATTTTACATCTACTAGTGGGAGCCTTCAAAAAAAACAAACGAAAGTATCTTAATGGTGTCTTAACTAATTACACTTTGGTTTGAAAAAAATATTACCATTGTCGAAGTTTATAATGACAGCTCATACGAAGCTTAAAATAAGTTTTATTAACACACCGATCCCTTCGAAAAGTTATCGAATGCAATACGAGCTGCCGTCCCTGGTCATACTGTAAACAAACGACTGAAATCGGAACCACGACTCACAGTTCACCTGCGGCCACGTCATTTGACTCTCTTCGGTTCTCTCATTATGCTGACATTCTGCTGAGAATTTTTTAGAAAAGCGGCAAAGCACCAAGTTTTACTCGTTGGCAAATTAGGCGACAATTTATTTGGTAACGTATGCACCCATCGAGCCGCAAATACGCGGCACTGTTGACGCCCGTTGTTACCGTTTGCGTTCTCCACTTTTTAAGGGTGCGTTCTAACACGTCGCGAGACTGCGAAGGAAAAACACCAAACAACAGAAGAAGCAGATAGCAGACAGCAGCCCCTCGAGGTATCAGGTCAGGATGAATATTTTTCGCTTCGCTGGAGATCTCTCGCATGTGTTCGCCATAATAATATTGTTGCTAAAGATATGGAAGACCCGATCGTGCGCCGGCATATCCGGCAAATCGCAGATTCTCTTCGCAGTGGTATACCTCACCCGCTATCTTGATCTCTTCACCACATACGTGAGCCTGTACAACTCGGTGATGAAGGTGCTTTTCCTGGCCACGTCTGGAGCCACGGTATACTTTATGTACGTCAAGTTCAAGGCAACCTACGACCACAACCACGATTCCTTCCGCATCGAATTCCTGCTGGTGCCGTGCGCCCTGCTCTCGCTTGTGATTAATCATGAGTTTACGGTGATGGAGGTGCTGTGGACCTTCTCGATCTATTTGGAATCGGTCGCCATTCTACCGCAGCTGTTCCTGGTGAGCAAGACCGGGGAGGCCGAGTCCATCACGAGCCATTACCTGTTTGCCCTCGGATCGTACCGTGCACTCTACTTGCTCAACTGGGTCTACCGGTACATGGTGGAGTCGCATTACGACCTCATCGCGATCTTTGCCGGCATTGTTCAGACCATCCTCTACTGCGATTTCTTCTACTTATACATTACCAAAGTTCTTAAGGGCAAGAAGCTACAACTGCCGGCATAAGGAGTCGTTGGCTTGTTGGTACACATCATCAGTCGAAGGCATTAAGAAGCAAGTGAAAACATTCAGACGGAGATGGAATGCAAACAAAGCGATGAACGCGTGGACCGTTTGACAAAAGCATATTTAGTTCATATTATAAAGAAGATGCATCGAGCGGAGAGTATAAGTTGTAATATTATTTTTTGAGAAATAAACCGAAAATCGGAAGTCAAACAAACTTGCAATATCAAAATAATGTATTCGCTCGGTAAACGATGCATTAATCTCCGTTTCTCGATACCCACATTCTTAGCTGTCACAAAATCCAAAAAATATTAAATTAGTATTCCTTTAATGGAAAATTGTCTAATGAACTTTTATTAAACAGGTTTTCTCCTTAAGCGGAGGCTTTTTCATTGATAACAATACCACTGAAGAGGTCATAGATTTCCTTCATTAAATTAGAATTTAAAGAGTATCAATTAAATAGCTTCTAAGCGGAATGTATCCTAAAAATCCGAATAAGTTAAGTCTAAGTTTTGTGGCTTATTTAAACGTAAAAGAATTTGCAATGCCGTCAGCCCCAGACTCGTGAAAACTCCAAGTGTTAGAAATTTGTGCACAATTTCAATAAATTCAAAGTATCAACTGTAATACATTTTCAGCACCTACCATCTCCGCTCTACGCTTCCCCTAATATAAACCATAAGTTTGATTTTTAAAGAATAGCGATCATAAAAATGCATACCTAAAGTGACATACAAATATTTTAATAATTTTTGAAAAATATATATAACTACGATTAAAAATTAAACCTATATTTGGGTTTTTCTATTCACAATTTTTTATTAACAACATTTTAATAAGTAAATAGTACTTTAGTACTTTGGTTTTAGTTATAATTTTCATTTATAGGCTGCAATACCTTCAGTTTTCATAAAATAAAATAACTTTTTTAAATAAAAACAAAAAATGTAATGCCAAACTTGCGAATCTTAAAAATTTATTCAGATTGACAATTTTTTAAAAGTTTTATACCTTTTTTTGAATATTGTGACTACCCTAACCCCCTTAAAACAGGTGGGAAACAACGATTCAAGCTCTGGTCACATTGTCCCAAAAGTTTGATAATCAAAACAAAAATGGTAAGGATCGGACTTTTAAATGTGTTAATGAGACAAAAGGCCTTGTCCAGGAATTTTTTCAAATTCGGCAAAAAAAATGGGTACAAATGCTAGTTATTTTTATTTTTACAAATATAAAACAAATAGTACTTTCAGAGATACAGGCAACTTTGCACGAATTGTATCCGCCGGCAAGGTATCCGAGGAACGTAGTGTTCCTGATGAAATCCAAAAGCCAGCGTACTACTTCAAGAATTTACCGCCTGGAGATACCCTGGGGACGCCAGAAATTAAAAATAAGGAGCAGATAGAAGGGATGCGATTAAGTGGAAAGCTTGCAGCACAGGTTCTTCGTGAATGCGGAAAGCTGGCAGTTGTTGGCAAAACCACCGATGAGATAGATGCTTATGCCCATGATCGGATTATTGGGGCCAATGCCTACCCCTCGCCACTTAGATACGCCGGATTTCCAAAGTCCATTTGTACCTCAATTAACAATGTCGCCTGCCATGGTATTCCCGATGATCGAAAGTTGGAAAACGGCGACATTATAAATATTGATGTTACGGTGTTTTTGAATGGATACCACGGAGACTGTTCAAAGACATTTCTTGTTGGTGATGTTGATGAAAAGGGTAGATATCTCGTTGATGCCACAAAATCGTGCTTAGATCAGAGCATTGACCTATGCGGCCCTGATGTGGAATTCCAAAAGATTGGACAGTTTATTGAGAGCTTCTGTTCAGAGCATGGTCTGGAATCTGTTGCAGCGTTTATTGGCCATGGAATCGGAAGCTATTTTCATGGTCCACCAGAGATATATCACTATTGTAGGTTCACCTTTTTTTTTTTAATAAGCTTTATAGTTTTAAGAAGGATTGTCTATGAAAGGCGGTTTTAAAAAATCATTAATGCAAAATCTAGTCAAGAAAAACAATGAATTACGATGCTGTAAAAATAAGAGGTACATGAAAACTTCGATTGGCTCTAATATCTATACTCCTTCTTACAGACAACGATGTTCCTGGAAAGATGCAGCCCGGCATGACCTTTACCATTGAACCAATTTTGTCTCTCGGCGGATCAGAGTATGATCTCCTGGAGGATGGATGGACGGCATTGAGTTTAGATGGAGCTCGCAGTGCCCAATTCGAACACACCATTCTCATCACAGACAATGGAACCGAAATACTCACAAAACCTTGATTTCTGTACATGAATTTTTATTCGTGACGTTTGCAGACATGTTGCAAGTTTGTAATTCCCATAAAGTGTAAATATGTGTCAGATGACAGTCTTGTGCAGTTTGTGCTTCGTAATTCATCGACTCCGTAAAGTAGGTGCTCTATATTTGGTTTTAGAAGCGCTGAAATTAACTGCAAATGGCGTTAGACTTTTGAACCGGCTTTTGAATCGGAAGGAAGAGCTTGAACTCCGGCGGCAGCTCGTCCTCCGAGTAGAGCCGATCTGAGAAATAAACGCGACGTATGCGACAGTTGGCATGAATTTGCACCCGGAGCGTTTCTACATAGTTGGTACCGTAGGCCCGACGAGTGAAGTCGGACAAGTTGAACTGGATTTGATTCCATCCCTCGTCCAAGCGCATGGGCATTGTGCAAATGAATGGCTTTACACGGGTTGTCGACTGGTAGTTGCTAGCCCGGAACCTTCGACGCACATTTTTGTCGTCCAGTACCTTTATGGGGTGGGAAGCGGTTACCAAAGTGATACAACAAAGTGTGGGGTTAGAAGCTTACCTGGACTTCAAATGTAAAGTACTTCTTCATGTTCTTAATGATCATCACGAGAAAGGGCAGCTTGATACCCAATGTCTTCTTGGGGTCCGCCGGACACGTTATGAAAGTAGTGCTTACATTTGTGCCAACTATTTCGAGGACGAGACTCTGTATGTCATTGTCGGTGATGCGCTTGATGTGGCCATTGCGAACTTTCTTATCCCACAGCTGTAGCGGTTTTGAGCCAATACTGTACAAAATCGATAAGAATCCAGATTGGAAAGTGTTCTTGAACATTTCGCAACTGTAGCAACCGGTTTTCCCACAGAATAGTAGTCTCTTGCAAATTTATATAGGCCAGTTAATATTGGCCGGTAATTTTTGCACAGCCGGAACTCGTACAAACTACGAACATGAATACAAAACTATCTTAAATTTTCATGTCAATAAGTTTGTTTAGCACCGCCTGCTTGTTGCCATAACAATGGAAAATGGTGCTGTCAGGCTGAATGTTTGAAATCCCAGCGTGTTTATACCGCACTTGAAATTCCTAAATAGATCTATTTACTCTTTTTTGTTGTCCCTCCCTGACGTACATTTTGAAACATTTGGAATGGAACAGGATTTTTTTCTACGATACCTTGATTGTAAACAAATAATAAATGATCTATAAAAAGTGTAGAATCTTAACTAATAAGTTATTATTATAACTTTTTTCTAATACCCTAACTACTAATAAAATTTATTAATAACTTTTAAAAAATTCCAAAAAGTAAATCTGGTATGAAAAACTATCGATACATTGCTATCGAAATATAGTGTGACCAAACCGAAAGTATGCCCTAACATATATAAATAAATAGTTTCGACATCCCTAGAACAAATGGCTTCAACTTCGAGGTAAAAACTTTATTAATTTGTTAATTTTCAAGAATGTAAAATATGTTTTACGAACGCAGATTGGACAATAACAAGGTGTGCTGTTATGCACACCCAGAGTCTCCCCTGATTGAAGACTACAGGGCTGGCGACATGATTTGCTCCGAGTGTGGTCTGGTTGTGGGCGACCGCGTAATTGACGTTGGTTCGGAGTGGCGTACATTCAGTAATGAGAAGAGTGGAGTTGACCCAAGCCGTGTCGGTGGCCCAGAGAATCCACTGCTCAGCGGTGGTGATTTGTCCACCATTATTGGTCCAGGCACAGGGTCTGCCTCCTTTGACGCCTTTGGGGCTCCCAAATACCAAAACAGACGTACTATGAGCAGCTCGGACCGCTCGCTGATATCTGCATTTAAGGAAATTTCCTCGATGGCTGATCGCATTAATCTGCCTAAAACAATCGTTGATCGCGCCAATAACTTGTTCAAACAGGTAATTTTTGAAGGTGATAAGTAGAATATTTTAAATTGAGCTATCTTCTGTGCAGGTTCATGACGGCAAGAACCTTAAGGGTCGTTCAAATGATGCTAAGGCTTCGGCTTGTTTGTACATCGCTTGTCGTCAAGAGGGTGTGCCTCGTACTTTCAAGGAAATATGCGCCGTTAGCAAGATCAGCAAAAAAGAGATTGGAAGATGCTTCAAGTTAACACTAAAGGCCTTGGAAACAAGCGTAGACTTAATTACCACGGCTGACTTTATGTGCCGATTTTGCGCAAATCTGGGTAAGAATTTTTTTTAGATTTCGTGGTTTATCCATGGCTAACATCTTAATTAACAGACCTGCCCAATATGGTACAACGTGCTGCCACACACATTGCCAAGAAAGCCGTCGAAATGGACATTGTTCCTGGACGTTCCCCAATATCCGTGGCAGCAGCTGCCATTTATATGGCATCCCAGGCTTCTGAGCATAAGAGAAGTCAGAAGGAAATCGGAGACATCGCTGGAGTCGCTGATGTCACTATTAGACAGTCCTACAAACTAATGTATCCCCACGCAGCTAAGCTCTTCCCAGAAGACTTTAAGTTTACCACTCCCATTGATCAGTTACCCCAAATGTGAATCTTTCTGTACATTCGATGCTCAATACTAACGCTAACATTAAGGGAAGATAAATTCTTAATTTAATCACAAAATTTACGATTTTATTAAATAAAGTTAGCATAAATAATATTCAAAACTAACTGTTGCACCGAGCAAAACATCACTATGTAAATGGTAAAAGTCGCCGAGTTAGACCCAACCGGTATTATAAACGTAACCCAATATTTTATATTAACTCTTATTTTTGTATTTTGTTTTTCGACATTTTTACATAGCTTACATGTATATCTTGGTTATAGGCTATTACCAAAAAGCTATAAATAGTTACGTACTACGTTTATACGCCAGTTATTTGCAGAATGACATTTTGCATCGAACAATTGTTAACACATAAGCTTTAACTATTCATTAATATGGGTGGTTTAAATATTGGGCTAACAACAAAATAGAAACAATTGTATCACCAATGAAACGTTCAGTGGCAAATAAATAGAGTATTTAAACGCAGTACACAACCTAAGGCATTTGAAGAACCAAGCGTGCAAACAAAACATTCCATAGATACAAAGCAATATAAGTGTGCTAATAGTAAATGACGAATTATCAGTCGCCAACAATAGTTATTGCTGAGTTTAAAGAGTGTACATTTAGATAACTAGTCAATAGACAGCGAGCACTTTTCGTCGTCGCTATGGCCCACGCACTCCAGCGCCGGTCGATGCTCCGAGTCCCACATTCCCGGTCCGCAGCGCTTGCACAGGCCGCTCAAAGTGCACGGGATTTTTGGCAACTGTCGATATTGGTGCAGCAGCCCTCGGGCCTTTCGTAAAATCAACTGACCGTCCATATACATGGCCAGTGAACTGAAATGGAGCAGCATCTCGTCCGGGCGCAAATTTTGGGCTATCACATCGTCCGCATAGACCGCGATAATGGCTAGGCAAAGGAACAAGTGAAAGTAGTCGGTCAAGTAGTTTGACCAGCAGGCCTCCCACATGCGAATCACCACGGCTTCGGTGAACTCTCGCTTAAAGCACAATAGCAGCCATCGGTGGCAAAAGAGAAGCTCCATGGAGTCGTTATGCTGCGCCAGGTGCTCGTAGAAACGCGGCAGCATAACACGGATCAGCTCCCGCAGATAGCTCAGGTTGTGGTCCACATCTCGGTCGGTGGGCGTGCAGACAAAGAATGCACGTTGCATCAGCCCCACAAAGCACCAAAAGGTCTCCGACTCGTTCTGCACTTCACAAAGTACGGGAGCCAAAAGGTCACTCATACCCTGAAATTAAGGGGATTTTAATGATAAACAAAAACAGGATTAGGAGAGCAGGATCAATCTATACCTGAGAGTAGGATAGCCCTGTGTTGTAGGTAGCGAAGTTGAGCAAAATGTTTTTCATGACCTCGGTGTTGGGGTTGTCGTCTCCGCAAAAGAAGGGATTCGTTCGATCCGTGCGAACTACATCCTTTTCAACCACACATTGAACGGTTTTCCAAAAATGTATTTGCTGCTCTGGAGACATAGAGTATAGTCGCTTCCGGGTTATTTCTTCATATTCCTGCCTCTTGATATCCATAAGAACGGCACGATCCTCAAATGTCGAAGAGAAGGAATAACATTTTAGGAGAAAAGGCCATACTGTCTTCCGGAGGCTCTTTTCAAGGCCGCCGAAAAACACGCACTTCCGGAGGAGCAAATCGTCCTCAATTTGTCCCTTCTCATTCAACAACGTCCCATAGAAGAAGTTGGTTGTTATCTTCTTGACATCCCCCTCATCAGGATGCATTTCTGACTTCTTAACCTCCGGCCTGCAAACCATAAAGTGCCTATAGGGCAGATCGAACTTGTCTTGGCCCGTTTCCGAAGTGATGTTGTGTAGGAAGCAGTGCCATTGGTGCAGCACTTGGGCCAAGTGGTCCAGTCCTCCGTAGTGGAAATGAAGTATCTTGTATTGGGATTCCCGTGATGCAATTACCAACTGTCCGGATGTACAGTTGTCGTCGTTAAAGAAGAGACGAAGAGATCGCATTTGGCTGAGATCAACAGAAAAGTGCCTGCACTTCATCGCAGGTTTTTGACGATCGGCCGGAGTTGAATTACCGCTGTCGGGGAACTCCAGATTGTGCTTAAAGGCCAGGAGTTCCGGTGTAGTCCACTTTGGGTTATCGGAAGCAGCGCCATCCGCGCCACTCGCACAATCCACACAGTTGTTGCCTTCGGTGCGTATAGTTATGCAGTTGAACGACTGAGATATATTACTATTTTCGATTTGTGGATTGGAAATGGTTATATTAACTGATGTAATCGGATTATTCTTAAGCAGCGCGGTCAAGTCATCTATAGAAGCGGCTTGTCCTCCCAGCAAAGGCTGAAGTTCGTTCTTCAGCTCCTGCATTTCAGCGGCATTGTCATCTTCCCGGATTTCTCGCTCCTGAATGGTTTGCGGAATGGTAACGTGGCAATAGCCGTTCCTTAAATCCGGTGACTTGCTCCGTGAATTGCACTGTCCTCTGCAATCTTCGGTGCTCAAATTGGTATATTTGCATAGTGAAGAGTTCGGTATCCAGGTGAGGAGCAAGGTGGGCCGTTTGGCGCTGTTGTACTGATCAACGAAAGTTTTGGTCGTGCACGTCAGGTAACCCGGATTGTGCAGTATGTCCGACTCATTCCGCGCGATGGTGGGCGGATGAATGCAAACGTTATTCTTGCAGAAGAGGATTTCGTTGTCTTCGTAAGAGATATCGATTTTTCTGTCCAATCTGTCGTCACCTAGTATAAAGCTAGATGCTTTTTTTATAATACTTCCTATGGGCATTTTGAAACTTAACTTTGTTGAGCAGGGAGCTTAACGCAATTATTTTTTTCACGTTCGGATTAAAAAACGTATTTTCGAACAGGGTGGGAAGGGACGTTTCCCTCTGGTTATCTTCTTCTATGGTTGAGTATTGATGGAAACTCGTTGCTGGTTACCATTATTTTGTTTGCTATGTCTTTTGCAATTATTTTTTTAACACAAAAATGAGGGTCAAATGAGGAATAACTTTAATTTTAGCTGGATTTCAGCGACCTCTCACAAACGGGATGACATTGGGTGAAAAGAATTTAAGGCAAAACTCAGCGCATGCGCTTTTTGAAATTTCAGATTCGCATGGATTCGATATTTAAATTGTTTCATTGTTTTTATATTCCTTAAAGTATTTATATTTATATTCCAATACTTTAAATTTATTTTTGAAAGTTTAACAAATAAAAAATTTCAGTGATCAAAGCTTAAATATATGCTACATTTAAAAATTAATCAGTTTAATAAATTATTTCATTTTACTTTAGACTAGAAATCTTACAGAATGTAATTAAATAGTTATTTTTTAATAAGGGAAATAATTTTAAAATGTACCCAACAGGAAATTAAAAAAACACTGGAATTGGAACCAGCTTCACTTTCCATTTATCGATATATTCTGGCTTTACCATCTCTAGGTGGTGTTGAATCAATAAACGCGAGGAATAAAAATATTTACATTCTTCACAAGCTTGTCTACAGTTTCTGTAATATGGCCACCAAAAGAAAACATCCTTCGTCAAACAAAGTCAAGGATGACGACGTTAAAAAGCACACCCTTGACTCAGATGAAGAGGATTCCGACGACTATGAGCGGTACATTTTGTAAAAAGTAAACAATTCGAACGACACTTACATTTTTGTTTTTAATTTAGGGAATATCTAAATGATAGTGACATTGAAGGAGGCGAGGAGGGCATTGCGAAAGTTGAAGATGATGTGAAGGTAACCCCTTTCAACATGAAGGAGGAACTGGAGGAAGGCCATTTCGACAAGGATGGGCATTATCATTGGAACAAGGAAACCGAGGCCAAAGACAATTGGTTGGACAATATTGATTGGATGAAGGTAGGATTTCCTTTTTCCAAAGTCTGCCATGAATATTAAACATTTATATTTGTAGATAGAAAACCAAAAGAACGCCTTCGATCCAGCTAAAGACAACCAGGATTCTAATTCCTCTGATGATGCGATTGTACCTGCGGAAAATGCCTTTAACTTGTCAAAGAATTTGACAAAAATGTTGGAGTTTATGAAAGCAGGAGAAACTGTAAAGATGACACTACAACGTCTAGGAAGCCAGCGACCAGTTTTAACAACTTTGCAAAGAATCAAGCAGAAGAAAGCTGGCGTTGTGGATACCAAGACACAAGAAATATCTAAGCTAACTGAACTGGCAAACGAGATACTCTCAAAGACCGGTAACATGGACATTTATGAAGAGACCTTTGAAGCCATTAAGGCAAAAATAGCTGATCTTCCTGGTACAAGCCAACCAAAAGCTGCCGATGATATTGACATGTATGCTGATGACTTTGAATCAAAAGAGTTGGAGCGATCCAAAGGCTCCACCACTACAGCTACGCAAGCAATATCAGCTCCTACGGAGGTAACATGGGAGTTTAAATGGTCACAGAATGAGGAAGAAGTTCAAGGTCCCTATAGCACCGAGAAAATGCTGAAGTGGTCCAAGGGAGATTATTTTAAAAACGGAGTTTACGTCCGGAAATGTGGCGAAAATACAAACTTCTATTCTAGTAACCGAATAGATTTTGATTTGTATTTGTAGAGCTCAACATAAAATTGAAACATTTACTTTAGGCCCTCTGTACTAAAAATAAAGATTGAAATATATTATTTTTATGAGAATATTAAAAAAAAAACCGTAAAACGATAGTAAAAGTAAGAAACGTGAACAATGTAGTTACTATCGATAGGAGTCACGACATATTAATTCCACCTCTAGCTGAAAATTGTTTTATGTTTAATTAAGGTCTGATAGTTCGGGTATTATCTGGTGTTATGAGCTTTAAGTAAAATCATAGCCGTTGGTGTCACCCAAGGACTTCGGCCCGTCTACATCTATTGTAAAATTTGGTCACCGAGTGCAAGAAAAACCTACAACTTTGGAACTATAACTGTGGAAGCCTTTATACCTTGTCAGTGGGTTCAACGTAGATAATATATAGTTTTGGATCGGCCGAAACTTTGCCATAATGACAACAAAGCACATTTACTCCACGACCAATTTATCGGATTTGCAGTTAAAGGAGCAGGGAAACTGCCTTTTCGCGGCTCGCAAATATGACGACGCAATTAATTGCTACTCAAAGGCCATCGTAAGTGTCCCACCTGCCATGCCCCAAAGTGTGTATGTTATTTACATAGTTGGTGGCATGCGTTGTCGCATTTTCCAGATAAAAAATCCAGTTAATGCCACATACTTTACGAATCGAGCTCTCTGTAATTTGAAACTGAAACGATGGGAGCTATGTTGCCAGGATTGTCGGCGAGCTCTGGATATTGACGCGAACTTGCTAAAAGGCCACTTCTTCTTGGGCCAGGGACTGATGGAAATTGACTGTTTTGACGAGGCCATAAAGCACCTGCAACGCGGTAAGAGGCTCCTGACTCCTGAGCTTTAGTATATGTATAATATTTTATATAAAATATTAGCCTATGATCTGTCTAAGGAGCAGAAACAAAACTTTGGCGATGACATTACATTGCAATTGCGACTAGCTCGTAAAAAGCGATGGAACGTCTTAGAAGAGAAGCGAATACATCAAGAGATTGAATTGCAAAGCTATCTGAATCGGTAAATACATGCATAGTTGACTAAAAAAAAACATCTAATGAACTAAGTTTAACTTTCTCAGGTTAATAAAGGGCGACATGGAAAATCGTTTGGCTCAATTAAAGTTGAATGATAATTTACACGAAGATCAGCTTAAAGATAAGCAGCAAGAAATTGAACAGGAGTGTGTAAGTTCTACCAGTTGATTTAAAAATGGATCTTCTCATTTTAGGACATTTAATATTAGACATTCGTAATAAAACAAAAACTTAATAAAATGCTTTTTTGTTTTAGGATGACCATGTAAAAGAACTAAACAATATATTTTCAAAAGTAGATGAACGTCGAAGGGTAAGTGTCTCCACTGCTACGTGTCTAAGAAAAGAAACTAAACTACAATATTTAAAATTTCAGAAACGTGACGTACCAGATTTTCTTTGTGGCAAAATAAGTTTCGAAATATTAACTGACCCTGTGATAACTCCTTCTGGAATCACCTATGAGCGTAAAGATATCGAGGAGCATTTGCAGCGAGTTGGCCACTTTGATCCCGTCACACGGGTAAAGCTAACACAGGATCAATTAATACCAAATTTTTCAATGAAGGAAGTTGTTGATTCTTTTATTGCTGAGAATGAATGGTCTTTAGATTACTAAGTAATGATTGACAAAACTAAACATGTAATTGATTAGCTGTTAGAACCCAGTTCCCATTGTCTAAAAAAAACAAAATAGTGATAATAAAAATGGATCTGCAAGTGTTTTTTATTTTGGTTGTAATATAATAGAAAATGATATTTTTAATTAATGCAAATGGTTTCCAAATGAAAAGAATATGTTTTGAAAATCCCGCCTATAATCAAAGTTCGATTGTTACGTTTCCAGTTGTTCCACCAATCGGAACATAACACCGATTTTCTAGACCGATAATTTTTGCTAAAATACCGGCAACGCCGCAAATTTTTGTAAACAAGGAGTCGTCTTGGTGAAATGAAGATTTGATTTTTATTATTTTGATTTCGAAATGGATTCATCTCAAAATCAATCTCAGATGTCAGTAGATGATTCTGAAGAGGGCCAGCGCATCATAAATCTTCAGAATTTAATTGAAAAGAACATTGAGATAGGTAAGTTACCAGTAACGCGCCAAATTTTGTCATTTATCACTTGGAGTACTTCAGAGCAACAAATTGAAAAAAATACGATTGACGCTTCTTTATCGGCGATCGAGAGCATTATTTCCAAAGCAAATGATATTGTAAAAGGCTATGAAGAGCGCCGCACCAATTCAACGGAGCTTGTACTGGACACCGAACTACTGCGACGTAATCATGAGGTGGTTGGGAAGGCTATTGAGTACAACTCAAACTTCACGGACATAATGATGGTTTCTGCCATTGTAAGTATGACAAATTCCCGGCTTTTATTCGAGATTAACAGCGGATCTGTCAAAAGGAAAATTTGGTTTTTAAAGAAACCGAGGAGGATTGGAACGCCATTTGCTCACTGGCCGTTCAATTCGGAGCTCCGCATTTTACAAACGACAGCATGCTTCCATTCATAGATGTTACACCGAAGGAGCGCATTCCCAAGCAGCGTGCCCAACGAAAGCCAAAATCGCAAGTAAGTCTTGATATAAAAATCATAATCCAAAACGTCTGCATTCCATTTTTATTTGCTGTATATTGTTTTTAGGTTGCAGAAAAGCGGCCAAAAATAAGTGACAAGCTTGAAAGAAAGGATGAAGGCGCTGCAAGTGTCTCTCATATACTTAAGCAGATTAGGCAAATTTATAAAGATGGAGGAAATCAGCCAATACCATATTTCAAATTAATTTGCAATCCAGATAATTTTATGGATACAGTACAAAATGCTTTGCAAGTCTCCTTTCTTGTCAAAGAAAATTATATTGCCGTTGAAAACGGGGCGGATGGATTACCTCTAGTTCGGGTTGTTCCGAATCATAAGGCACCTGGACAAGCTGAGTCTTCTCAGGCTATTTGTTCCATCGATGTTGCCTATTGTAACGTATGTATTTTGTAATATATTTTTACAATGCTTTTGTTTATGTTTGTTTTGCAGAAAATGGTAAAGCACTATAGCATTCATCAACCATTGCTGAAGAAACTACATGAGTAAGATTTATAGTCTAGACTTTTAGGGAAAAATATTTATAATTTAATTTAGAAACTTAATAAAAAAAATGAGTCTTTTTGTTTTGAATGTGTTTATAACCTCGTAAAGGCTCTTAAAAATAATGGTTCAAACAAATGAATCGTCCAAAAAATAAAAGAAGCGACTTTTTTGTGTAAAAATGAAAGTACATTTTATTATTCAGATACTGGCATTTATTCGAAACCACTTTGAAAAGAGAAAATACTTCACAAAAGATTGTAGAGACAATATTGGGCTTTGGAATGCATCATTAATTAAAAAATCACTCCTAAGCTAGAAGTAAGTGTAATTTTGGTTGCATAGTGCTATTAATTGAATTCCGTTAACTTAATTACACAAAGAAGAAATTAAGATTAATTAAGATTTATTACGACCAGAAGCTTAGGGTTAATTGCTTTTGTGTGGTCAATGGAGTTTAAAAGGCTTGGCGTAAAATAAATGCTTGATAATAGCGCCTCACATCTATACAAACTTGATATATTAGATATCAAATTATGGAGACCTAATTATAAGATTTTTGTTTTCTATTTTCTTTAAAGCAAGTAAAAGTATAAAATGTGTTAAACATTAAAGTTTTTTGCTAAATTCATAGAATAGTCAGATAAATATAAAATGAAGATTTATTACTCAAAACAAGCATAGAATTAATGACCCAATTAAACGATGACCAGTTTTTGAAGTTCAACAGAAATTATGTATTTTTAAGTGCAGCTTTGGAAAGTTGAGCTGAAGACCCAAATTAACATATTTTTATTTTTTTTACTAACATAAATGTTATAAAATCAAAATAAAAGTTTTGAAAATGATCATAATAGCCATAAACTTTAAAATAATAAAATATTTGGCGTCAAATTGGTTGTTTTCGATTTTTTAAAATTTATTTATAGTTTAGTTACTTTTAATATTAATAAACGGAGAAATGGAATCAATTAAAATGTTTCTAAAATTGACATTTATTATACAAATGAAAAAAAAAGCTTAATTCCGGCTTGAGTTGTGTTGAATTATAACCAATTTAGGAACTATAAATTTCTTTGGATTACTTTCGCATTAAGCGTTTGGTTTGCGTAATGTTCGAATGTACATTTGTTCTGGTATTGATGTTCAACTGAAAGCCCCATAAAGTTACATACGAATATCTATGTGCATCGACATCACCCACATTATTCTAACTCATTCGCAGAACACAATACAGTTGGGGAAAGAGAAATAGGAATTTTAATAAAACTACTTATTTGTAAAATTTTAAATTAATGTAAACATGATTCGTGAAACCCTCCTAAAGTTTACATTGTCTACAAAGACTGTCACTAAATAAATAAAGATACATAAAGCCGCATATGCAAGGTATGACTAAGTTATCTTATCAGCTTAGTTCTTCTCTTAGAATACTTACTGTGTGTTTATTTTGAAATGTAGTTGCATTTTCAAATAATCTCTACTTGACAGTAGGATTACGAAATTCTTACTCTCATGGACCAAAAAGAGATGGGTTTTAAGAGACAATTTAATAAAGGTAGGTCTATATAATATTTCCAGTTTAAAACAATGCCTAATTAATATACACCTAAGGAATTTTTGGTCGCAAGAATTTTTGAATACTGTTAATCTTAATTTTCCAAACGTATTTTTTTTTAATATTATTAAATTTTTAAATTTTTTGTAATGATTAGAGTTTTTTATTCTGCTACTTTTCCGAACGTAGCTGTGAACATGCTCATATCTGTACATACGCACGTTTGGCTCCAGACTTTTGGGTGGCGTTGCCAAACGACGCTGTCTATGCTGCTATCCGCCCGCCTCCTCCATGGAGCATGGGGCATCCGGGGGTCCGCGGGTGGCACGGGTGGCGCGGGTTCCCGGGTGTTGCTGCCACTCGATCGCGACGCGCTCTGCCTTCAACACTTCTGTTCCTCCCAAAGCCGCTTTCCCGAAATTTCAACTCGGATTTCAGTTCGGATTTGAGTACCACGCGATGAAGACGGCGGCTTCAAATAATCCGGAATAAACAGTGCAGTGATACGGGAAATGTTACAAAATGTTTTGCAAATAAGAATTGTGCCCAAAAGTGAAACGGGTCAAAAAAAGTTAATTTTTTGAAGCAAAATAGTTTCAAGTGGCATTTTTAAAAAATAATCTTGTTTTTGTGCTGAATATTCTGTGAATTAAGCTTTCAGCTTAGATCCTTGATATTAAAAATTATAAAAATTTTTAAATATTTTTGCTACCAACATCAAAACTTGTTGGGATTTATATAAGTGAATCAAAATAATAAAGAGGTATTTTGATGGATTGTCTCTTTGAATGACTTCATTCACAGTCCTTTTTTTTTTTTCTTTAACCCTTTTCAACTTGATCTATTAACAATTGTTCAACTCTTTATCTCTGACATTAAAAGGTCTCAGGGTCTGTTTTGAATAAAAGCTTAATTGCTTCTCCATAAAAGTGTATAATCGATTTGAATTTTTGTTCGGAATGAATTTTGGGACAAACCAATTCACCTCGGCTCATATTGGACCGTTATCAACGCGATGACAGTAATCACCCAATGCAATGAATGCAAACCATAATGAAAGAAAGCTTTTCAATTCCAACCGCACGATATTTATTTAGACTGCCTTAAAAGTACCAACGTAATAGCAGTCATTTAGTTTTAGGATCGAGCATATGGATGCCCATATCTGACACAAAAAAAAAAAAAAAACGTAATCCAATCCAATGTATCGAATCTATCCCATTGGTGACAGACACTAGTGATTTATGTTCTGGCGCTATCTTTTTCGGTCAGATATTTAAACAAACATATCTCCCGCCCATATGTTTGCATACATGTGTTTCAAAATATTTTCTCGTTTTGCTAATTGCGGAAGTTTCACATAATTTAAACGAGTGTGAATGACGAAATACAAGAATGCCTATGAATATATGACACATGTATCAAAATATTTTTGGGCAGATGTACGTACTATTCTCTCGAATTGGCTTCTCTGTTTGACTGTCGGCTGATTGAGGATTTTCTAAACACTTCACTTTAATGCAAGTTCTTCATAATATCCGCACTCTTTCGAATTGAGTGATTCCGAGTTCAGTGGCATTGGTGAAGTGCTATGGCCATTGCAACACTATTTTTGTGCTTGTGCATAAATGGGCAAATGCAGTTCCACTGCCTTGATGGGCCCAATATGGGCCTATTGACACAGATAAGTACGAAAAGTACATTGTGACATTAAGAATTTCTATTATATATACCCGCTACTCCCAAGCCAGCAGGGGGTATATTGCCTATTTTCAAAATGTGTGTCACTGGTGGAAAAGAGCACTTTCGAACTCATTGACTTCAAATATGGCTTTGATGGGGTTTCCGATTCTTGACTGTTTTGAAGAAAAGATAGTGATTTGGCAATAAACATGAGAAACTTGAAGTTTCTTGAAACCTTTATAATCAAGTCTCCTATTTTTAACCTCAAAACCTTGCTTAGAAATTTTTTTTATATCTAAGAGCTTGCAAATACATTAAAATTTTCTACAGCATTCCAAAGCTTGATCATGAAATATACTGATACTCGTATATATCATTACATAACATACTATATATGCGTATTTTGTGGTATACGCAATACTTGGGTTCACATACATGGCTCCAAAATGTGGTAGAGTGGGTGTGGAGGCTTCTAATGAAATACGCCCTTCCCATTTTTATTCACGGATGTGTTGTAGTGTATGCTGCCGAAACTATATATCCATTCCAGTCGAATAGTCACGGTCGGTTTATTCGTAATCAATGGATATAATGGAACTTGAGTTCCTCTATGTGAGTTTGCTAAAACAATGCCTGAATGTGCGTATAGCCGAACATTGAAGATCGCTCAAATCGATAGCGAATTTATCTATGAATATATGTAGTATCTAGTCTAAATTTTTGGGTTCAGGGTTTTTTGATGGGGGTTAGGTTTTTTTTTGCAAAAATCAAATATAAAATGGAGTATTTGTTTAAATAAAAAGAACTATTTTATTTTTTTTGCAGATCCTAAAATGGCAAAAATATTTTTAATATTCAGGTAAGATTATTTTCTTTTTAAGTACCCATTTCCCAAGATTGCGAATTCAAAGTTGTATCATTTTTTTTTAATAACTAAAAAACGGATACTCATACCCCAAAAAAAAACGGAAGAGATGGGGCCGATCAGTTTCAGCTGCATCTAATCAAGATTTTTTTCCACCCTCACACAGAAGCGCAGTGGCCCGTTTTCATTAAGCACAATCTTAAATGAATAGCTTTTAAACAGATCTTAATACTTTAGAGTCCATATTTTTGTGGGCAAGCGTGGAAACAGTTTATGTACATTGTACATAAATTTTGCTTAACTATTAAAGAGGCTATTATGTCGAAAATTGAAAAGAAATATCGCTTGTAATATATTCTTTTCAGTATTTTTATCATCACTGCGTCTATACCCGGTCTTATTTTTGTACAATCGGATTTAACCACTAAGGAACGAATTAAGGTAAGCAATTCTAAATTTATAGTCGCTTAATCTAAAAATATAAGTTATCGCCTTTAATTATTTTATATTTTATTATGGAGCTTTGTTTGTAAAGGGTTGAGGTCAGAGGGGATCCATAAAAATCTCCGCCAAAGCGAATTCGTCTCGCTTCGTCGTCATAGATAAGCCAAGGGTTCCAAATCTATGTTAGATGAAGTATGTTTTTTTAATAGCACGCTAATCTAGTTTTTATGTCGTTAATTTAATTTTTATGAGTTACAATTACCAAAAAGTTTTCGTAACAAACTAGAATGATTTCGCGTGGCGCCATGAGATGAAAAAGGGGCTTTAGAATCTTGTAGGATTATTATGTTTACTTTGGATTACAATATCTAAAGACTAAGTATATTTATTGTTTAAACATTTTAAATTCTAGAAACATCAAGAATGGTTAAAGGAGCATCGTAAACCTAAGCCAAAAAAACCCCATTCAAACAACTCATTTTATGAACTCGCAAACTTATGGAACACTCGAAAAGACATATCTCTTAAGCAAAAACTAAACAACCATGCTGATTATTTAGAAAATGAAACGACTAGCAAATTATCTAACAGAACCGATGTTGTAGTATTAAAGCCAACGATAATATTAATAAATGGAAATGATACTAAGTCGGAGCCCCATAATGCTCCGGAAACAACTACATTACCAACGACAACTGTTGCCGCTACCACCGAAAATAGTGATATTAGGACAACATTAGCCACTCCAGATACTGACGAAGTATTTACCTCTCCAAGCCCTGTAAAGACCATAACTACCAAGAAGTTGAAGAAGAAAGTTTATCCATATCCAAGATGGGACAAGTGGAGTGATTGGAGTGATTGCTCTAGAAGTTGTGGGGGAGGTGTTAAATATCAGACACGAAAATGTATTAACAAGTATGTAAAACCATTCAAGGAATAATAAGCTATATAAGCTATACATATATTTGTAGGAATGATTGTTTATAAATACGTTTTATTTTAGAAACCCAACGACAAATAATCTGCTTAACAGTAATGCATGCGTGGGGTACTACAAACGCTATCAGCTTTGTAATGACGAGCCCTGCGACTCTCAGTCTCCGGATTTTAGAGCTTCTCAGTGTACGGCTTACAACGATATAGAGTTTCATGGTCATCGATATACATGGGAACCGTATATAAAAGGTAGGGCTACCCCATATATGTACTCTCTAGAAAACATATTGCTACAAAAATTAAACTTTATTTTTGTATGCATTTAAAGGTAAATAATTCTTGAAAAACGTTTAAAATTTTCTTTATAGATGATGCTGAATGTGAGCTTAATTGCATGCCTTCCGGTATGAGGTCTTTTGCCACATTAAACCAGTCGGTAATTGATGGAACGCCGTGCAGACACCCAGCTGAATACTATCGGTCTCACCTTTGGAGCCGTGCTGTGTGCGTCGACGGTGCTTGCAAGGTGAGTGTACTATAAATACTAAATAAATTAAACAGCTTGCTCAAAAAAGTTTACTTTATTTGGTTAATACCTAAATCATTTACGTAAGTACTTAAGTACTGGTTAGTCAGAGATATTCAGAAACCATTTCATAAAATATACACATTTAAAAGATAACTAAAAGTTTTCCTAAAAGTGTATTGACGACTGTGTCTCGTGACTTTTAATTTATTTTTAATCTATATATTTTCCATTACAAAGTTTTTATTCCAATCCATGAATGTTCAATTTCAATTACCCAGTTCCATTTCCAGCAACTAAGTACGATCGCACATTAAAAGCACTAATAGTGTGCTCTTGTATCAATTTTGAAGCTTTTTCAAGTACAAGAATCGCACTGAATACTTAGTATTCTGTCTAGTCTCAACCATAAAGCACACAAAATTCGCAGTGATCCGTGAATAAATTTTGAGGTTTTGAAATTTTGTAGTTTTCTTAAAAAAAGAAATTCTTTTGCTTGTTTCTTAAAGCTTGAAAATTGTTTTACAGTTCGGTTGCACTATCCTTGTGAAGTTTTTAAATTATTTTCACCAAATAGTTCTTTTTGGCTATATAATTATTTATATTTATTAAAAACTATTAAAAGTATACCTTCAACCCCCTAATCCATGAAAAGGGAATGAGCGTTCAAATGAGATGAATTAAATATATTTTTCTAAGTTGATACAAATATGTAAATAATGTGGTATAGTTAAAGTTGTGCACTTTTTGATCTTTTTTGATAAAAGTCTTTTACTTGAAACAAAAAACTTGATTATTCTCTTGGAGTCTTTTTGCATATCACTGTTATATGGATTCATAATTTTTATTCAGTTGTACCCTTTTTAAATTGTAATAATTTATCCTTTTTCAAAAATAAGTAAATAAAAATACATAATTGAAAATACTATTTCAAACCGGAATAGGTCAAGAAATCAAACAGAAAATTATTTTTGTGAAAGTGAAAACTGGAACTGTTCCAATGAGCTTAATTTCAATGAATAATTTTAGTAAACACATTGCCGCAGTTGTGCGTCGAGCAAATCCATCCAAAAGCAATTTTTTATAGAACATATGCCCCTTAATAAGACCGAATGTATTTTGTAGTCATTTATATTTTGTTTATCTTGTTGTCTTAATAAGTGGTCAATATATAATGTTTTTTTGCAAGGCTCGAGAAATTCCATTTGTTTTACCCTGAACTTAGTTGGGGGATATCGAATAGGCTTTAAAAAAATATGTATTTTTAAATAAACTTATATTCAGACAACATTTCTTAGTTTTTTTCAATGGAATAGACTTTAAAGTAAGTGGAAACAAATATTTACAAAGACATTATAATGCTAAGATTTGTAGCATTGCTCTTCCTGGTAAGTAAACTAAACAAAAGTCCCACGAAAAAGATTCTTTAGATAAGAATATGGCTGAATTTTGATTTGTATAAAAATTTCACTAATTTCAGGCGGTCCATGCCACTGGTGACATTGATGGATTGTATGCTCACAGTGGATCTGTCAGTTGCGGGGGATTACTATGTCGACCTGTCACGGGGATCTTTACCCGCGATCCCCTCCCGGAACATGCCTTTATACACGTGGCTACCTTACCTGTCGGTGCCTCCAACATTTCGATAACTGAGCTCAAAAATAGCATCAATTTGCTGGGTAATCATTTCTTGATTATAAAATTTTAAACTTCTATACTCTTTTTTATTTTCGGGCTTCAAGTTTTGCGTACATCCAAAGAGGAGTCTATATTTAATGGAGAGAGTACGGCATCGGAAAGTGGATCCTACGAAGCGGTGGGTACCACTTTCGATTACCACCGAATCGATGGAGCTCTAGACAGTATGGGTGTAACCGAGTGGATAACCAGTATTGGTCCTATCAGGGATTCTCTGCAACTTATGGTAATATTTAAACTAAATCAAGATCTTTTTCCAATCAATCTTTTTTTTATAAGGTTTATACAAAAACCCCGAATAACACGGGCATTAAGTACGAGTACATGTTGCCGATTATTTCCGAATCGGAGGAGAATGAAATGTCCTTGGAGAGCAGTGATGGCCTTCTGAGATCCGGAGTCGAGGACACCAGTTCGTCGAGCAGCTCCCGACCAGCACGCCGGCGGGTCTTCAACTGGAAAGTAGTAGGTTTCAGTGGCTGCACAAAGTCCTGTGGTGGTGGCACCCAAACCCCAATCATTCGTTGCATTCGCAAGAATCCGTTGCGCTATTACTCGCAACGCCGTTGCACGAATTCCGTGAAACCGGTGTTGAATGAAAATCTGCTGCATTGCAACACGCAACCCTGTCCGGCGTACTGGCGGGTGGACGAGTGGGGCGAGTGCCGTTGTCAGAACAACATGCGGCGGCGAGAAGTAAGCTGCGTCCAGGAACTGGCCTCCGGACTGGTCATCCACGTCGACAAGGCGGCCTGCATGGAGGAGCAGCCGCCCACGCTGAAGCAGTGCGAGTGTTCCAAGAGCCGCCGTCGCAATCTGAGCAGGTATCGTTTACCAACCGGAGCCACTATCACTCAGAACGCCACACAAATTAAACGCAGATCGGACACGGAAGCCATCTGGCTCATGTCCGAGTGGAATCACTGCTCCTCCGCCTGCGGTCCTGGTATGGAGCATCGTACCGTGTTTTGCGATCGCTCCAAGGCCGGAGAACAGCGCTGTGACCCTAGTACCACGCCAGAGAGTCGACGCCCTTGTGAGAAGTCCACCTGCGAACTGGGCGACTGGTTCGCAGGACCTTGGTCTCCCTGTAATGGTGATTGCTTCGACCTGACCCGCAGTAGGGAGGTGTTATGCATCAAAAACTTGCTGATTACGGAACCCAAGGAGTGCAACAAGGATCTGAAGCCACAGTCTGTGGAAAAATGCTCCCACGAGGAGGTGGAATACTGTGCTGCCCGTTGGCATTACGCCGAGTGGTCAGAGGTAGATAGTTTTTAGTAATTCATATTTAAGAGAATTCATAAAACAATAATTTTTATTACAGTGTACAAAATCCTGCGGAGGGGGCACCCAAAGACGCGCTGTAAAGTGTCTGGACTACGACTTAAAATTAAACATCCTAAAAGAATCGAATCAATGTCGTTATGCGGCAAGAGATCCCATTTATCGTAATTGCAACACAGAATTATGTGAAGGTAAATCTATAAAAAAAAATAATTTAAATTAAAGTTAAATGTACGTATATTTTTTGTAGAAGAAATGCAGAAAACAGAGCCTGCCGTCACCTGTAACGATAAATTCCAAAACTGCCAGTGGGCTGCACAAGCCAAACTCTGCAGCTATGACTATTATCGAGAAAACTGTTGTGTTTCCTGTACAGGTGGCACTTGAAAATGATGCACTTTTATATTTAAAACATTTTTAAAAAGCATACTTAATTTATAAACCGTCTTTATAATCATCTTGCAGAATAACTTTGTGAGTCAAGTTCATTTTACTTGAATATGATATTTTGCTAACATTTCATTTCTGACACTTAAGCTCAAAATAAAGCTTGCAGGGAATTGCAAAAATAAAATATTCAATCAAATAAAAAAATGCAAAAATTAATACACTTTAATAACATTTACTAAATTCAACTAGCTGGAGACTAAAAATATAGAAATTAGAAAAATTATACCTATTCTTATAATTAACATTAAGAAACGAATCGTGATGTAAGAACTTATGAAATTTTAAAAACACAAGAAATTATCTAGGAAGGCGTCCGATATCGAAAAATTACGAATAAAAAGATTATCTTAATACAAAAAAAAATGGAATATTATTTTATTTTAAAATGGTTTGGTTTTTTTAGATGGAGTAACCAAAGATTTGCCAAATTAATCGAATTGTGAAAAAATACAAAAGTTCAACTAAACCCAAAACACTGAATCCCAGAAACAATCCGGCTGTTCCCCCAATCGAAACTGAAAGATATATAGCAAGGAAAGTTCGGTTAGGTCTCTATTATTATATAAACTTAAAATAATTACCTAATAAATCCGTGAATGAAAATATAACTTGACGTTTAAGGCGACTTTGTGGCCAAGTTTTAATAGATACAGAGCTTCCAATACTGCCAAGTAACTGCCTTGAGCCTATCATTGGCTAAAAATTGTAGTATAGTAAAAACAAACATTTTATACATATTTAAACTATTTACCAAAGCAGATCTTGTTGTAACAACGGCATCCACGCAATTTTGTTCACAATAACAAGTTGAAGGTTTCTCATGTTTTCCATTTTCTTCGTAAAGTTTTAGAAAGAAATCTGAATTAAAAAAATATTTATGCTGCTTAAAATTTTAGACAAATTTAATAATTCTTCCGTAATTACTTGCATGCCTAGGAAAACAGGACCTTAAAGTTTTATAATCACATACTTTTTTTGGACGAGAAACTAAATTTAAGTAATTAATTTTTTAGAGACTTCAACTTCAAAGAATTATTTTATTTACTTACTCCGATTAGGATAAAAATGAGGGATACATTTACAAATTTTATAGGCCAGATTAATGCGACACTCTTGCTGACAAACATTTCGAGTATAAAATGGAAAATGAGTTAAATTTGATTCGTGATAATAACGACACTTTCTCATTCCTACGGTGGCTTCCCTAAAACAGAAAAATAAATGAAATGTATCAAATGATATTATTAAAACGTACTTTTCTATATTATCTTCAGCAGTTATTTCTTCAGTGACAGGATCATAAACCACACCTTCCGTAGAGTAACCAAAATTATTATCCACTTTCATTACCTCGTAGACGGAATGTATAAAACTCTTTTTCATAAAAATATTTGATCAGTAGGTATACAAGATAATAAAAATATTATTAACAATTTCTCACATCAATAGCTTCACTGGTAAATCCGAGTAGAGTATGTCCAACATCCTTTTCGAAGTAGGAACCTATTTGATATTGAATTACCTTACGCGTCATTTCATATTTATTGGGTTCTGGATACTGTCCAAAAATGAAATATCGGGAACTATACTCCTCTCCTAATTTGGAGTTCCCCATATAGCACAATCCGTATTCGGTTAGGACCTGACGAACGTGAATGTTTAGCTGTCCATCGATGCAACGAGTACGTTGTTTTTCAATCGGTTCGTAGGTGCTATCAAAGGTGAGATTGTAAATTAACTCCATATAGTGTTCCGGTTTCAGGTCTAAATCTTTGATTATGCTATCAATTTCATTGCTTTCGGGGATATTTTGAAAATTAATATACGTGGAGTTGGCCAAGTTCTCAATAAAGTCCCAAAAAATATTTCTTTGGGCGCCTTTGATGCTATTTTTTCTACAATACATATATTATACAATTACAAAATATAGAGGTTTTAGAAATTTTATAGAAACCAATGATTTACATCTCACCTGCAAAAATCAGCGAAAAAGGTTTCATTAATTCGTTGCATGGGACAAACTGTCAAGCTTGGCACTGATGTGTTCCAAAAGTGATAGTTTCTCTATTTTGAAAATATATTTATTGACTAGGTAAAAATTTAATATAAAAAAAATATACGAATTGTCTATCGATTCTCTTTAATTCTGCATACAAATCTAAAAACTTTTTTTTTATATTTTTTATAAAATTTTTTTGGAGGGTCCCCTCAAAAATGTGGATATTGTATGGGGACATAATTATGGCCACCAGTGAGGACCATATCTTGACCAAAAAACATCGGATTCTTAAGTGGAATACCTTAAACGAATTGTATATCGATCCTCTTTAATTCTGCATCGAAATCTAAAAACTTTTTATTTTTGAGATTTTTAATATAATTTTCTGGAGGGTCCCCTCAAAAATGTGGATATTGTATGGGGACAAGATTATGGCCACCAGTGAGGGCCATATCTTGGTCAAAAAACATAGGATTCTCAAGTGGAATAGCTTAAACGAATTGTACATCGAATTTCTTTAATTCTGCATCGAAATCTAAAAACTTTTTATTTTTGAGATTTTTTATATAATTTTCTGGAGGGTCCCCTCAAAAATGTGGATATTGTATGGGGACAAGATTATGGCCACCAGTGAGGGCCATATCTTGGTCAAAAAACATAGGATTCTCAAGTGGAATAGCTTAAACGAATTGTACATCGAATTTCTTTAATTCTGCATCGAAATCTAAAAACTTTTTATTTTTGAGATTTTTTATATAATTTTCTGGAGGGTCCCCTCAAAAATGTGGATATTGTATGGGGACATGATTATGGCCACCAGTGAGGAGGACCATATCTTGGCCAAAAAACATCGGATTCTTAAGTGGAATAGCTGAAACGATTTGTACATGGATCCTCTCTAACTCTGCATCCAAATCTAAAAACTTTTTATTTTTGAGATTTTTTATACAATTTTCTGGAGGGTCCCCTTCAAAAATATGGAAATTGTATGGGGACTGGAATATGCCCACCAGTGAGAGCTATATCTGGCCCAAAAACAAATCTATTCTTAAACGGAATATCTTAAAGCTTTGTAGTTTGATTCTTGTTGAATCTGAATCCAAATACATTAAACAATAATTATCTAGTTAAATTATTTTGTTTAATTTGTATTACCTCTAGTCCGATATGTGTGCTCTTGGTGTAATAACGATCAATGGATGCCAGACAGACAATAATGCAGTAATATATAGAGACTAATAATAATAAAAGCCAGAGGATCCTAAACAGTAAAATAAATTGTGTAATTAATTATGACTAATAATATTGATTTTCAAATCATACCTTTCAAGCAAAATAAGTATAGTTTGAACAAGATACCTGAACCCGTGAATGCAGCAGTTGTTAAAGTACGAATCGACAAAGTCAATTATGGCTCTTGGCCATGACCTATTTCTGTTGATCTTTATTCTCATTTTTTAAAATAAATCTTCTTATATTTTTTGAGTTTATAGATCAATACACTCGAGTTCTTTTTTATGACTGACTCTTGGTAACTATAATCCTCGTGTATGACTTGTAATCCCATGGCGTGACAAAAGTCTCTTTACAAACGGTTTAAACTGAAACTTTATTAAATATTCAAGATCATAAGATATTGTGATTGATATACCATGTTAAGAGGAGTGCTCAAGATAAGCTTTAAATGACAATATATAATCTAATAAAACAGGATGGGATAATATTTACTTTTCGCGACAGAAAATTTAAAAATATTTGTTTTAAGTGTCAAATACTTTAATATTTTTCAATAAAAATGTACTCTCCTGACGAATCCAGTTCGATTAACCAAGAAACTAGAGGTTGGTTTGATAATCTTTGCGCTGAAAGTCGTGCCAACTTTATCGCAAATGAGCAACATTCTAAAGTTTACCAACAATCCACTTCAAAACGCGTTGGTGACCTCATGAGTGCCGACGAGTGTTATAATTTTATAAGGACTAATATAAAAAGTCGAAAAGATACGAACGAAGATGCATTATGGAAATTACCGATGATACTCCTCATCATTGGTTGCCTTCTGATGTTTTTGATGATTTTCTGTTTCTTTTGCCAATTTGTGTACCGAAAAATAAAAGAGTCTCAACTGGCAAAAGATATTAAAAGTATAGACATTTGCCAAGCCGAGGATCAGAATAGCCGTATTTTAAGTCACCAAGAATCCCCGAGAAAGGAAAGACATACCTATTGTTCGTGTGGCAGCTAAAAAGAACTTGACTTTAAGAATCAATAGTTTCGTTATATATTTTTCAAATCAAATATGATTAATGTTTTATAATAAATGTACGTATTTGCATGGGCACCAGGGTGACGGCAAACTCGGCAACTTCCATGGTAGAATTCGCCTCCAGGGGTCGGTGGGGAGCATAGAAGAAATCAATATTAGCCGGGTTCGATCCAGAGCTATCCTGATTGAATTTGAATCTCTTCATCTGGCTCAGCAGCAGATTTCCGTCCAAAGTAGTTTCCCAAATCTCCTTTCCGTCCAAAGACTCAAAAAGCGGATAAATATTGAAGCTGACTACATTGCCAATCGTGTTAAAGTTTTCCACTCTGATTAATATTTGATCTTGATCATATTTTTCAAAGGAGAGTAAGCCAACGGACCGGGGAAAAACGGAGAAATCGGGTAAGAGACTTCGCTTGACAGAGGCAACATTATTTGATTTGCTGAAAAACTTCCAAAATGGTAAGTGCAGTTCGAGTTGTGTGGATCGCTCGGCGTGATTGGGATTTTCTGAGGCGGCGTCGAGGATGAGGGAGATCTTTCCCCTGGCAATCAAACCAGTTCCATACTGCACCTCGTTGAGGGCCTCACCCACGCCAAAGGCATCATCGCTCAATAGGCGACGATGCAGCATCAGTTCCAATTCTCCGTCTCTCAAGCTGGCTCCGCCCTGGGCCCGATCGTTCAGTAGAGTGATTCGCTTTTTGTCGTCTTGCAGGGAAATCTGGGCGGTCACCGGATAATAGTTTCCACTCACCGACTCGGTCATATCGGCATCGAAGTTCTCCCGCTTATTCCGGTCACGTTCTAGCATTTCCCTGCCATTGGAGTCGGTGTAGAATTTTCCGTTCGAGGCTATATTGGTGGTAAATCGAGTAACTATCTCCCTGCCCACCTCATCCTCAGTGGGAATGGGCCCCACCAGCCATTCAAATTCCACGCGATTTATTCCGTCATACAGTCGTACCACTTGGGAGACGAATTCATTGAAGTGCTGATGGACTTCCTTGACTTTGGTGCCATCATAGACAGATAGTTCCACTTTGTTGGATAATATTTCTATATTTCCGTCGGGTCGGAAAATATATGCCCCGGATGAACGATTCTTAGCTTCCCCATTATTGCCCTGGAATCCCTTGTAGATTCCAAAACTCTGTTCAATATTCTCGGTTACCCCATTCATTTCGATGGTTTTCAAGCCACCAGTGGTGGTATCAAAAACTAGTTTTATGAGCTGTAATAATAGAACATACATTATTATGTAATTAACATTATAAAATAAATAATTTTATAAATTCTCACCGAGTTTTCAACTATTAATTCATTGGATTCTTCATCGTTGGCACGTCCAATAGAGTTGTGGGCATAAACACTATTATATGACAAATGCGATTGGGATTTTGGGACTGGTAATATACGAATATAGAAGTTGGAAATCTTTTCCACAGTGGCCTGGAAAACCAATTCATGTTGGGTGTCGTTTGGTCGATGTTCGAGGGATAAGACTTGCCAGGGTACGGCTACAAGTTCGGATGGTACTTTGCGAGCTAAAACGATTTAAAATTTAATGAGTAAAATTTAAGAAAAACAACCATTTACGTACCTTTTTCATCTGTGACTATATAGTTCTCCTTAGGCACTGGAACCCTTACATACTGAGTGGAAGTGTGACCCAAAGGATTCACCACAGTCACTACCACATTATTGGCGCTTTTTTGGGTGAAAGCGCAGGCACTTATGTTCAATTCCAGGCAGCTATCAAACTCTCCTGATGTCAGATTAGTTAGTATCCTTAAGGCATCCCTTGCATTGTTTTCCGCACCAGAAATAGCTTCATACAACAGTCGATCGTAGTCCTGGGCTACTGCCTGTTTCTCAGTACCCGTAACTGCATCATGGTGCTGCATAATGCCCATGGCTTGACTAAGATTCTCAAGATTCTCGGATTGCTGGGAGCTGGTCAGATTGGCCAGGACACCCAGTTGCTTGACCACCTGCAGGAAATGATTGCCATCCCGCTCGAAGCGCTTTTGGGTGGGGCGCGATGTGAAGTAGCCGGTCCAATAGGAGTGTGAGTCACTGGAGTAGGGGAAGAAGTCCTGGGTCTTATTGGGCCAAGTCTGTTCCAGCTGGTGAAGCTCATAGAGGTAACATGAGGGAGTTGAGTAGAAGACATTGATTTGGGAACCTTGCGACTGTCGAGCGTTGACATATCTAGTAGAAACTCAAGATTAAGATTTGAAATAAAAAACATAAGAATTTAAAACTTACTGAATTAGTTTGTCCATGTTTTTAAAGTTCACCTCGGCATCTTCATATTGAAAATCATCTCCCATGGGAACCATTACATGGGGAGTTCGGAAAGACTTTGACATGGTCTGGATATACTCAATAAACTGATCCACTCTTTCGGCCACATTGTTGTCATAGCTATCTCCATCTATAATGGGAGCATCCTGGCAGTTGATATCGAAACAGAATCCCGGAGGCGCAGAGTAGTGATTGTATAGCATTCCAGTAAATAGTTCAGAGTTCTGGAGAGCTTCACTGGACTTCCAAATCATCTCCATTCCCAGATCGCCCAGGCGTTTTCTTTTATCAAGGTAATCCATGCGGGCAAAGAACTCGCCATGATAGCCCATCTGAGCAAAGATAGAAGCCATTTCGCGGGAATGTCCAAAGGGATCGATTTGCCAGCCAATTGAGGGGCGACCGCAGTCACCAAATATGTCTTTCAAATATCTGAAAAAAATATATATTATATACCATATCTTATACAATATTAATACTCACTTTAAGCCCAAATTGAACTGATCAATCACACTCTGGTAGTGAACGGTAGCCTCATCGTTCATGCTCCAAGCTCCTCCAGTGAATTCTAAACGACCCTCGGCCACTAGTTTTTTGACGGCCTGTCGTACGGCTTCGGGTTGTTCGGAATACCATTTCGCAAAGAAAAAGGTCTCCACTTGAATGAAACGCCTGCTGGAGTCCTTAAGAAGCTCCTGGACCACGGTGTCCAAGATGTATTGGACGCCGGCGTGTTGTATTTTATTCTGACTGCCATAATAGTACTGATCCACTGTCTTTAGCCAACCGACATCGTCGTGCGAATGTGGGACCAAATGGACATTGATCATATTTACCCTCGTCTTGGGACATGTCTGAAAATCAAAGTAATCTCAAGAGCTGATAATTTAGAAGAAAATTCATTCAGTTACCTCGAATCCGCAGGTAGCCTCGGATACCGGAGCATACGGTAGCACCAATGCGATAAATATTAGCACTCTACCGAAATATTCCATTTCAGTGAACGCACAGTTCTACGGATGGGGTCTTATCGGGACTGTAGAGCCGACTCAAATGAAACAAGGAATGGGGCTATTCCTTAGACCCCAGCAATGTGCCACTTGAAGCGATAAACCTTGAGTGGGATTATCAAATTAAAATCCATTTAGGGGGCTCCTAGGCGCGATAACACCTTACATTGCTATACCCTTCAGATAGAAGTAATTCAAAATTATTGCATTGGAATCATTATCCGTTTAATTTGCAAAATAAAATACTTATGAATACACGTATGTGTTTACACGAACTTGTGGCTTGTGAGGCTTATCAGAGCTTTAAAAAAAAATAAAACATACATATTCATATTTGTTTATGTTTAGGCTATAGCCATTGACTTCTGTATTTTGCATTATAATTCTTATCAACGCTGCAATCGGTTCAAGTAATTAATTATTCAGATTGTGAAAGGAAATCGAATTTTTTTATGGCTTTGTACCCGAATAAGAGGATTATAAAAAGCGGGTCTTGTAAACAAGCTAGTTCTTATAATATTTTTGAATGGGGACTCCTCAGCCATCTACTTTTAGAAGTGATCCAAAGGCTGTGAATGTTTTTAGATTTCTTGATTAAAAAGTTATTCATTGTCCATTCAAAAATTAAAATATAAAAGGAAAAATTGTAGCGTCGATGCACAAAATTTGAATTGCTTAGACAAGGAAGCTTAAAAAGATTAAACGATCGTTTAATATTTACAAAATCTTGATATTATAAACATTTTGATTTACAAGCCATTAAAAATATTGATTTAGTAGTTGTATTTGTAAACACACCGTTTGTTAATACTTTTGTGGGAATTAAAGATTCAAAGTCAATTCTTGTGTTGTATTTTAAAATCTTATG